CTATATATAAAATCTTATTCTAAAGTACTCATCTGCAAATCTAAAAAGTTTCTATAAAATTTAAAATTGCTAATCGCGCGTATATCGCGGAAATTATAAAATCCGTCGAATTAGTAAATCTAATTAGAATCTATTTAAATTCCGTCGATTTAATAACTATCTTAATCTTTTTTATTAGTTCTATTAATTTAATAGTAATACGTATAAAAAAAGAAAAGTTCTAATAATCGATATTATAATAATAAGATTTTATAATAATAAGTATTAACGCTAACTTAAATTTAACTATAAAATTAGACGATTTAATAAAATTAGTCGCGTAGATAATACTTTAATATAGCGTATAATAATACGTATATTAATAATAATATATATTAATATTATATATATATAGAATAGTATTTAAAGTATATTAGAGTATATTATATAAAAATTTTAAAGTTATTAAAAATTTTTAAAGTTATTAAACTAATAGAATTAGCGAAAAGAATTTAAATATAGATAAAGTTTACTAAATAGACTAAATCGTATTAAATCGTACTTATAATATAAACTCGACGAAAATCGTATAAAAATTCACTTTTTAGATTTATAAATGCTTTTAAAGTAATTAATTTATTCTTCTTAAATATTTTAATAGACTTAACGCGCTTAACTCTCGAATATAGAAGTTATATTTATTTCGACGATATTAATTAAATTCTTCTAAGAATATCGTCTTACTTCTTATTAGTTTATTTAATAGTTTATTATTCTATCGCGTAGTCTCTAATAGCTATCTTAACTATCGATATTATTCTTATCTATATAACTAATAATTAAATTATTTCGTTAGTATTTATCTTTACTCTTTTATTATAGATTACTCGCTCTCGCTAGCTAATAACCTTTTTCGTCTTCTTATCCGCTTATTTATTATCGTCGATATCGATATACGTTAAAATCTAGTATAATTCTATTACTATTTCGAGATATCTTAGCGAATTAATAATCTATATTATCTATATTACTCGTATTATTTAAAAGTAAGTTATCTCGCTTAATAGCGCCGAAAGAGTTAACTAATTAAACTACGATTTTCGCGAAAAACTAAGTAGTTTAATTAATTAACTCTCTTAGCGCTATTAAGTAAGATAACTTACTTCTAAATAATACGAGTATATAAATCTATCTTAAGTACTTACTCGAGTCTTCGATAGTCTATATCTACAAATCTGAAAAGTTTCTACAAAATTTGAAATTGCTAATCGCGCGTTTATCGCGAAAATTATAAAATTCGTCGAATTAGTAAATCTGATTAGAATCTATCTAAATTCCGCCGATTTAATAACTATCTTAATCTTTTCTATTAGTTCTATTAATTTAGTAGTAATATATAAGTAAAGGCCCATGAATTAAATTCATGGAGTTGAATTTTTCTAAGTCAAATGGAGTTGGATTTTTCCAAGTCAAATGGAATTTTAGCCCTAGCCCTAAGTCAAATCGAACTCTAATCGCTTGCTGTGCGTTTTTGACCTACTTCCACCACTACGAAATTGATTTAATCTATGTAGTATACAGGTATATATATGCGGAGAGAGGCGCGCTAAGGCCTAATTAGGAAGGTATAATAATTGCCTTAAAAAAAAGAGAAAGGCCATATCCTTATGGTAAGAAGTATCGAAATATCGGAAAGAAATGGAGACAACGTGCCAATTAGTGGTGTGAATCCTATAATATCTCCTGCCGCAGTGAAATTTTTCGAATAATGAAATAGCTGTAGACATCGGACGGTTTTAATTCGTCCAAATATGCATCGTTTCGGAGTGATGATTTGATGTGGAACCGTGGAGAGCATATGACGTGGGATCTTGGAGAGCTGAGCCGTGTTCTTGGTGCTGGGGGCCTTGTTGCCGCTTGGTTTCTCCGCAGTGTTCTCCGCATTTGCCTGTTGTAGTTCCTCCTCTTACTCCTTAATGTAGTGGGGATGACAGGCTAAGTTGCAGTGGTGTTCTCCGCTTACTAAGTGATAATTTGATGTGGAACCGTGGAGAGCATATGACGTGGGATCTTGGAGAGCTGAGCTGTGTTCTTGGTGCTGGGGGCCTTGTTGCCGCTTGGTTTCTCCGCAGTGTTCTCCATAGTGTTCTCCGCAGTGTTCTCCGCATTTGCCTGTTGTAGTTCCTCCTCTTACTCCTTAATGTAGTGGGGATGATAGGCTAAGTTGCAGTGGTGTTCTCCGCTTACTGAGTGATGATTTGATGTGGAATCGTGGAGAGTATATGACGTGGGATCTTGGAGAGCTGAGCCGTGTTCTTGGTGCTGGGGGCCTTGTTGCCGCTTGGTTTCTCCGCAGTGTTCTCCGCATTTACCTGTTGTAGTTCCTCCTCTTACTTCTTAATGCAGTGGGGATGATAGGCTAAGTTGCAGTAGTGTTCTCCGCTTGCTGAGTGATGATTTGATATGGAACCGTGGAGAGCATATGACGTGGGATCTTGGAGAGCTGAGCCGTGTTCTTGGTGCTGGGGGCCTTGTTGCCGCTTGGTTTCTCCGTAGTGTTCTCCGCATTCGCATTGGTGTGAGACCGTGGAGAGTAGGCCTGTTGTATCACTGCTGCTGATGACTGTCTCCGCAGTGTTCTCCGCATTCGCCTGTTGTAGATCCTCCTCTTGTTTAACTGAGTGCGAGGGTACCGAGGGTAAATGTGTTCATATTGGTGGAATTGGTAGAATTGGTAGAATTGGTAGAATTAATAGAATTGATAGAATTGGTAGAATTGGTAGAATAGTGAAAGAAGAATGGTTACACAAATAGGTGGAAGGATTATTATCCGATCCCGGACGCGTTTGGTGTGACTACAATATTTGAATATTAGTTTAACCCACCTACCGCTGGCTTAAGAAGGGGAGGACGTATCCGTTCGGGCTCTTTTTGAGGGCTTTCCAACGCGTTTATGAGCAGTAGTAGGTAGCTGTTAAGCTCGCTTGCGGCCTCGATTGCCAGCAGTAGCGGATTCGCCGAGGGGTGGCCTAGGGGCGTCAGTAAGGGGCTCTAATTGGGCGAGGGGTACCGAAGACGATTGTGTTCATATTGGTGGAATTGGTAGAATTAATAGAATTGATAGAATGGTGGAAGAAGAATAACAAACAGGTGGAAGGATTATTATCCGATCCCGGACGCGTCTGGTGTGACTACCATGACTACCATATTTGAATATCCATTTAATCCACCAATAGTAGGCCAAACTTCATAATTTTTACAGCGTTAGAAAGCGCAAAGCGAGCTCTACAATTTGAGGAATTATGAAGTAACTATATGTATCGCAAGCTGAGTACTTCAAAGTGTAAAACTTCTACATACAAATTTTTGATGAGGGAGCTCGGGAGGGCTACCGGGCTGACTCAGCCGGTCTAACCAAAGAGCGTAGCGAACCCGAATTGATAATTGGCTGCACATACAAATTCAAGGTTTTCAAGCTCAGCCCTACCTTATTCTTTTATATATACTGATATAAAAAAAGAAAAGTTCTAATAATCGACGTTACGACGATAAGATTTTACGATAACGAGTATTAACGCTAACTTAAATTTAACTATAGAATTAAACGATTTAATAAAATTAATCGCGTAAGTAATACTCTAATATAGCGTATAATAATACGTATATTAATAATAATATATATTAATACTATATATATATAGAATAGTACTTAAAGTATATTAGAGTATATTACGTAAAAATTTTAAAGTTATTAAAAATTTTTTAAAGTTACTAAACTAATAAAACTAGTAAAAAGAATTAAATATAGATAAAGTTTACTTAATAGATTAAATCGTACTTATAATACGAACTCGGCGAAAATCGTATAAAAATTTACTTTTCAGATTTGTAGATATAAATCGATATTTAATTATTCGTATTTACTATAATTTTACTAAGTTATAACCTTATTTAGTATATAACTATTATCGTTAGAGCTTAAAGAATATTATATAGCTTTATCGAGTATATTATATATTAGTCGCTTAAGTCTAAATAGATATTAAAAATAAAATTAATATCTAATAATATAGTTAATACTCTTATCTTTTTATTAATCTCGCTATTATCTATATATATTATTATATATTTCTTATTAATTAATCTTTTAGCTAGTTCTTTAGCGACTTTCTTAGTCTTATAAATTAGTATATATAATAGAATAAGATAGAACTAAATTAGAAAACCTTGAATTTATATATATAGTTAATTATTAATTCGTTAGATCTACGCTTTTTAATTAGATACCACGAGTAAATAAATTAGCGTTCGCAATTATTAAAAATCTATAAAAATCTATATATAGAAGTCTTCCCCTCTGAAATAACCAGCTTTCTACGAATGCTATTACTTTATAATTTCGTAAATTATAGAGCTTAATATACGCTTTCTAACGCTATAAAAATAATAAAGTTTAGTCTACTATTAGTAAATTAAACTAATATTTAAATATTATAGTTATATTAAACGCGTTCGAAATCGAATAATAATCCTTTTATCTATTTATATAATTATTATTCTTTTATTATTCTATTAATTCTATTAATTCTATTAATTCTATTAATTTCATTAATATAAATATAATCGTCTTCGATACCCCTCGCCCAATTAGAGCTCCTTACTGACGCCTCTAGATCATCCCTCGACGAATTCGCTACTACTAGCAATCGAGGCCGTAAGCGAGTTCAACAGCTACCTACTACTACTTATAAACGCGTCGAAAAACTCTTAAAAAGAGCTTAAACGGATACGTCCTCCTCTATATACTTCTTTCAAGCTAGCGGTAGGTGGATTAAACTAATATTTAAATATTATAGTTATATCAAACGCGTTCGGAATCGAATAATAATCCTTTCACCTATTTATATAATTATTCTTCTTTTACTATTCTACTAATTCTACCAATTCTATCAATATAAACACATTTACTCTCGATACCCTCGCACTTAGTTAAATAAGAGAAGGATCTACAACAGGCGAATATGGAGAATACTACGGAGAATATTATGGAGACAGTCATCAGCAGCAGTAACACAATAGGCCTACTCTCTACGATCTTACATCAATCCACTTAGCCAGTGCGAGAGAAGTCACTATAGCAGGCGAATACGGAGAACATTGCGGAGAAATCAAGCGACAACAAGGCCCCCAGCACCAAGAACAGGCTCAGCTCTCCAAGATCCCACGTTATATCAGTCATCCACTCAGTCAGCCACTCAGCTAGCCACTCAGTCTGATACTCTCTCTACAAGAGGAGGAGCAAGAGAAGGAACTACAACAGGCAAATGCGGAGAACACTGCGGAGAAACCAAGCGGCAATAAGGCCACCATCGTCAAGAACACGGCTCAGCTCTCCAAGATCCCACGTCATATCAGTCATCCACTCAGTCAGCCACTCAGCTAGCCACTCAGTCTAATACTCTATAAGAGAAGGAGTAAGAGGAGGAACTACAACAGGCAAATGCGGAGAACACTGCGGAGAAACCAAGCGGCAACAAGGCCACCATCGTCAAGAACACGGCTCAACTCTCCAAGATCCCACGTCATATCAGTCATCCACTCAGTCAGCCACTCAGCTAGCCACTCAGTCTGATACTCTACAAGAGGAGGAGCAAGAGAAGGAACTACAACAGGCAAATGCGGAGAACACTGCGGAGAAACCAAGCGGCAACAAGGCCACCATCGTCAAGAACACGGCTCAGCTCTCCAAGATCCCACGTCATATCAGTCATCCACTCAGTCAGCCACTCAGCTAGCCACTCAGTCTAATACTCTATAAGAGGAGGAGTAAGAGGAGGAACTACAACAGGCAAATGCGGAGAACACTGCGGAGAAACCAAGCGGCAACAAGGCCACCATCGTCAAGAACACGGCTCAGCTCTCCAAGATCCCACGTCATATCAGTCATCCACTTAGTCAGCCACTCAGCTAGCCACTCAGTCTGATACTCTATAAGAAGAGGAGCAAGAGAAGGAACTACAACAGGCAAATGCGGAGAACACTGCGGAGAAACCAAGCGGCAACAAGGCTACCATCGTCAAAAACACAGCTCAGCTCTCCAAGATCCCACGTCATATACTCTCCACGGTTCCACATCAAATCATCACTCAGCAAGCGGAGAACACCACTGCAACTTGGCCTATTATCCCCACTGCATTAAGAAGCAAGAGGAGGAACTACAATAACGTCACAAGAGGAGGATCTACTGCGACGATCATAGTCAATTAGACCTCTATAGGAGAAACATCGAACGATACATATTTAGACGAATTGAAACCATCCGATATCTTACTCTAACAGCTATTTTATTATTCGAAAGATTTCACTACGGCAGGAGATAATATGGGATTCACACCACTAATTAGTATATTATCTCTATTTCTTTCCAATATTTCGATACTTCTTACCATAAGAACATGACCTTTCTCTATTTTTTATAGGCAATTATTACGGATCAATCCTCTACACTTAATATACCTTTCTAATTAGGCCTTAGCGCGCCTCTCTTCACACATATATACCTATATACTATATAAATTAAATCAATTTTATAGTGATAAAAGTAGGTTAAAAACGCACAGTAAGCGATTAGAGTTCGATTTAACTTAGGGCTAGGGCTAAAATTCGATTTAACTTAGAAAAATCCAACTTCATTTAACTTAGAAAAATGAAAAATCCAACTCCATGAATTTAATTCATAGGCCTTTACTTGTTATTGTTTTAAAAGACTCTTAGTTAAGAGCGACGCTGAAAGGGCGTAATTTCTTAATCTTATTGATGTCGTCGTATCATTCTTCGAATCTATTAATATATCGCTTCAATAGACTTAGTTTTCTATTCTTCTTAGATTTTCTTTTAAACTTCTATCGCTCGAATTATAGCTTAATAATCTCGCTATATACTAGACTAATAGCGATTTATAAGATAGCTTTCGAGGTAATTTTATTTAGCTATTATTTAATTAATAAGAGATATACTTCTATATCGAGTACTGAAATAAATATAATCTTAAATACTTTAATTATCTTTCTCTCTATCTAAGATTAAATTCTTTATAGCGATACGAGATAAGTTTTATTATAGTCGATAGTATCTTCGGGCTAGTATTATATTAAATAGTAGTATATTATTTATAAGATAATTACTATCTAATAGAGCTATCTCATACTCTTATAATTATTACCTTACATCGATTCGATAATTCCTCGTCAGTACACCGATGCTTTTAATAGTCTTAGATCGAATCTCCTTATTATAGTAGTTTTATAGAAGTTTAAAGTCGATTTCGACTTCTAGATAGCGAATAAATCGTCTCGCCTTAATGTATTATCTCTCGTTAAGTTATAGAAAATAGTCTATATCTATAAATCTGAAAAGTTTCTTTTCGTATAATTTTTATCGGGTCCGTATTATAAGTATAATTTAATTTATTTAATAGACTTTATCTATATTTAATTCTTTTCGTCGATTTAATAACTATTTTAATTCTTTCCGCTAGTTCTATTAATTTAATAACTTTAAAAAATTTTAGTAACTTTAAAAATTTTACGTAATATACTCTAATATACTCTAAGTATTATTCTATATATATATAATATTAATATATATTATTATTAATATACGTATTATTATACGCTATATTAAAGTATTATCTATATAACTAATTTTATTAAATTATCTAATTCTATAGCCAAATTTAAGTTAGCGTTAATACTTATCGCTATAGAATCTTATCATCGCAATATCGATTATTAGAACTTTTCTTTTTTTATACGTATTACTATTAAACTAATAGAACTAGCGGAAAAGATTAAGATAGTTACTAAACCGGCGGAATTTAGACGGATTCTAATTAGATTTACTAAACCGGCAGAATTTAGGCGGATTCTAATTAGATTTGCTGATCCGGCGGATTTTGTGATTTCCGTGACAAACGCGCGATCAGCAATTTCAAATTTTGCAGGAACTTTTCAGATTTGCAGATGTAAGCTGAACGCAAGAGTGACAGATACATCGTGTCTGGAGAACAAACTCAGATTGATCTAACCTAATGGCGTATGGTGCATGATATCTATCCGTTATCGATTGCCCAGCCAATCGACTGCCCTTGTCCATCCAAGCCATCTTCAACTCAACATCTCACAACCGCCAAGTACCAGGCCACTGACGCTAACATTTTGAGATCAATAACAATAGCAGTGTAGTAACATGGAGCTCAGCTACAGAGCAAAGACGTCTCTTTGATGCCTATACGGCTGGTGCAACTGTCCATTACCTGGACACTCATGTTGTTGACAGAATTTTGGCTCCCAGATCCGATGGAAATCGTTTCCTCAAGGGCACTCCACTGCTGCTACTGTGCATTATGCTTCTCCAGCAGCACGATTCTTGGTGCTCGTGACACATGGTCCATCCAAGCAACAATAAGGTGGGCAGTCACCGAGTGAGCCCTAGAAACCGCTTTCGAAGCAAGGCTGGTCCACCTCAGGGGCGAGAAAAGGGTGCAAGATCCTCTTGGATGTCTTCAGTGTACTTTGAACTCTCCTAGCCTCTCCGATGGGTTGCATCATCATGACTTCTGGCCATCCATGTCCATGCTCTGAATGCCCATTTTCTCCTTGTACCTCCATCAATTCCCTGTTCCATCTCTTGACCAATTCTCTTTGTCTAGCTTTACTTCACCATTGTCATGCCCTTCTTGTACCCCTTCATCGTCCGCCATCAAGGCGGCTTTGGCAGCATCTGGCACGAATTCCGGTGTTATGGGGTAGGGGATGGTTGTGAGTAGACTGTTGAAAGCTGAGACCACTCTTAGAGGCTTGTTTGACAGTTCCGAGATAGCAGAAGAAACTTTGTTGAGGTGTAGAGGGTGCATGCGGAGCTCTTGTGCCGTCGGCTCTGATACGCGCTAAGATTCCGTGATTGAGAGGCTCGTTTCGCAATTCAGAGATAGCTGAAAAAGCTTTGTTGATGTGCAGAAGGCGAATACGGCGCTCCTGTGCCGTCGGCTCTGATCCGCTTTAAAGATTCCGTGATTGAGAGGCTCGTTTCGCAATTCAGAGATAGCAGAAAAAGCTTTGTTGATGTGCAGGAGGAGAATGCGGAGCTCTTGTGCCGTCGGCTCTGATACGCGCTAAGATTCCGTGATTGAGAGGCTCGTTTCGCAATTCAGAGATAGCTGAAAAAGCTTTGTTGATGTGCAGAAGGCGAATGCGGCGCTCCTGTGCCGTCGGCTCTGATCCGCGCGAAATATTTCGTGACTGGAAGAGCCGTCGAGGTTACCAGCTTGCCGCTTAGAGGTTGGGTAGATGTTCTATCTCATTACTGCTCGTTGCTGGCTTGTTCACTATGCTAAGGTCAGTCGGAATTCTTTTCACACCTCAGCACCATCATAGGGCTGGTATGTCTGCCCAAGAAACACGTACATTTGATGGCTTGATGCCTGCGTATTTTACCGGTTGTACGTGGAGACTGTATGCAAATGATCGACTCGAGAGCTTTGTTCATGGGCTTGACTCCATTGTTTGGCGTACTCGCAAGGCTGTAGTGTCAGGTAGACTGCTGTTGATGAGGTCAGCTTCCAAGAACTCGTACGGTAAGAATGGGAGCAAGACTCACACTCTGGCAGCTTCCATAGGCACGAGTCCACTCTCTTCTGCAGTCGACCTGCTGTATCAGCTAGGGTATGCATACACACAAGCCCGTTGAAGACTCGAGTAGGTACCACTCAACGAATCCTTAGCCAGAAACTTTTCGCCTAGGACTGGTTCGAATTGCTAGACTTGGCGCCTCCGTCGCATAAGATGCCATCTTTTGTGAGTAGGTGTCGTTGATTTGATGACACTGAATCTTCTGAACTCAACAAGGTAACTGGGGTTGTGCCAAAGTGATGGAAACTGATGAGGCAGACTTTCCAAATTTGTGGGAATGTTGACCAAATTAGTGGCTCGGCAAGGCTATGTCAGGAGGAGTTCCCGGACGGAAGCCAATTTGTATTTATATGTAAGATTACACCTCCTGGTGCCTCTCTATCTATTCATGTGTATTTACAAAGTATAATAAGGCTTTATTGAGGCTAGAGCAACAACAATCATATCTCAATGTATAGTGTTTCCCTAAAACTCTCTCATGCTTGAGCCGCGAGAGCCAGGATACGAATCCGTCAAGCATTATTGACAAGCCAAGTGTATCAAGCAACCAGAATCAAATGAAGGTCATGTGCCTTAACAACGATCATCCATCAGGACGAGACATCTGTGCCAAGGTTACTAAGATAGTCAAGCGATGAGATTAAACGAAGGTGAGATGTTTTAGCAAGTATTATCCATCAAGGCTAGATGTGTTTGCAAAAGTAGGCCATCATTAGCCAAGCCCCGCAGGCTAAACAACTTTGATGTGGTTGTGTCGAAAGGAGAGATAATTCGGGTGGGAGAAGCGGTTTATATACTCACAAATGCAGACGCTAGTTGCCTTCATTTCTGCGTGCAGGATTCATTGCTGCATGCGAAATTCATGATTCCTATGTCCAGTGAATTGTTCAGCGTGAATGACGGTTACATTCAGTCCGTCTACACCTGTGAATGCCGTTAAGCTTGTTCAGAGATTCAAGACAGCAGAAATGATTACCCCACAGCTCTCTGGTGTTACTCTCAAATGCTTTTCAAATCAGCGGCTGTAAGCAAAGGAGGCTCGTCACAGACTGAGGCTCAAGAATGTGATAGGCTTCATTTTCCTGGACGCAGTGAATTCCAAGGCCGTAACTTGAAAATCCCATTTTCTTCTGCCACTCTAAAGGGCGCAGAACCTTTAGCTTGTACAGGATCATGCTACAGAGAGTGCCAGGGGGGTCCCATAGCCATAGCAAATATCCAGTGAAACCGTTCCCTCCGTACCTTTCTACCATTGTAGAGCCAGTGATACTCCCCTTCTGAGGCCACACAGCCAGTAGCTTGAACCGTTTGATCAAAGGACTACTGCAGCTCTGTATTAGGTGGGTCCAGGATCATGTCCAGCCACCCATCCAACACGACGCTGGACATTGGATCTTCCTCTCGATCCGGATCAGCTGAAACATAGAGTCTACTGAACCTCAAGGACCATTCCTATTTGCATATACTTCTGTGCGGAGCGCCAATAAGTCAACCCCTATAGAGAAAAGATTCTGTACAGAATGATGTAGCGCTTCGACATTTGCGGTAAACGTTCAGGGAATAACTCAGCTGTGCTGCGAAAACAAACTTTGTGTATACAAGATACTCAGCAACCTTCAGAGACGGAGACTTTAGGGGATGAGCGATGGTCCTCGAGATAATATGGAAGCAGAAGGTGTCGGAAGGTGGTGTGAAAGTTTTTTGTTATCGATCAGAACAAGAATGGCTGTGAAGCCGACTGAATAGCAGGGTGGCTAACCCTGCAACGCTGAGAGCATATCCCAACACTCTCCTCTGCTCTAAGCTTTGCTGCCACTCAATTGGCGTGAGATTGCAACTTCCCTTGATGGAAAAGACCTCGCTGCTGCCATGTTGACTCCCCCTAAAACGGAGAATCAAGCCAAATGCCATAGGAAATCTGACTCCCCCTCGAAACAGGGATCAAAGGTCAACCCTAAGCCAAAAACCATCGTCACAGCGCTATCGAAACCACACGATGTTACCCGCTCTGTTGTTGCCACGCCATAGAGCTGTTGATATCGGCATGACCCGCGTCCCCGTCACGGGTCGCCCTCGTGACGTTACCCTACAGCTGTCGAACACAACATCGCCTGCTCTGAAACGCCGTGTCGGAGTCGACAGTACCGTCGTCGACTACTCCGTTGCCGTTGAAGATTCCCACTCCCCTTGAGATACGGGAAACCAAGGCCGCTTGGCCTGACATTGTGTTCTGACTCCTCACATGAGAAATCGAGGCCACCGGCCTGACGTTGGTTTTTTTGACTCCCCTTGACACACGGGAAATCAAGGCCACTGAGGCTGACATTGTTGATCTCGACAGTACTGTCGTCAATTCCATTGCCGTTGCGGGGCGTAAAAGTACACTCGTTGCCTCGTTACCGTTGTGAGGCTGATAGAACCATCGTCAGCCCCGATAGCCATTCCGTCCTAGAATAACTTGATACCTACCGTTGTAGCTGAATCACTTGAAGAATGCCACTGTAGCAAGCTCGCTTGCTGACATGATTATTGAGGAGTTCGAATCGTAGTCGTCTTGACTGCCTTGTAGTAGGCTTACCGTGTTATCTTGACTTGATTTGTTGAGTATCGTAGATTTTTATGCACTTGTAACGATTCGAATAGAACACTATGACTTAGCGTAGTCACAAACGGAACGAACAAGAAGATTACAGCGATAACAGTGCTGACCCCGGGCCCATGACTTGTTGGAACGTGGTGTGAAAATTGTTGTTCTCAATAAGAAGAAAAAAATTGGCCGTGAAGCCTACGAAATAGTAGGTGGCTAACCCTACAAGCCCGGGAGCATATTCCAACAGAAGGAGACGTGATTGAACATCTGTCTCAACAAACTGATCATCTTCTCCATACCCCTCGAAGGGCCATCCAGACAAGAACATCGCCCGTGTACCGACACCTGGCCAGCGAGCTTCCGGACCAAATAGGAGCCTGCGACACTCCATTCCAAGTCTGGTATTTATTCCCAGATATCCCACCCGCTAGCCAGAACACCCAAGTTGCCAGGATCTGGCACACGATGCTCCATTCCAAGTATCGACGCTCTAGTGATAGAGCCGGCAGACATCGTAGGAACTAGGCCAGGTTAAGACGCGAAACAATTTTCAGAAGGAGCTCGGTCCGTATGCTAGGTAATTCGGAGAGTGCCCACCTATGAAATTGAGAAGGTGATTTTTCAAATCCTACGAGGAAAGCAATAGACACGAATGTCACAAATGCAAAGGTATTGAAACACGCAAACACAGCCTTTCTTGTTCGTACCAACAACGACTTCACGCCTTCCCAGCACGTAAAGTAGCCATCTACACCCCACCCTACATCGACACAGGCACCCCAACACCTACTCCAAATCATCCTTACAACAGGGGACAGCCCGCGGTGAGCTGTCCGCAGAAGAATGACCGCAAAGCCGGAAACCTGGGATAACACAAAGCATCAAGGACCCATGCCTTGAACCGGACCGAACATCTCCACCAAGTCATGCCACTCTCCCGAAAACAGTCTACAATCCAAGACGAACACCAGATACCCTCACCACCCCCCCAACACCCCCACCTTCCTCGTTCCGCATCATCTCCGTCTCAGTCATCTAGGACAGCGTGGACATTCACATCGACCGGATGAGAGCCCGCAGAAAGCATCGTCTCCGGTCCTCTCCGCCCTCTGGACCACATCCCCGACGACCGCAACTACTGGGGAGAGGTCCGGGTTTATGGCGGGGAAAGATGGCACGGTCAGTACCCTAACGGGGCAGGCTCTAAAGGGTATTTGGGGGTTGATCAAGAGCCGTGATCAAGTCCGCCTGCAAAGGAAGGGGTATAGGGCTCGAGGAGCCATTTGGGGACTCCTGATATGTGCATTGAGGAGTTTCTTTTCGGAGACTGGGACATGTTCAAGGAGTGTAGTAATTATGGTTTACGTAGAGCGCAGTTGTGACAGGCAGAGTAATTGATGGAAGCAGTAACCCGGCAGTGGCAGAACATCTCAGACGATGACGCCAGCTTCTGGAGGCAGCGTAGCCGTGAATATGTCGTCTGCAAGACTTCACACCAATGGCGTGACTTTCAGAGTGATCCCATCTTTTGGCCTCAGAACTAGCCTCCACATTTTCCAATTCTCGGGATCATCCAACGTGTCATCCATCTCAAACCTAAACGCACTCAACAAGCAACACAGTAGCGCCTTCATCTCTGTCTCAGCAAACTTCTTCCCTATGCATCCTCTCGGACCGCTAAGGAACGCTAAATATGCGTTCGCTGTGAACGTCGCTGGTAAATGGTCCCATCTGTCTGGATCGAACACATCTGCCGTTTCTCCCCAGTATTCCGGGGCTCGGTGGATGGCGTTGATGGGAACGTAGACGGTTGTCCCAGCAGGGATACGATAGCCGCGGAATTGATCCTCGGCAATGTTCGCCCGCCTGGTGAAAGGAATGGGTGGGATATACCTAAGACTCTCGCGGCAAACGTTGTTGAGGTAAGGTAGACGATCTTCGTCGATTTTGGAAAGCCAAGATTCGTCTTCACGGCTGTCGGAGAAGAGGAACGGCATGTATTCTTGAATTTCCCTCCGCAATTTTTCTTGCGTGGAAGGATACTTTGAGAGCAGAAGCAGGGTCCAGGCCATTCCAGACCCTGTGGTCTCGTGACCGGCGCCGATGAAGGTCATCACTTGATCTCTCATGTTTTCGAACGTCATTTTGCCCTGCATTCTACCATTCGCCGTCGAATTAGCACGCATAATTAGGGACAGGATGTCTTTTTCGCGGGAAGGTGTTTCGGCAATCTGTTTGGACTGCTTGTCTCGGATGATTTCGGACGCAATGCTGATAACCGTGCCGCGGGCTGCTGCAAGTGTGTGGTTTGCTTGAACAGGCAAGTATAACGCTAAGGGCGTTACGGATAGAAGTGCGAAGAACAGTCGCCCGCCATTGTCAAAGTTGAAGATTTGTTTGTATGCCTTTCTCATCGGCGTCTCGGGGTGGGTCAGTGAATCGAAATTGTTTCCCAATCCAGCTTCTCCGATGATATCGAGCGTTGTTCGATTCGACCATTCAAGGACCTCGATGGACTTGGTCCTGACGTTTTCCTTTCTCAGCTCGGCTCGCCAAAGTCGGGACAGCAGCAATGCTTTACGCCAGAAGATTGGTGTGAGCGATTTGATTGACGAGATCGAAAATGCTGGCGCAAGCACTTTTCGTTGCTGAACGTGGGCATCCCCCTCGACTGCTAGGAGTCCGTCACCTAGCATATATGCAAGATTGGCTTTGGTGATCGGTGGTTTCTGCCACCTATATGGGTTCCTGATGAAGATCTGTTTCAGCGCTTCGTCATCGATGACCGAGAGCCTAGCGGCGCCGAAGGGCAGAAACCATCGTACGATTGGGCCGTGTTGCTTGTGCCAGCGCCGCGCAGGGATACCGGCTTCCTCTGTCAGGAACGAATGAGTCTGACCCCATAGCGGAAATCCGGGGACGGTGGGCACCGAGCGAAGTGGTGAGATGTAGAATGGGAATATCCAAGACTGATAGATGATGTAGTAGGACGGTACGAAAACGAAGAACGTGTATAGCCATGCAGAAAGGCGTGTGAGGGATGAGAGCGTTGCAATGAAGGAGGCAATCACCAAGGTGAGAAATAGCAGAGACGGAAATCCCAACTCGTATGCCATCATGAAAGCACTCTCAGAAAATGGATTTCGGCCAAGGTTGCAGTCGACTTGGAAGTTGGGACAGGTCTTCTTTGACGAGCTGGTGGTGTCTTAACCCTTTAATTAGTCCTTGAAATCCGTATCGCATCTTGATTGTCCTGCCCTTGCCACATTTGAGTATACTTTATCCGGAAAAGGGTGCGTCGGGCCTAGGCATCTATCTCTGCTGTCTGGAAGCTTCGGTCTAAGAAGGATGTGTCGGGTTGTTTGAAGAGGAGTTGCACGGACCTTGCTCCTGGACCAGACTGTTCGATCGTGACCCAGCCATTCCATGAGTTCACACGCCAAAAGTTCCAAGACGGAGAAGAATACCACATCTGGAAAAGGAGTTTCGGCAAATGTAAGACAGGCAAGCCTGGACTTTGGGCCTTTTGCTCTGTTGAGAAAGACGGGATCAACATTTCGAAAAGGCGTTCTTGGTTGGAAACTAGGATATCAGAACTACCTATGTTGCGAACAATCACCTAGGAAAATAACATGTCTCGGATAGGTAAGAAACAAGAGTAGGCTGTTGATGCTCGCTAAAAACACACTAGGGTTGATGTCTAAAGTACCTTAGTCAGATTCCAGGGTTCCCGGAGCTAAGGTAGGCTAAAACATCAAAGCGCCGCTACGCTAGAAGCGCCGCTATGAAGTAATGCGAAAGTAAAACGGCATACTTTACATTACCCCGTAGCGGCGTCTAGCTCATAAACGGTACAAACCGCGTATACGCAGATCCAAGCCCGAATGCCAAAAGAAGCAGTCTATGTCAATGCGGGCGGTCAATGCGAAGATGATCTGGACCCCATGCGGCCAGCATTGTAAATCAACAGGTACCAGATCTGAACTACCATGGAACGGCTTTGGCGGGCGGCCACAATCTCGGAGAATTACAACAATCCGAATCCATAATTAGGTTCTGCTCGAGAGGGGAAGGCAGGTTGTGGAGGATCCGTGTCCCATGCTACAAATGCTTGCCGCCTTAACTGGGCCAGTTGTTCGACTGTACTAGGTTGGGTTGACACTTTCGATGAAGCTCTGCTCCTTATAATCGGAGGCGGGGAGGGGGGAGGGATAAGCGTACAAGAAGGGCCAAGAATCTACATTGCTTGCAGTCGACATTACATTTCCCCTTTCTCCCATACTCTTCTACATACCGAGTCACACAAGCCATGTCTGAGGGAAGCGTGCCGTATCCGTATGGCCCCCTGCCGTCCGGTTCTCTCCAGGCTTCCCCATGGGTGCTGTTCGACAGGATGTGGACGGCGGCGACGGGATACGCTCCGACAAATTTCCTCTTCGTTCCCGGGAAAACGCCCATGTCGACCGCGAAAGAGACGGCCGTTGGCATAGCGGTTTATTACTTGATGGTTTTCTTCGGCCGTAGGGCGATGAAGGGTCGTCCGGCTTTCGAGTTGACGTCTTTGTTTCTACTGCACAACCTCTTCTTATCCCTCCTCAGCGGCTTTGTGCTTTTGCTCTTCGTCGAGGAGCTGGGGCCCGGGCTTTGGAAGCACGGGATCCACCATGCCATCTGCGGTTCTGGAGGATGGACCACGCGTCTCGTCACTCTGTACTATGTCAGATTCCCTCACGTGTCCATCACAGCTTGCATACCAACCACTGACACCTCCCTCAGGTCAACTACTTGATAAAGTACTACGAGTTGATCGACACGGCATTTCTCATTCTCAAGAAAAAACCCACCAGTAAGTCCGGCTCCTCAGCAGCAGTCATCCCTCCCCCCCCATTACTCATCCCCCCAACAGCATTCCTCCACTGCTACCACCACGGCGCGACCGTCCTCCTCTGCTACACCCAGCTCGCCGGCCAAACCTCCATCTCCTGGGTCCCCATCACTCTCAACCTAACCGTCCACGTCCTCATGTACTGGTACTACTTCCAAAGCGCCCGCGGCATCCGCGTCCCGTGGAAGGAATGGATCACCCGGCTCCAGATCCTCCAATTCCTCATCGACCTCGGTACCCAGAACCCCTCCCCTCCCCCCCCCCCACCCTCAGCCCGCTGACATGCCCCCGCAGCCTTCGTCTACTTCGCCTCGTACAGCCGGGCCGCCGTGCGGTACTTCCCCCGGATGCCGCACGCGGGCGACTGCGCGGGCACCGGCTTCGCGGCCGCGATGGGCTGCGGGATCCTGACGTCGTACCTCGCGCTCTTCATCTCCTTCTACCTCGTCACCTATAACCGCGTCGGTGCCTCGACCCGGTTGAAGCGGACGACGGGGGCGGAGGCGGTGGTGCGGGATGTGAAGAGGCAGTTTGTGCGGATCTAGCCCGCGGGGGGGTAGGGGGGTCCGTGGTTCCATGTTTGCGTGTGTGTATGTGTGTGATCCTTTTGGATCCGAGATAGATTAGGCAAGACGGAATGAAATGAAATACAGGGTAAAATCTCCACGAGCTCCGTTTTTGTTTTTCTTTTTCTGGTGCTGCAGCACTTCCAGTACCCCCACCAGCATCAGTCCTTTCTCTACCAATTTCGAAGAACGAGCATGCCGATCTTACAAACAAGATTTGTCGGCAAAGTGAGTGAGCTTATCAAACTCCCCAACTGCTACCAAAAAAAACCTTACGACAAACCCCAGTCATGGAAATTGACACGCGCCATTACTCCCCTCCCCCCCAAGACCGTGTTTCTCAGCAACGACGCAGCGCTCCCCCACCACAAATTGTCAAAAATCTCCCCCGAGGAAAATCCATCACGGGATCCCCTCCCCCTGCATCCATCAACCGGAAAAATCTCAATGCCGTAGGAAGTATTACAGCGCGTGACCTAGGCTCTACCTAACCCATCCCATCGCCTGGCGCCTTTACGGGTAGGGTAAGATGTCTCAGCGCCCACCATCGAAAATCTATCTACATGGTACTAGTATGGTTTCCGAATGCTTCTTCCAACAAAGCAAAGCAAAGCAAAGCAAAGCGATATGATATGATTCCACATCGCTGTTCCATATAGTTTGCAGCCGGATATACATCGTGGGGTCTACCAGCGGCCGGTTTGTTTTGTTTTGGTTTGTTTTGCCCCGAGCTCAGGTGTTCTGACGGTGCGGATGGATGATTCCGATGGTGGTGGCGTCCTGATCTTTGCACCTTTTTCCGCTTGTCGCCCTAAAGTAGGCATCGTTTAGCCATGTCCCCTGTGCAACGGTGGGGGGTGAATGGGAATGGGCTTGGTCATGAGTAAGAGGGATTGCGGATTTTGAATGGAGTGTACTCGGGTAATGGCCGTGACTGTGGGGGGAGGGCCTTTTGGGACTGTTGTAGGCTTTGGATCCTTTGTCACGTGATTAAGATCGTTTGACGTCTTATTGCGAGGCAGTTTCATTGGGGTTTTGGGCTATTTGGCTTTGGGGTGGTTGTCAGGCGGTTGGCTGATGTGGCTGGGTTTAGAGTAGAGTGAAAGCCTTCATGTGGGAACAGACCATGCAAGCGTGTTTCAGTCATCCACACGGGCGATTGTATTCACAGCATCTATGAGGGTCAACTGTGGCAGCTATCATACATCTTGGAGATACTGCCATGTTCATAGTTGAACTGCAATCCTTTGGTTAACCCATTCTGGTCTGACCAAAGGTGACTTTGCCAGCTGGGATCCTCAACAGAGAATCCATTTCCCAGGTCATGCCAAGCCTCGAGGACGGCCTCATCACCTTGGACCACCACCGAATAGTCTGTTGGGCAGCGATGACATGAAAACAGCTCAGTGTGTTGATCTGGCATAGTCGCCGCATTGATAACAGCCTTTTGCAAAATCGCGGCAAAGGAGTGGCCTAGTCCCGTGCCAAGGCCAAAATGGTGGTGAGGGCAGAATACTATATACTTGTAGTAATCTTTCTTTGCTGCGTCTCGAAGCGGACCTGCATACAGGACGTATGTCGCCAACAGTATGAATCTGGCGTTGACGACCTTCGGCTTTGCGGCGAATGTCTTGATGATAGGAGAGCCGACTGGACGAATCTCAAAATTTTGAAGAATGTTCGTCCGACAATCCTGGTGCTTTTCCTTCATTCGAGAGTACTTCAGTGCCAGCTGTACGTGATGGAACGAAACTGCGTAGGAGCGTTGCGGACGCAGATGATCAAACATTTGGTATGGTGTGCGGCATGAGTGGCGGCGGCGATGCCAGTTTGTCAAATTTGGGATGTCATCAGGTTCCACAGGGTGTAAGATATTGCACCTGATACAATGATAGTTATCCGGCAACAAGTTCCCTAGCTCGGCCAATGTATTGAATCGATCCTCCCGCACGATAGCTTTTAATTGAAAAGAGCACTTACTGCGCAGCATGTACCACATAGCCTTGCAGGTATGAGAGAGTAGGATCTTTGCGGATAGAGGGAGTTCGTCGCATATACTGCAAAGGATGTCGAGAGGGAGATCTAGAAAAGCAGACCTCTGCTCTACCGCTGGCGTCACGAACAATTTCCAAGGCCATAGCAATTTAGCGTAGACCTGCAATGTCGAAGTGATAAGCCAGTACAAGTTCATTTTTCTCTGTGGCAGCATGCGATGGAAAAAAAGAAATTTTAGGGGTAGCAGACGCGAGAAAGGATAGTAAGAAGATGAATAGAGAATGCACGTAGGTAATTGTAGGTGCTGGAGCTGGTGTCTGTTTTCCTTCCAAGGCTAGAATTGTTTGAGATAAGAGAGTGCGATGGAACTTGAGACGAAGGCTTAAGTTTGTCCAGAGCAAGAAAGATAAAGTAGAGGTACTTGTAAGAAGAGGAAATCGAGCTTATAAAAGATGTGGGCAGATGCCTCGTAGGCTTAATAATGTAGGTTGCTGGGAACTAAACCTAAAAGGTAACCGTAAATGGTTGAATTTTCTGCAGGCTGTGAAATCCTCCCCGCGCCCTCTCTCAAACCCAACCTATTCGGAAGACTACAACACACCTCGTAGGTGATCAACCTCACGGAAAACTTGTCGGCCTATGACAACCGAAGCGAAGCAGAAAAAGGGAGCAATATCTTAGGCGCTATTAGGCGCAGGTTTGAGATGCTCGGCTGGTGAGGGGTTTAAATCAATTTCTTGATATTCCGTCAAGTGACGCCTTACCCAATGAAGCTTTAGCGTGGCCGCCTTACCGGAATCGGTAATTCACACAGGTCGTGTGGGGCGCTGAACCCCTGAATTTTACCCCCTGCCAGACGATGGGATATCCCACGAGGCAGAAGATTTGCCGAAGACCAAAAAAAAATAAACGAATGGTGGATGTATTTCGAGTTACAAGTCGTGAAGATCAAAGCGAGGACCCCGATTACGGCGACAGGGGCTGGCAACGAGATCCACCTGTACGTGGTGCCGGCTACGAACCCTCTGACAAAGATTCCTATGCCTTCGGGAGTCTGCTCTGTACCTGTTTAGCAGCTGCTACGCGTTGATTGGGTCCCGACTCGTCAGCTATAGTAGACGTAAACTTACGGTCCGACACGTTAGAGGAGCCAAGAGATCTTAAGGGAGCGTATATTTACACATAGATATACGATCGGATTCTTCGATTACGATAACGGTTAACTACGTATAAGCGAAAATCGAATAACGAGACGCGTTAGATCGAGGGTTAACGCGTCCCCCTCGAAGAATTCGGTATTATCGATATGACGGCGAGCCCCACCCCTCTCGGTCGGATAATACCTCCCTCCCTCGCTAATCGATAACTCTTCCCTAAATATTATAAGTACCCAACTCCGGCTATAAACGAGTCAGCTCGTTTACGAGAATTGTATGAAGGTTTTCTACAGGAAAGAGACCAGACAAGAGAGCTGAATCTAATGTGCTTTAAAAATACCTTCTTGACAGCGGAGTCAGCGAGTAACAAGTGATAGCCGTATATCTCCCAGTCAGCTATCGACGTGCGAATAGGCCTCGATTAGATCTTATATCCCTACGGGAATCGAAGCGAGCTCTCAACTTCGGTTTGACAAATATCACTATTCTCTCTCTTACGTGACGATATACAATGGAGTACTGGGTGTCTAAGGGTACATAGAATAGAGAGGCTAGAGCTCGGCCCGGAGAAATAAGGAAAAAGCTTTAAGGTATATTATAGAGTGTAATAGTGTCTGGTTGTAATGAAGGCTTTGGAATTCCTAATATAATGTACATAGCCGTGATTCTACAAAACCACGATTATCTGCCGTACCTCAAATGAGGTACGGATACCGGATATAGTCGTAAGGCCGAGTGGGTAAAAACGGTTGCACTCTGGGCTACGCCTTTCAATGGGAAGGGGTACGAACAGAGGCACGGCCCTCCGATGTAGGAATTACACACACACACACACACACGGCGACAGGAATGAATGACAGGCAAATATAAGGTAGTCACAGATCGAAATGCCTCCCGAGGAGATCCACATCGGCGAAGAAATCTTGCTCCAGATCGTCGAGATCACCCCCGTTCACCGTACCCATACCGCGCCGTCTCTCATTCTCAATCATCTCGGATGTGCACCCTCCTGTCTGCATGTTCGTTACCTTTTGGCTTCCGATCCATCCATCCCCATCAACGGAGTCGGATTGGCGCAAGGTGTCGAGTGCATATTGATGCTTGTGCGAGTCTTCGATGCCTGCTTGCCCTGTCACTTCGTTTAAAGTGTGGTGATGCGCCGCCGCTACGGGGAGAATGGGTCGCGGAAAGATTTCATGCGGCCATAGCCCCGAGGTACGGAGCATGACTTCGGGCGGGATTGTCCGGCGCCCGGATTTGAACACGCACTGGCTGATCGCCGTGGCGCAAACGGTGGTTCCTTTGCTTTTTGGGTCTTTGCGGACGAAGTGCGTGATGGTGTACAGCCATTTGGTTTCCCACGAGAGGACCCTGGTCCACATTTCGTACCGCTCGTAGGGCCTGATCTCGCGTCTGAAGGAACACTTGACTGCCCCTAGTTTAATCGTGAAGCTGTCCTTTCGGAGGTTGATGATGCCGTTGCCGTGCTTATGCCGAGCTCGGTCTATGCCGACGGAGAAGAGTGTGCATAACAAGTGCGTTCGAGCAATGTCGAGGTCGGAATAGTAGGTGCTGTTGGACTCTGCCTTTCGAGTAAGCATTGGCGAGGAGGAGTCATTCGCGTAATAACGAGGCAATTTCCTTACTGTGCCAATTGAAGTCGATTTCGCTAAGAGAACAATGGGAAGACGTAACGAGCGGCTTAAAAATGCAATTGGGAGTTGGTCCAGGCTCAGCGCGCTGGCAAGGTAGCACAAATCGTAGGGCGTTGAGCAAACGAATCTATGAAGGGGAGAAGACGTAAGAATGGAGTGAAGCTGGGAGTCAAGGGCAGAAGACTTACATGCCAGACCAGAGGGAATGTTTTGATGTCGGTCACAAACAGTGCCAAAACTGTAAGCTTCCATGCGAAATCTTTTTGCAAAAAATCCAGCAGAAAGATGGTGATGAGTGAAGGAAAGAATTGGGAGGCCATAATGACGGTGGCCAGAAGGAGTAACCGTGTACTTCGGGGTGGTCAGATAGAGAGGCTTGAATTTGTAGGTGATGATGATGGATGACAATACCGTACCATTCTTGACCCCAGATTTCATAGAGCAGACCGTAGTGCTCACCACGAACAGGCACTAGGAGTTCTGTAGCAAGATGCAAATATTTGGGCAGATTTGGAAATGGTAAGAGCAGCGTTGACAGAGCAGGGATGAGAATTCGAGCAAGAGCGTCAGGTCAAGGTTCGCGTCAAGTCAAATGGTGTTAGTCTCTCTAGACACAGATATGGATAGAGATACAAATTAGCAAAAGAGAGTCCGGTGAGTCGGCGAGTCGGTGATAGTCGAGGGCCGGTGATAAGGTAATGGATCTGATCTCAGGTTGGGGAAATTGCCCGAAACTCTATTCGACTTAGTAATAATAAGACCTTACTTTACCTCTTGTAAAGTAAGATCTTACCTAAGTTACCTTACATGTACTAGTACCTGACCTCGCTTACCTGAGGAGATAATTAGTATCGCATCTAGCCCGACCTGGATCATTTCGGCGTTACTCCAAATCACTCGACTCCATATTGGGCTTCTCCTTCTTCACCAGTCACCACATACTCTTCAGCTTCTGGAGGAATGCCGCTTCAACTGATCCTGCCACCAACTTACAACTTAGCTCCCGCTTCGTCAACACACCGTCTTGGACCAGCATCGAGGTCGATGGGCGATCTGGAATCCCATCGGGAACTATGACTCCATATTCCATAACGACTTGAACGTCTGACCACATATCATACTTTTCTTTCAACGCTTCGCATTTGATCTCCTACTTAGCCACTGCTCGAGCTCCGCGGGCTAGGAGAAATTTCTTCAAATATTCCGATGTCAAAGCGGCCTCTTGGAAGCTAGAAATGCATCCGTGCAGCTTTGTTCCATCGGCACTCGCTTCTCTCTTTCCAACAGCCGAGCGAATCTTTCTCCTATCCATTGCTTTCCGTATTTGAAGCACGTGTGAAATGTGGATATCGGTGGGCCTGGCCTCTGGTACTTTAGTAATGTCGTAGACTGAACAACTGTAAGACTCAACTTATACACTCACGCTTCCATCCTACGCCTATGTCCCCACCGCCAACGAGGCCTATCAACGAATCGACCAAGGCCTCCTTGAGTAAATCGCCTGATCATGTCTTCCGCGCACCACGACGCCGCCAAGGTACTGGCGGAAGATGGATTTGACAGGACGCCCACTCCAAATTCGCAACAGCTCGAGAAGCATACCGCTGCAGAGGGCACATTCGAGAGCCAGGTAGCCCAACATCCAGCACCTCTGGCTCTTTTTCTTCTCATGCTGGCCATATCCATGTCCATATTTCTCGTGGCCTTGGACCGGACGATTATTACGACTGTGAGCGATCATCTCCGACTTTCACTGGTATTGCTGATCCGTCTCATCGTCAGGCGATACCCCATATCACCAATCACTTCCATTCCTACAACGATGTCGGCTGGTACGCGAGTGCATACCTCATCACCGCCTGTTCCTTTCTACCGACATACGGACGCTTATATGGCATGCTGAATACGAAATGGCTCTTCCTCAGTGGGCTCTTCTTGTTCGAGCTTGGAAGTCTGATATGCGGCGTGGCGCCTACGTCTCCGGTTCTCATTGTTGGTAGAGCCGTTGCTGGAATAGGAAGCGCTGGAATTTTGACGGGGTCTTTCGTGGTCGTTACACGCAGTTCTCCACTGCGAAAGCGGCCCTTGTACGCTGGTGTTGTTGGAATGATGTGCGTCATTCCTCTCCATCGAGTTCGTGACGGTCGGAACTTGCTAATGGACGGACTGGTTCCTGCTTTAGGTTTGGAGTCGGAGCCATTGCTGGCCCCATTCTGGGAGGTGCCTTCACGGACCGTGCCACCTGGCGCTGGTGCTTCTACTTTAACCTACCTCTAGGGGGCTTGATAGCCGCAGCGACTGTGGTCTTCTTCAAGCCGCACGATGAGAACACTTCTGCCCGGCGCTCTCCGATCCAAGTCCTTGTTCAGCTTGACCTTTTCGGTAATGTAATACTTCTGTCGACAGCGGTCATGTTTTTCCTGGCTATGCAATATAGTGCACAACCTCATGCATGGCATACCGCTCGCGTCATTGGTCTACTCGCCGGAGCGGGAGCTGGACTCATCCTTTTCATTGTCTGGCAATGGCGGAGAGGCGAGCGAGCCCTTATACCTCCTTCCATCATGCTTCAACGCAGTGTAGCCGCGGGTTGTATCAACACCTTTTTCGTCTATGCCACGCTTCTGACCCAGATCTACTACCTTCCCGTCTGGTTTCAAGCCTGCCGGGACAACAGTGCGCTGGGTTCAGGCGTCAGTATGATCCCGTATGCGTTGGGGTGTTCCCTCTTCACAATCCTGACGGGTGCTTTCGTCTCGAAAATTGGCTACTTCACACCTCCCGCAATTGTTGGCTGCGCCATTGCAACGATTGGATCCGGTCTACTCAGCACACTGGCAGTCAACACCGACTCTTCGAGATGGATCGGCTACGAGGTCCTTGTTTCGATCGGACTCGGTATGGCAAATCAGCAAGGCTACGTCGCGGTGCAAAGCGTCCTCAGCCTCGACCAGATCGCCGTTGGTTCCGCCCTGGTGTCCGCTTTTCAAAGTCTGGGTGGTGCCGTCTTCGTTAGCGTCGGCAACAGCGTTCTCCTTAACGAGCTCTATGATGCAGCACTGCCTGGTGTTGACATCAACGCCGTCATAGTCGCTGGTGCCACCGGATTCCGTACGTTTCTTCCGAAAGAACAATTACCAGCACTTCTCAATGTGTACAACCAGGCATTGCGGAAGGTTTTCCTCATGAGCATCGTATTTTCGGGCCTGGCGTTCTTAGCTGCTCTCGGCCTTGAGTGGAGGAGTGTCAAGGGCGAAAAGGGCGAAAAGGGTGACTCGGAGGCGCTCAATGATCAATCTGAACAAGACAATCCAGGTCTTGGATTGTAGTGATTAGACAACAGACTAGCTACGCAACACATAACTCTACATAATCCTCACGGTATGCTCGAAGTTAGGAGAGAGCGTAAAGAGAGATAAAGAAAAACGGAGAAAGACGGAGATAATTTGATATTTCGGCCAGGTCTTGGCACTTTTAAGTCTTGGCACTGAAAAAGCAAGCTTCCCTATGAGTTTGTACGCAAAATTTCATGCTGTTTGAAGCTGTGAAGGCGCACAACATTCAATCGGCAGGGACTCTTCTGGTTGGGCCCACCTACGGTCTTCATCTTTTCTGTGAAACAAGGTTGTCTGCATCCTACAAGAACAGCTGTTGCAATGCCTCCAAACGATAGCGATTCTTCTGATGATGAGAGTGGGAGCTTTACAACTACGAATGTCTTACTTGGCTATGCCTCGAAAGAGCCTACAGACGATGAGTTCAGCCAGCTTGGAGGCTACCCGGTATGACTGCACCCCATTGCATCGAGCGCCTGCTAAAGAACCTAACAAGCTGGCTAGGGATGGCTAGACGGAAACGGTGCTCCCTCGGCGGAACTGGCGAAATGCAAGGTCTGCAATAGCATGATGACACTACTCCTACAACTCAATGGAGACCTACCGGAGAGATTCCCGGGACATGAGCGGAAGCTCTATATCTTCAGCTGCAGGCGAAAGGCATGCCGGAAGAAAGAGGGGACCATGAGAGCTATCAGAGGCATCAGGGTCTCGAAGGCTTCCGCTGGGAAACCAAAGAAGAAGGCAAACGGCACAGCGCCACCAGAAATACCAAAGCTTCAACCTGCAGCTCCGAGCCTGGGCAACAGCCTCTTTAACTCCACCTTTTCGACCTCTGCCAGCTCCAACCACAATCCGTTCTTGATCTCCACAACCACAAGCTCCCAACCTACCAACCCATTCGCCGCTTCACCCAACTCAAACACTTCTCCCGTCTCATCTCTCGCACCCAAACCACCTCAGCCACCATCGACAGATCTCCCCACAACCTTCGCCCAAAAAGCCCGCATCTCCTCCCCTCCACCCACTCCTGCCCACAAGGAGCCATGGCCCTCTCCATCCTCCCTCCCGAACCCATATCCCTCCTATCACCTCGATGCGGAGTACGAGAGTCTCGACCCCGACCCACCCGCTCCGTCGAAGACAGCGATGGACACAGACGCAGAAGGTCCAGGCGGCAACGACGACGAAAAAGACGCCTTTGAATCCACAATCGACAGGACGTTCCAAAAGTTCGCAGACCGCTTGGCCCAGAACCCGCAGCAGGTGCTACGCTACGAATTCGGAGGAGCGCCGCTGCTGTATTCGAAGACGGATGCCGTGGGCAGAACACTCACGCCTCCTCATCCATCATCGTCGTCGTCATCATCGTCTGGAACCAAGATCCAGACCGTGTCCCAGCCTCGTGAAGGGAGCAGAATACCGCGCTGTCCCAACTGCAACGCGTCTCGGGTCTTTGAGCTGCAGCTCGTGCCGCAGGCGATTGCGGAGTTGGAACTGGAGGAGGAGGGGCTGGAGGGGATGGAGTGGGGGACCGTGATGTTGGGCGTTTGCGAGAAGGACTGCGCGGAGCGGGGCGTGGGGGTGGGAGAGGTGGGGTGGGTGGAGGAATGGGTCGGGGTGCAGTGGGAGGAAGATGCGAAAGCGAGTGCGCGGTGATGGGAAAAGGGGGAGATGTCATGATGAGGCGATGATACCTGGATGTAAAAAGAGATGCGACATGGCGTGAACATAACCATGCATAGCGGACAGAACTGATCTGAGATGCTTTTCCATTCAACGTGCATATTCCATGCCCCACGAGAGCACACCGCCGTGTCTATTTCCGCTCATGAGCTCGTAACTTTCTATGTCCATGCCGACCTGACCGACCATCCGAACCCTCCTCACACCCCCTCCTCAGCCACCACGCAGATGCTAAAGCCATCGTCCCATCCCGCTCTCCCCCCACCAAGAGCCAACCCCAGTCCCCCATCCCCCATCCTCCATCAAGCCGGCTGCTCATACGCCCTCCTAACCACCCTCCCAAACTGCTCGAACCGGACCTCCTCCCTCACCACCGTCCCCTTGGCCTCATTCTCCTTATTAACCGGCACCACCACCCTCCCCCCTCCCCCCCCACCGCCATCATCAACCCCCCACCCGCAAATCTCCCTCACGAAGGCCTCGAAGTCTTGCCCGCGCAGATTCAGCCAGCCCTCGGCGACGGGGCGCTCGACGGCGCGGCAGCCCTGGCCGACGGTGACGGCGATGCGGACGCGCATCAGCTCCTCGAAGCCGTTGACGTCGGCGACGAGGTCGGCGTAGAGGTCGTCCGAGTCGAGGAGGTCCCAGAAGTCGCGGTAGGCGCAGCGCTCGAGGCGGGCGTTGAGGCGGGCGAGCTTGCGCACGGCTTCGGCGAGCGGGGCGTCCGGGGTGGGAGGGGGCGCCGTTGGTGTACTGGTGGGGTTGGGGTTGGTGGAGGGGGCGGGGAGGGGGAGGGGGAGGGGGAGGAGGGGGAGGGGAGGGAGAGGATGTGGGGCGGGAGGAGGTGGAGGCAGAGGGCGAAGTCCGGGGCCGGGAAGACGGTGAGGGCTTTGACGAGGATGTTGGTGACGGGTTCGTCGCGGGTGAGGTGCGGGTTGAATTGGTATCTGTGGGGGGAGGAAGGGAAGGGGGGGTGGTGGTTAGTGAGGGTCTTTGAAGAGAGGGGGGGGGGTGAAAGAGGGGATTGAAAGCGAGGGGAGGAGGGGGAAGGGGGGTGGGGTCAGATAGAGCTAATAAACTAGCATCAGGAGCGGAGACTCGATTCAAATTCCGTCTCGGTGCTCGGTCAGGTAATAGGAAACGTTTGAAGGTTTGGTCATCATGTATATCCCCCCCCCCGGGTCCCCAAAACGCACACGCACAGAAAGAGAGAGAGAGAGAGAGAGACGGAAGCAAAAGGTGTAAAACTCACAGCTTCAGCAGCGCCAAATTCGCATAGCAGTCATAGGTGCGGTCCTCGCACTGCTGTGTGACATAGTCTTGGAATATGGTCGTCGTTTCGGGATTGTATCGGTCGAGACCGTTGAGGATGGCTTCGATGTGTTCGGGCCTGTCGGGCGCGGAGTCGAAGGCTATGCCCATGGTTGTGGTTGGTGGTGGGGGGATTTCGGTGGGTGGTGGTTGAAGGGGAGGATTTTTGGTTCGGGTGCGAGTTTCAAGTGTGGCAGGTCTAGCGAGATTTTTATATCGAGGACTCTACACGTTCGCCATTGTTCGAATAGCAGCAATAGGTCATTTTGACATGCGTGCATGTCTCTAAAACCATTGGCTGTACAGTGTAATACTTCACATGTTGATTATCTGAATTGCAATTGCAATGCTCGCTCTAAAAAATCTACTTTCCGGAAAAAAGCGCTTGGGTATCGCAAGAAACGTAAAGTAGTCTGAACAAGACTGAAAGGCCGCTTGAGCACGCTAAACCGCTAAAAATGTGGCATGGCCCATTAGGAAGTAATCCTCCAGACATAGTATCATGTCCATCAGGTGGTCCAGTACTAATCCATGTCAGAGTTGCCTGACACTGGTGTACAGCCTGGTCGAGAGGGGCCAGTTGCGTTTGAGAGACACACGTTCTTCCTCTCCCGATCATATCCCATGCTGGATACTTTTCTTCGGTGTTGGAGGGTGGCTGTTCTAAGTTGCGTCTCATGTTGCTTTTGGTCGATGATAGATGAGTGTGTGCTTAGTTGTCCAATCCGTAAAGGACGATCCCACTTTCCATGCTCCTCTCATCCACCATACCCACCCATCAACTCTCTCAACATTCCTACAAATTCCAGATGCAGCTCCGCAAAGAACTTGTCATCTCCCACCATCTCCGTCAAGCCCCTCGCTCTCATCCTAGCGGCCCCATACTGTCTCGGATAGCCATCCGGATCTATCGTTCTCCCAGTCAGGAATGACGACACAGGAATGCGATGCTCCTTCGTTATGTCTTCATGATCACCTCGGTCTCCTTCATTTTCTTTGATTTTCTGCGTCGTCCTCGTAATGATATTCTCTGCAATGCGTCGAAAATGCTCCCAGATGAACGTCGTAACCTGATACGCTCTGGTCTCGCTGCTGGCGAGTGCTATGAGCGCGTACTTACGATGACCGCCGCGAGCATAAGGGTCCGAAAGGCGGAATTTGTACGCTATAGTCCAGCCGTCTAGTGGGGTACCGAAGAACAGTTCACCGGCCGTTTGACCGCGAGGGAGCTGTTCGCCAGACAGAGTGCGGATGGCGGCTCGGCGGATGATGGAGTAGGTATTCGGATCGGTAGGGCTCGAGGTGGAAATGTAGGACAGGGTGTGTTTGTGATAGAAAGATGCCGAAGTATCGGAGGCGAAGGACTCGGGTGAGGATTGCTGGTTCAAGCGTATAGGTCCTTCACGATCTTCGTCGGAGTCGGAGTCGGTTTGTTGGTCCCGGTATATTTGGAGCGACTCTTTGAAACGCAGGATCGGACTGCCATTTCGGCCACTGCCATCGGCCTTTGGACTTCCCGGGGCTCCTGGAGGTATTTTGCTGGATATTTCTTCCGGGAGGCTTATGGTGCAGCTCTCACATCCTTTGCCATTGCTACCGGCGACCGGGAAGCGGCTGAGTGGATTCAGAGGCCTTGGAGCGTTCTGCCTGTGAGCTCCGAGGGTAGCTGGTTGGATCTCCGGAGAAGTGCTTGCGCTGTTGGGGGCTGACTCCGGAGTCCCGCCGAAGTCGAGAGAGCTTCTGTTCGAAGAAGACAGGAATGCAGGAGCTGACGGTGCTGGACCGCTATGAGTTGCGTCCAGGTCCCCCACGCTCGACGATATGGATGCCGGATAGCAAGACAGACATTCGACCGGCTTGATCTGGGTGCAAAGGATGGAAGTCGGGCCGTCATTTTCGCAGAAGTGGGACAGGGAAAGCTATTGGATTGCGCAGCGATCAGCCACAGATCACGATCGAGATCTCGGGTCCTGGAGGAACCTTGGAAGTGGGAAGAGAAAGCAGGAGAGGATTAAAAGGTGGAATTGATCCGTGCGCAGACTTACGATGATATCCATCTTTGGCTTCCTCCACTACACCCTCACAGCTTCACCTCGCGCCCCATGCCTTAGAGTGGGTAGAGGTAGTGGTGTCGTGTGCGGGATTCGGAATGGAAGCGACACATGTGATATGATCGGGGGTCACGAGGACCGGGGAAGATCTCGTTCGATTCCGTGACTCTCCTTTTGGTGTGAAAGCCCAGTTGGCGCGCTCGAATTTAGATAGATAGAGTACAGCTCTGCCGTGATGGTAGAAGAGTATGGTATGGTAGGTAAAAAACCACTCAAGCGGTGAAGCACCCACTCGATCTCTCTCTCACTCCTTTCCCTCTACCCTGCATTCGATCATCGATCCCGGCCAACGATGCGATGCAATGCGCTCCAATACTTGTTATAGGGGCCAATCAGCCGCACCCAAATCCCCGTCGCAGAAATCCCAATCCTGCAGAAGCTCTCAAAACAGGTCGCAAAAGCTGAGGCGCCTAGAGTACCCTAACCCTAATCAAATCTGTCTGCGCCGGCAAATGTTGGGTGGGAAAGTGGGCGGGCAAGGGTGATAGTTCCAGCTCCAACAGACATGGAGGCTCGATCTCCGGCTGAATGGCTAGCGTGCCGGTTCCACGTTAGCGTTATCGGCTTGCATACGTCCGATCGGAGAACCGGCACATGACAGGCATATAGTCAAAGTTGAACTAGTCCAAGTTGAACTATTTATTTATCCGAGAATTTTGGTTCTTTCGACAGTCGCGTGGGAGTATTGATCATGAAACAAAATACATACCTACATGGATTTTGGGGGATGATTGATCATCCCATCAGTCTCGTTGCTCGGGGTAGGAGATGGATCGTAGTCGTGTAGACCACGTTGACACGGTGGTACATCCGTTTGCCTATCCAATGTTGCTACTTCATTCAGATGCTTCCCCTACTGGTCGATATCTGATATCTCTTCTAATTCTCCTGATTCTCCCACTGCTCCGTCTACCCCCATCGACAATGCTAGCCCAAGGCTGCCCCTCCGCCCAGCTCCGCTCTTCTTCTCCATCAAAGCCTTCGTTGCTGTCCAGCTTGCCCTCTCGTACCCTTCGCTTTGCTCTTTCCAACTCATACCCTTCCCTGTAGGCCCACGTAGGTGTGTCTAGAGAGCCTCTGACAAGTACAATATTAGGGGACCGGGTCTGTAGAGTGCTGGAGGGAATGGGCGTGAGTAAATGAATTGTCTTGTGATTGGGGTCGATACCTCTAACGAGCGCTTGACCAAGGGAAAAAGACCGGTCCGGGGACAGAAGAGAGTTGGTGTGATTGGACGAGGGAAGGTAGGGTATCTCGGTAGCAGTCCGCAGTACTGACGCATGGTTTGGGGTATCTGCGCCTTGATCTGGCATATTTTCATCCTGTTCGACGCTCCAAGCGCTGTCCTCTCCTCGGCTAATTTCCCCAACACTCTGGTCAACAGCTACTACACCAACCACACATCCATCCAGAATACTGTTGAGAAACGTGTCAAGGAACTCGGTGCTTAGTGCATCCCCAAGAATTGTAACCGCCTGAATTGCTTGTTTTGGGCCTGCGTAATGTATGACCAGAGGCGCCACACCGGTAAGAGGCCATGGGTTCCAGCGCATTTCGTGGTCCTTCCCTTCTGGTTCGCTCATATGAAAATACGAGAGTGTCTGCATCATCCGGAAATCTGCCGCTGGTCTAGTCGTAAAGTCTGAGGATTGCGAGCTCAATTGATGAAGTGCCACATTGTTCGCCCTCTTTGTCGCCTTGGTCAACGTGTCGACTACCTCCTCAGGCCCTGATGTGCTCATATAAATGACATCCGTGAGGTCCATACCATGGATCAGCTCAGACAACAGCTCCAGCCCATTGCCTTGAATCCAGCCCGCGCTGTTGATTATCAGCGGACATGATCTGTAGTCTCTTGCCATCTGTCGATAATGGTCGAAAAGGTCCAATGCGCATCGGTAGTAGTGTTTTGGATCCTCTTTTGGAGAAAAATGACCAAAATGGTGTGCTCTGAAAAGTTGATTAAGCCCAGATGTCGGATGGGTGAAAGGAGGTCCAAGGTTCCAGGATTTTAGCCGGAGCAAGGAGAGATTACCAGGCGGTGAGTATTCTGGCTGACCTGGGTCAAGGTCTAAAAAGGCGGCGCATTCGTTGTCTGTCACGTTCTTATCCCCCATGGGAGGCGCTTCTTGAAGTAATGCATTGGCTAGTATGCGGCAAAACGTAGATTTCCCAGCGGCCTTTGGACCGCAAACCATGATGGCTAGGGGTCGTTCGGTTTTGACAGATTGTAGTCTGGACACCGTTCGTTGCCAGTCGGATGGGATTTCCAATAAACGCAGTGGGCGACGATGTGGGTCATCTGCCGTGGATTGGATCTGTCAATGTGTCAGAATCGTTGTTGCATATCGCTGTACACGGCCATGAGGACATGGTAGCGCCCAGAATCTGGGCGTATTCCAGGTAGGTATCGTCAAGAAAACGGTTGACAAGAGCGCAATCAGACATGATGTATGCTTACATTCACGAAAGAACGCCTCGAAAAAGCAAATGGTGACTTGGAGTGCTGTTTTCCATTCCAGATACGTCCAAATTTGGGCGCTATCTGCCTGAGCATCCTCATGCGGCTTCCGCACGAGATGATGGTAAGCTCGACAGGTGCATTTCCCGTACCGAAAGGATTTGGTACGGGCCGAATTGGCGGTATCGAATGGGTTGATGGGGCATATACCCGGTGTAAACGAGAGCTGGCATGGATGACAGCCCCAAGAATGCGAATTGCGCCGGATCGAACCCATATATCGTACTGGCCCAGTATTGCTAGATTCTAGATACACCTCAGATCTTGCAACGTACCGTAGGAGGCAGGCCAGATTCTCACGTCATTCGGATGGAGTCTGACCGTCCATTCGGTTTCTGTTTCGCTCAGAACCTTGCTTCTTGACGGGTCGAATATCGAGAGCCTCTGAACTGGAGCCATTGACTGTGCGAGAGTCTCTGGCTCATTGACAGATCCTGAGTCGCTTTCACTATGACTCTCGATAGCCTTCGCGCCATCCTCAAGGGATCCATCCCACACGTTGACCAAGCCATCTGTTTGCTGCGGTTGTCGCGGGCTTCTATTCCTGGGCTCATTCCCCCGTTTCTGCTTCTTCTTTGGTGGCTTAGATCCTTCAAGCGGATCGATGTATGTCTCGATCACCAGCGATGTCTGCACCTCGTTCTGGCTCGTCGCCTGTCCAATGGGTCGTCGAGCAGCTTTGCGGGCTGCAAACGCACTGACTGCGGGGTCTGCTATCAGAACAAGGTCGTTTCTTGGGGCAGAAGCTATAGTTTACCTGCCATCGCTGTAACATCAGCCGTGTACTAAACGGCAAGCTGGCTGTAAACCCACCGTTCTCATCAACTTTAGGAATATGGTTGAAGTTGAACTCAACATTTTTGCGGACTTTTGGCCGCTTCCCGGCGCCTGTGCCAGCCCTAGCCGTTGGCCCTAATCTAATCTAATCTACGAAAGTCACGCTACCAGACCTCGCTCAAAGCCCAAACTGTCGTCCACGCGATTATGAAATCTGCAAGAGCTTCTACATAGACGGTCTAGAGATCTTGGGGGGATCTACCTAGATAGTGAAGGTGTTTCAGACACAACAATGGCAGATGCAGCGGCGGAGCTAGATGAAGGGGGCATTCAAAGAACTCTGAAAGACCTTTTCGCTGGCGCTGCCGGTGGAGTTGCTCAGGTATTGCTTGGTCAGTTGAGTGTAGTTGTGTTTATTGGGTATTTTGCTGCTCTGCACTGGATGATCGGTGCTTTTTTGTTCCATCTTTTGCCACAATACCAGGATATATTACCCCAGATTGCCGTTTTTCCTGCTTCGATACTCTTTGCGGAGGACAAGAAAAGGTCATAGTAAAGCTGACACCTTGAAATATAGGACAACCATTCGGTAAACTTGGCGCTCAATGTTCATGTTTGAATTATCCATATTGAATTTCGACTGCCAGATATTGTCAAAGTTCGCCTTCAAACCACCACAAGATACTCCAGCGCTCTAGATGGTGCAACCCAGATCTTCAAAAATGAAGGCCCTGCGGCATTCTACAAGGTAAGATTCATCTTGCCTCGGGAAACCCAAAGAACCCATTTTACTCATCATCGTGGAACGTTTTCGTAGGGTACATTAACACCTCTAGTTGGCATCGGCGCCTGTGTATCAGTCCAATTCGGCGCCTTCCACTACGCCCGTCGCCAATTCGAACAATCCAACAGCACCCGCAATCCCGCCAACCCCACTCTCTCATATGGCCAATACTACCTCTCCGGCGCCTTCGCTGGCGTCGCCAACTCAGTCATCTCAGGCCCCATCGAGCACGTCCGTATCCGTTTACAAACTCAGCCGCACGGAGCTCAACGCCTGTACACCGGCCCAATCGACTGTGTTCGCAAACTCTCCGCCCATGAAGGGGTTCTAGCAGGTTTGTATCGCGGAGAGGCGGTGACTATACTGAGGGAGGCTCAGGCCTACGGCGTCTGGTTTCTCGCGTTCGAGTACATGATGAACGCCGACGCCGCACGCAATAGTATCAAGCGCGATGAAATTAGCCAAGTAAAAATAGCGACGTATGGGGGCTTGGCGGGAGAGGCGTTGTGGTTGTCGAGTTACCCGTTTGATGTCGTGAAGAGTAAGATGCAGAGCGATGGGTTTGGGCCGGATAGGAAGTACAGGAACATGAGAGATTGCTTTGCGCAGACGTGGAAGGGCGAAGGGGCGAGGGGATTTTGGAAGGGGATTGGGCCGACGTTGTTGAGAGCGATGCCGGTCAGTGCTGGGACTTTTGCCGTGTGAGTACGCCCTTTCTTTATCGAGGCACGATGGCTTTTGCTGATACATCGAACAGCGTGGAAGCGACGATGAGAATGCTGAAGTAGATATTGGCTTGCCTATGCAGATTCAGTGTCTGCGTTCTTGGATAACGAGATCCAGGTCCTGCGGACCGAACATAAAAACCCCGTTGCTTTCAACATAGCACGACTCAACCACAAAACGATCTACAGCAAGATTCTTGATCGCATTATCCAATCCCAGATAGATCTAAGCTACGCCTATATAGGCTTCTAGAGAGCCCGTCTTCTCTCTCTCTTTAACCCGTCTCGCACCAGAATCCAACAACTCCATCTTCCTCCAGCATGAATCATCAAGGTACCGAAATGTACCCTGACATCTTCTTTCTAGGTCCTCGTAGAGGCGGGCCCGTATGCCAACTCCAGTATGCATTGACGACATCGCTGCCAAGCTGGCTCCCGCGTCCAAGGTGCCATTTGGAGTTGCTGAGATCCCGCGAACGGAGAGCACGGGACTGTTTTGGTGATACGTCCATCCGGAGAGGGCTGGCTGTTATGATGAGGATGTAGAAAAAGATATTTCGGTCATACATACCTTTTTATGAGGGGGGGGGAGAAGAGAAAAGAATTGATCTCAGTGCAACAATGTCCGGCAGATCATCGTAGGTATCCAACCCTTCCTTCGTATCGGGACCCGTAATCCGTGACAACGTCGACATCCATCAGAATCCTCTGGTAGAACCCGAACACGAGCTCGAACATCCATTCGCACAGGTAGAGCGCCCGATCATGGTCTCTTCCGACAGTCGCTTCAAACAACGGCACCGCCTCTCTAATGACATGATTGCCTTCGCTTGCGAGTCTAGAATCACGCTCAGGAAGCATGGCGGTACATCAGAGCGGATGTCCGAAACTACCGTCGCAATTTGCAGACGCGTCGGCAAGCGCCACGTGTGGGCTGGAATTGGGCGCGAAGGCCGGTGCTGCCCGTGGAGTGGGCTTTGCTGGTTTCATCCCTGATGTATCGTCAGAGACTGCTTGTCGAGAAGGCTGGAGTGGGGCTGTCTGCTGGCGAAGAGCCCTAGCGTGATCAACGGGTGACTGGTAAGTTGATATATAATACAGAGATGGGAGAACAGTATTATATCGTTGGCTATGCGTTGCTCTCAAGAGACTGACGATCGAGAAATTGGTTGAATGAAAGTGTGTGCAGTTTTCTTGAAAGAGGAGATAAAAAAGGTCACGATGGAGAAGAGAGAGACGATTCATGGTCACTCCATTAGACTTTCAGATTTGCATGAGAAAAAAGTCATGGCATTGATAGCGCTGTAGTTTGCTTCATTGTTGAGTAGTGCTGTGTTGAAAGCACCCTTCAGATATGCCAGTGGGTTGAGAAATGCCAGCCATCGCATCCCGCCTTCTGTGTCCTACACTTCAATTGCCATGGGCCCTCTGGCGGTAATTTCATCCATCGCAGGAGCCTTGGGACCGACTTAGCTCCAGCCTTGCGAAGAACCAAGCTTCCCCTGTGGACGAGTGGCAACCACCCATTGATAGCGTCGCTGGTGAAGCTATCAATGCTCAGAGTATCCTCTTGACGCAGCATCTGCCGGGCGCGAATAGTTTTCAAGATGCGCAGCTCATCCGGAGAGAGACCCTCAGGGTCAACTATAGCCTTCTCTTCGACCTGCGCTTCAGTCTTGGCAGTAGAGAGAGCGGCAGGGGCTTCGGCATTGTTGGCGAGCATGGCAGTTTCCATTCTTCTCAGGACTGCTTCATGTTTTTCAGGGGCATGGTATTCGAATGCGTTGAGACAGAAGTCGACTGTCTTGTTGATCTCTTCTTGGCTGAGCTTGCCAGTCACATCTGCTGTTCCTTGGATGAATAGAAAGTAGATTTAGTGATGAAGGCTTCGGCCAACGAGTCCGGGGGGAAGCTATACTCGGTCTGAAGTGTGCACAAGCTGTCTCAAAGCCATCCTCATCGCAATCACTCAAGATTGGTTGGTCCTGTTTCCTGATCTGTTTGAGAGCACTCAAAACCACAAGCAGAAAATGCGTATACCCTTCGGGAACTCTGCTCGAATGCCATTTGACTGCGGTCTCCTCGTCGCAGTCTCCTCTCATCGCTGCGCGGATTGTCGTTGCAGCCCCGAGAGCTTCTGACAGCGCCAGATGAACGCCAGATGAGAAATATGGGTCAATGAGGCAACCAGCATCGCCAACGATACGAGTTTTTGGAGTGGCATAACAGGAGGCGCTTAAGACCAATCTGACGCAGCCTTGATACTGGACACGAGCTCGCCTTTGGCGAGAATTTCACTGACGCGAGGGGCAAATTTGAGAGATTCTATGTAAAATCCGTGAGTAGATAGAGACTCTATTCTTCCTGGACATGGCAAGCTCTTGGTTCTGCACGACGCCGACAGACGTCGTGCCATTGTGCAATGGAATGTACCAGCACCAGCCACTCGCGTCTGGAAAGAAAAATGCGCCAGCATCACTAAGAGTTGGGTAGAACGGTATGAATGATGGAATTACCAGAGGGTGCCTCAAAAAAAGGCTGTCCTTGTCTCGGGGTGTCTGGGGCATACTCTCCTGCCCCTTTCCAGTAACCCTAGTTGGCGATATTTTTTAATCCTCGATTGTTCTTCCGATTCTTTAGGTACTTGGTGCTTACCAAGCCCGCTCGCCCACTCGCATCGACAAGGTAATCGAATTTGATCTGGCCAGAACTGCCATCTTTGCGCGACCAGGAGGCAGAGACTGGGCGTCCCGGGTGTAGAATACCGGAGTCCACGGTCCCATTCTGGTTGTCCGATGGTACAAATTCGATTGAGTCGACTTTGACACCGTCAAAGATCTCCGCACCACACTTGCCTACATGCCTGAACATTTAGTCGTCCCCCTCCGAGCGAACCACGTTCCATGAGTGATTTCCTGCGCCACCGTGCGCGACGAAGTCGGTAACTATTCACACCGTTTATAATCTATCAATGTATTTCCTAGGGACGAGACACGACGTACATCCCTCAGGCTTGTCATTGAGCTTGAATGATGCCCCCGTCTGTTAGGAATTCGTCAGTGCCAGAACTCTGAGGCAATGGTGAGGCCGAATGAATTCACCTTTATTTTGAAACCATGATTGACAAATGTATCGTCCAAGTCGACGAATCGCAAAATATGACGCATCGACGGGAGCATGCTCTCGCCGACATGATATCTAGCAAAACTAGCTCGCGTCTCTCAATCACATAATGTGCAGAGCGAAGAGAAACGTCGTAGTCAGTAAGAACCATGAATAGACATCGGTGCACCTTGGAAACTTGTCTGCCTCCAACACGACACACTTGACCCTCTTGCGTACCAGCGCTGAAGCTGTGTATGAGCCTCCTGGGCCCCCAACCACCACTAACACCGTAGTTTCACTGGGAATAGACATGGCGTTTCGCTATGAATTGAATGGGTCCGACTGGAATACTCTTTTATAAGAGGATGTAGGGTTAAGAAAGGAGGTTAAAGGACTTGTATAAATCTCAACCTCAGATCAGGGTTATTGTAGCTCCTAGACTAAATCGTGGATTGATTGTCTCTCTGTGGTCTGACCGCTCTCGTTCCGTATACCTATACCAAGGTGATCTACGAGTATTGCCATACTCGCATTGGAAATATGCGAGATTTTGTACCTTTCGTTCTCTTCATTTCCGTATGCAGCCTAAGGCTATGATAAATATGAGGCGATTTCATGGGCCTAGCATGCCGACACTCTCTTTTCATTGTTTCGTTGCATTCGAAAACCAGCACCAGGTAAGAGACAGTCCGGCTGTCTTCTATGGCCGTAGAGACCCAAATGTGAAGTCCTTCCCCCAAAGACACTCCCTCTGCTCGAGGATTTTCAACTTCCTCTGGTCATCTGTCAGGGATTTCTCGAAGACCTGACAAGGGGTGCCACCTCTGTCTTCTACGGCCATACGGTTCAAAAAGTCGTCCGCCAAAGACTTCTTCTGCTCCAGAATCGCTGCAGGATTGCCTTGCCCTATCTTCCGTGAGACTTCCGTGCCCACTAGCCCGCAGTACACGTCGCTGCAGCTCTTCCGTGCTTTCACCGACAGCAGGGTTTTCGTGCCTACGTCGTAGATCCTTCGCTCTGGCCTAACTTCCTCGAGCCAGTCTTTCTTGACGACTTCTCCGATGACTACTATCTCGAGAGCTACTCTGACTGCTCGCTGCGGAGCTTTCATATCTATCCGATGTAGCCTTTTCGAGACACTTTCGACTTCTTCGCTCTCAGAGCCATAGCATTCTTTTCCCACCATCCCACTACTGTATATAGCTGTGATTTCATAAGTATTCAAGTTTTCTTGGCGCCGGGGCACGAATTCATGTCTGTTCAGGCGTATTGGCCTCGTGTTGAGACGGCCCGCTCGTATATACACATACACAGTTGTGCACATGTGGTACGTGAAGCTAACACATGAGCATAAGGTTTTGTGAGGACTTAGAATACGTTTCTCTCTATTAGGCATTGCCACCTCCTGAATCACTACCTTTGATATCCTCCGCGCTCCCTCCCGTCCTCGCCCCTTGCGTCGATACTGACAAATCGGTCATCAGTGTATCAGGGGTATAAGTAACCACCCCATTCATTGCCATCTCTTTCCTTCTCGCTTGGCCCTCCTGACCCGCCCTGCCGAGAGCACCAGCTATAACCTGCACACACCTCAAACTATCATCGTTCGCCGGAATCGGATAGGTAACCCAGGTCGGATTAGCATCCGTATCAATAACACCAATAGTTGGTATGGTATTCAGTCCGCATTCATGCAACATAACCCAATTCTCCAGTGGATTCAAGCAGACGACCAGATCCGGTCTGAGGACTTGGCGTTCTCGTAACTCTTCGTCGTATCCCTTAATCTCCCGGTCCAGCTCGTCCACAACTTTCGTCCTGCACTGACCCAATATCTGATGCCCATTTGTAATACTTCCCGGCGTCCACCTTTCAAACAAATGACATCCACCGGCCATCTGTGCCGCTTTGACCACACACCTATCTTGTCCTGCCCTTGTACCCACAAACAGTATCAATCCTCCCCTTTCAGCGACGCCAGAGACAACTCTACAGGCGCGGCGAAGATGCGCAGCCGTCTGGTCTAGGGAGATGATATGGATGCCTTGCCGTATGCCAAAGATATATCGAGAATTCATAGGATTCCAATGGGAAGTCTTGTGGCCAAGATGTGCTTGAGACGCGAGCAGCAGCTCGAGCGTTATGTCGGATGGGAAAGGGGGTTGGGTGAGGAGCTTGTGCGGTTGGTAGTGGTTTTGGTCTATGGAGGTACCGAGGGGTTTCGTGCGGTGTTGATTGAATCGGTTGTGATTAAATCTCTCAGCCGTCCCATCTTCGAGGAGGTTTTGAGCGGCGTGGGAGCGATTGTCGATTTGGGGAACGTATTGAACTGTCTCATTCTCGATTTGTGATTCTATGGATTTTGTCTCTCGTAAAGAGTTTTCTAGAGATGCTTCAATTGAGTCGGTGGACGATGGGAGAGTGTCGATGTCGACCTCAGTGGCTAGGGATCTTGTCCATGATCTTGTGGGTTTTGTTGCTATTCGTCGGCCTACGATGAAGTCAGCGATGAGATAAGCTATTAGTGATACTTCTACATACCATGCCGTATGAACGCTCTTCTTAATATCATTGTTGATGTGCAGGAGAAGCACAAACTGAACGGCGCCGAGAGCTTCCAAAAATGTTTCGGCAAAGTTGCTCGTTTGAGATTCGACACGTCCCACACCACGACGACTCCCACAGCATTAGACAGTGCTCACATCTCAGCCACTCAGTTATGTACGATGATGCCTCTCTCTATTACTCATTCAATCCAAGCGCACAGCCTCAGCAAGAAAAGTCTCAGTTGCCTAAGCATAAGAGGAGACAATCTGTTTTGGACCGACCCAACGTAAGCCCAGAACCTCAGCTTGCAACGGATTGCTTTCTGATGTTTTTCGCAGGAAGACATCCAGGCTGACACTGGTCGATTAGATCGCCTTGGAGACGTACTCGAGGTCCCGCAGGAGGTCGCTGGACCACCGGAAGCAACGCTGTCCCGTCGGGCACAATCTTATAGCGATTTCCATGATGCGGTAAAAGCTGTACTGGGTCAGGATGTGGTTTCTGGAGGGGCTGCGAAGGAGACAACAAAGGGAGATGAGAAGACTGGGAAGGCAGATATCACGTCGGAGCTAGACTTTGCTGATTGGTACAATGCCCTGGAACGCGAGTTACTAGACTCCAGTCATGATGATTATACGTCCGTCACTTTTTGGAAAATTGAGAGACAAGCATGCTGAGGATGTCTACAGAAACTATCAGAGACAGTTGGAACTATCTCAGTCGCACCTGGACACTCTACTATCCGATACATCCTCGACGCTTGATTTATTAGCATCGTTGACCAGCTCGTTCAAAGATGTTGAAGCGCAGACTACAATTTTTCAAAGGCAATGTGCAGGGCTGCTGGATGAGCAGACAAGAATCACAAGACTTGCTGACAACCTCGACGATAATCTCAAGTACTACAACTATTTGGAGCCTGTCACTAGACGACTGAACGCACCAGGAGCAGGCAATTTTGTGAGGAGCAAGGAGTTTTCTGAAATGCTGGCTCGGCTTGACGATTGCTTAGAGTACATGGCAGCTCACGTAAGTGTTTTGCTCAGTAAATTATTGGGACGGGCTTAGCTAACCATATTAGCCAAAACAACGAGAAGCGGGGGCTTACCAGTCGCGCTACCGTTTGCTGATGACAAGAGGCTTAACTTTGATCCGTGTCCATTTCGTCAGTGCTTTGCGAGAGACTGCCTCCGACGTCTCGAGACGTATTGCCGATCGCCAATTGAATGATACCACGAACTCTGCACTTCTATACGCCAAGTTCCGATTTGGTGCGTCCGAGCTCAAGGAGGTCGCCCAGGAGATTCGGAAGCGAGCGGTCGTTCCGGTTGGTGCTGAGCCTGGAGCTGAAGCAGAGTATCAAAGCTTAATGAACGAATTGTATACGAGCTACTCGGCCACTCGTGGTAGGCTCGTAATTCCACTCGCCAGGAAGAAAATTGCAGACATTGCGTTGGCTCCGAGTACCTCGAAAGAGCTTGTTTCCTTTGCTCGAAGCAGCATTGGCTACACTCGTGGAGTCTGCTCCGATGAATACGAGCTTTGGCGGGAATGGTTTGAAGGAGAACATGGTCTGTATGACTTTCTCGAATCCGTGTGCGAGCCGTTGTACGACCATCTACGACCAAGGATCATTCACGAGACTCAACTGTTAAAACTGTGCGAATTGTGTACTCTTTTGCAAACCAGGTATATGCATGACCAAGACGAAGAGGCCGAGCCTATGGAGGCAAATCAGTTTGACTTCTCAATACTCATCCGTACAGCGCTTGAAGATGCCCAGACTAGACTTGTCTTTCGTGCTCAAGCTGTCCTACGTGATGAAATTGAAAGATACAGACCGAAGAAAGAGGAATTGGATTACCCAGCTCGTAATCGACGAGTTTCCCTATCTGGTACCAAATCCCAACGTCCACGTGCCACATCTGGAAGGAAAGACTCAAATGTGGAGCCTACCACTCCGATGCCCAAGACCCCCATGGTTGTGGAAGAGGGAGATTCGCCGAACGGACGCTGGGGCTTCGACATGGAAGCAGCTTTCCAAGGCTGGTATCCTACCCTGAGGAAAGCAATTTGGCTCCTGAGTCGTATCTATCGGCTCGTCAATGTATGTCTCTGCCTTCCGCAGCGTTTCCTTTACGATGCTAATTCTGACCGCAGTCCACCGTCTTTGATGATCTGGCGCACAACATAGTCCACCAAACCACCGTCTCCCTCAAGCATGCTTCCACACTCGTCGCCCAAAAGACACATAACACCTCAGCTGATGGCCGCCTCTTTCTTATCAAGCATCTGTTAATCCTCAAGCAGCAAATAGTAGCTTTCGACATAGAGTATGTCACGCCAGACATCTCCTTCGATTTTTCTGGTGTCACAAACACATTCTGGGAGCTCCGAGAAAGGGGCGGCCTTTTTGACCCCCGGAACCTCTGGCGAATTATGGGTGGTGGTCTCCTACCAAAAGTTGTAGAAAACATGCTCGACGCCAAAGTTGAGCTTGACTGGAGTCTCAGGACAGTCATAAACGACCTCACGAGCGATTTCGCTTCGAGAATCACCAAGCCTGTCGATGCATCAGCCACTGCCAAGAAAGGCTTCGATGCAGTCCAGGCGGTCAACGTGATCCAAAAGGTTGGTGAGAAGGAGGTACCAGTACTTCGACGAAAATTGGATGAGTATCTAGATGACGTTCGGACCAAGGAGACGCTTGTGGCAGCCGTACAAGATCAGGTGATACAGAATTACGAAACGTTTTACGACATATACACGGCAGAGAAGAGATCGAATGGGAAGCAAGTCAGTAAAAAGGGGAAGGGAAGGGACGACGAGGCATGGGATCCTGATATGTTTACGGAATGGGCTGGGAGCATATTCAGGGTCAGAGGTATGGGTGCATTGGATGAGGATGAAGAAAGCAGGAGTAGGAGTATGAGTCGGAGTGGAAGCATGTAGAAGTAGTTGTTTCATAGTGACGGGGTTGGGGTTGGGGCTCCCCGGACATCAGTAGCCATTTAATGAGAGCACCACTTGATTCGATGCCTGATTGATTACTCCTCTAGATTGGCATTGAATTTGACCGCAATTCACATTACTGTTGAGTATATTCTACTGCGTGGGGCCCTTTAACGGTTGCATCTCCGCTCCCGCTGAGGACCCCACTCCCATGCGGCGTCCTTCAGCCTCCGCTTATCCCACAATATATCACCTTCCAACAGGGCGGTCAATTCCAATATTCATTGCTTGTCAGAGCTTTACACTTCTTACCACTCGCACAACAGACAACTTCAGTCCAACACGAATGCCAACCCCTCGAAACCCAACTCTCACCCCAGACTTACCGTTCCGCTGCCCTTCCTAAGATCCCCACCCTTTTCCACCTAAGCGCGCAACGATCAGAGATACACCAAGTTTATTCTATCACTGAATCGTCCTCTCACGCCGGCCCCGGAGGTTCTCCCCATACAGCGGATCCAATCGCCCTTATCGAATCCAAGTATCTTTCTCGAGTCCCCCACCTCCCTCTACCATGGCTGCTCAAGAGGGGCAGGCAAAGCCCCAGATCCAGCCATGCAGGTACAAGACTGGGAAAACACTGGGCGCAGGGAGCTACTCGGTGGTAAAGGAGTGTGTGCATATAGACACCGGAAGATACTATGCGGCGAAAGTTATCAACAAGAGGATGATGGCGGGCAGGGAGCATATGGTACGGGCCGAATTGTTGAAACGTGGGCTTAGGGACAATCAGAGCTGATGACAGCTGTGATAGGTACGGAACGAGATCGCAGTTTTGAAGAGGGTGTCGATGGGCCATCAAAATATTTTGACGCTAGTGGACTACTTCGAGACCATGAACAATTGTTTGTCTCTCGGGGGTGCTTCCGGTCAATTGGCTCCAATATTTTTACTTATGATCCCACAGTGTACCTAGTAACCGACCTCGCCCTCGGCGGCGAATTGTTCGATCGAATATGTCGCAAAGGAAGCTACTACGAATCCGACGCTGCAGACCTAATCCGTGCAACTCTTTCCGCAGTCGCCTATCTTCATGACCATGGGATTGTACACCGCGATCTGAAACCCGAGAACCTTTTATTTCGAACACCAGAAGACAACGCAGATTTGCTAATAGCAGATTTTGGTCTTTCAAGAATAATGGACGAAGAGGCGTTTCACGTTCTCACGACGACTTGCGGTACACCGGGCTACATGGCCCCTGAAATTTTCAAGAAGACCGGTCACGGCAAACCAGTGTTTGTTGCCCTTCAAACCTCCACCACGCCCATTTCTAATGCCAGCTTTAGAGACGTCTGGGCAATAGGTGTAATAACCTACTTCCTCCTCTGCGGCTACACCCCTTTCGACCGGGACTCCAATCTCGAAGAAATGCAAGCCATCTTAGTCGCCGACTACTCCTTCACCCCCCTCGAATATTGGCGTTCCGTCTCCCTCTCCGCACGCGAGTTCGTCAAACGCTGTCTGACCATCGACCCCCAACAACGCATGACAGCACACGAAGCGCTCTCACACCCTTTTGTTGACGAAATGGCGAGACAACAACGAGGTGAAGGTGCGAGAGGTGGAGGCGATTTGTTACCTGTGATTAAGAAGAATTTCAATGCGCGAAGGACTTTGCACGCGGCCATTGATACAATACGGGCTATTAACAAGCTGAGGGAAGGAGGTGCGGCGGGATTGATGGAGGGGGCTCTGAGCCAACAGCCGAAGGTCAAGCAGCAGGATAATGGGAATGAGGCGAAGTGGAATGAGGCGAAATTTACGGGGCAGGGGGGTAATCAGATGGAGATTGACAGTCGGGGAAATGCGAGAGGCCAAACGGAGGAGCAGATTCGGGAACAGCAGAGACGGGTTGAGGAGACGAGTCGAGGATTATGGGGACAGGCGAGGGGCTGAGATGGAAATCCCGATAGTTGAAAGGCAAAAGGGTTCCTGGAAGGGTCGACACGGGCATCTTTACTCTCGTAGTCTTATCAAGCAAGCGTGGGACGAACAGGAGCACACATTGTATAGAACAGCGTTATGACGGGCCGGCGCTCGAAATGCAACAAAGTCGTTAGCCTTCTGGAGATGTTGATTTTCTATCCTAGTAGTATGAATTTACAACCGAATTATCTACTTCTCGTAGGTTTAGTGGCTAGATTCAAGATGCTGTACCTTATCTTCAAACCCGGAGATACCTCCTAAGCCCTATGCCCTAAACGCCAAGGCTGAGAGGAGCAGCCCGAGTAGTCATCGTTCAGGCATCATACTACCGGCGTGTCTCTCTCCGCCCTTGCATTATCTTCCCTCTTCCTCACCTCCACTGCCTCCTCCAGCCTTTCTTAGGCCAATCTTGCCATGCATAGAACCAATATGACCTGACTTGACATACTTTTCTATCTACCTCTTCCTAGAAGTACATATTGCACAATCCACATCCATTGTCACCTTTCCAGTCAACTTATATAAGATGGCGACTCCGGCCCACTGCGCCTACTGCTTTGAGATCCTAATTGCCGACCTCGAAGATCGGGAGCCGCTCGAATACCGGCAGGTCCTCGATCTGTGGACTCAATACGAAGCGCTCACCAAATCCAAGGCTACCGAAATTGAAGAAGACGATGAGGATGACCACGACCCTGATCTACAGGGCCGAGACGACTTGGAAGAGGATAGCGAGATGGACGGGTTAGAAGAGGCCGACGAAGACGAGGACGGAGAAGACGACGCGCCCCCAGAAGAACTTGCCCAACATGCACCCTCGAAACTGTCCCTCCCCAGCATATCCCGCCTGCAAGCCTCCTCCCCCGCCTCGGCCTCCTCCGCTTCTTCCACCCCGTCCTCCCTCTCCACAACTTCCTCCAACGCAGCTTTAGACACCACCTCGAAATCCTCTTCCAAGACCTCTTTCTTCAGCTTCGGCAGTCGGCGCTCACAGCAACCATCACCTGCCCCGCCGCCTAAAGAAGAAGAGCACCCCTTGTTTGTGACATGGAACACGATATCACCACGGAGTGGGAACAAAAGCCTCCGGGGATGCATTGGCACGTTTGAAGCGCAGGAGCTGGAGGCTGGGTTGAGGGGGTACGCTTTGACCGCGTAAGTTCCATTCACCTACTACCCAACTTACAAAAAGATGGCAGTATCTGCACCCTAGCTGACTGTTCGTATGTACATATAGTGCATTCGACGACCACCGCTTCCCCTCCGTCTCTCTTCCCGAACTTCCCACCCTCTCCACCTCCATTACCCTCCTCACAAACTTCACCCCAGCCTCGCACCCCCTCGACTGGACCCTCGGCACCCACGGTATCCGCATTTCCTTCTCCCACCACGGCAAACGCTACAGCGCAACTTATCTGCCCGACGTGGCCGTCGAGCAGGGTTGGAGCAAGGAAGAGACGATTGTGAGTTTGATGCGGAAGGCGGGCTGGAAGGGGAGGAGTGGTGAGTGGAGGGATGTCAAAGGGTTAGGGGTTGTGACGTATGAGGGGAAGAAGGCGAGTCTGGGGTGGGCGGAGTGGAGGGGATGGAGGACTTGGGTGGAGGGGTTGAGGAACTGAAAATTTTTTCAGCTTGCATGACATGGTCGTCCGGAGTAGGTCTCACGCTGGGTGGCCTGATAATTTGGAGTACGGTAAGTGGTTATACAGAGTGGCCATTTTCCGATGATATTAGACCTAGATCTCTTCATCTAGGCTAGACAACACCGACGCCTTTCCCCTTCTCTCTCTCCCAGCGTCGTGGACAAGGAAGCCAACGCTCTGAAAATAACGATGCTTGAACCCTTAAACCATCTCCATAACTCACATCCATCACCCTACCCCCCTACATCTCCAACCCCAGTCCCTCCCTCCCTCCCTCCCTCCCTCCCTCCCTCCATCCCTTCCCAAACCACACCCCCGCAGCCCCTCCGTCCACCTTCCACCAAAGCCCAGCCCCCACCCTCCACCTCCACACCATCAACCACCCCACTGCATCACGCCCTCCTCCCAACCCAAACCAAACCAACCCAACCCAACACGCCACAACAAGAGCACCCACTCAGTCAGTCTTCCCTCCATCCGCCCAGACCAGACCAAACCAGACCAGACCAGACCAGGGGACGCCCTCACCCATCCATCCGTACCTCCGCCCTCCCGGACCCCCAAACCAGGGAGCCGGATCCCGAAAGAGGCGTTGTAGATGCGGGTATGGAAAGAAGAGAAAAGGGGTCGTGCGTGTGCGTGTGTGGGGAGGAAGAGTACGAGTACCCACCACCAGCCTTTGACCCGATCCACCCCCTCACCCCAAATGCCTCGAAAAACAACCCAGCCGACGACGATTCTCCCACTCTCATGCCCTCTCCCTTCGAAACCGGGGCAGCTAAGGAGAAGTTTGTGTGGTGGTTGATTTGGACGTAAGGAAGGGAAGCACAGCCGGATATGCTGCGTGGGTCTCACAAAATGTTCGCTGTAGCTGATCAAGCCATTTCCTTGCTATCCTTACTAATCGTCGTAGCATCTTTCCCGCGTCTGCCTTCTGTGGAAGACACCTATGAGAAGTAAGCTTGAGGTGATCTTGCATTTTCTGGCCTTTTCGCACCACTTGTCGAGATCCTAGAGGGTTAGCATTAAACAGGTCACAGAGTTCGACTGTCACAAGCAGGCGAAAGGTACCACGGCCTGACACGTGGAATGTTTGATTTTCTGTGAGCATTTCTATCTGATATCTCTTCTATGAACAAGCAAGCATGATGGTCGTGATGATGAGTGCTAAGCTTCAGTTGCAAATGTCGCTGCCTCAGCCGTAGTTTTTCTCTGGCGCAGGAACGAGATCCGAAGATGATCGAACCAAGAGAAGCATGAGTGATGATCCGATAATCTGCTCTGGAATGAGGCAAATGTAATGCATCAAGGTGAGGACTTTGGTGTATGTGATGAATGAGCACGCCTAATCAATATGAGTCGCTAAGAGAAAGGAAATTCGTATCAAGTCGAAGCGTGAATGTTCGAGCCAATGTACCTATCCTGCTCAGATGTACCACATACCCAACCCGATGCCGTTTGTAGGCTCCATGGGAAGGAGCTTGGCCCATTCGCTATCAGACCCGTCGGAGACCTTGATTATACCCTTGCCTCCTCGCTTCTCGCGGTTGATCCTCGAAATTTCGTTCTTGGCTAGATCAATGTGAGAAGTGGCACGATTTGAAGCCAAGTGGGCGTAGTAGACTGCAGGAACTATAAAATGGTCAGCTTGGATGTATGAACAAGAAGGTATTAAGACTTACACAACGAGACCGGAGTTGTAGCACGCTGGAATTGGTAGCAGTGCTCATAGAGAAGAGTTTGGAACTTCTCAACAGGAAGGTTGGCCTCATCCATCAGCATGTGGTAGTGAGTAGGACGAGCGGTTCCCTGGATAGCCACGTGTGAGCAGAGATAAATATCATTCTCCCAAGGATGAGTGACATCGCGTTCGACCAAGGTACCAGGCACAGGGTTTCCATTCTTGTCGCCAGCCATTCCCTGTGGAGGGAAGAAACGAATGTGGTGACGCTTCTCAGCGACAACAACGGTCATCTTTGGCTATCATACATGTTAGCTACTCCTGCAAAATTGAATCGCGCATTGGTGGTACCTTATTGCCGGGGTCACGCTGGCCCATTTCATCCATGAGCTGCTTGATATCTGCCACTTCCTGCTTAAGCAAAGCGGTGTATTGACCTTCGGAAACTCCGTCGCGGAAATAGTAAAGGTGCTTGGGAGGGTGGCCATTCCCAACGTTCGCCATCCACCATGCAACAAGGGGCTTGAGCATCTCATGGATATTGGAGCTCGTGATCATCTCAACACGATGTCCGTTTGACTGGACGGCAGCTCCGTAACGAGAGCATGTTCTATCCAAGGAGACAGTCATAGCAGCCATAGAGGCCATGTCTACCATACCAGGTGCAGCATGAGAGACATCGGCACCAATGATCATCGTAGACTCTTCGAAGTATTGCTTTCTCTGCTAGCTGTCAGTATTTGCACGCTTTGAAAAAAGATGAGACTGGCTGATGTCTTACGGCTTTGATCATAGAAGTGGTTCCGCCAAGCTTGCAATTGAATTTCATCAGGACATTCGAGCAGTACTGCGGCTGATTCTTGACAACGTTGCTGGCCTGAACGCATTGAGACATGATACCAAAGCGACAATCGCAGCTCTTCTTGACCCGATTATACACCTCCGCACTCTTGTTTGACAAGATCACCATCAGCATTTGAGGTCGCAGGTTGGCTGCGCTGCCAGCTCGCATGAAGCATGTCTCAATGGCTTTGGCGTCGTCCGGGACTCCGCCAACTATTGGAGGATTCATATTCTCGACCTGTCCGCCATGGCCACGATAAAGAGTCAAGAAATTCTTCTTGAATGCCTCAACCTGGTCCACAGTCACAGGTGGTCGACGATCTTGAGGCATAAGAACAACAATGCCCCACGACTTCAGAGGTCGGTCGTTTGGCTGAAGGAATACTTTACCTCTCAAGTCCCAACGACCGGAGAAATTGGGCTTGGCCGTTGCGCCCTTTGCGAACAATGGCTCAGGCGGCTCGAGGATACGAGCATTAGTCTTGAGCATCGTTGGATTGATTTTCATCCCGTAACCTAGGAGCATGGGGTCATTGGCCCAGTCGAGCTTCTTCAGCCCTTGGTCGATTGCCTGACGACGCTGTGGAGGTCGCGATACTGCAAATTTGATCATATTGGCCGTCTGGTTGGAACATTAGCCGAGTGTTCTTGGATGGGTATACGAGTAAGCCATCGTTACCTGATCGGAATTTAACTTGAAAGGGTAGCGCTGTCCATCGCACATGACACAGACCTCCATGGGAAAGAGCACATTGGACTTCTGGGTCTGGACCAAGGGCAACCATGGCTGTCTGAGTGGGATATTATATTTCTTCTGGAAGTACTCGTAGACGCTCATATTGGTGACCTTGCCAGTGGCTTTCTCAGTCACGTCGAATTTGTGCTCTTTAGCATTGAGTCTAGAGATCTGCTTGACGGTCCAGATCTTTGTTTCTAGGTTGAATTAGTATCGCTCTATTTGTCAAGCTTGGAGCATGAGCTTACCATCACTACCACGGTGCTTGACGAAGAATTTGTTCCGACAGAGACGCTTGAACAAAGGCATATACATAGTGTCTCTCCCATCAGGTTGTCGATGAGACGTAGATTCGAAGCGTTCCGGACCTTTCTCGCCAGACAGTTGGAATGCAAGCATATTGAACGGCAAAGGGTGCCAAAAGCACGAATTTGACACGTCGACATTGACGACCAAGCGCTTGCCCTGGAGATGAAAAGTCAGCACCAACTGAGTATGAAGGACAGATGTAGTACCTCGGCTAAACGAATGGATTGATAAACACCCTTCATAGCCTCAACGCCACCAGTGAGTAGAGTGCGCTCCTCAGAGACAGGATGACGTGCAAAGTACGATCGCCGTAGATTGATCAGCGACTTTGACGGTGTTTCGCGCAGCAAGTGGTCAAGGAAGTCTGAACAATGTTAACAATGTGCTATGAAAGGCAACAAGTAAGCCTTACTGATTCCTTCCAAGATCCCATTGTCAAAGTCCACTGTGCCTTCCAGGTACGCTCGAACCGTTGCCAACTGGACCTTCTTGGCAAACTTGATCGCGACTCTGTGCTTATTCTCTCGAGGAGGTTGACCGTCACGAGGCGCACGAGGTGTTTGACCCTTCTCGACATCGAGATCGACAACGAATGAACGGTCAGGCTTCTGGGAAGTGGCCCTGTAGCTATTAGCAGAGAGCATGTCGGAAGGTTGCCATGACTTACCATCCAAGATGACCGACATCGAAGATGAAACCTGGGCCGTACTGCGATATCTCGCTCTTGACCTTCTTGGAAGCCCATACGGCCTGAACGAGACCACGCTTCTCTGTGCCGCTTCCGATGACGATCTATGAGTGCCCTGTCAGTCCATGCCAGCCAAGAGGTTGAGAAGACTTACATCATATTGGTAGATATCGATAGTCGGCCACTGCTCGACGATATGGGAATTGACCTGAATCACTGCAGGCTTACCGGCTTTGCTGAATGCCTTACGGCTCATCAAAGTCGTCGGCATCTGATCACGGAAAGGGTTAGGGATAGGATCAATGATAAGATTGATCATAGGCTTTGTAGGCAAGCCAACACCAATGTCAGGAGTATTAGAAGATTTGTCTCGAGGGGCTGAGGACGACATGATGAGAGTAGGGAGACTTCCAGAGACAGTCGAGTATGATGTTGGAGAAAGTGAAGATGCTGACAGACTTTGCAAAGTGCTGGTATGCAGTAGTAGATGTGTGCTGTAATGCTTGCTGAAGTGTAGAGTGTATGATGGAGATGATTGATGATGATGTTGGATGGGGATGTTGGAGGTGTAGAAGAATGCTGTTGTGGGAGGATGTTGTAGGAAGGATGGAGGTTTGGTGCTGGATGGGGTTTAAATAGTGGAGGGTGCCTCGATGTGAAGCTTCTTTGCCACGTGAATGGAGAAAGGAAATGAATAGGATGAATGGCGTGTTGAATGAATGGAAACAACATGAATAAGAAAGAGGTTGGCTTTGGAGGTGTGAAGCCGAGCAAGTGACAGAACCTTCCTTCGCGCGGTGGAATGAAGCCAGGCATTCATTCTCGCCAAAAGTCTTCTGACAGCAAGCAGGGCAGCTTGAGAATCTCAACACACAAACACACAAGGAAATGTGAATCGGAAGCGCAGAGTGACATGGAAACTGTGACAAGCAGGCAAATCTTGGGCTTACTTGACTAAACATATTATATGCCGCTCCTCCAAAGTCGACGTTCCTAAGGAGCACTTGAGGCGCGGGGTCGGGCGCAGGGTCTACTGCCTGACGAGTTTGGCTAGCTCCACGAACTTGGCTACCTGGACGGGAAGAACTACGGGTTCCGGCTACTGAGCCAGAACGGCCACGGGCTTCCCCAGCGTTGGATCCTGGGCCATCGTATGGCTCGGGCTGAGCTTCAGCAGGGCCTGCCGCCGAGCCACCTTGATTACGACGAGGTGCCCCGCGGGCAGCGGCGCTACGCTTGGTGTGAGCACCTGGCATGATAGGTGATCTATGGTGCGATACTGATTAGCTAAGGCAAAGCGATGAGGTGATGACTTGTTGTGTATGGTGTTGAAGAGTTGAGATGAGTGTGTTGATGGAAGAGAAAGAAAGTGAATGAGTGCGATGAGCTTGATGAGTGTGAGTACGAAGATGACAAGCCCAAGCAGGAGAAAAGGTAAGAGAGCAAGCTTGTGAGCTTTGCAGAATCTATGCTGCTATAATGAGGATGTCGAAGCAGTGAGTGTGGTGTACGAGCAAAGAAGCGGCGAGCTTGAGAGAGGAGTAGAAGTATGATGGGAGTTGACAAGCAGTCAAAGGCTAATGAGATGAGGTCTGGATACTTGGGAGAATGAAAGTTATGATGATTAAACTTACAGTCACTTGCTTCACGTAATGTGATGAAGCTGATTATGGTGAGCTGAGCGAGTTGCGAGTGTTGCGTGTGGGTGTGAGTATGAGATGTGAAATAGGTCGATTAGGCTAGGATGACGATTGTTTGCGAGGAAGGAATGAATGACGTGTCAAACATCAAAATGAGGTACGCGCGCGAGAACGATGATTGGCTGGTTGAGCTTGCAGTGCATACGCTCATTGATTGATTGAATGATTGATTGAACAAATAGGAGCGTATGGTTGTGTATGATTGAAGAAGGGGAAGGAAGTTGGGGAAGAAGGTGAGGTTGTGGGTTGTAAGAAAGGTCCGAAGCAACAACAGACCTTAGCGCAACGCTAAGCCACTAGCGTTATATGCTCCTACTGATAGCCAAATTACTTTGTGACTTCTACGGTAGAAACTTTGGGACCAGTTGATGTTTGGCAATCATGTTCAAGCAAGGAGAGTTCCTGCAGCCATTGGATGCCAACTCATCTACCGCCGCAAACGCGATAAGCGACGAATTGACTTTGCCTGCAGCGTGCGAAGCAGGATTGGTACTACGCTGAACATTCGCGTAGGAGCCTACAGCCTACACCTGACCTGTCATTGACTCTTAGCAGGTCTGAAAGTGCTCTAGCATAAGGGTGAAGTTGTGGGTATAGGAATATTGAGCTAGGAAGGCAGGCTTCGTGAAAGAGCTTGGAAGGGAATTTTAATGATGGGTTGATCTAGGGTGCTGCAAGTACGCAATTTGGGGAGTAGACTTCTTGGAGCTTCGTGAGCAATGCCTGAGAACGGGATGGGCATTTGGAGAGCTTAAACTGCTTGATTTTCCTTAGCAGAACCTTGTATTATACATGTCCATTTCTACTCAACCATGCAGAGCGCCCTTTCACAAAATGTTTATCATCGAGACCAGTATGCAATGATCTCCTCCATGCAAAATGCACACCTTCATATAAAGCACGCCACTAGTGAAGCGGATCAAATGCTTCGATTAGATAGAGCCACGCTGAATGCCAGAGTCACCCGGGGAGGAGATGGAGACGTCGAAGCTGAGCTTCTTTGGAAGACTAGTGAGAGTGGAGCAAGTGCGGTGAATACTGCAAAGCTCCATTCATCGATTGTAGGGGTAAGAGCCTGTGATTAAAAATTAATATTCGTTTCACTCAAGATCTGCGTATGCTATGGCGTGCGACGGAGTCTCTGCAGGTCCATGCCCAACCAAAGCGATGCACCAGGAGAAGGGTGGGACCACGAGGAAGATCAGTCAATGAGACCATTGACAGCTATGCTTGGTGCAGTGGAGTAAGTCGAGCTTGGTAAGTAGACGAGTTGGATCTGATGAGATTCATGATTGGGGTTTTGGGGGCCACGGAGCTTGCAAGTAAGAATCTTGGGAAGGACCAGAACGGGATTGTGCATGTGCAGAGGAAGCATGAAAATGGGGGTACTCACCATTGTACTGGCCATTGTACTGACCATGCCCGTAAGGTCCTTGGGGTTGGGGAATCGGTGGCGGCATATGCTGATACGGTGGCATTGACTGATTTGGAGGTGGAGCTTGTGCCATTGAGGTAGGGATGTTGGTCTCGCGTAGGAGCTTCACAAGTTGCTCGGCACTGAATTTGGTCGCATGGTATGTCTCGGCTTTAGGGATGATGCTGAGAAGGAACATGACGTCGCGAGGAAGAGGAGGCGGAGGAGGAGGATGCGGCACTGGTTGGTTGAACTGAGGCATCTCAGGCTGTCGGCTGCGCTTCTGTTGATCAAGTCGCCGACCGGCTGCACCTTTCAATGGAGATTCAGGACGAGCAACCTTTCGTGGTCGCGGAGAATCGTCGTCATCGTCGGTAGGAAGGGCACGCTTTGGAGAGTTGATGATTTCATTTATGCGTTGTTGCGGTGAGTCCGGTACACCTTCTGCTTCAGTTTTAATGCTTGGAATCGTTTTAGATTTGGCTTGAGTAGCGGGAGATATAATAGGGCGGATAACCGTAGGATCAAAGCCTTGTTGTGCAAAACGACGCGAGAAAAGCGTGAGGGCAGGATCTTCCGGAAAGAGATCGCTCATTCGCTTTTCCAGCTTCACGATCTGAGTCAATTCGCCATAACGAGACTCGAAATCATGAAAGAAAGCGTAGAGTGGCTTTGCTTTTGAGACCGTCTCAGGTTTCAGCGCAAGCTTAGTAACCGCAGTCTCAAAAACAACTCTAGCGTCTGAAGCAGAATTAGCGCGAGTAGAGAGAGGGGCCAAAAGCATAGACTTACTAGTATGATCGTTGTTGGCAACGAGGTGCTTAATGTACTGTAAAGCAAAATCCTCGTCCTCTGAGAACAGTCTCAAACCACGCTCGAAGATCTTCTTTCCAGTTTCAACCTCATAGCAATGAAACTCCATCAGAGCACTGGCAACATAGACATCGCTAGTTATCCGACCACGCTTGCGAGCGTCCGCAAAAATCCCTCTTGAACCAGCCAAGGCATGGTTGACTTTCCCCTTGCCCTGAATACGTCGCATTGCTCGAGTCAAGGCTATCCAGGCGTGTGATAGAGTCTTCGACAATAACTTTTGCTGGACGCCGTGCAAGTTTCTGACAGACTCAATTTGCGCAGCCTTCTCCTTTTCTTTGCTCCTACCATCCTGCCCTTCGTTATCCTCGTTGTCTTCCTCGGCTTTAACACCATTGAACTGGATATCATCACTGGCAGTAAAGTTGGCTTCAATGCGGCCAACGTCCTGATCCTCCCGTGCTTTGGATTTGGAGAAAAGGTCGTAAAGGGCGTCCAAAACCTTATCATAAGGCTCACGCACAGCTGCACCACGACGTATGGCGGCCTCATCACCCTCTTCCTTGGTGCTGTTGAGCTCCTTTCGATCAGCACGCTTAAATGCAAGCAGACAGCTCTCGGGATTCGCGGCAATGCCTTGCGCCAGAAATGCATCCCCTTCGGACTCGAGATCATTTGCAAAGCAGAAGTCGCTCGCTTCGGCCCACAGCTCAGGCCAAAACCTCATAGCCATCAAAGCTTGCTTGTAGACAAAGACAATCCGAGCTCGGTATGAAACTACTTCATCAAGCTTCAGAACAAGGGGGTCATTCTTTTCCCATTGGATCCATCGCTTCCAGATGTCCAATTGCTCCAGGTATTCAACGTCGCCGTCGAAGCCAAGCGCAGGCGGTAGGACTGGTAGGGTGGTACGACGGAGGTTTCGGGTAATGTTCTGAAGCTCCGTGTACGAACTTCTCGCAGTCATGTAGGCAGGTGACTGGTCTTGAACAAATTTGCGTCCCTGTTTATCTAGGTCAGCGAGGTCTGGCGCAGGCTTGTGGTAACAATCTTACTGTGATCTTATTCAAACTCATCTCAAATCCATCATACTCTTTCCATAGCAGGTTAGTGAACTGCGTTGGTATGCAAATTGCGCGTTGATAGACACTACGAAGCGAGTCCATTTTCTGCTGATCCTGCCAAGTGCTGCCGCCGACGATGCCGGGGCCAGACTTGAGGAACTGCACATAGTCTTGCCAGATCTTGCCAGATTCTTTGTCAAGGCCAATGTGCTGCAATGCAATATCGTATGCCGAATTTATGGTCTGGCGCGCTAAGCCCGACGGATCCATAGCTATATTGTTGTGGCGACGGATATGATCCAAGTACATGGACCATAGTCCAAGGTAGGGGAGCTCTCGGAGAGCTCGGTTGAATATCTTTTCTACTGCAGTCCGGTTGTTCACTTCATTCTCCATTTGTGCATAAGCAACCCATTCTTCAGCCTGGAGCAGATGGTCAGCACATCTATTTTTGGCAGGGAATAATCGAATTCACAGCATACCGCAGACGGAAAGATGATGAGAAGACGTTCGTAGACATTGCGAGCATCTTCAAGCTTGCCTCGCTTCTTGTGCTCATTGATCAAGTTTTGCCAAGCGTCTAAGTCACCTCGAGGATCCTCTTTGATCCTATCTTCTAAGATACCAATCTTGTCATGAGGGAGTCGGGCTTTAGGGGCAGCTGTGGTAGAAGTAGCGGCTTCCTCTGCCGTCGACGGTCGTGTGTCTACCGCAGATGGGGCTGGCAGCGTTTCTGAAGGCTTGACCGTTGAGTCACTGTGGGAAGAAGCCCCTGTATCAGGTATAACAGCAGCGAGATTAGGAACGGTATCAGTAGCGCCATTCTGAACACTGTCTGAATGCTTTTGTTCTTGAACGCCATTCTGTATTGGTACATTATCTGCAGAAACATTATTCGTAGAAACGTTCAGACTAGAACCAGACCCCGGAAGCAGTGAAGAAGAACCCCCTTGACCCATGGCAGTGTCTTTCCCGAATCTTGTTGCTTCTCCACCCTGCACTGAATTGTTTGGTATGACTTGGTTGGATTTTTGTTGATTGGTAGTGATCGGGATGCTGTCAGAGGTTTCCGAAGAGGCTCGGGACATCGACCTAGAAAGAGATGCAGAGGCCTCCCTCACAACGGGAGCTGCAGATGTAGAGGTGGAGTTTAAAGGGGTCTCGGATGCAGTGGGTAATGTCTCATGCAAAGGGGGAATATTGGAAGTGGAGTGGACGGTAGAAGCTGGAAGAGACTCTGTTTGCACTGTTTGTGGTGGATCATATTCATCAGAAGAGATTGAGTCTGCTCGCTGTCCACTAGCCTCACCACCCATCTGGTACTCTCCTGCGTAATTGTTTGCTGCCAACATCGAGTTCAGGAACGCGACCTCTTCATCCGCCATGACTGCACCTCCACTGCTCAGCCAGCAGCTGACTGAGAATTTGCGGCCGCGTTACTGTGTTTGAGATTCGTTTCAAGCAGGCCGTGAGGTTGGGGTAGAAATGCGCCGTTCTGTAGTGAGTTCCAGGTAATAAGGAAAGTCGGCAGTTGGAGGAAGTGTCGAAATGTGGGGTGTGACGAGGAAGAAGATGTTGAAGGATCGGAAAGCCTTTTGACATTTCCAGCCTTGCCCTTTTCCGGAATAAAAGGTCACGTGCACCACTAGGTATAGTAGTTCAGCCCTATCAGACACGTCTACGCGAAAGTACCTTAAAGGCGCGACTCTATTTAGATAGAGCTACTCTACTCACAAACAACTTCCTTCTCAGTCCAATCTTTCACCTGTAACATCTTCTCTTCTCGTCACGCGAATCTAAGAAATACTCCTCGCCACTCCAGAACATTCGAGCATCAACATTACATCAACCTTGTCAACTAAATTGCGTCTATACGTCCTCACTCTCAAGATGTCCGTCGTATCACTTTTGGGCGTCAAAGTCCTCAACAACCCTGCTAAATTCGGTGACTCGTATCATTTCGAGATCACCTTCGAGTGTCTAGAGCAGCTTCAGAAGGGTAAGGTTCATTTGTACCTCCCGAAGTAGAGGAAGCTAGACCGCTGACCGTTTTCTAGATCTCGAATGGAAGCTTACCTACGTGGGATCTGCTACTTCGTAATTTCTCTTTGGTCTTTCCAGCAACGAGGCGGCAGCTGACACTCGCTAGATCGGAGCATGACCAGGAGCTAGATTCCCTCCTCGTCGGGCCAATCCCCGTCGGCGTGAACAAGTTCATATTCGAAGCTGATCCCCCGAACCTTCGACGCATCCCTACCTCCGAGATTCTCGGCGTCACAGTTATTCTCCTCACATGCAGCTACGATGGCCGAGAGTTCGTCCGAGTTGGCTACTACGTCAACAATGAATACGACTCAGAAGAGCTCAATGCTGAGCCCCCCACCAAGCCAGACATTGACCGCGTGAGGAGGAATGTGCTGGCAGAGAAGCCTAGAGTGACAAGATTTGCTATCAAATGGTATGAACGCCTCCGAAAATGCCTGGTGCGTGTGCATTCACGCTAACAACACTCCTAGGGATACCGAAGACTCAGCCCCCGCCGAATTCCCACCCGAACAGCCTGAAGCCGACATAGTCGAAGATGACGGCGTTAATTACGGCGCCGAAGAAGTTGAGCTTGAGGAAGGCCTGAAAGCTGAATTGGCAGCCGCCGAAGCCGAAAAGGGTGAGGATGAGGAAATGGCCGGCGCCGACGACACTGCTGGCGTTAAGGAGAAGGAAGACGATGACTCAGATGCTGGCAGTGAGGATCTCGAAGCCGAGAGCAGTGGTAGCGATGATGAAGATGCCGAGGAGGAGGAAGAAGAGGGCGACGCTGATGACGACATGGAGATGGGCGAGGGCGAGCATGCCGAGGGATCGAATGCTGGGAAGCAGCAGGCTCTCCATCAACAGCCGGGTGCGGTCATGGTGCATTAAAGAAGCTCAGGGTTGGTTCACATGTATTAGGAATTCCAGATATCCCCGGAGTTCAGGTCTGGATTTCATGATGAGCAGCTCGAATGGCGGAGAGCAAAATCATGCCAGTAATCCAGAATATCATTTTTGGCATAAATAGCAAGCAGGGCATTCAACTGTGAATTCCTGAAGTAGAAGCTATTGTACAGCTACCAATACAGTAACACGCCTTAGAAGCCTCGAGGTTTTGATTGCAAAGGTCATGAACATGAGTGCTAGCATGCTGTTCCTCCCTGAACCCTTCCTTACCCCCATCTCTCCTTATACTCCTTCCAACACCTAATCAACTCCCTCTCCTTCCTCACCATCAACCCTGTCTCCTCCTCCTGCTTCCTCTCAATCGCCTCCTTCAACTCCGGGTTGTCCCTTGTCAAGTGCCAAAGCGCTCTATCGATCATGTCCCTCAGTTTATCGATCTGCGGGTCGTATTGCGCTCTGGTGTTCGCTTCAGCATCCTGAGCCTGCTCGCGCGCACAGGAGCGGCATGGGAAGGAGAAAGACTTAGGAGGAGGGTAGGTCGTCCCTGTTGGGAGGTACGGGTTCCGGGCTTCGGAGGATTGGGTGATGGCGGTGTGGTCGCAGGAGAATGTTGTTCTGGGCATCGTGGTTGGAGGGGCCTAGGGCCTAGGTCTTTGCCGGTTCTCGGGAGGCTGTAGTTGTGTTTGCTTGTTTGCCTTCGAGCTCCTTTCTGCTGTGCACAGTTGCTGGTGAATGTGTTTTGTGTTTTTTGGTAATTTCGAAGCAAGTGAAGGAATCTTTTGCAAGCAGCGTAGGAGTGGTATATATACTTAAGCATGATGAAGGAAGTGTCATGGTGAAGGGGTGTGTTGTGCTTATCGGAGTGAAGAGAAGAGGGGCTTGATTGGACAAAGAGGCAAAGGCTTTGTATTGGACAATGGAATAGCGATGATTTGTGTTGAAGTCCTCTTGTTTTTCGGAGTGGGAGGCTTTGTTGAAACAAAAGCAATCAATTTGGTGACAGCGAATTGTGAAAGAGGGTGCACTGTAAGGGACAGGGTCTTCAACATCCCTGGCTGAAACATGATGATCGTAGTGTGTGGCGCACAACAAGGGGACTTCCTGAGTGACCATCGTAATAATTGGCATGAAAAATACAAGGCTTCCACTTTGGAAGCTCGAGTTCAGGGTCTCCGCCTTTGGCTGTGCTATCTCAAAACCCAAGCTTATGGGAAATCACTGCAATTCGTCAGTCGACTCCTAGACAGCACTTGGAAGTCCAATCAATGAAAGTGAAACTTACACCCCATAACAGCTTTCTTCTTCTGCGAACTAACATACTTGTTCACATCATCAGCCCATCCTGCACTGTTGTCCTCAAGCTTCTCCATATTGTCTCCTGCAAGACTCAGGTTTTCTGTTCGTTCCTGTACTTGACGCTGCATGTAAGCCCAGTAGCCCTCTTCTTGGCGCTCGGGAGGTTGTCGGCCGGCTCTAGAGGAGCTGCCGGTAGGTTGGCGGCTTGCGACACGCCGTGCTTCTTCATCGGCCCGCTGCTGCTCCATCACCCGCTTCGACGGAGGACGATCAGGGCCGCCAATGAACATATCCATATCTGCCGGCGTGACGTACTGCGTGCCTGACATCCATTGTAAATTCGAGATGGTCGGTCTTGGGGGTATGAGAGCTTGTGGGTTGAATAGCTTATCAAGGGAACGTGTCAGATCCTGTCCAGTTCCCCATACGTTAAGTACTGCTATCTCGGAAGGTCCAGTCCAACCAAATACGAAGCCGGTAGGCGTTATTATAGCTTCAGAGAACCTTTGTACGTCCAGTATATGGGTAACGTTGGTCGAAGCAATCTCTTTCAGGCCTGGGACTGAAAAGGCTTTGGCGCATCCATCGCCAAAAAGCCCAACTAGTGCATAAGTGTAAGCTTCGAATTTGACGACAGCTGCCTGATAGCACAAGAGTTGGTCCCAAGTCTTGTTAGCTCCTTTGGCTACCGCTGGTTTGAACATTTTCGCACCCGTTGTGGTGACAGTTAGTATGACTCCGTTGATTCTAGCCCCACTGCGAAGGCTAGCAACAACATCTTGCGTAGCTGCTGCCAGGTCTCCTGAGTCTGTATTGATCGGTGATATAGAGATGATTTTGTCGTCCAGCGTGCATGTTCCAACAAGCCTGACTGTGTAGCCCCCAGTCGCCTCTGGTAATAACTTGAAAGTCACCAGGTGCCCAAGATTAGTTCCAACGAAGAGTAGTATGCTTGAGTAGTCTTCGCTTATCAGTAAAAACGTAAAAGCAGGGAATGTCTTTTGGACTTACCGTCTCCATCGAGCATCATGACTCCAAACTCGATGTTCGTAGGCCACTCAAGCTTGGCTTGACTTTGGCTGTTGCTGCTTCTTCGAAAGCTCCCATGCTTGCCGCTTGAGCTACCGAAGTCACTCACGCTGGCCTCGAATATGACAGCTGGACCTCTGAGGTCGATAACTGTAATGCTGCCTCCTTCAAACCCGGCACAGACAAAGCCGACATCACTCATTTTCAATGCAGTTACAGGACCGTGTTGCGCGTCCAGCAGCGTCAAAGGAAGCAAGCCTTCCTTAACACTGGGCTCGGCCCGGTCTACAATCGTTTCTAGGCCGAAGCTCTTGGTCTCCTTATGCGGAATGTCTCTGCCGAAATCGCGGTTCTTGCCCCAGCGAAAGATGGCCACTTCGCCAGTTCTCAGACCCACAGCAAGTTCTCCGGTAGCACCCGCCATCGACATCATGATGACATCTATGTCTCTATATCGGCCTAGAGCTCGAGCAACATCGACTTCGAGGACTTCTTCATTCTCGATCTCATCACCATGCCCAGCATCCCAAACACGTATCGTGCCGTCAGCGTGAGCGGTCTGTATCACATTCCGATTCGCGAACTTCATGAGAGAGCGTTTGGGCTCAGCGCCTCCCTTCAATATTGGAGGACCGCGCGAGCGATTCTCGACCATACCAAGCCATCTGGTGCGGTCGACGAAAGCTATGTCAATGCGATTGACGAATGGATGAACACACGTCAGAGATACATGAAGCTGGTTAGTAGGAGTAATGGGATGTCCAGATGGAAAGCTCAAGGTGACCATCTCACCTGAGGCTAGGAGGGCAATAATAGCTATGGGATCATTGGAACCAGCGAAGTGAGGCGACTTGCGGGGAACCAGACAGTAGTCGACGACTTCGGCATTCGGCGGTGTTGGGAGAGTATGTTGTGCCTTTGGTCGCTCGAAATGTTCGGAGAGGATTTGCCATGAAGAAGTAGTGTAGTTCGGTGTGGGTCCGAGGTCGAGAAAAGTCAGGCCTTTTGCAGGCTCGGTTGTCGATAACCCGCCAGCGATCAATATTCCAGTATCATCAGGGTTTGCTTTCGAACACCATGATATACGGAACAATGGCTCTTTTATTGCAAGCGTGCCTCTCGTAGATCCCACTATTTGTGAGGACGCTCCTGGCATGTCTACATTTGTGGCTTGTATCGTTCTGGCCAGCACTTTCCTGCCATCTTTTGGATCCCATACCACAAAACTGGAATCCTCGTAACCGGTGAGTATGAAAGTGCCAGTTGGATGCCAGATCGCCTGTGTCAGTCTTGGGCATCGAGCAGGACTGCCAGGATTTGCCTGAGGATCTCCTCCAGGGGCTCCCGACGGCAACTCATAATGAAAGAACTTCAAAGGTTTGTTATGCTTGAATGAGAATATGACCGCGCCCTCGGAGTATCCAATCAACAGATTGCCAATGTCCCGAGGATGAAAGGCTAGCGTCTCGACGGGCAAAAGGTGTGCCCTTGGATTGCGGTCCCTCCATAGATTTGGGATTCTAAGCGGTGCAAGGCTCAATCGATCAAGGTCATAGGCGATGATCTCCCCTTAAGCGAATCTCAGTATTTTTGGTGTTCTTGCTACGTGTTAAAGGAGCTCGACGCACCATTCTGTAGCCCAATCAATGCATAGTCCAAGGTCGAATCTGTCGCTATAGCTGTGATCAGACCAGGAGGAGCATAGGATGCTAGTATCCTCGTCGTGTCCAGAGCAAAGACCGATAGATCGTTTTTTGTGTCAACGCAGACTAATTTGTCTGCACAGAACTGTAATGTCTTGACCGAGGCTTTTCTTGGAAGTTTCAAGCTGACAGAGACACGCTTTTGCCCAAAGACATATATTTTTCCGCTTCCAAACTTTGTGTCTTTGGTGCCCACGGCGAGTAAGGACTGGACTGGGTCGTATGCTAATGCACTGACTTGGGAATTGATACCGTATCGAGCTACCTATTATTGCAAGTCATCAGGCTGGGAACCAATGGGCTTTCGAGGTCGGTCAGCACCCTACCTCATCAATAGCAAAGAGCTGAGGATCCAGCCCAGCTGAAAAGTCTCTCTGTATGCCTGCTTGCTTGCCTCGAAGAAAGGACGCCATTGTTGCTTCCCCATTGCATTGAAGCTTCCTGTCGTGTTCCTTTGTCTGGTTGAGCTGCCCTGCCTCAGCGGGACAAGAGCAGCCTTACCGCAGGGATTATCTTAGCGTTTGTCGATCTTCCGCCGCCTGTCGTCAGACATACAACGGTTCCGCCCGAGTTCCGCCAAGAAATTGTCCCCATTAATGAATTGCTTTCCTCCCTCTCTCGAAAACAAATCTTCAATATTTCAGATCACGATTGCTCAGCTGTCTACGTTATGGCAACAGATATCAGAACCTCGGAGCTCAGGAGCCCGATCGACGTAGCAGAATACTTATTCCGCAGGCTCCATGAAGTCGGTGTTCGTGGTGTACACGGTGTTCCAGGCGATTTCAATCTAGTGAGATCATGATAGAACATTACATGCAAAGTAGAAGCTAAATCTGACAGGTAGCTCTCGACTACATCCCCAAAGCTGGACTCAACTGGGTAGGGAATTGCAATGAGCTCAACGCAGGTATGGATACGGGAAGCCACGATAAAGAGTCCAGCTCATATTCCAAAAGGCTATGCTGCAGATGGATACGCAAGAGTGAAGGGCATATCGGCGGTTGTAACGACCTTTGGCGTTGGTGAGCTAAGCCTTCTCAATGCCATCGCAGGCGCCTACTCCGAGTACGTGCCAATCGTACACATCGTTGGCACTCCGTCCACCCTCTCACAACACGATGGCTTACTTCTACACCACACCCTTGGCAATGGGAATTTTGAGGTCTTTGCGGACATGAGCCATAATATATCCTGCGCCAAGGCGAAGTTGACCGATCCTCATGATGCAGCCATGCTCATCGACAATGCAATTCGGGAATGCTGGGTTCAATCGAGGCCTGTATACATTACTCTGCCAACAGACATGGTTCAGAAGAAAATTGAGGGCGAACGATTGAAGACACCCATAGAGCTCAGCTTTCCACTCAATGATACGGAGAAGGAGGACTATGTCGTGGACGTCGTTTTGAAGTATCTCCATGCCGCAAAAAATCCTATTATTCTCGTCGATGCTTGCGCCATAAGACACAGAGCACTCGAAGAAGTACACGAGTTTATCGAGAAGTCTAGCCTACCCGTCTTTGTAGCCCCCATGGGCAAGGGTGCTGTGAATGAATCCTTGCCCAACTATGGTGGTGTGTATGCTGGAAACGGAAGCAATGCTGGAGTCGCAGAGCGTGTTGAGTCATCGGACCTTGTTCTAAGCATCGGCGCCATTAAGTCAGATTTCAATACAGCTGGTTTCACTTACAGAGTCAGCCAGCTCTCGACTATCGACTTCCACAGCGGATACATGCGTGTTCGATACTCAGAGTACCCTGGAGTACATATGCACGGAGTACTGAGAAAAGTTACTGCTCGGATGGGGAAGCTCAACATAGAAGCGGGCCCTGCGCCAGATAACGAAATCGCAAAGAAAGACCAAGGGATGTCGCAAGGAGAAGTCATCACGCATGACTGGTTATGGCCAAGAGTTGGTCAATGGCTAGAGCCAAACGATATCGTGCTCACAGAGACCGGTACCGCCAACTTCGGCATCTGGGAGACGAAATTCCCAAAAGGCGTGACGGCTATTTCTCAGGTTCTATGGGGTTCAATAGGCTATTCGGTAGGAGCATGCCAAGGTGCTGCGTTAGCCGCAAAGGAAACGGGCGACAGACGGACCATCTTGTTCGTTGGCGATGGCTCCTTCGAACTAACAGCCCAGGAGCTCAGCACTATGATCAGGAATGACCTGAAGCCAATCATGTAAGCTCGAGTCTCAAGAAGTTGCCGAATACATACTTACTATCCCAGATTTGTCATTTGTAATGAAGGTTATACCATCGAGAGGTACATCCATGGCATGGACGCCAGCTATAATGATATCCAGCAGTGGAAATATAAGGATCTTGTCAGCGTCTTCGGAGCCGACCCAAAGAAGTCGAAGACTTATCAGGTCAAGACAAAGCAAGAGGCAGAGGACCTCTTCAAGGATGAGAATTTCTCGTCCGCACCATATCTTCAGGTAGGTTTGTTCCAATAGGGTGCATATCAATGCTGACAACGACAGTTCGTGGAGCTTTACATGCCCAAAGAAGATGCCCCGAAGGCACTTAAACTGACTGCAGAGGCTTCAGCTAAGACCAACGCGAAGCAGTGAAACGACGGGGAAGAGACGTGGGCACATATAACTATTGGTCGAGCTTTACGAGACATGTGCCTATGATGATGCGAAAAGCAGGCTATTGTTCAAGAGTGCAACCAGTCCATTACCCATGAAATTTGTTCGCAAAAATGACGAAAAGCATGTACATAAATTGTTTAGTAGCTCACTGTAGATACCGATAAAATATTGATTTGCGCCAAACTGGGCCACGAGAACTGTAATGATATTGGTGGTATGATGAGAAATCGCCATCTCGACGGTCTTGGCTTCTCAGTCACTCCAACCACAATGAACAAACAGCGATAACATAATTCATCCCACCCGTGACCCCTCTCCCTCACAATGGAAGAAAGTAAAAAACGCAAGTCTGAAGCAAGTAACGGAGACAATGCCCAAAGAAAGTCGAAGCCATGGCGCGTACCCAGGAAAGGCCAACCCAACTACGTCAACCCCACCATAGAGCCAGGCGACTCCGGTATTTGGGCCACATGTGAGTTGGGCAAGGAAGGCAAATCCACCGCAGAGCTACGAGATCTGTTTGAAGAGTACGCAAAGAAGCTTTACGGCAGTCTGGAAGAGCAGGCAGATGGAGAGGACAGCAATGAGGATGTGGAGGCGGATATTGAGGCTGAGATTAAGAAAGAGGTTCAGGGAATGAAGTCTAGAGTCACGAAGAAAGAGACATTGTTTCAATCCGTGAAAATGGATATACAATGCGTGCTCTTCTTCAAAACCCGCCCACCAGTCGAGCCTGTTTCCTTCGTACATACGATTTGCAAGGACGCCGCTGAGGGCGCTACACAACGAGCCCGATTCGTCAAACGACTGTCACCAATGGCTATGATGGGAAAGGCTACAGAGGACGGGCTGGCCAAAGTTGCGGATGCAGTGCTGGGACCTGTGTTCCACGTTGAAGAGGATGGGTTGAAGTTTGCGATTCGGCCTACAAGGAGAAATCATAATATTATGAAGAGGGATGATATTATAAAGCAGATTGCAAAGGCTGTGGGAGGAGATCATAAGGTCGATCTGAAAGGATATAATCGTTTGATTTTGGTCGATGTCTACAGGGTAAGTTGAATTTGCTCCATTGCTTTGCACTCTATGTTTGGGACACGATGAGATCGTTTTGCTGAGCTTGTGAAGAACATCCTCGGTATGAGTGTTGTTGGCAGCGATTACGACGAGCTGAAGCAGTACAATCTTGCAGAGATTTATGATCCAACACCGAAGTTGAAAGCCAAGACGAGCATTGGTGCAGCGCCCGAGGTGAAGGACAAAGATGACAAGCCTCCTTCAGATGTGGCGCCGAACGGGCATGGGCCGAAGGATGATGTGATACCTATGGAGAAGAGCGAAGACGACAAGACCAGTCTCGATTCCCAAAAGGCGGCGGACGATGCCCACCTCACAGCTTTGTGAGCAGAAGGCAGACCAGCCATCTTCCCATTCGTACGAACTCTTAATACGAGGGGCAACAACAAGGTTACTTTCGGTCGTCGACCGATCATGTTGCTTATGTATGGTGTCGTTGGGAACCAACAAGATTCGCTTGCGTAGCGAGGAAAGTGCCGTGCGCCCAGATTTCATTTCTCGGGATATCGGCAGCCGCAAGCCATGGCCAGCATCGTCATGCATGCGCCAATCATACTGGATGCTAGTTACTACCTATTAACAGTGTCAGATCCCGGGATCCCACCGGGATATGAAGCAACGTTCTCGAAGCAATCGAAGGATTGAAATGTCAGGTATTGCAGGAAGTAAGAGGAAGGCGTTTCGGCGTGGCATTCGATTGGTCAAAATAAGCGAATTGCAGAAGGAAGAGACCGCGACTAGTCGGGTATTTCGGACCCCAACCTCGTTGTGGGAATACCAAACGAGCTTCATTACGCGTATCCGTCAGCATACTTTTGGCCTGTATTCCGAAGGCATACAGCTTCCAACACGCAGGCAAAGACCCTGTGAAAGATATCGTCTAGCACTCTTTCAGAAATATTTGACGAGCTTGTACCAGCCACTCCTTTCGCCGCAATTCGCAGGACGTATGTCCGTCTCATGAGGCGACTACCTTGATTAGGTACCCACTCACACGGTCACACCGCTTGGTAAGGTACACAGAAAATAGTTGGAAGCGAAATGAAAGGGAGGTTAGCTGTCATGACCAGTCTCTTACTCGCTCCCGTTGGCTTTGCCACGAGCTTCTGTCTGTCTTATGCCCCCTTTCCTAACTCGGAAGTGAGTGTTTGCTCTTAATGATTCTTACAATCCACCTCGCCAATTCTAGCATATCATTGGCAAAACCTCAGAATCGACTGTTTCTGATTCAGCCTGCCATCGCTCTCACCAAAGATATCCTCGTTCAACTCCAGCTTCATGTATGCTGCAGTTCCGTCTTGGAGTGTCGTCTGTTTTTTACGAGTCAAACCCACAAAGACTATATGTGACTTGTCGCCAAAGTCCCGATGCTATTCCCTTCTATAGCGAATGTCCTTGCCATTGATTCTTTTACAATGGCGTATGGGTCAGCTGCCTCACCTCTTGTCTCGAACAGCAGCACCATTCGGTGGATGGTCCAAGATACTCTTCAGTGCTCGCGTCTTGAGGTAAACAATATGGAAGACATCCGAGGCCATCTACATGGCATATGCAAGCTGCGTCTCTCCAACGGCTCTCGACTAGTCCTGAAACTCAGTCCCTCGCCCAATACAGCTCTTCTCCGGCATGAGCGATACTTTCTCGAATCAGAGGCTACTATTCTTTCCCTTCTCAAAAAAAGCTGCCTACCAATACCACGAATATTGAGATACGATCCAAGGAGTATCCAACTCGGTTCGCCCTTCCTCCTCAACACCCATGTTCCAGGGATTTCGTATGCAGATGCCTTGCCACATCTCACAAACCCTGAGTGCAGAGACATCGAGCTGCAGCTTCGATCTCTTGGTTCCACCATCAATCAGCACACATCACCTACATTTGGACCCGCGGCTCTTGTCGCCTCGAACAGAGGATTTTCAACTTGGCGGGAATCATTCAAGTCAATGTTTGAATCTATTATGATGGACGCAGAGGACATGACGATCAACCTACCTTACCATGGGATCCGGGAAGCGGCATCTTCAGTGGCAAAGGACTTGCATGACGTCAAGGAAGCCAGACTTGTAGTCTTGGGATTGGGTCGACCGCAGAACGTGCTTCTTGATCGAAGAAGTAAAGACGTTATAGGTCTCTTGGACTTTGGTCAGACAATCTGGGGCGATACCGCCTTTTCAGAACCTGAATCATGCTGTGACCGAAAAGGTTTACTGTTAGTTCTCCTCATCTGCACAAATACTTCTTTGAACTAACGTTGTCACAAGGTATATATGCTACCACGCAGTTGTCACGATTGTTACAAACCATTATAGACCGCAGAGAGATGCAAAGGAATTGGACGCCAGGAAGACTCTGACTACGACTCTTGCACAGTTGGCCGTGAGGAACGAAGGTGGCTGAATGCCAGAAGAAAATGGAACTATCTGTCGCGTGTTCTTTGTAAATATTGAAGTATATACAGGTTAAAGCTCGGTCATCAGTACACTCTATGAAGAAGACCAATATATGGCAGTATCACATGCGCTCACGTATGTAGTAACTCTTCGATAAGGTACATGCGTTGGAAGATGAGTGGCTCGAAAAATTACGCTAGACCAAATGTAGATGGCCTAGACCTTGCGCGCGCAAATGAGGCTGAAAGCCACAGACTGCCGTCAAAGTCACACTCATTCATCACTACCCAGCGATATCAAGCCGGCGCATAGGAGCAGACGCTCTCTCTTTACGTTGGAGTTGGTCGCGGGGAGTCACTCGCTCTAGCCATCCAGGTTCAGAGCCTTCAAGGCGTTGGTGACATCTCACACGAGCTCTCGAAAGAGGAGTATGTCTTTGCCGCAAGCAAATCACTATCCACTCTCAATCAATCAGCCAAAGACGCAAGCTAACACTCGCTGGACCTACAGAGATCAATTGCTCTACAACTTGGCTACCCTGCCTGAGCATTCCTGGGGAAGAACCATAAACTCGTACTCGCGTTGCATTTCGACCATTCGGAGATACTTGGCTACCAAAAGAGATATTTCTTGGACGCACGAACCTTCGATTCCTCTCAGTTGAGATTCGAATTTGTACGGTGCATGCAGTCTCCATGGAACGTTGTTGGTTGCTGCAAGTAAGGCCACTGGTCATGAGTAGTCGATGATTCGAGTGCCGCAAACCCCTTGATACGAGGTCACAGGCTGGAGGATGACCTCGCGTCAGCGGTCGTCTTCGGCACGGTCAAACAACTCAGACCATAACGTGAGGCAAACCTCAACTCCATCGCCGTCTCACTATCCACAAAAAAATGGTTCAATTGTACCAGAGGACTTGGTATTGAACGATGTCCCGACATATAGCCGCAATAACTCATCAAATCTGCTGATACCATCACAAGGCATTGGATCTCCCTATCCCGCTATCTCAGGTGGGACACCGCCTTTACAAGGCGCAGGGTCAGCTGCGCAGAGGCCGAGAGCCAGCACTACAGATCAGGCTGCTGGACAACAGAATCTCTATCGTAACATACCCTTTCGAGCTGGACCAAGGAATCAGATTCCGCTGGAGTACATACAAGGACAGAGATTTCCATCAAATCCCCTAACGATGGATTCAAGGCCGCCTTATATCCCTGGACCTCCACCTCAACCGCAGCAACAGAATCACATGATCTCGCTGCCTCCTCCACCACCTCGCCCACCTGCGATGAACAGCTCGAATCATGGTATGGTATTGCCTCCCCCACCTGGTCCGCCTCCCTTAGTCACGAATAATTCTACAAGTATGTGGGGAGGGGCAGCCTGGGGGCGCCAGCAAGGGTACCTGCCCCCGCCACCGCCTCTAGGCCCCAATCAATTTCATAGTCAGCAAAATCAATACTCTCCGCACCCTGCTTATCGCAACAACCAACCAGCGCCCCTGGCCATACCTCCACCTCCTCAGAATGAAGCTGTGGTATCAGCGACGTACATACCGGGTGGAGACTCATTCGGTCCTGGTGTGGGCATACCTGCCCTATACTCGGGTCATCATGAACCAATCTTCCAACGTGATGACAGTTTCTCGTACTCGGCCGCAGAGGCTAAGATGCTAGCCGATCAAAGATTCTTTAATGGGCCTACATCAGCTATTTCGCCTAGTACTGAATTGCCAGCCGAAAATTCATCTGTGCCTCAAACGCCTTTGACTCGCCATCATCCTACTCTCCCAAACAACGCCGCGCAGACCCCAGCCTCTGCTAACCAAGAAGGGACACCTATCACAGGTCATCGCCATTCGAACAGCAACAACTCTGGGCTTTTGTCACCAAGCGATCCAAGTCTGCAATGGCCACTCGACCGCGTCCTCATCTGGCTTGCTGCGAACGGCTTTTCGAACGATTGGCAGGAAACATTCAAGGGCTTGGATTTGCATGGGGCAGACTTTCTGGACCTAGGGCGAGGCGGCAGAGGAAATCTTGGGATGCTGCATCAGGTGATCTACCCAAGACTGTCAAGAGAATGTACCAAAAGTGGTACAAAATGGGATCAAGTCAGGGAAAGAGACGAAGGAAAACGGATGCGACGTCTAGTGCGAAGGATGGCGGAAGGAGCAGATGGTGTCAAACAAGGTCATGCACGTCGTGAGTCTGGACATATACTGCCAAGCGCGTCTACGGATGGAGGAGTGGAGAACTCGCCAAACCTAGGTCGTCAAGATGGCTTTGCTCTTACACCAAGCACTGCCGGAGGTGGCGAAGATAGTCCAGGGAAACAATTCCGCTCTCCTGTCCCTGGGCTCAATCCGCGCATGGCCTCCAAAACTCGCAGTAGCACGGCGCCAATGCAATTCTACACGCACGGTGGCGCTACCACCAGTGAGCAAGGTCTTGCAGAAATGTCGCAGCCCAATCAGAGGGCGGGTCTTACAAGAGGCATTTTGAACGGCATGAATGACGCAGTATCTAAACGTGGGCATAGCCCTAGCGCTTCTAGTGAGACAGGCGCTGGACCTACTTTTCTGGGCGATACTCGCTCTGGCTACGATGCTAGCCCTCAGAGCGGTAGTCCTGCAACGCAACATGCCATACTCGCTTCTTCTACCGGCGGTGGTACTCTTTCGGCTCCTCCATATGGCCGCTACGGTCATCGCAAGACAGGCAGCACGGATTCCGTGGCTTCAAAGGGAAGAAATGGCCAAGAAAGTCATCGACCGCCGAACCTTGAGGTTGCTGGCAAGCAGTCTTATGATGAAACTCCCATAAGTGCGAAAGAGCTCACTAAAGGGTTTTTAGACAGGTTTTGGAAGCGGAAGAAAGATGATTCATCACATCCGTCACCCGAGGATCATAATTCAGAATCACCTACGAGCCCCCTGAACTATCGACATATTCCACCAACTTTACCTTTTGCTCGGGCCAACAATAACAGCAGTACGTCGCTTGAAAGACCCTCATCTGCGTCTACCCAGATGTCAGATCACGAAAAGATCGCTATGCGGAGGAGATACGTTATGGTCACTCCCGATCAATGGAATTATCGCTTAGTTGACGTCACCGAAGCTGAAACTGCCGAATCACTACGAGAAACAATCTGCAGAAGCCTCCGTTACACGGATGCAGACATGGCCCAGATCTACCTTACAGAGCCTGGCCAGATCGAGCACGACGAGCCTCTGTCTGATTCGATGCTGGTTCTCTCCAAAACCTCGAGAGCAGATTCTGCCGGCACGCTGAAGTTTTTTGTAAGGCGTGGTCCTACATCAGCCGCTTTAGTACCTCCGCATTCAGCGGGCCTGGGTATTGGCATGTCTCCATTAGGAACGCCACCCGCAGGAAGTCTTTTCCCCAGAAAAGCGTTGGATGAAGAAAGCTACACACGGCTGAAGACCAATAGCCGAGTCCGTTCGAGATCGCCACCGATGAACTCCAGACAGAACACGCTGAAAGCTGACAGCGCTACTCCAAGAGATGTGCAAAAGCCTTTCGAAGGCGCAAATGGTAGTCCTAGATTTGTGTCTGAGTCTCCCACTGGAGCCTCGGCGAAAGACCAATTGCAGTCTCTCAAACCTGGTCGCGAAAATGGAGCAGTGTCAGACGCTGAGTGGGGTCAATGGCTACAAGCTGCTTACGAAGAACACCAGAATAACACGGAGAAGAGTGGCAAAGCGTATCAACAAGGAAGACAAGCAAAGGCCAGGAAAGAGCCATCGCCCATCGATGTAGGGTCTGCCAGCATCAAACGAGATGGTGTCATCAATTTTGACACTCCTCGACTTTCACCATACGAAGACAAGAGGCCTGAGCCTTTAGTACCGCTGAGAAAGCCTCCGGCGCCTCCTCCAGGATCTGTTATGCTAGAGAAGGCTAATTCACTGAGCAAAAGAACTAGCGAATCGTTCCGATCCTCAATATCCAGCCAGCCTGACATGGCAAAGAGAAGGTCGCTAGGGGATTCAATCGCTGAAGAGACAGAAGAACGAGGCCGTCGAAAGGCCATTGCGGCTACACCATCTGTCAGCGCTGGTATCGGAGCGGCGTTGGCTACTACCGTTGGGAAGCCTATTGGATCTAGGCGGCATATGTCCACCCGGACTTCCAATGACAGCGGGAAGCCTTCTCCGTCTCTGCAGAACGTTGGCTTTGGGCAAAACGGGTCTAGCAAGAACAGTCCAAGTGGGTCCCCCAAAAGCCCCCGCTTCATGTACGGTAAAAAGGACATTGAGTTCACCGTTCCTGACTATGAAGAAGACGATCTAGAAAATGCAAATAGTCGGAAGCCTAGCTTGGCCTTGCAGACGCAGATGCCAAAGAACCCGTCTATCGAAAGAATGCGGCGTGGTCCATCGCCATCAATTAGTCCAAGCTCTCAACATCCGCCGTCTCGCAAAGGCTCGGTTTTTGGACGACCGAAATCTTATGGTCCTGCCTTCTCATTCAAGGAAAGCGAAGTCACCTTCGACCAAAAGCCTAGCCAACAAGAGAAATCTGACGACTCTGACGATGGACTCTTCGCGAAGCCTCTTGCAAAGACTGTAACAAAGAAGTCTTCTGCATCAGAAGATGAATCAGGAGTACAGAGGCGACCAACACTTACCCTCAACACGGAAGGTAGTCAGCGCCGGCTAATGAAAGGACGATCTGTCACATTTAAGGACCCCGAGAATTCGGCGAGCACATCCACTGTGCGGTCCAGTGAGACGGTTGATCTTGACAATGAAGGTCACCCTGTTGTTCAGCCCAGTAATCCTGACTCGAATACATCTGCTACAATGTCGGCAGACTACCCGGATCCAGCGAAATTGGCGAGGCGGCAGTCATTCGCCAGGGATGATGTTTGGGCCAATCGTCCACCAGCAGAGGATCTACTAAACAACCTCGACGCTTTCTTCCCGAACCTTGATCTGGATCAGCCTGTTGTAGAAGACCTCGTCGGCTCGCCACCCGTCTCTCCCGATGCTGGCGTAGAGTCTAATCCAATGGACAATGGCGCTGCTCCGTCAGGACAAGCACAACGTTTGATCAGGACATCGCTGTACGATCGAGTACGTCCAGACTCCATAGCGGAGGAGCCGGAGACGCTGGGTTCTGAAGATTCTACGCTGAAGAGCCGAGCTACGATGCAATCCATGGCCCAGCGAAGTGTGCGCAAGAGTGAAGGTTTAGGCCGAATGAAGTCCATTCGTGAGGTGGCCCGTGGAGCCTACGAAGGCTCGTCGAAAAGGAACACTCAAGTATCAACAAGCTCCAAGTCAGGCGACATTCTGCGGCGAAGAAGTACGAAAATGTTCGGAGCGAAAATCAATATGGTCAAGCCGGGGAGGGGGAGCAGAGTTAGTCTAATTGAAGCGGTTCCAAAAGACCTACCACCAGGCATCAATTCCTTTCAAATTGGTAGGGGTCAATTGATTGGCAAAGGCAGCTATGGCAGAGTCTACCTAGGTATCAATCTTACAACAGGAGACTTATTAGCGGTCAAGCAAGTCGAGGTCAATCAAAAGGCAGCCGGGCAAGACAAAGACAAAATGAAGGAAATGGTAGCGGCACTCGATCAAGAGATTGATACCATGCAGCACCTAGAGCACCCGAACATCGTGCAGTATCTCGGTTGCGAACGGAAAGAATTCTCCATCTCCATTTTCCTCGAGTACATATCTGGTGGCAGTGTAGGCAGCTGTCTCCGCAAAAACGGCAAATTCGAAGAAAGCCTCGTTCGCTCCCTGACCCGTCAGACTCTTGCCGGTCTCGCCTACCTCCACAATGAAGGCGTCCTGCACCGCGACCTCAAAGCTGATAACATCCTTCTCGACGTCGACGGGACCTGCAAGATCTCTGACTTCGGGATCAGCAAAAAAACCGACAACATCTACGGCAATGATGTAACAAACAGCATGCAAGGATCCGTCTTCTGGATGGCCCCCGAGGTCGTTCGCTCCGAGGGTCAAGGCTACAGCGCCAAAGTCGACATCTGGTCCCTGGGCTGCGTGGTGTTAGAAATGTTCGCCGGCCGCCGGCCCTGGAGCAAAGAAGAAACTATCGGCGCCATTTACAAACTCGGATCTTTGAATCAGGCGCCGCCGATTCCGGATGATGTGAGTGACTCGGTTAGCCCGGAAGCGGTAGCGTTTATGTCGGAATGTTTTGAGATTGATCCGGGTGAAAGGCCGACAGCGGAGACCCTGTTAAGGCAACATCCATTCTGTAAGGTTGATCCTTATTATGACTTTTTGGGGACGGAGTTGCATAGGAGAATTAGGGAGGCGAAGGATGATTTCAGGTATAATGGGCAGTATCAGTAATCCGAGGGTTCTCTTCTTCCTGTTGTGAGGTTTCTCACTTGGGTATAAACGTGGGGTTTGTGGGGATAACAGGATAGATGGAGTTTCTCCATTTTATGTTGCGAGCGATGATACCACGTGCTACGATAGTGGGGTGTAAGCGCTTTTCTAATCATGGGACCCCTTACCAATTGTCTCTGCACCCAGATAATGCAAATTGAGAGGGGTAGAGGAAAAATGCGATGGTCTATCATGGGTCAAAGCTTTGCCGGTGACTGCTGCGTCATTCACCTCTCAATCTTCCATTTTAAAGTTGATGCGATTTGGAGAAAGGGAGGAAGATCCTCAGTGATCTAGGCTTGATGGAAGAGAAGCTGCTATGGAAAAGGCAAGGAGCAAACTAAGTCCTGCTACGAGGAACTCCTGGCAGATATCCATCGAATCAAGGACATGGTCGGCATATGTCATCGCAGGACAGGCGTCCCATCAGCTCGCAGCCTCCTTCGAGTAACGACGCGATGAACCATGGGGGATGCGGCTCTCTTCGGCCCTTTGGAGCTTTTGCCAGTGTTGAGAATTAGCTGACTATATCGCGGCTGTTCAACTGTCGGTCTCAGCTTCGGTGTCATAGCCTATACCATAAATAGTCTGATCAGCGTCGTCATAAGGCCGGTTACTCGCGTATGTTCTCGTAAAGGTCAGTGAAAGACCGAGGGAGTCTGTTGGTGATGTTAAGATGGGAGGTAGAGTCGATGTGATTTGCTTATTTGACTGAGGTTTAGCCCGGTGGCATGGCCTTTGAGTGGTTGCGGTTCACGGAGACTATTTGTTCTGCGTCTTTGAGGAGCCCATCTCAGGATCGGCCCGAGATAGGTTCGCCATACTGTGGGAGAACTCTGCTTCAGTATGATTCTGTTCTCCATATACAGCTAAGCGTCTAGACAAAGACGGCAAACAAACAGCGCCTGGTCCACAAACTTCAGTTAACACAATGCATCGGGCCGACAATTGAACATTGTATGAAACTTTGTTAGGACCGAGATAATGCAACCGATAATGCAAGCATTGTCCATGGGCTTTGCTCTTTCTTGTCATCCAAAAGCAACAATGCCTCTGTCTCAATCGTTTATCCAAGAGCAACAATGCCTATGTATCAATTGTTCCTACATTCTCTATAACATCGCAAGAGAAGTCCCTCACCCCTCAACCTCAGAACCAATTTCCCCAAAACCCATCTCTCGACACACATCCAATAACTGACTCACAAGCCAACATGACACACCAAACACAACAGAAGCGCTCCTCGCGTCCGCAACAGCTCAAGGGCTCGGAACACAGGTTTTATACAAGCTTCAAAGACTTGGGTCTCGCCAGTCCCGAGCAGGACGAATTCGAGAACCATGGTAATCAAGGTACCGGTCTGCATCAGGAAATGGCAGAGCAGGCTGGCAAAGCGGAGGGCTCCGGTGGGAAGGAAACGGAGATAGTGAAAGGAGAAATTACCAGGCAGAGATCTGGGTCGATGAGGTTGATGGAATGGTTCATGCGGCTAAGGTCTTCTTCTTCGCCTCCTTGAGGTATGGACATGGTTGTCGAGAGGAAGGATAAGTACCCAGATTATATGTAAAAATCAAGCACTTCCTACATCTATCAGAATGCCCTTTTTACCATTGTAGGTCATCTGGGAGGTGAGTTTGATACGGTCGACCGAGTCTCAATCATCCAATCTTCCATTTCATACCTTTGGTTCTCTATTGCAAGGCTCTTAGAAAGGTCCTTTTTCCATCAGATGCCTTTTAAAACGGGGCTCTCCAGCTCAGTCTTCCCCATCGTCGTCCGACTTCATTGGTCCTTCCCTCGTCCTTTTCGAAAGCCGTCTGACCTCACGTGCATGATTAGGAGTGGCAACAGTGCTCGCATGCCAGTTTGATAAAGGCAGATATTCTTGCTTGGGAGTGCTCGGGACGGTTGTGAATGATAGGGCACTGACCTTATCTAGGAAAAGCGTCTTTTTCTCATCTTAAACAAATTCTTGATTGAGGCCTCTATAAAACTGATTTCCGTGATCACGCCATCGACACCACCCAACTTGCTAGAAGATTCCGCCCAAATTGGGTTGGTGTGAGAGGCGACTCTCCATTCCACTTTTTTGTCTGTTTCAAATTGAACTGTAACTGCCTTCTTGATTTCTTCCTGATGTCTGTCTCGGAAGATCATTCAGATATAGCCTAGAGCGACTGTGATTCCTGTAGGATTGACTGTCTTTTAATTGATGGGCACCAGCCCGGCTGTATACTACTACGTGCTCTATCCTCACGTGCCGAGCTCGTAGAATATAAGTACCTAGGTACTCATTGAGTCGTATTTATTGCAACTCTAAATCTGATTTATCCATCATAATCCGTCTTTCCACAACCGTGGTATAAACGAAGTGAACTATTTAATTATGAAGCGTAGGATACGACCTGAAACTTCAAAAGTTTTGAAAATTGGAGGTGTATTGATAGAGGTATATAATAGTGTAATAGAATCTATCCAAAGTCTTCGGTTTAGGGGTGAAATTTTGGGGTTGTATCCCCAAAACCCGCCCCCGAATGTCTCGGATTTTAGAGATCGAGTAACTCGCAACGAGTTAGCACCGAGATTACATATTACTTGTTTCCACCCCCATTTCACGTTACCCCCATTTGCACGCCGACATAGATAGCTACCACTACCATGGCTACCACTATTACTCATTTAAATGGCTTACCATCATAGTCTACCATAATAGCCAATGCATAACTCTTAAGCTTATTCAGAAGCGACTGGATTATATAGCTACTAAGGAATCTAAGAAGCAATTTCGAAGCATATGTCACCTCGGACCAGCTATTTTTGAAGACACGAAGAGAGGTAGAAGTCCTATCAAGAAAAAGGCTACTGCACCTCCCACACCAGGCCTACTGCACCTCCCACACTAGGCCCACTGATACCACTAAACCTCGCTCCACCACAGCAATAACAGCGAGATAGACGAGGAGCTGCTCCGCCACAGTGGCGGGCTCCACCGGAGGCTTCATCTCCATCAGAGGCTTTACCGCAGTAAGGTGGAAGAGATAGAAGTGGTGAAAGAGGTGGAAGAGGTGAAAGAGGTGGAAGAGGCGGAAGAGGTAAGAAGGTAGTAGAAGAGGAGGTAGTAGAAGAAGAGGTAGTGACGGTTTTTTCAAGATATGGTAGGTCGATAAGGCCCAAAAAACGGTGATTTGGGTTCTCCGATATTAAACCTGAATAGAAATAAAAGACTATCATTATTATGCTAGTTTGCCATACAAATTTGGTGAAAGGTAGGTATTTTAGTGTTGCGTCGGATTTATCGGATTTTAGAGCGTGCAAATGGGGTAACGTGCAAACGAGTTAGCACCGAGATTACGTAGTATGAATAGACCAATCGGCTAAACGTTCTTCCTCTGCCGGTAACCTGTCCTCCAACAGCGCATTTGCTTGCTTGGTTACGGACAACTACCCCCCATTGGCAAGCTTCAGCGGCGGAGGAGGTTGAGACAGGGCGTTATAATACTTGCATTGCTCTCTGCCCTGTGTTGTGAAAGGGACCGCTTACGAGTATGGGCTACACCTCTGGTCTTTCGGCTGTGATGGTACGGGCTCTCTGCTCTCCTACTCGTATAGCGCTCGCATGGAGGGGTACGGCATATTCATTCAGTTACAATGATAACTCAAGCCTTTCTGCAACGTCTTCGTGTTACGCCGCCCGTCTCCACCCATGGGTTAGGTTTGATAAAGCCGTCTTCAGCACCTTTGTTCTTACCTTTAGTTTCTCAATCTTTCGTCAAAGTCACTGCTTTTAAATGGAAAAGCTAGGGATCTTTTACATCTTCCTAAGAACGATCCCCAAGGTTCGCGCTATCTGGCGGACCATAGAATTTCATGCAATAGAACCTCGCTGCTAATGCTAGATAGCTCTGGGGATCAAGTTGTAGCTTACTTGGTGAGAACACAATCGTCTCCAAGACGTCAGACATCCGACACAGAGAAGCCACGTGTGCTCATCACTCCCTCGGCCAAATTCTCGGAAATACCCATTTATCACCACTTCGTTGACCAACACTTACACTTTTCAGATACTCTGTGACCTCTAGCGCTAAGCCGGCCTCGTTCGCCCGTCTAATCCATTCTGCATCACTCTGAGTCACAAACTTGACACCGTGCTTCGTTTCCAGATATTCACCCAGTTGGTGAATACCTACCGTCCCGTCATCGTTGCCGCAGTGATTCCTATACTCAACTCTTCCAATACCCTTCCTGGGCCCGGCAACCGCATCATCCGCCATCGCCTGGGCCACGACTTCAACTCCAACGAACTGGAACCAGCCCTCCAATGCTGCCATTTCTGGAACAGAGTGTAGCTGTTCCGCGAAATGCAGCACATTGTGCATGACGTCCAGCCTGGGGGCGTCGAGACCGACTATCGCAGTTGGGCGGTGGACGGTAATACATAACCCTGTCGTGGAGCTGACATTCTCAAGGTAGCTTTCACAGGCCCATTTGGAAATGACATAACCATCCATAGATCCGTTCGGTGGGTAGGCGCCTAGGGGTTCTTCGTACAGCTCCCGCACAGCGAGCGCTGCAACGCCCGCAGTGGAGACGTAGTGGAAGTGCTTGACGTTCTCATACTGGAGCGCGAGTCTGACCAGCTCCTTGGTCGACTGCAGATTGGCGGTTCGGAGGCTGGCATAACTCTTCAGGAACGACACGTCTGCGCCGTTGTGGATGATGGCGTCCGCATTCACGAATATCTGCCTTATACTTTCCTCGGATAGTCCGAGGTGTGGATGCGTGAGATCCCCAGTGTGGATAGTGACCTTAGAGGAAGTGATACTAGTTAGCTTCTTCGGGTCCCGAACGGCTATACAGTGAATGGCTTTGATCTTCTCCATCGCCGTTAATCTGCGGAGGAGTTCTCGGCCTAGGAACCCAGTGGCTCCCGTTAGGACGACGATGGCACCATCTCGCGGCCAAAGTAGAGACCGAGGGACTTGTACTAGTTTGAGATCGTGATCAAATTTCGTCTCCTCTGGCCAGTCGACGTCGGTAGCTTTCAACGTGTCATCCTCTCTGGTGCTCAGCAACGCCGCCATCTGCGTAAGCATGCTAGATTGGAAGAGCTTCACCAGGGGCACTGTCAAGCCGAACCGCTTCCTGATCTCTGTCTGCACGCTGATGAGCAACAGGGAGTTGCCACCCACGAGAAAAAAATCAGATGCAGCGTAGACAGTGTGCACCTGCGTCGCCTCGCCCAGAACCGAAAGCCAGATCTCCTTCATCTCCCTTTGACTCTCCGTTTCCTCGGCCCTTGAGGACCCATTGCTCTGACCAATTGGAATCGCCCCAGCTGTTTCTAGCGGCATTTTTGCAATCTCCCTCCGATCGACCTTGCCGTGATGATTCAGTGGTAGGGATGGCAGTGCTATAATGGCGGATGGACGCATATAAGTCGGCAGTAAAAGTTCTGCCACAAGGCCTCTCAGAAAATCATCTCTGGCACTCCTAGTTCGGTAGCGAGATACCGCTTCAGGCGTCAAGATAACATGCGCTACGAGGAAGGCTGAGCTTGCATCTCCGTTCTCCGATCTACGCATGTGTACGATAGCGTCCGCGATTTCGCCTCGCGAAGCACCAACGATGTTCGCTTCAATCTCCCGCAATTCGATTCGCTGACCACGCAGCTTGACCTGTGTGTCTCCTGCGATACGTGCTTGGACAATGAAGAGGCCGTCAGAGATGCGTAGGTATCCGCGGTCGCCGCTGCGATGCGCGCGCGTCCACCCCATGCCAACGGCCCCGGGTCCCGCCAGCGTGTCGATAGGGAATCGCTCCGCAGTTGACGATGGATTGTTGATGTATCCATTCGCGACACCAGCCCCACCGATGACTAATTGACCTGGAATGCCGGCTGGAACGGGATGATCTTGCTCGTCGACGACATAGACCGTGTAATTAGGCATCACCTTGCCGATAGGCACAGGCATGTCAGTGGAGTCAAGGTTCTGATAGGGGACCTCGTAAATGTGCGGTATGATGGTTTCCGCCGGACCGTAGGCGTTTAGAGTGCGAAGAACAGGCTTGCCCAGCATCTGGAGGTGCTTGGCCAGGCTAAAACCGAAGTCCTCGCCGGCTGAGATGTGCCACACCCAGGATGAATTCCGCAGCTGAGTGAGATCACCATACTGAAGCCAAGACGCTGCCTCAGAAGGCACGGCGAGCGTCATGGTGATCTTTTCCGATGCGATGAGCTTTGTCAGTGCAATTGGGTCCTTGCGAGCTGCTCGCCCGGCAACGAATACTGTGCCTTTAGTGGCGAGGGCGACGAGGGCTTGCCACCAGGACACATCAAAGCTCAGGGCAATTTGCTGGAGCATTATTTGTGGTTGCAGTGGCCATCTGTCAAGGAAGCCCTTTATTGAATTTGTAATCATGCGGTGTGGGAGAGAGATGCCCTGCTCGCGTCCCTGAATCAGTATTCTCATTCTTGTGAAACAAAAAAAAAGGATTGAAAGACATCTTTCGGAAATACACAACTTTCGCTTTGACTGCTCCTTTGGAAGCGAAACTTCTAGATGCGGATGTATACATACCTTAGGAACACCGGTCGACCCGCTTGTGTACAATACCATGGCTTCGTCTTTAGCGATTGGTTTCCGGAGAGAAGGGATCATGACGTGGGCGGACTTCCAAATACTGGAGAGGTTGATCACAGCGTCTGGCTTGTTCCATCCGACTTTTGTGACAAGCGGACGTGTTTCATCATGAACTAGAATGGCTGTCAGCTGTGCGTCTTGGACGATCGTTGCAAGACGTTGGGTCCCTTGGCTGAGTTCAAGAGGCACATATGTACCACCAGCCCGCCAGATGCCCAGCATAGAGCATATCCAATCAGCGGTTGGTTCTTGCAGGATGGCGACCCTCGAGTGGGCCGCAATGTTCAGCTCGGCAATGGCCTTCGCGATAGCATAAGATCTCAAGTTCATATCTCTGTATGAAAGGAGGTAGCCGTTTCCGTCTTTCAGAGCAACAGAATCAGGTTGGCGTGAAGCGACGCTGTCGATTTCGTCAAGCATGGTTGTGTCATCGAGATCCAGGTGCACACCTAGATATAACATCTGTCAGAGAATCCTCACCAAACAAATGACAGCTTGGTGGCGCTTTCGAAAGAGAGAACTCAAAGATCCATTCACAAGAGAATGTCTATGGGATGTTTTGAGCCAATATACCCGTAAAGCGCTGCAGAACTCTCTACTTAAAGGAGATGCCCGGGAGCGGTTGCTTCAAAGAAGTGTGCGAAGGGTACTCACCCTGACCCATCTTGAGGGCACGTTCAACATCCACGGTATTGAACATCTGCGGCTCTCCTCCCGGCAATTCGCAATTATCGGCAAAAGCTTGAACCAGATTAAGGTAGCACTGCAATACCAAATCTGCGTTCTCTTTCTTATACAGACCTTCCTGGACCATGATAGCCACCGAAGCGTTTCCAGATGGATTGTCAATGATATCTACCATAACATCATACGGCGTCTCGCCGATAGCGTACTCCTGGCCCTCAAGCTCAGCGTTTCCAAATGGCTGCTTCTCGTTAACATTGCGGTAGTCAATAAACGCCTGGAACAGCGGGCTGTGCGTCGGGCTACGCTTGACTCCAACCTCGTTGAGGATCACATCGAAAGGTACAGCCGAGTTGGCGAGCCCTGACAGGATTTTCTTCTTGGTCTGTCTGATGATAGAAGTGAAAGGCTGGTCGAGTGAGGTGTGTAGTCGTACAGGGAACAGATTCAGGAACATGCCGATGCTTTCTATGGCGCCCCGGTCAGTGCGGTTCGCGTCTGCGACGCCGATGCAGATGTCTTCTGTGCAGGCAAGGCGGGCGAGTACGACCTGGAAGATGGCGCAGTAGAAGTGGAAAGGGGTCACCTTGAGCTTTCGGCAGAGGGATCGGATCTGGCTGACTATTTGTGTGCTAAATCTTGTCTCGGACTTGAGGTGCCGATACGTCGTCAGGACTTTGCGGAGTCGAGAGGAATCAGGGGAGACGTTGAGGATAGGAAGGGTGTCGGGGAGGTCATGAAACTCCTTGCGCCAAAAAGAGATTTCATTGTCCCATTGACCGTTGCGCAATCGGCTCAACTGCTGCTCAGAAAATTCTGGGTATTGCAGATGCGGGGGCGACAGTTTTTCTCCAACGTATAGCCGTTGTAGGTCGGAGACAAGCACGACCAGACTAGCGCCATCCATGTTGATATGATGGTAGCCGAAAAGGAGATGGTGTCGTGTCCGTGACTGAGAAAGCAGGATAATTCTCATGGTGTTCCCCTTGCTAAGGTCATAGACATGCCCTTTCAATTCCTGGAACTGCTCCTGAATGCCTTCGTGAGAAGACACAGTGAAAGTCTCTAGGTGTAGAGGAGACTCCACAAGAACTCCTTGCATCGATTGGTGGTTGTCGTTGTTGAAAAAGCATGTTCGCAGGGCTTCATGCCTGATTCCTACGTCGCGGACGGCCGACGCCAGGTCTTGAACTTTGACCTCTCCGGTGACAAGCATGGAGCACACGACGTTGAACGCGGTTGGATCCGCTACAAGTTGGCTCATGAACCAGAAGCGGGACTGGCCAAAAGACATTGGGACTATCTTCTCTATGGCCTGGAGCTTCACAGTCGGCAGTGAAGACGTTGTAACCTGAGATGGGGACGGTGTTGGGGGCTTCGATAGTCCTATTTGACTAGATAGACCTGATGAACTTGTGTCGGTGGCATCGTCAGAAGTGGGATTTGCAAAAATGGAGCCCGGCGGGGTCGAAGCTGACGATGAGCTTTCTTGAGACGAGTCGCCAATCGAAGTAGTTGCGGCATTTGAGGTAGCTGCGGGTTGACTCTGTTCACCCACTCCTCGAGCTAATTCTGATGGCAGCCTCCTGACAGCGTATCCTACAATCTCTTCGATCGTGGCTCCTCCAAGGATTTTCAGAACAGGAATATCGACCTCGATTTCTCGCAGGAACCAAGATCGGATCTCGACTGCAACAAGAGAGTCAATGCCCAAGTTATCCGCAGCTTGCTCGAGTAAAAAGCTAGGGTCGTTGGCTGTCTCAGAGCGAAGCTGCAAAATGAGTTTGAGTTTTTCGAGAACGGCATCTAGTAGGCATGGTCAGCAAAGGCCGCTAAGTGACGAGCAAACCCTCTTCGTGGGATTGCTTGGGGAAGGTATGTTGGAGCAACCCTTCGAGGACCATCATATTCAGACGACGTTGTTTGTCATCTTTTATGCACACGGGACAAACTTACCTCGAACGATTTGCTCAACCAGATCCTGCGTCTCCGCCTGCTTCAGCAACTCTCGAGCCGAAACAGCCGCTGCAGACTTATCCATCGCGTGGGCAGCTTTGCTCGCTGCGCTTTTGATCACATGCCCAAACCTCGAGTTCTTACACCAGGCGGGCTTGAGGTCCTCCTCGGGCGCAGCGACGTGCAAACCTGTGATCAGCTCCTCAGACTGTCCGGATCCGACGCGCCCAGCCAGAATAGCATTCGCGAACGCGATCCGGAAGTCGTGCTCTGACATCTTGCGGTATCCAGCACTAACGAGCTGAGCGAGAACATGGTCACTGACTTCACGCGCCATGTACCCGATGCCCATGATTGCGCCGATGTCGATGACGCTGGCTGCAACGCCGCGCTGTCGGCGCTGCGCCGCGAGACTGATCATATACATGTTCGCTGCGGCATAGTTGGACTGTCCACTGTTGCCAAAGACGCAGGAGAGGGATGAAAAGAGAATGAAGAACTCAAGTGGATCATCGTAGAACAATTCATCCAGGAAGCGAGACCCGTCCACTTTGGGTTTCAAGACCCGCATCATTTGATCATAGGTCATCTGTTCGAGCGCAGCGTCTCGGAGGACCATGGCGCCGTTGGCGACGCCGGCGATAGGTGGCCAAGAGAGTCGAATGTTGGTGACCAAGGTCTGGAGAGAGACGCGGTCCGTGATATCACTGCGATGGAGAGTCAGCACTGAAGACATTTCCACATGATTGGAGTAACATACTTAGCGATGACTTGGATGCTGACGCCTTGAGCTTTGTAGGCAGAGATCCAACCCGGGTCGACTTGGGGATTCCTGCTGGTCAATACAATGTGTCTGGCCCCTTGGCCAACCATCCACTCAGCTAAGGACAGTCCTAGTCCACCTGTACCCGCTAAGCCAGCTAAGAGATAGGTTCTATCGCTACGAAGAAGGGGGAGCAAATTTGATGGCTTCAGGGGCACCGGCACTGTATCTGTGGCGGTCCAGTCTACGACGGTAGACCAAGCGTGCGGAGTCTTAATAAATTCTGCTGCAGACACAATGACAGCACGTGACGGCAATTTCGTTTCAGCGTCCAGTACAACGGAAACTGACTCGACTGCGTCTTTAAGCCTTATGGTAGCTCCGTTACTAACCGATCCAGTGTAAGAATCACAAGTTTGAAAGGCACTGGCATTAACGACTTTCAGTGACTTTGGATAACACTTCTTGATGCGCTCGATCAGGCTATGACTCCCAGACTTGTTGTTAGAAAAGTCAATGACCTCCGAGATATTCGGAGGCAAGTACTGCTTGATGACTCGGCTGCTAGCTAGGGGGTTGATCGAGACGAAGTCAGATTCAACATCGACTGCAGCACTTGTAATGCACGTGACGTCGAGCATCTTCTGTGTGGCTTGTTGCTTGAAATTTCTCATCAGGCCGAGGTCCGGCTCAATCAAGAGCAGCGTGGTCTTGAGTGCGGCCTCAGTGCAAATGAAAGAGGAAAAGATATGAGCTGAGATGGCGTTCAAGAAATCGGCAGATGATGTGTCCGTTGGACCATGGTACGGACAGACGCACTGTTTCTGGACTTCAATAATGGATGCGATGTGACCCGCCAGTGCCACGACCGGTATTTTCGCTTTCAAGTCGAGGCCAATGCAGGGATATAATGCTGTTCCTGAAGAGATTGGGAGAGCTGAAGCTGCAGTGTAGAGGACTTGCAATCTGACGACTTCTTCATCGCTGGTGATATCGGCAGTGGACGAGTCATGTTTGGAGAGACTGTACGATGACGTCTCATGTTGTTGTATCATGACTATTTCCTCTGAAGGATTGATTGGAGCTGAAATCTCGCGGCGCGATGAATTGTAGCAGTCGTTCCAGCGACGATTAGGTTTGATTCTTGGGACCAACATTTTCCCATTTCCATCAATCGCAACTTCCGAATCCCTACTCCACAACATGTCTTGCGCTCCGTTCTCCATTTCATTCCAAATATGAAGGCGCAACAGCTCATCAACGAGCACCTGGGCGCTGGGTTTTGTGTTGACATCAAAGTCGACGAACTGCAATCGAATGTGCGATAGCTCCATCATGATGGCTCGACCAAAGCCCACAGACATGTTCGCGTACGGCTCACTCTGTCTGCAACCCCGTGTCACCCAGAGCACATTCTGACCGTGGAGAAAAAGCGTCTTCAGTGCTTCAAATGACTCAGCCGACATGTCTTGGAAAATTGGCAGCTCCAGCTCAATTAAGCAGAGTACCGTAAGTTTGGATGAGAAGCTCTTCATGCTACTGAGTTCTTCTGGTGTCTGTACTGTTGCAATAGAAGAGCAGTGGTTCTTCAGCATGCGAGTCACGGATTGCGCGAGTCGATGGGTCCCGAGCGTGGTGCCCATCACGATTAGGAGGTCCCCGATCTGTGAAAGGGGAGATACCTCAGAAGTAGGCTCGATCAGCAAGCTGACGCGTTCGTCCACGGCTCGAGACACGATGACACCGAACGGATGCGGCAGGGTCTCCATTTCAGGGGTAATTGTCTCTATTCCGGAGAAGCCAGACTGTAATAACAGCGCATCCCACTGGGCAGAGGACACACATGGGGACCATGGACGACCAGAGTCAGCGCCAAGCCACCAGCCAGACAGACCGCCCATCGTGAAGGACATGCGCATGGTGTCATTGGCAGTAACTTCGAGCATGACCAGGTAACCACCTGGTTTTAAAAGTTTCCGTACATTTTCCAGTGTGAATTGCAAGTCCTTGGTGGCATGCAGGACAAGCGACGCAACAACCAGATCATAGGAATGCTCCTGGTATCCCTGGCTGACAATCTCCTTCTCAGCATCGAGGACCTGGAATACCATCCGCCCTGCATATTCGGAAAAGGCGCCTTGCGCTGTCTCGAAAAACCCCGGTGAGATGTCGGTGAACGTGTAATGGTCGAATGCCTCGCTGATTTTGCGCATAATGCTCTTCGTCGCGCCACCTGTTCCGGCGCCGATCTCGAGGATCCTCATATGCGGATAGCGGTGCGTGATCTGCGCGATGATTTCCGTCAAGAATACGGTGTACGGTCGTAGGCCCAGCGATTCGACATAGTACTGGTTCAACATGCCGTCCTTCAGCATATGTTCCAGGATGACCGTCTCACCCCTGACGGCTGCGGCCAGGTTCTCGCCCACACTGCGCATGAGCCGGACCTCAATCTTGTCGGCATATGCTTCCATGAGCTGATTCAAGTCTTCAGGGGTGTCGCTAGTCCATTCTTTCTTGGCGTACTGTTGCTTGCCGCTGTTCACCTGGTCCATGATGTGGCTCGCGTAGGCAAGCAGCTTCTGGTGGTGCCACTCTGTCTTCTTCCCTTCCTCCGGCGTAATTTCAAGCGTGAGCCGCCGGAGATAGAAGTACGAGATGCGCTCAAGCACCCAGCCCAGTTCAATATCGGCTGCTGAGGCTCTACTTCCACCTACCGCGAGCTCACCGTCTGGCGAAGCCACGCCGAAGACGTTGTCGAAGAACATTTGCACATCCTGCGCTGCGGAGGACGCTGCAAAGGGGACGATGTTGATGCCTTCAACTTGGATCATGCTCTGACTCCCGTCCGCGCTGTAAATATCGACATCACCGCAGATACTGACGTGTCCGCTGACTCTACCGTCAGATGTTACCGTCGAGTTGAAGGCTAATTGAGGATCCAGGTTGGAACGAAATGCCACTGGATCAATGCGAAGGTGATTGATGGAGGTGGGCACATGCAGTGACCACAAACAGCCATCACCTGGCCAAGAATATGCTAAGAAGATGGCTTGGAACGCTGCATCGAGGAATCCTGGATGAACGAGCAACTTCTGTTCTGACAGATGCACATTGGCCGTAGACTGCTTACACACTAGACCGCTGCCATGCCCAAATTTTCTCTTCATGGACCGAAGTGCCTGGAAGGAACCTGAATACTGGTAGCCAAGCTTACTCAATTCCGAGTAGAACTCGTCTTCATCGACATCCACCATATTCGGAAGGGCCGTCTCTCGAGAAGCCAAGGGAGACGACGGCGCGTAAGCGTCTCCAAGGAACAACTTGATGCACCCGCTTGCAATCAAGGTCGCAGTATCAGCATCTCTGGCCGTAGAGTGAAAACGAAAGCTAGCAACAACAGTCCCCTCATTCTGCTCTCCCGCGTCCTGCTCGATGTGCAGATGAAACATCGTTTCCACGCCACTGTTCTCATCCTCGAACGCAATAGCCTTGACGATCGACAGGTTTTCAAGCTCGATGAGCTGTACAGATCGCTGATTGGCAAGATGCACGCCCGCCTCGAGGGCAAGGGCCACGTATCCCGCGGCGGGAAAGACTATCTGTCCCTGAAGCTGATGCCCTGTCAACCATGGCAGCTTGGAGAGATGCAGGATGTTTTGCCAGACAATGTCCAATTCCGTCGAGTCAGGGCTCAGCGTACCTAGCAGGGGATGGCCTGGATGCGGGCGGGTGCGTAACGCCCTGGACCGGCGCGACTCGTGCCAGAAGTTGCGCTCGTGGTCCCACTGGTAAGTTGGTAGGTTCTTGAGGAGCACTGAGTGGGACTGCTGCTGCGGGTGGACGATTTTCTGAAATTGTTCGAAGTCAACCACGCCCTCGGGGGAGTTCCTCCAAATCAGTCCAAGTGCTGCAGCCAAGGTCTCGGCACCATTCTGGTTCCGGACCAGGCAGGATCCATAAGAAGGAATGGGCTTCACGGCCGCCTTCATGGTGTCCTCCACGGGTCCACGCAGTGCCCCATGTGGACCGACCTCGAGAGCCATAGTAAGCTTGTTACCGAGGTGCGTGATCGCGGCTTCCACTGCCGCCGAGAATAAGACTGTCTGAGTCATGTTGCGGCACCAGTAGAGTGCGTCCAACTCCTCGTTCTCATTTTTGCAATCCATGAGCTTGCCCTGTTGTACGGAAGAGAACCATCTACAGTCATCAAGTGGCTTCCCAACCTTTATTGATGCCTTCCGAAGCGAATCAACGTAAGCCCCAGCGCAAGGCAGCATATGGTGTGAGTGATAAGCTTTGTCGACTCGCAGTGCTCGTACAAATTTGTCCTCGGCGTCGAATACCGTCTTGGCCTCCTCAACAGCGTCATCATCTCCTGAGAGAGTGACACTCGTGGGCGAGTTGCAGGCTGCGACGCAGATGCGCCCCTCGAACTCCGGCAGCGCGCACAGCTCCTCGGCATCCTTAGCACTCGTACCTACCACCATCATAGCCCCCGCCTGTCCGGCGGGGCCAATGGCGAGGCTTGAATGCAAACCCCGGTAGTACGCTACCAGAACCGCGTCCCGGGCGGAAAGGACACCACAAGCGTATGCGGCAGCAATCTCGCCAGAGCTGTGGCCGATGACAGCAGCGAACTTGATGCCGGCTGCACACAGGAGGTCCACTAGAATGATTTGCACCACGGTGCAGATGGGCTGGGATAGGGCGGCGGTATCTAGCCTCGACCTAGAACCATCAGCTAGGATTTCGGCTTTCAGGGACCAGGAGGGTCGGTCCGCTTGAGGGAGCGTCGCTAATACGGCCTCGAGGTACGCCAGACGGGCTTGAACGAAAGGTGAATCCTGGATCAGCTCCTTTCCCATGCCTGCCCATTGGGCGCCTTGTCCTGTGAAGATTCCGAGTATTTGCGCCGGATTGCTGGATGCTCGAGTTATAGCCGTGGACGCCCCATCGGGCTGTGCGATCGAGGCTTCAATCCGCTGTCGCAAGTCTTGGGCGCTGAGTCCGGGATAGGCGGCGCGATACGGGAATATGGAGCGGCGAGTGCTAAGGGTAAATGCGAGGTCGGTAAGGTTGACCGATGGGGTTTCATCCAAAAATTTGATGACGTCTTTCAACGTTCTCATCAAGGACGATTTCGTGAGCGCGGAGAAAGTGAAGGGGAGGAGGCATGGCTGATGCTCTGGTCTCTCGTTGGCGTCGGCGATGTGGTTGAGATGAAGAGCGGGCTCATAGCTCTCCACAATGGCGTGTGCGTTCGTCCCTCCGAAACCGAAGCTATTCAAGCTGGCCCGCCGCGGCTCTCCAGGCACAAGCTGGGGCCACTTCACGGCTTTAGTTGGCACCTTGAGATGTTGGATGAACGGCTGGATTGCTGGGTTCAGAGTTTCGAACAACAGATTTGGTGGGATGACTCCGTGCTGCAATGCCAATGACACTTTCATCAGCCCTGCGATGCCTGCAGTACCTTCTGTGTGGCCGATGATGGATTTGATAGAGCCGACGAACAGCTTCTCCTGGCGAATACCACTCTCTATCGGATTTACGCTGTCTATACGACTTCCAATAGCACGATGAATTGCCTCGGCCTCTATGGGATCCCCCGCCAGCGTCCCCGTGCCATGCGCCTCGAAGAACTGTGGCCTTCCTTGCGGCGTACTCAGATCCAGTCCTGCTCGTTTGTACGTGTCCTCCACCAGCGCCACCTGCGCATCAGCACTCGGCACCGTGATCCCGCGGGTGCGTCCATCCTGGTTTACCCCGGTTTCGCGGATGACGCATTCGATGTCATCCCTATCCGCAATGGCATCGCTCAACCGCTTTAGTAATACCGCTCCAACGCCGTCTCCGCGAGCGTATCCGTCAGCTCGCGCGTCCCACATCTGACTCCGCCCCTGCGGTGAAAGCATATGAAAGGTGCTCTCGGCGATGTACGCTTCCGGCCCGAGAAGAAGGTTCGTGCCGGCTGCGATGGCGACGCGAGACGTGCCGGAGCGGATGGCCTGAACAGCTTGATGGACGGCGACTAGGCTGGAGGAGCATGCCGTGTCGATCGTCATGCTAGGGCCACGCCAGTCGAAGAAGTATGAGATCCGGTTCGAGACAATGGAGCGGGCTGTGCCGGTGGGGAAGTACTGCGGTCATGTCAGTTCGCTATAGGTACTTGATCGCTCCCCTATTTCAAGAACGTGAATTGAAATATCTTGAAAGCCTCGTGCGAGTGGTAGGTTCAAAGACATGAACACATTCTCTTTGTGATCTACCAACAGAAGAGTAAAAAGAGCTGTTGAGCCACTAACCTTCGGCATCGCATTCAGGTCCCTCAACTGCATATCGCTATATTCCTCACACATCAAACCCACGAATACAGCGGTATCACTACCCTTCAATCCGCTCATTCTCTGCCCGCCCGCCTCCAGCGCCTCGTAGACACACTCGAGCAACAGGCGCTGCTGTGGGTCGATGGCGTTCGCTTCAGCCGCGGAAACGTTGAAGAAGTCGGCATCAAACGCCCGGTGGTCTTCGGACAACACGTACGAGTGGCGCACGTTACTGTGCCCGTGATACTCGCCATCTGGGTGGTAGAAGCCTTCCGGGTTGAAGCGCGTGGACGGGATCTTGGAGAGAACGTCGCGCGGCTGCGAGAGTAGGCCCCAAAGCTTCGAGGGAGATGACGCATTTCCTGGAAAGCGGCATCCGGAGCCAATAACGGCGATGGGCTCACCAGGTGGAACTGGTGTGGATTGAATCATTGTTGAAAAGAGCTGGTATCTAGGGGAGGTGTGGTCTGGACTATGTTTCTAGAAGAAACACACTGTGCCTAAAAATGTAAGTAAAGGGGTTTTCCCCTCTATTGAGTTCATGTTGTATTGTTTACTATGAGGCGGTCAAGACTGAACCCTTAAGGCTGCTTATATATTTCCAGCCTGTATGGTTGAGACACATTCGGCAGTGCCATCCATCCACTTATTCCTGCTTCTGGATAGTAGCGCGTTTGTACGCGGCCAAAAACGAGTCGGCGTTATATGAATAGTGCTTACAGTAATAACCGACACCGAGCCCTTTTTCGGATACATGTCTAGTTACCGAATTCTTTCTTGAGGGATAGGTTAGCTTGCCGAGTCACCATGGTTCTAGACCTACGTTTTCGGGAACTTTATGTACACCCAGGTGTGACCACATATGATTAACTAGAAAGAATTGGAGTTGTGGGGCTTGTGGAGGCGGCTAACGGGATTAGGGAGGGAGAAATCATGATCTAGCAGCGCAAGGCTGACGGGGGCATAAAGGGGTCTTTCTACTGTGAGTTATTGGCTCGTGTGATCTGCTGACTTCGTGTTCAGCTGCATGATCTCAGTAGATAGTGTCTCTTGTCAGTCTGACCAGCTTCTCCAAAGCGGATTTGAGAGTGAGGCTCGTGCTTTCAGCTCATCAGACCCCATAATCAGACGAGTCCAAAGCAGACATTATAAAAGTCTTCGATTTCATCATTACAGTTTTCAAGCTTCCAGTCATGTACGTATTTGATCACACAATATTGTCCTTTGCCAGCTGTCATTCTCATACTAAGCTTTCTACACCTCCAATTCGAAGCCGAGGCGCAACATCGATTCAACATCATACTCGCCTCTCTGCTACCCTGCCACAGTCTTTGCTTCATACTTAAGTATTGTTGCCCAGAATGTTGATATATCCAAGAGAGAGTTTGGACAAGAGCATACATATGAAAAAGTAGATTTTTCTCCAACCCTCTGTGTCGAACCATCAGCATAGGTCGCAAAGGTAAGAGAGGAAAAGATCCATGCGCGGAGCACTCACGCGGCAGGACATTAACGTTCGTATTTCCCACACCACTGTATACCTGCTCGCCCACTTTGCCGCCCGACGCTCCGGACAAGAAGCCCGTGAGACCCGAGTCGCCGCCGCCAAACGCCACGTCGAATGCCACATGCTTGTGCGCCAGCTCGAACCGCCACTCCTCACCATTCTCGCCAGACTTCAAGTACAGAATGCAGCCAGTACTCTTGTCCTGGAATGGACCTGCGATTCCTGTCTCATACGTCGGCTTCCATTTGACCACCGTCCCCCCTTGATGCTCATTCTCTTTCGGGTCACCAGCACCCGACTCCACGCTACCTCGCTCCACCAAAGCTCCAAATTCCTTCCGCCCATCGCGCGCTACGTACCCGCTCGTGTACGTCTTCCCATCCTCCTGGCTCGTGAACTCGTTACATGTGACGCTCCAGGGCCCCACTACCGCCCGGCACACTCGCCACCCGCGCACGGTGTCGAACCAGCTGCCCGCCGCCCAGATGTGCACATGGCCTCCGATACCCTTGAAGCGGAGCGGGCGGCCCTGCACTACCAGATCTGCTTCGAAGACGGCAGTGGGGATGACCTCGACGTAGTGAATCTTGGGGCAAATTTGCGTTGACGCGTGACCATTTGATGCACCCTCGCCGCTCACTCGCACCGGGTGGCTCTCACCATGCGGATAGTGGGGTGGAGCCGTGGACGTCAGCGTGTACCAGCCCTGGATCTCGGGCCCGTCGAGGTCGACGCGCGCGCTGCTGCCGTCGGCCGCGATGGTGTGCGTGTACAATTTACGCGGGCCTGTCCAAACGCCCTTGATCTGCCCGGCGTTCTTCTTGCTGTCGTTCCTACCATCTCCAGACCCATTACCATTCACCCCATCAATGACATCGCAATCCGTTTCCTCAAGCGCAGCCTCGCTCATCCAATCTGCATGATTGAAGTGCTTCCCGTCGGGAAATGTTATGTCGAATTCCATGCGCAGGTGACCCTGCCCAAGCATCGCGTAGCTGGCATCGCGCGCGAAGATCATCGTTATGCCGGACTTGCTGTCGGCCGCCACGCTGTCGAAATACCACTGCTCGAATACCGGACCCTTGATCCCGGAGATGCGCCATGCGGCCAGTGGATCCTCAGAGGATGTTGAGAATTGGATAGGCTCCTTCTCGCGCTGATAGGCGGTTCTGCGATTGGTACGCCGCATGACCGTCGTGGTGGTTACGGAACGGATTGATAGGAGTAGTGGGATCCGGCAAAGAAGCCCTGACAGATGAGAAGGGCTTTGTGAGTGGACTTTAGCGGTGAGAAGTAAGGAAGGTAATTTAATTGGGGGTGTAGGCAAATTGGAACGATGAGAGAAGTCTCCCAGAATGCTGGGTTGGACCGTCTATCTACTCCCGTCTGTAAATTCCATGCTCAAGCCTTCTGCTTGCATCTGAGTTCACCGCCTGCAAGAGGGAGACTCGGTGCTTTTCGGCCACTTTTTCTTCGGCCAACTTGTTTTCTGCACCGAAAGGTTCTGGGTTGACTCCGAATCCTTCTCGAGCACTGAAGCGATTAAGTTCGTTAGCAAGCAAAATTCGACAATGCACGGACCGAATCTGGAAGTTACCCAGGCAAATTTCCACGTTCACTCCGTATAATGTCTATCATTCAATGACACAATACTGTGAGATACGTGTAGTCTCTACGAACGCACTTCGTACACATAAATTAACACTTCTGCCAAGGAGTAATATTACCTGTGTAAAGTAAACGGTATATGAAAAACGATTATCAAGGGGGCTCGGCACTCGTGTTCAACTGTTCACCAAATGCAAAATGCTTTGATGTCGTTACCTTGAAGGTTCACCACCTGTGAAAATCTCTGCTATCGGATACTCGCTTTTCGGTCAACCCCATTGTCGAGGACAAGCTTAGTACTCATTCTACATAAATGGCTTAGCATCCATTTCACACCTATTTCATTGAATTGGCACTCGAGCAACACTACACTAAGTATCTGAGACTGTACTTCCCTCATCTGCGGCTGCTCTCACAATGCTTAGTTTCTCGTCTAAGAACCGAAAGGTTCTATACTGTAGCAGACTCCATGCACCACACTTTGCCTGCAAACCACCATCCGACCACGCCTTGGCAATCCACACTTCCTTGTCTTCCTTCCTCACATTAACCAGATTGTCATACAAGAGATCCGTGCTCAGCTCCGGAAGGAACGACTTCGGATCGGCTGCAGCCCCGGAGATCAAAACAGGGCAACTGATCCGCGCCAGGTAATCCTTTCCGGCTTCATCCTCGCCCTTCCGACTTCGCAACTTGAACGTATACCGCATCATCTCCCGCAGGGTATCGCACGGGCTCGCACATCCGAACATGCCCTGCGCGAGCGCGAACTGGTACCGCGTCGCCACGTCCGCCCTGCCGTGCCGGCACACCGCCCAGTCGATGAACCAGTCGCCCATCCACCCGCCCAGCCACGGACGCACCATCCAGCCCGGCATGCGCGCATTGGCCAGATCCCACATGTCGTAGAAGGAATCGACGGCCACGCACGCCTTGACGCGCGGGTCCGCGGCCCCGCGCAGCGCCAGGTACCCACCCAGGGACTGGCCCGTCAAGACGACGGCGTCGACGTCGAGGCCGATGTCCGGATGCCCGGCGGCGTACGCGCGCAGGAAATCGAGCACGGGCCCGCAGACGGACTCCCAGTCCGGCCGCATGGGCAGCCCGTCCCGCCGCAGCACGAGCCCCTGGCCCGGCCCGTCGAAGGTCAGGACCGCGTACCCGAGCGCGGGACCCTCGGCCACGGACAGGAAATAGAGCTCCTCCTGCGTCGAGTCGGCGCCGCCGACGCAGACGAGCACGGGGGTCTGGCGGTCCGGGAGGCGCTGCGAGGGTGCCGGCAGGTACAGCCACCCGGGCAGGCCGACCCGCCTGCCCTGCTCCGTCTCGTACGGGATCGCAACTTGCCGGGGGCGATGGGGGAAGAGCCGCGTGGCGGCCTCGAAGCACGCGGTGCTGCGCTCGTAGACGGCGAGCAGGTGCGGGCGCTCGGCCGCGGGCGCGGCGGGGTGGAGGTATTGCGCCGCGCGGAAGTAGTTGCTCGCGCGGAGGAAGGCGTTGCGTGCCGCGGCGGCGTGGCCGTGCGCCCGCGCGTCGAGCGCGAGTAGTTCGACCTTTTCGGCTTGGTGGAGAAAGGTGCGTTGCCAGGAGAGGGCGTCGTTGGGCCGCAGCTGGGTGACGGCCTCGAGGAACTCGGCCACGTCGCACCCGCCGTGGGGGGCGGAGCCGAGCAGCCGGAGGAGCTCGAAGTTGTACCAGCCGTAGTCGAAGTAGTGGTTCGCGGGGCTGTATTTGAAAAAGGGGTACATGACGGGGAGTTGTGGACGGCTAGAGCGGTGGATGACAGAAACACCGTGGTTGATGCGTTTAGGGGGTATGGAAGTGTCGGAAGATGTGTTTCGTGAAAGACGAAGTGAGATGGAATTGTAAGGATGATATAGGCGATCAACAGATAGCAAGATTAGCTGCTTATAAGATGTGAGACTCACGACTGCTTGCGTTTCCGTCAAGCACTCTGAAGTGACCGAATCTTAGAAGTGACCGAATAAAGTCGCTCCTTTGATTTTTCTCGAATCGCGGGACAAGAAAATCTACATCTTTACTCGATGACTACTGTACTTCCTACAACGGATACAACGTAAAGACCAATCAGCGGAGGAAGTAGCTTTGAGAGTGCATTCTCGGATACTCATTACTTGTGAATCTTTTCGATTATTCTGTTTTTGTCCTCAACAACGGTTTTTTACTCCTCTAGCATCGTACAACATTTTTTTTACTGCTCACAGATGAATCGCGGTGTTAGCAAGCGAACCGAATCGCACATGTAGGGAGAGTGCATTACATAAATAATAATCCCCGCATGGCTAACCTACCATTTTAATTACATCTTTTGTTTTAGCGCAAATGTGATCTACCATGACCTCTCATCCTCACAGCATTATAACCCATCCTCTCCTCAATAGTTCAAACCTAACCTCGGTATCAACATCAACCCCACCCCCTCTGCCCTCCCCTTCACTTCCCCAGCTCCAACACTACGGCCGCCAAAACACAGCTCCAATTCGGCAAATCCACCAGTAAAAGCCTCCACCCATTGACCCTCTTAATCATCCCTAGTCCCTTCACCGTAGCCTTGGCGTCAGTACCCTCCCAGCACATCTTCGCCGCTCGATACTTGGGGCCCACCAACGAGACACTCAGCACCTCGAGCCCCAGCGCTATGCCGTACAGCTGACGCACGCGAGGGCCCATGCCCGCGTTTACGGCGAGGTTGGGCAGGGTGTTGCAGGTCAGCAGGGCGAGGGCGAGCAGGTGGGCGGTCAGGACGATGGGGCCCAGGTTGAAGAGGTAGGGACGGGTCCAGGCGCGGACGGAGGGGGCGTGGGCGGTCGGCACGGACAGGTGCATGAAGGTGGTAAAGGCGATGGTTTGGGTGAGGGTGCATATGTGGCTGTTTACCCGGGAGGGGAAGGGGGCGCATGTTAGCTGGGTGGTGCGAATGGAAGAGGGGAAGGGGGGGAGGGTTTGGGCTCTGAACGGATAGGGGTGGAGACGGCGATGGGGACCGAGATGGGGGCGGAAGACGTACCCTGCTGTGGCGGTGATGAGGGGAGCTATGCGCAGGAGGACGACAGCTGGGGAGCCCATGTTGAGAGAAAATGTGATGGAGGGCGGAGAAGGATTTCTGCGTGAGAAGTCGTGTGCTCGGTAATGTTGCGAATTGAAGACGTTGAGATGGATCAATTGCTAGAAAGAAGAAGAAGAAGAAGAAGAAGAAGAAGAAGGAGAAGAAGGGCTACTTTCAAGTCTCTGAGACCGATGCGAAATTCGGTCAGATAATGCAAGCCCGCAGACGGCCTTATGTAAGAGCCAAGTTCCCTTGTAATCCAGACTGAACTGATCATTGCGCACAACATATACACCACCATCCATAAGAACCCACAAGAATCCAACTTGGGCGAGCCTGACCATCATTATACTCAATCATCATCATTGCAGACAGTTGGGTTGGAGTGGAGTGGGTCCAGAGTGCGGGGATAAGTAGAGTACGAAGTAGTTAGGTACGGATTAGCTACTAATTTCCGTCGGAGAGAGTTTAGCCAATCTGCTCTTCAGACTTCGGTCACGTTCCGACTTGGCTGAAACGTCGGAAGATGGGAATTCGATAAAGGAAGGATAGTAGAATAAGGGGCTTTAAGAGATACGTAAGAAGTCTACCTTGATATCTACACAACAGATACAATTACAATATTTTGATAAACATCGCTTAATGTGTGTAAACACGGTAATGACTGCTAGCGGTAATTACTGTGACGCGACCCTGCATCCTTAAACGCGGCTGCCCGTGATTGGTACGCGGGCTCCAGAACCGTACACCCTAGCGCCTAATTTGGACTAGGGTGTACGACGAATTCTGGAACCCCCGTGATTGGTAAGGTACCTTAATCTTAGTGTGAGAGATCTGCAAGTAGCGCGAAATAGGTCGGTCCTTGAAAATGGCGGGGACGAAGGGATCACTCGGCCACTTATTTAGCACCCGCAGAACGGGAGGCCCAACGTTTCATACTTTCATCAATATTCGATCTCTCGAAGATCATCTTCTGATTTTGGTGGGGATGATTACGGCCGCTGCAACCACTGTTGCGGAATGCGAGAATGAGGCGGATAGACAAACTCCGGCATCTCGGCTCTCGGGTCGTGCTGCTTCCGTTGTAAAAATAGAAAATTTGGTTGCTTACCTTACTACTATATGCTCATTGCTCACAATGGAATTGACCAAAATCTTGAGCAGCTAGTCCATAGATAGCATAGCGGCCTTATGGATAGATAGATCCCTCCTTCCTCCTGAGCCCATGTACTTTACTGTCCTAGGCAATCACCACACGGAATCTTTACCATAGCCAGTCTTCAGTCTTCCTCTCAAAAAGAACATACTCACATACTCATAACACCTAACATCTAACACCTTACATCGAAGAGGATGAAGTTCACAAAGCCTGTACAAGCGGACGCTATGGAGGATCATCCTGCGACCGCAATCACCGTCAGCTCGAGTGAAACAGAAGCACAAGCCCATCAGAAGGCGGTAGATGACCAAGCTACCCATCCAGCATTGCAAACAGTACCACACTCTGACTCCGACAATGTCGCCGCCGACTTCAAGAACACTACCCACTCCTGGCGCTTCTGGGCCATCCTCGCCTCCCTCTCCATATCAGGCCTGCTCTCCGCCATCGAAGGCACCATCATCACATCCGCTTTGCCAACTATCATCGCCGATCTGGGCGGTGGTGAGCTCTACCTCTGGATCGCCAACGCCTTCTTCCTCGCGTCGGTCGCCACACTCCCTCTCTATGGACAAGCAAGCGACATTCTTGGCCGGCGCTGGCTGATGCTCTCTGCCGTGGCTCTCTTCACTCTGGGCAGCGGTCTCAGCGGCGGCGCTTCAAGTATGAAGATGCTAATCGCCGCACGTACTGTCCAGGGTCTGGGCGGCGGCGGCATCAACATGCTGATCGAGCTGATCGTGACGGACCTAGTACCACTTCGAGAACGTGGGAAATACATGCCCGTGGTCCTCATCGCCAGTCTTCTCGGCGCTGCTTTAGGACCCTTCATTGGAGGCGTCATCACGAGCAACACCACCTGGCGCTGGATTTTCTACCTAAATGTTCCCATCGGCGGCGGTAAGTCTTTCCTGAGTCCAAACAATCTCATTCGGCGGCAGTGTTTTTTGTACGCAAATAACGTGTACTCCCGAAATTCGTCTTTCAATCCCCCTTTTCACTCTCCTGTCTTTCTCCTTTGGACAATGCTGACTTCGGAACGTGTACAGTGGCGCTGGTGCTGCTATTTTTCTTCCTGCACACCAACTATCAGAGTGACCAAACGATGGCACGCCGCTTCGTGCGCATTGACTTCTCCGGCAACGCCATCTTCATCGCGACCATCACAGCCGTACTGCTAGCGCTGACATGGGGTGGCACGCTGTACGCCTGGAGCAACTTCCGCGTCATCTTGCCTCTGGTCCTCGGCTTCCTCGGCCTTTGTCTCTTCGTCGCCTTCGAATGGACGCCCCGTCTGTGCCCAGAGCCCTCCTTCCCGCAGGTCTTGCTCGCGAATCGTACGTCATCCGCTGCGCTCGCGCTGACCCTTATCCACTCCATGATGACGTACTGGATCTTCTACTTCCTTCCCATCTACTTCCAAGCCGTACAGAACTCATCCCCCGAGCGTTCTGGCGTCCAAACCCTGCCCATTTTCGTGGGAATACTCCCCTTTGCAATGGCCGGCGGACTTCTGTTGTCGAAAACAGGGCGGTACAAGCAGATGCATTTCGCCGGCTTCGCATTGCTCGCCGTCGCGTACGGGCTGTTCAGCATTATGAAACCAGGGTCTCGTACCGCAACGTGGGTTTGCTTCCAGCTGCTGGCCGCGATAGGCGCTGGGGGACTTGCTGGCATTATACTTCCAGCCATGCAAGCACCACTGGACGAGAGCCACGTGGCGACTGCGACAGGCGTGTGGAGTTTCGTGCGCGGGTTCGGTGCCATCTGGGGTGTCACGATCCCCAGTGCGGTGTTTAATAACAAGTGTGATAAGCTGGCCAAGGGATTGAGCGATCCGAAAATCGCAGAGATGCTGAGTGGGGGCAAGGCGTACCAGTACGCGACGGCGGCGTTCGTGAAGGGAATTAAAGATGAGGCCTCGCGTGGGGAGGTGGTGCACCTGTTCACGAAGTCGATGCAGCTGGTGTGGCTCGTGGGGATTGCGTTTGCGGGCATCGGGTTCCTGATCACGTTTGTGGAGAAGGAGGTGAAGCTGCGTGATGAGTTGGACACCAAGTACGGCATGAAGGAGAATGCTAAGGGGGAGACGGGGCTGGATAAGGGAGAGGACATGGAGATGAAGCCATACGAGACGACAAAATCGGCGTGAGTTACTTCTTCAGGAGACCGACGAGGGGAAGGCCTATAAGTGGGCTCATTTCAGCACTCGAGCCCTCATTTTCAATGAAGAGTTGCAGACGTTGTAGTAATAGCTTTGACTCTAGCAGCATAAGATACCCTAAATAGCTTTGACATGGAATGGCACAGAGAGCTCAATAGATGACTTCGAAAACCACGCCAGAATACATATACTGAATGTATCGCCAGGATTCGAGCCCCAGACACAAAGCTTATCAGTGCCTCAGGGCGAGTAATCCGTGCTACCCCGACACGCGCAAGCTGGGGTGAATGCCAAGCAAAGAACCGTAGGAGGGTTTGCAAGAGCCCCTGTGTACATGTACGTGTAGGACGGACGATAAGAACCATGAAGAGTTAATTCTATTCGAAATCTTCTGGTGTCCTCACCACCGAACCCGAACCCTATCCCTCGACATCGACATCGACGAGGAATGAATCAATCCCGTCCTTCGACATCTGTACCGTGAATGCATACCATGATCCATCAACATCCGTACCGTGAACATGAATCATGATCTATCAACATCCCGACTACTCCGAACCGACCATTCGCCACAGTGGCCACTGGGACTGGGGTTGTAGCGGGTCACATCATATGCACCTGTTCCAGGGACTTTGTCGGGAAACCCCCCGGTGAGGGGTCGGAGATAGGTGTCCGTACGGTCTATACAGCTATCGATTTCATATCTATTCATGGCTCGTGATTCGATCTCGTTTCTTTTGGACTTTTTGTAGAACCCAGCCACCCACCCAGCCACCCAGCCACCCAGCCACACCCACCACAACCCACCACCCACCCACCCCACACTCCACCCACCCCCACACCCCACCTATACATATACATAGCCAGCTAACTACCATCACACTCCAGATACCACGGGAGAGTTTATCTCGCGCCGGGATGTATAGTACGAGAAAACACGACCGTAGTCCGAGCCCCCAAGTGTGCACATCCAGACTCCGCCATCCCCGGGCGTGAGACCCGGCCGATGAACCCCACTTGTTGACAATGGCCTCGATCCTGGATACAGGTATGACGTGGTCGATCCAAACAGGAACGGGGACCAACCGAACGTAGGGGATTCGATCCCGACACCATCGACTTTTTGCATAAAAAAGGGGTCACCGCGACCCGACCGACTCGGATGCGAATTCCTTCGTCACCAGGATCCGACCCCCACCCCCGTCCCGCGCGGCGGACGCCGTGTGCAGGCCGCCCTCGTCCCCGCCGCTCCCGAGCGCCTCCCGGTTGCCGTACCAGCCCCGGGTGATGTCCGCCATGCGGATGGCCCTGGACGAGTGGCCGTACGCCTTCGAGCGGGCGCCGCCGCCGCGGAAGCAGTGGTTGTAGAGGGGCCTGCAGGTGGGGAGGCAGGCGGAGGAGATGCCGACGCCGAGTTCCACGGTGGAGAGTTCGGCCGTGTTGACGTAGTTCCCTGGGGTTTGGGTTTTAGAGTGAGGGGATCGATGAAGGGTTGGGGGGAAGGGGTTTTTTCGAGGGATATGCGGGGGAGCTGGCTTACAGGTTGAGTCTGCGCCCTCGGCTTGCTGGACGAAGAAGACTCGGACCAGACTGACGATGCAAGCGCTAGAGTGGGGCCGGTCAGCGCGGATGGACAGGGATACGTTCTAGCGGGTTGGGGCGTGACTTACCACCCGCCAAGGAGGAACAGTGATAGCAGCAGTCTTCTCCGAGAAGGGGAGACTTTCAGGTTCCATAGCAGAGGCATGGGGAGAGTAAGGAGTATGACATCTGTTATTATATTGCTGATAGCGATTCCAAGAATGGCGGCTCCGAGATCGATGCATTTACCCTTCACGTTACGATCCCACTGTGATGCTATGGGCATACACGGCACGATGTCGAGGGGTACTTGGGCAAGTGCGGTGCCCACCACGATAGCCCCGGTTCCAATCAAAGCGTGTTTGAACCAACGTTGAGGGAAGATGCGACGGTAGAAGTAAACAATTGAGAGTTTGATGGCGAGCATCGTCAGGTTGTAAGCGGTTGCGCCGAATATTGATGTCTGCAGGATAATTCGTATGTCAGTAATCAAACGATAGGATGATCCTGGCACGAGGATATCTCGACTTACCACTACAAACCCCTTCGTATTGGTAACAAGGACTACGTGTCTTCCCAAGCCAAAGTGAACCAGGACTTGATAGGCAGCAATGTAGACAGTGAAGAGGAACTGAAGAAGATCAACTATCAGTTCTATATACAATTACTGAATATAATTATGGATGACTGACCAGCGCACCCCATATCCACCAATCATCCGCTCGATGCTCCACCTGTGCAAGACGACGGGAGAAAACCCTCAGTAGCACTGCGACCACCGCGAGTGTATAACAGATAACATTCGAAACAGTTATTCCAGTCCTTCTGTCATCTCCTATGTGGGATCTCTGGAAAGCAATCTCAGAAGGAGAAAGTGTGGCCATGTCTGCTATACTGAGAGGAAACGAACTTTGACAAATCAAGCGCACCACTGCAACGATGACGGAGAGGCACTGTTACGGATGTAGCGCACTTGGATACAATGGATCCAAGTCGAGAATTGCGCCATGATATAGGGAAGCAAGTGCTGGCACATGGGATCGAGGAGCCTGGCCCTAGGACAGGGTCGTGGTGCGCGACGCCGCACGAGTCTCTAACACTGTTACGTACTCGAACTCACCCGCCGCGGCTTACCTCAGACTTTTAAACCAGCCCTCGAAATGCGATGCAACACACACACACACCTCTTGTTTGCAAATCGAAGCATGTTCACGCGACGGCGTGTCGCTCTTCTCGTCAGTCAGCACTTGTTGCGAGCATGCATGCAGCCGAACGGGTTTCGCAGAAAACGATTCGGGAGACAACAGTTGGAGGGAAAAGGGTACTTACGCACGACTTCCCGACCCGCAGAAGGGATGAGTCAGGTAGGTACTTTCGCCGGTCCCGCCAGGCTTTGAGATCTTACCCCGACCTGCACTGAAGAGAATCCTGCACGTTCCGTCCAAACTCTTTGAAGCAGCCGGACGCGTTTTCTGCAGGATCATCTCATGACACTGCAACTCTGATCTGCATTGAACAAGATCTTTCGCCCTCTCAATTATCAGAGCGGTCGGATCCGTTCGCTGCGAAAATGTTTCAACGAGTAGTAACTCTGATCTGCATTGATAAAAATCTCTCTCACCCTTAAGCGTTGAAAAAGTCCAATCCGGTTTCTGTAAAACATCGTCTCAAAGCATAGTAACTTTGATCTGTATTGAAAAAAAATCAATCATCTCATGGATTGGTGGGTAAATGTTCTCGACCGATTGCATCTCTTCGTGCAACTCACCGCAACTCGACAGTAAGGCTGTTTAAAACAACAATTTCAGTATCGTGATCTTGATCCATAAGCAGATGGAAAAGTTTCGCATCAGAAAGTCTCATTGTAGGATTGGTCGTTGAAAAGCTATTGCGTTGTGAGGACGGCGAATTTCTTGCCAAGATAATCTACACGCAAGATACCAATTTAAGGGTAGAGTACCCCGCCGGGAGGGGCCCGCTAGGGCGGCATTAATACCGACTCATGAACAGGGCTCGCCGTGTTGGCACCAGGATTTATCCCTGGTTAGGGACGACTTTTTGCCCGGGAGCTCCCGTACTTTAGTGGAGTGGCAATTAATACCGCCCTAGTCATGGCCCAACAGCCAGGGACAGGGAGACTGTCTCTTGAAGAGTTGAAACATCAGTTCTTGATCATCAAAGTAGTCGAATTCGTCTTTAGTAGAACTGATGTAAAAGACAGCAACTTTGATATATTTCTTAAAACAGTGCCTTATGTCTTCGCATATACTCGGCGACTAAGATTTCTAAGAAGTTTCTCGTCGAGCAAGATCAATGAAGAAGTATGCTGTAACAGTCAAGGCAACTTATAGTACTACTTTACGAGAGGGTCAAGACATCTTCATCTAGATAATGTGCACTTGATAGATACTCTCTACTTCTTTCTCAAGGCGCATGGATTACTCTGATATCCGCAAACACTAAACCGATCTGAGAGAATGTACAGATAGCGAAAAGATGTCCACTGTCCGCTATTCAAGATGCAAGCAATAGGTTGAGATGACGGCATTAAAAAACAATTGAACCTGTCCGGAAGGTATCCTCTTATCATCTCTCTGACTGTCTTCCCGGATATTCAGCTACTGCAATCGAGTAAAAGACCCAGCTACACTTCCATCGGACAGCTGTTTTCTACCAACGATTGAACAGCACTTTACCCGCGGGATTTCAAAGCAAGAGAAAGTCCACCGAGCCCTGGGGAACGGATCGCTACGATTTCTCAGCTTGAGGGCCAAGAATGCTGACGATCGCAACTTTTCGGAGCAAGCGAGGCGGGGACCGAGAAAAGTGGCCGAGCCAGAGGCTTGTCTACACCGAAAACCGGAGGGGAAGACCTCAGAAATCACAAGTGCCCCTAGAAACTCATCTACAGCGTATACCCTTAAAACAGCAAAGAAAACCATCATCTTCTCCAGCCCACATCCAACATCTCCCCCGTCCACACTCTATCCACCCAGCTCGCATCAACCCGATCCCAACCACAATCCCACCCACTACAGCCCACCCACTCACTCTTCCCCCCAAACCTCCCCACCCCATGCTCCCAACCAACAACCCAACAATGCCGCTCCCAACCACCACCGCTCCCAACCAACAACCCAACAATGCCGCTCCCAACCACCACCCCAACGACGCCGCCCCCCCCCACCCAAACCGCCATCCTCACCCTCGCCACCGGCGCCCTCGCCATCCACCCCACCCACCCCACCCCCCCCGCCCACCCCCACAACAACACCCTCCTCGTCCGCACCCACGCCCTGGCCCTAAACCCCTCGGACCACAAAATGCCCACCCTTCTCCGGACGCCCAACCTCGCCGCCGGGTGCGACTTCGCCGGCACCGTCGCCGCCGTGGGCTCGGACCCGGACGCGCCCGCCCGGCCCGGCTGCGCCCCCTGGGCCGTCGGCGACCGCGTCTGCGGCGCCGTGCACGGCTGCAACGTGCTGCGGCCCGGGGCGGGGGCGTTCGCGCCCTGGGTGGAGGCGGACCCGGTGGTGTTGGTGCGGATGCCGCGGGGTTGGGGCTGGGCGGAGGGGGCGGCGTTGGGGGGGAGCTGCGTGGGGGCGGTGGGGTTGGGGCTGTTTCGGGAGATGGGGCTGGAGGGGCCGAGGGAGGGGGGGGGGACGGGGGGCCGGGGGGAGACGCGGCGGGGTTGGGGCGGACGGTGCTGGTGTATGGGGGAAGCACGGCGTGTGGGACAATGGCGGTGCAGTTGTTGCGGCTGTAAGTTGTTCGAGGCTGAGATGGTCTGGTCAAGGCGACCTATCCTGTTGCAAATATGCCGGGGCTGTTAGGTTTTCATTCCTGAGTCTTATTTGAGGTTTTTTCCTGCTTTACCTTTTCCCACCCCGAAGACGCAACCTTCTCCCCCACTCCCACCTCAATATCCCCCACGACTAACTAACACCCTCCCCCAGAGCCGGCTACATCCCCATAACAACCTGTTCACCCCACAACAACGCCCAAGCCACCTCCTACGGCGCCGCCGCCACCTTCGACTACCACTCGCCCACGTGCGCCACCGACATCAAAGCCCACACCCAAAACTCCCTCCGCTTCGCCCTCGACTGCATCGGCACGGCGCAGTCGACCGCGCTCTGCCACGAGGCCATCGGCCGCAGCGGGGGCCGCTACGTCGCGCTGGAGCGGTACCCGGAGTCCGCCGCGGGCCGCCGGAACGTGCGGGGCAGCTGGGTGTTCGGGCCCGTGATGTTCGGGCGGCGGATCGAGATGGACGACGGGTACGGCCGGGAGGCGGACGCCGGTGCTCGGGAGTTTGGGCGCGAGTGGTACGCGTGCGTGGAGCGGTTGGCGAGGGAGGGGAAGGTGAGGGTCCATCCGCCGAGGACGCTTGGGGCGGGGGGAGGGTGGGCGCGGGCTGTGTTGGAGGGGTTGGAGATGATGAAGATGGGGAAGGTGAGTGGGGAGAAGTTGGTTGTTGAGGTGGACGAGCAGGTGTAGGGATGAGCATGAGTGAAGCTGGCGTCGTTTAGGGTGGCTGGGCGTAGTGGTGAATGTGCTTGGACTGAGTGTAAAAGAGGAAAGGAAGCACTGGGTTCCCCGCAATTTCCTTGCGGACAATGGGTCCGGAAGGATAAGCTCTGAACAGACTGTCAAACAGAGGAAAGATGCTTTTCCTATGAAAGCAGGCGGTCATCAATCGTTGTATACAAGCTTAAGCTCTCCCAGAAGCTTCATCCCCGATCCCCACATAGTGGGTCCTTTCCCGCACAAAGACAAGAAAGCTTTATCGAGCCAGCAATATCAATGAGAGCCTCACAAAGGAAATGAGTAAGCAAGCGACATCATATCCGACACAGACACCGAGGACCCATTTAGCAACCCAGAACCCTTCCCGCACACACCTCTACGGACTCTTTTCTCTCCCGAACAAACCCCATATCTTTTCAACAAGCTCATCCAACCCACTTGGCGCCGGATCATAGACACTGTCATCCAGCCCCATGCACGGTCCAATACTGTTGAACATTTGCTCGCACAGCTTGGCCGTCATACCCAGCTGCAAGCGCCCGTGGCCAGCGAGTGAGAATCCCTCAATCACGAGACCCGGCAGCAGCTCGGGCAAGTCTTCGGGCTCCACGTCTCGGCTCAGCAGCCGGTTCAAGGCGAGGCGGGAACGGGCATGCACTTGCTTGAGGTGGAGGTAGCAGCTCAGGACCAGCAGGGCCGTGCAAGGGTCGTGCTGCTTCCACTGGGAGGCTTCGGGACTGCTGCGGCTACGGCTGCACCTGCTCGCGTTTCCCGAGGTGGTTGTAGATGACACAGAGCCATAGGGGCTTGCGGTGTCGCTTCCACTGCCGGGTATTTTGTGAAAACGGGCCAGGAGACCGAGCTGGCCGAGGAGCGTCGAGAATTCATCTGTCAGGGACAGTAGCCGGCCGATCATCATTCTTGGCACCATTGCTGGTTTAGGACTGGGTGCGGATGGAGACTCAAGTGATACAGGCGTCATGACTGGAGGCGGACTCTCGCTCTGTCCCGCGTTCATCTGCGTTAGATGCTTGTACAGGGCCATATTCAGTCTTAACAGTTTTGTGATGGTGCATAGACTTCTGTCATCCAGGTCTTCATCTGTATTTTCATCGCCCTCGGAATTAGCGTCGGGCGGGATTAATTGGGGTGCGGCTGGACGGTTTATATCCATGGTCGGGTTGTTATGACGTGAAGGAACGAAGGTCTTATCGCTACGGAATGTGGGTATTTTGTAGCTGTTGTCGGCGTTCTGCATGAGCGACGAATGTACCACAAAAGAGTTATCATCTAGATCTTGTAGACTAACACAGAGTCAGCTTTGATCACAGAAGCTATGCGGTACGTATCTCGCACTTTTCATTCGTATGCAGCATGTCCGAGTGTGGGAATAGTTCAGATGAGAAGTGGGCGGCTTGGCCATTCAGAAGATGATCAATTGATGAACGAGCGGTCGCTCCACGGTTGGTGTCGTCGAAATCAGTCCTTGTCCCCTCCGTGAGGGTATCTTGCATGTCTATATCGTCTTGCTCCATCGCAGCACAGGATCCAGCATGTAACGACTGTGACTGCATGAACGCTGCCCATTGCGGGTCCTGAAGCGGAATTTGGTCGTAACTACTTGTGGATTGGGAGTCGCTGCGATGAGTCGGGCGTGACGGCCGGCCCATGGGTCGAGGTGGTAGTATCATGCACACGACATTTGCCTTAGCACACCTTCGGCATTGTCCAACATTTTCATCCCAGATGCAGCGAAGCTTCTGGCCTCTGCATCTGTCACAGGCGACCTGTTTTCTCGCTGCGTCATTCGGGCTGCCAAAGCCATGGCCATCGACACCGCTGTTGTGATACTGCGCAAGCTGCTTGGCTTGGGACATGGTAATCAAATTCAAGGACTCCAACAAGGCCGAACTTCTTGAAATGATGTACTCGTTCAGGATGACAGAGTAAAAGTCTAGAATGTTGCACGAGGTTCAATGATCTGGCTTGTATGAGCAGCTGTGAGGTTGTGTGTACTGCGCGTCCTGGTGGGGCGTAGCCATATACGCAGCTACCGCATTAGTTGTTGACAAATGAAATACCAAGCATACAACCTAAGGTAGTCAGGAGTCTCAACCCCGTTTGGAACAGTGTTTTATATGCAAAGGGTCCTTATATCGACATATCATCTTATCCATCAATCGCTGCGCTGCTTGTGCTTACAGATCTACAGCGATGCGAGTCAGACCTCCTGCTGACTATTTCGGATGTAACCTCAAATATGGATTGAGAGCGGTGTAGCCCTGGGCCTCTCCCTTCCGCACATCTCCCCAACCCGGATCTTGGAGCTCATGCATCTCGCGTAGATATTTCCCTATCAAGATAAGCGACCCTGGGACCCGTGAGCTTGAGTGAGCCATTCCTATTATTATACAACTAATGAGACTGTTTCTTTTTGCTCGGCAAGTGGGTTTTCCAGCAAAAGGCACAAGCTTGGTGTGTTGCAAACACCTCAACCATTCAACTCGGCTTCACTGGTGGGTAGAGATTCGAGCACACCCTTTCAAATAATTTGTGTACACTTTCTTCAGTGCACGTTCAGTACAATTTCCTTTCGCTTTCGGCCGAAGGCTTGTGAACTTTGCACCTTCTGTCTAGCACCGATTTGGCACTTTTCCTTTTGACTTACCCAGAGATGCGATTCGTCCGAAGATCGCGTAGATAAGCTTACAGAGGCCTGAGCAGATGTGCGAGGTTCCAAGATCGACCGAGAGGGGCGCAATGATACTGACATCCAGCGCATCTGATGTGAATAAATTCCGAAGGATTCCCAGCGCGGGTCCATGCGTCCGAGCTAGAGAACAGGCCTGAAAGCCAGCAGGAGATTGAGTACCATATTCGTATTCTATTCGAACCGCTGCCATTCTGTGGAATGAGAAGCTCAAGGAATGTTTCAGCATCCACGTATTGGCAATTCTAGAACTTCATACTGGAAGCGATTCCAGGAGAAGCTCTATCCCTCCGAGCGATGCAGGATTATGGTGGGAGACGCAAGTTGCTATCGTAGGGCTGACTAATCATTAAGCCACTGTGGGGTCCGTTTGTGGGGTCAAACGGCCCCCCATACAAAGTGCGCTAAGAAGTAAGCCAGAGCTAGTGAAGCAGATGAGACGGGTAGTAGGTACCCAAGTAAGGTAAATACCTTATGCACCGATCGCCCATGCTTAGGACACTAGTAGAGTCTTTCTCTCTTGATGGCTGCAGTAGCTCCACTATTTTCTACCCAGCAAACAGATGCATGCAGGCGATGACTCGTTGAATGATGCAAGCTGGAGCTCCAGCCAATGACACCTTATCAACGAATCCTGTGTCAGTGCCCTAGGTCCGTGCGATTGGTACGGAGAAGCGATGACCAGCTCTTGACGCATGACCATACATAAGCTCTGGCCCACGGAATCCTGCATTCGGGGAACAATTGCGGGAGACTTCAGGTACAGGGTCCTCGGGTGTTGCTTGGCAGATATTTGCTTCTATCATCTCGCAGGGCTATCCAAAAAGGAAGCCCCTTTCGCGGGTCCCAACGACACAGAACAACAAGAACATCTTGAGCGTCGGATCAACGTACAATCCCACTTGAGTAAACGCCCGGTATAGCGGGAACCCGAGCAGCCATCTCCTCCAACGTATCCCTCCTATGCACCCATAACAGAAGCTTCGCTCAGTGGTCGACGTTGAACAACTGAGCATTTTCTTGGAATTAAGGTGTGAGGAGTAGCTTGGCGAAGGCATTTCCGGACTCGTGCGCCCACTGTCGACGATTATGGCAAGGTTCGTGTAATCTTCTAGGTTCTTACGATAGGCAAAGAAAGCTTCGTCTCGTTTGCCCAGTTCTGTCCAGTAATCTTGTTGACGATCGCACTGGCTGTTGCCATGCGTTGCGTGCGGTTGGCACTGTCATTGTTTGTGCCAGGTGGCATCAGGATATTCTGCCGCTCCGCCAACTCAACCACGAATGCATCCAAGAGGTTGGTTTGAAGGCGTCGAACCGAATGCCTGAACAAGATGAGGAAGCCTTGAATGAAATCGTGAAGGCATACAGAAGCCATCTTAAATCGAGGCGTGCTTCTAGACTGTCTCGCTGGACCTTAAGCTTTTGAAACTTTGGGGCAGCGGGTACGAGACTGCTATTTTGGAGCGATCGAGGGGAAGTAAATTGCTACTTCTATCGTGATTTGAGGTGATGGTGAGGTCGGTTGCATCAGATTTTGGGTCAAGGAGTAGTGTCGATTGTTCTTCTTTTGATAAAGGGACGTTGTGAGACTTGAAAGCGGAAACCCTGTTTTCAGTTCTCAGCCAGGACTTCGCTGAAAGGTTTGCAGAGGCGGTGCCTCTGCGGGGGGGTGTGACGCTAATCTGGATGTGAGCCGTATTTTCTGGTAAAGAGGAGATGTGATGAGTTCACACCTGGGTTCTTCCCTTTGTAAGCTGCGAAGAAATCTTATGTCGGTTGCGAAGGAGGCACAAATTCCGTGTCGTTACGCGGCGTAGGGCTTGAAAATTCAGGCAGACTTTATTACACTATTATATAACTTTATCAATACAATCCCAATCTTAACAATTCTTAGAGTATGACGTATCAAAGCAAAGCGGAAGCTAGATATAACAAACGTTCACTTACATGCCATCTGCACCTTCCACAAGCCGTTCCATGATGTTTTGCTTCAGGGATTGATCTTTGATGCGGAGTTCTTTATTGCGTGTTCTGCATTCAATTGCAGCAACGGACACCTGGTCATAATTCTCTAGGACTTCGCAAATTTCCCGCTCACTCCTGCTCAGGAAAAGAGTTTTGGTGTTGCCCGCCTCACCGCTATCGTTCAAGCCGGAGAGTAGGCTTGTGATACAAGTAGTCTGGGTCCGACATTCGTCCAGAGCGTCCACGACAACCATTGCGTCATCGAAGCTCGAGGCCATCTCAACAAGTAAATCATGTAACACTCTCAGGTCGAAGCCAACAGATGGCCGATCTGGGCGGTTGTGCTTCGCATAGAAAGCCTGAAGCTTCCCAAAGCTTTGATCATCCTGTACAGCAAGTTGACACGCGAGAGAACCAAGAATGTTCCGAAGATCCTGCGTTGTAGGGGTTTTGTAGTCGTAGTAGAAGAAATACTCGACCTTCTCCATCGTCTCAATGCAAGAATATGTATGATTGACTTGAATGGCTGTGTCGAATGGCTCCCCCTCCAATTGAGACGCAACAAGACGAAGATTATGCAAAATCCCAGACAGGGCGCCCAATGCCAATGTCAAGGATGACACCTCGTTTGGAGCGCTTTGGACGGCTTTCACGTACTTGGAAGTCCGACTTAAGACGGCATCGGTAACTGTTATCAGACCAGCAATGCTGGCGGAGACGGAGAGGGGATCTGCCATCGCTTCTTGGTCGAGATTTGGCGATGTGGACTGATTTGCTGTAACAGGCGCTTTTGGTAAGCGTCGAAGACGAGTGGAACAATGGCTTGAGAGAATAACCTGCTACATTCCAAGACTGAAATATTGGAATAATGTGGAAAGCATTCTACAAGTATGGTAAAGTGAACACCACAAGGCCTGGGAAAGCCCACCATAAGGTGGTTTGCAGGTCATGTTGCGCGGCCTATTCGCAACAGTGGGACTGTGGGTTAGTGGGTCCATTATGAGGCCATAGCGTTGGTGGCTGTTTGATCAGCCGTTTCATCATTATGCGATATGCGATATGCGATATGCGATAGGCGGGAGACAGGTGGATATGGCGAGTACTATTTGTATGGCCACTGCACTAGGAGTGGGCTCTTTATTCGAATTGTTCTCTTTCAGAGCCATATCATTATTCTTTTATCAGTTATTGCGAAAGGATATTTCGGCTATTTCAGCCATGCGGCCATAAAGCTATTCAGCCATTCCAGCTATTTAAGGCCACTGCAGTCACATAGATATTTCAGCCTATTTTAGCCCTATTGCAGCCATGCGGCCATGAGGCTACTCAGCCATTTCCAGCCATATGAAATTATTCAGCCTATCAACTATTTAAGGCTATTGCAGTCATATAGATATCTGCAGCTATTCAGCCATTGAAGCCATGCTAGCCATTGGAGCCATTCTAGCCATTGGAGCCATTCCAGCCATTTACAGCCGTACGACCATGCGACCATGCCACTACCATTTGGATACACACTTCAGCCATTTCATCTATAACTATTTATCTTAGCTATCGCAGTTACATCGAAATTTTAGTCATTTCAGAATTAAAGCTATACAACTATAAGAATAATTAGCTATTATAGCTATATGATATATAGCCATTTCAACTAAATCGGCTATCTCAGGCATCGCAGCTATTTGAGTATTTCAGTTACTTCAGCTAGTTAAGCTATTGCAGTCATGTTGCTATTTCAGCTGTTTAAGCTATTGCAGCCATATAGTTATTTCAGCTATTTGGGCTATTATAGCCATATGGATGTTTTTAATCATTGCAGCTATTTCAGCTATTTGAGCTATTGAGCTATTGCAGCCATATGGCTATTTCAGCTATTTCAGCTATTTGAGCTATTGCAGCCATGTGGATATTTCAGCTATTTCAGCTATTTGAGCTATGGCAGCTATGTGGCTATTTCAGCTATTTCAGCTATTTCAGCTATTGCAGCCATGTGGATATTTCAGTCAATTTAGCTATTTGGGCTATTGCAGCCATACGGATAATTCAGCTATTTAGGCTACTGCAGCCGTGGAGATGTCTCAGCTATTCCAGCTATTTAGACTACCGCAGCCTTAAAGATATCCTAGCCATTTCAGCTATTCGGGCTACCGCAACCATGGAGATGTCCCAATTATTTCAGCTATTCGGGCTACCGCAACCATAGAGAAGTTTCAGCTATTTCAGCTATTCGGGCTACCGCAGCCTTGGAGATATCCTAGCTATTTCAGCTATTCGGGCTACCGCAACCATAGAGATATCCCAGTTATTTTAGCTATTCGGGCTACCGCAACCATAGAGAAGTCTCAGCCATTTCAGCTATTCGGGCTACCGAGCCTTAGAGATGTCCCAGCTATTTCAGCTATTCGGGCTACCATAACTATGGAGATATCCTAATTATTTCAGCTATTCGGGCTACCGTAACTATAGAGATATCCCAGCCATTTCAGCTATTCGGGCTATCGCAACCATAGAGATATCTTAGCTATTTTAGCTACTCGGCCTACCGCAGACATAAAGATGTCCTAATTATTTCAGCTATATGGGCTACCGCAGCCATAGGGATATTTCAGCTATCCTAGCTATTTGGGCTATCGCAGCCATAGAGATGCCTTAGTTATTTCAGCTGTTTAGGCTATCGCAATCATAAGGGTATCTCAGCTATCGCAGCCATGGAGAACTCTCAACTATTCTACCTATTTAGGCTATCGTAGCTTTGAGATGTCTCAGCTATCCTAGCTATTTGGGCTACCGTAGCCCTGGAGATGTCCAGCTATTTTAGCTAATCGGGTTATCGCAGCTATGGAGAGGTTATAACTATTCCAACTATTTAGGCTACCGTAGCTATGGAGAGGTCTTAACTATTCCAACTATTTGGGCTACCGCAGCTATAGAGATGTCTCAGTTATTTTAGCTACTTGGGCTATCGCAGCCTTAAGGATATTCTAATTACTCCAGCTATCGGGGCTACCGCAGCCGTGGAGATATTTCAACTATTCTAACTATTTAGGCTATCGCAGCCACAGGGATATCTCAGCTATCGCAGCTATGGAGATATCTTAATTATTTCAGCTATTTAGGCTACCGCAGCCATGGGGATATTTCAGCTACCCCAGCTATTTAAGCTACCGCAGCCATAAAGTGTCTTAGCTATTTCAGCCATTTAGGCTATCGCAGCTCTAGGGATATCTCGATCACTCCAGCTATCGAGGCTATCGCAGCTATAGAGATATCTTAGTTATTTCAGCTATTTAGACTATCGCAGCTATGGGGATGTTTCAACTATTCCAGCTATTTGGGCTACCGCAGCCATGGAGATGTCTCAATTATTTTAACTGTTTACGCTATCGTAGCCATGGGGATATTTCAGCTATTCCAGCCATTTGGGCTATCGCAACCATAGGGATATCTCAGCTATCGCAGCCATGGGGATATCTCAACTAATTAAGCTATCGCAGCCATAGGACGTCTCAGTTATTTCAGCTATTTAGGCTACCGCAGCCATAGGGATATTTCAGTTATCCCAGCTATTTAGGCTACCGCAGCTATAGGGATATCTCAGTCCAACTATCACAGCCATATTTTAGACTACCGCAGCCATTGGAATATCCTAGCTATTCCAGCTATTTAAGCTATTACATCGGGCGATAATGTATGCGCGTTAAAGCCTTACATCAGGTGGGAAGCCCTATCTGATATCGACCATTGGAAATCTCATCTAATGCTAGCCATTGATATATGATGTCAGTCATTAATCTTGATATCAATCATTGGTACATCAGGTGGGAAGCCTTACCTGATATTAGTTATTGGTACAAGTCCTTCCGCAGAGGGGCTGCAACTTGATATTGAGGGAGTCAGATTTCTACCGCCTTTTCATTACTCACCCAGCCTACCTACCAATCAGTAACGCTTACCTCTTAAGGCCGTCACCTACAACGTAACGCTTACCTCCTAAGGCCGTCACCTACAACGTGACGCTTACCTCCTAAGGCCGTCATCTACAACATCAATAACGCTTACCTCTTAAAGCCGTTACCTCAACATCAATGACGCTTACCTCTTAAGGCCGTTACCTACAACATCAGTAATGTTTACCTCTTAAGGCTGTTACCTACAACATCAGTAACGCTTACCTCTTAAGGCCGTCACCTGCAACGTAACACTTACCTCCTAAGGCCGTCACCTGCAACATCAATAACGCTTGCCTCTTAAGGCCGTTACCTACAATATCAATAACGCTTACCTCTTAAGGCCGTTACCTGCAACATCAATAACGCTTACCTCTTAAGGCCGTCACCTACAATATAACGCTTACCTCCTAAGGTCGTCACCTACAACATCAATAACGCTTACCTCTTAAAGCCGTTACCTACAATATCAATAACGCTTACCTCTTAAGGCCGTCATCTACAATATGACGCTGGCCTCCTAAGGCCGTCACCTGCAATATCAGTACATAACGCTTACCTCCTAAGGCCGTCACCAATAACCTCCGCGAGATACTAACGTCACTTAGGTTGAGGGCTATTATTTAGACTAGTCCTTCCGCAGAGGGGCTACAACTTGGTATTAAGGGAGTCAGATTCTTATCGCCTTTTCGTCACTTATCTAGCCTATCTATTATTTATTACGACACCAATATCTTCCAGCCCGTCGCGCTAGTATTACTAGTCCCTACTACTTGCTGCGGTAGGTACCGTCAAAAGTCCTCCTCGAGACCTTCACCCTCTTAAACAACGTCTTAGGTTTAGGGTTTTTCTAGCGCTAAGGGGCCTTTTTCGCGATTATCTGCTTAGTCAGATGTCTAAAAGCTCTTAGCTGCCCCAGTGTTGGATATACCCAATTATATATCTATATATCTATATATCTACTTATACATGCGTTGTTTCTATATAGCCTTATTATTTGCGAACACTAATCGCAACAGTAAGACTGTGGGTTAGTGGGTCCATTATAAGGTCATAGCGTTGATAGCTATTTAATCAGCCGTTCTATTATTATGCGATATGCGATAGGCGATATACGATAGTACGGAGATAGGAAGACATAGCGAGTACTATTTATAAGGCCGCTGCACCTATAGTAGGCTTTTCATTCGAATTATTCTCTTTCAGAGCTATATTATTATTCTCCCTCCCACCCATATCTATATATAGCTTCATTTTCACTCCAGGTCATGTCGCTTAGACATAGAAGTTTTTCTAGCGCTGAGGGGCCTTTTTCGCGACTATCTACTCAGTCCAGATGTCCAAAAGGTCTTAGCTGCCCCAGTGTTGGATATGCTTAATCATATATCTACAGATCTACTTATGCATGCGTGATTTCTGTATGGCCTTACTGTTTGCGAACACTAACAATATGCAGCCAGTCCTCGTCAATTGAGTACACCGCATCACCACAGACCCTTTGGAGCAGCTAGTCAAAAAGCGCAGCCTCTGTATACTGTACGAAGATTATGTCAGGTAGGCGAAATGCATCAGGCCCCGAGTAAGGCAACCAATGACGTCGGGGTTCTGATAGGTATGCAGGGTTCATGCAATGCAGGGAAGATCAATTGACGCAGAGCGTGCAAGGCTGCCACCACTGCGGCTGAGTATGCCTTGGGCACGCAACCTCCGCCACGGGTATTGCCACTTGTCCCTAGGTACCTTTCAACATTAGTCGTATCGGTGGAGCTGTGTGGGTGCCGCCGACGGAAAAGGATCGGAGATCACAATCAAGACGGAGGACAGGGGAAACGGTGAGTACTGAATTTTCGGGTTGACCGGGCATGTCGACGAAGTCATCTTAGGTATTTACCCATCAGGATTTGAAGTCTCACCAACGACGGCAAAGGCAGAGTGACTTCCCTTGGGGTTTGACACAACAGATTCTGCCCTTTTGTAGCAGGCCCCCTGTTGCTGGTATCAAGATGCTGCATTCCCGACGACTACGGGGGAGAGGAGGTACTGGCGTTGTGGTTGTTATTGGGTAAGGTGCCAGGGAAGACGACGAGGAAGGATGGGCATTACCATACATAGGCTGGCTGTGTGGCATGATTCGCGTGTAAGCAACACGTGAACAAACCCCGTTGCTCACCTCTGTTCACGATTTTGCGGGCGGCGAGAGGCACCTTGCTTGATGTGATGTCGGCACGTCAGCCTTTCAGAACGGTGACTCCAGGCAAAATGGAGTTGCGGAGCGCCGCCACCTGACCGGATTGCCAAGCCCTCACCCAACGAAGCTCCGCCGCCAAGACCTTTATATTATCCGATAACCGCCGGGAGGCAACATTTGAGAATTCTAGCATTATTATCCACATTACCACTGTAAAACCACTATATAATCCATAATAAATGATCGCAATCTATTACATAGACTCCATTCAATCCTTCCTATAGTAGAATCATTCTACACAAGTCCCTTCCTTGCATAAAGAGATTTTACAGACAGCGCATCCCCCTCTGGTCTTCCTCCCTCACTGTTACTGCTTATTTTTTACCAAACCTCCGAAATCCTTTCTTCTGACGATCCAAACGACACATAAAACACTGTCGAACGGTCTTCAAGTCTTGCCATTCATGGTTACCTCGTACTGGTTTCGGTAGAGTAGAAAGTGGGGTGGGAGGTTGCCGAGATCGCCTGTCTTTTCTACCTTCCTTGAGTAATCCCACTCATCAGTCCTCCAATAATCATGAATAGTAGGAAAGCGATAGATTCCCATATAGATTGTAATAGCGACGAAGATTTTCAGCCCGGAACACGGGTGGGTTTCCAGTGAGGATCTGGAGGACTCTGCCGAGAAGTATACAAATTTGTACTCTTACAAAGCATGTCCCAGACAGTAGCAGTCCATATGAGGCTAAACACTGGATATGAGAGGACTTTGAAGTCATCCGGAAAGTGACTAACGGGTGCACGGTACTCGATTTGTGGTGGTTGATACTCAGGTAGTGCAGGTATGCGTCGGAGAAGAATATCACGTTGCTTGAGTTTTTCCTTCCTTGCCTCGGTCGTGGCCTCTTTTTTGACGTTTCTGGGCCTCATGTAGTTCGTCCTTATCGGCTGAGGTAGGGTAGTAATTTTAGCCATATTGGACTGTATTTGGTGGAATAGTAAGGAAGGATTAAAAAGTCGCGTTCTTGAAGACGCGATTTTTGAAGCTAAAATGTTGCCTCGGCTCGCGGTTATCGGATACAAGCCAATACTACAGGCGTATATGAGCGATTCTACTCGCCAACTGAAACACGTCTTCACTCCCAGAAACGGATATTTATCATCGGAGACAGCTCTGAATTGCGTACGAGTAGAGCTGTTCTTGCTCACAAAGATCGACCTCACCCTTCGAGATTCTCATCCGATGCTCGTCCTTCATGTTTGAACACAGCGCTGCCTCTCATGATCGCTGATAGCCATCATGTTAGGGACAGCGGCTGCAGAAGGATCCCGGGCTCAGACCCTAGGACAAATGCTCAACTGTGCGGCTGCGTCTGTGGGTACAACAGAGTCAGCTCTTTGAGTAGGATGAAGCATTCGAGTATCACAACTCGCATGCCCTAGGGAGAAGTCAATGCGGGAGTTCTGGGGATCAAGCAGTGGGGTCGGGGCATGCATCGGGGAATGGTAGTTGTTCGAGGGTCCAGATTTGAATGCGAGGATGTCAATAGAAGATAAAGATATGTGCGACGAATTGAAATAATTCAACAAAACCCCCATCTCACGGACTCCACAAATCTCTCACAAAATATCCCTCCTTTTCCCTTTCGACTTCGACCCCTATACACCACACCAAGTCTCCATTCCCCTATGCCTAGCTACCTCTAACACCCCCCTGCCGTCACAGTCATCCACCTGCACATTTCGGAGTCAGCATGACATCTTTGACGCACAAAGTTCGAATTGCAAGACACATTCCGCGAGCAAAATAAAATAACATGACTCTATTGCTCCCAAACCACATCCTCCGACCCCAATCACAATATCAAACTGAGAAGCCCACCTTCCGAAAAGTGCACCTACCTCACACCACCACACCCCGGACAAGCCGTCACCGTCGTCGCCGCAGCACTGGCCGGACACCCGCACGGCACCGTTGTCGTTCTGACCGTTCCGGGATCAGGACACACCTGCACGTTCTTGAAGCACTCGTGAGCTCGGACGGTCGATGTGACCGTTGGGCAGGAGTGTGCGGCGGTCGCGTTGGAGGATGTGAAGCTGGCGGAGAGGGTGGTGGGGAAGCGGACGACTTCGAGGGGCATCAAGGCGAGCGAGGGGGAGAGGAGGCTGTGGTGGGGTGTTGGTGTGAGTGGGGGTCGGGTTTAGTGGGCTTGTGCTTGTGCTTGTGGGACAACGAGGGGGCGGGTCGAGGGAGTATCTGGTCCGCGCACTCCTTTCTTCCATGGTAGACACGAACCTCTTAAAGACGCGGCTGTGGAGAGAAGATTTCGAAACTCACCTTATGATTGCAGTGAGTGCGATCTGGAACGCGAACATGATGGCCAGGATCTTCCTGACAAAATGGTAAATCCGAGAATAGACACCAGATACCTTGTGCGCAGAGATCTTGCGAGAAGGAAGACGCCGAAAAATCACTTCAGGAAACTTCCTGCAGGAAAAATTGCGGAACCAAGCCTCTTTATCGTCATTTGGAACACTGTGCATGACCGATCGGTGGTGGGTTTCAGATCGTGAATGCGGTTTTGATTTCAGGGTGCTGGCACCGGTTTCACATTGATTGAGCCTACCGTCATTGGTCAACGCCGTACCTTCCATTCCGATCAGTAGTTTGGTCGCTGTATCAAACACACCTGATGACAGAGCACAGAGAGGGCAAAACCTCGCGACCGCTGCCCCTTTTGATTGGCCGCGAGAGCCCGACTCCGACCATGCTGCAATTACTTGCTGGTAATATCTTCTTACAGAAGCCACCGACTATCCATGTCGACAAGAGTCGTTGACACGATTCCTCTCCCTTCACACGCAGATGCGACAAGGAAAGATAGCAGGCGAAGGCCGTTTTTGAGAAAATGGTGCTTTCCATTTGCATAGTTATACCTTAGACCATTGAAGATCCGCTATTCGAAATCGCTTCCATCTGCGCACGCTATAGCCCCTCGTGGCGTCCTTCTTATGGAACTGTGAATACTCTCACCGTTGTGGATAGTATATTGGGACGAATTTCGCGGGCGTGCCAGCCATAGCCTTCCCCAACAACTGAGCAGCCTGCCCCGGATCCGCAGAGGGTCAAAACGTTGTTATCGATGGTAGTGGAACACGGGTTGTCCGAAACGGTAGCACACCAGTCACCGTCAGTGAAAGACACGTAGAATCTAGAAGAACCCCGGAATCAGCATTGATTTTGTGAGAGGGAAATTCGGTGAAAAGGTGGGGTGAGAAAGGAGGTCAATAAGACAAAAACTGGGGTGTGGGAAAGAATCCAAATGTAGCGCTTGCGTGTGTACTCGCGTCGAGGACCATGCACTTCACGAGCCGACTTTACAAGCGAAATGGGACGATGCGATCACATGGTAATTTGTCTTACTTGGCTGTGGCGGTTGACTGCACCTGGGCTGAGGTCAAGGTCGCCGCCAATGCAGGACCAGTGCAACCAAGGACGAATAGGAGAGCCCCGAGGTGTCATTTGTAACACGGCCGAGCCTTTTCTGATTCAGCAGCCAGGGCAATATCCAAGTCTTGGCGCAGGGTTTCGAGCCGACCTTCCGTCCCGAACCCAGTCCAGATCTGACCACCTCCGCACAAAGATGAAAAATTCGATCCATCACATGCATAGTTACCAAGCCCAATTGAAAGTGTGAGCCTTGATCCATGCCAAACTTTCGTCTGCTCCATGGACAAGGAACCTCGTCCCTTTTCGGGCTGCTATTGTCAAAGTGCACGGAAATCCCACCTGTCCCACAGCCGTTGGGTGAGCGAAACTCATGCAATTGGAGCGAGGGGAGTCCGATTTCATCTCAATCAGGTATTTTGATCTACGGGGGAGTAGCGAGCCAAGGTTTCGGCGACAAATAAGAGGGGATATGTAGGATCAACGGCTCAGAATCGCGTGATATCCCTTCCGAACGCCCAATTCAAAAACCTACAATATGTCACATTAGCTCATCCATTTCATGTCCCTTTCAGAGCCGACGATAGAGGGAATAGACATACCAATAGACGGGAATCAGAATCTTATTCCTCCAACTAACGCTCATCGTCAAATACGCGCCTCTCCAAATCAACCAGGCCGCCCTGCCACTGATATCCCCCAACCACCCCTCCGTCTGGACCAAGCCCTTGCTGTTCCCCAAATAAGTCATGATCCCCAGATTCTTGAACGTGAAATGCTGGCTTTCCAAATCGCCCTTGTTAAGCCTTTTGCCCAGCCACAGCGCCTGCTGGGCTGCGGTTTGCGCCGTAGCGGGCAGCTGGGCGTCGCGGATCATGGCGTTGTCGCCGAGGGCGAAGACGTCCGTCATTGTTGCTGAGGAGGCGGGTTTCTCGTCGGAGGACGGGGAGGTTTTGGACTGGAGTTGGACGCGGAGACGGTCGTCGACGATGATGGCGCCGGTTTTGGGGTGCTTTTCTATCATCCATTCTTTCGTGTCCAGCTCATCTGGTTGCTTGCCGTCGGTGATGGAAGCGGAGGAGGAAGGGAAGCCGTAGGTCTTGTCAAGTGCTTTTTGCACGAACGGATTCATCATGTTGCCCGTACTCCAGACGCACAGGCCGACGCCTACGTCGCCATCTTCTTCAGTGGTGAGGGTATAGCAGCCTTGGGAGTCAGCCACATCGTCCATGTTCTCATCGGAGCCGGTACGTGGAAGACCAGGGCGTAGTTCCTGCACGTGGTGTGAGGTTTTCACTTCAACGCCTTCACGGCGAAATGTTTGCATTGCGTATTTGCCGAGTTTCTCATCGAACATGCTGAGAACAGTCTTCGCGACATCGTAGACTGCGATGCGCACTTTTGGTGCCAAATCTGGGTATAGCTTGCTGAGGTCTTGATGTACCAGATCGCTGAGTTCGGCTCCAAACTCCATACCTGTGGGCCCGCCGCCTACGATTGCGAAGCGCAGAAGCTGTTCACGAAGCTTTTCACTTGTAGTTGGCAAGCTGGCAACCTCAAAGCACTCGAGTACTCGCTTTCGTATGCGCCGTGCGTCTCCAACATCTTTCATGAAGAAGGCGTTTTCTTTGACGCCCTTGGTACCAAACGTCTGGGAGTAGCAACCGACTGTAACCACTAACTTATCGTATGATACCTCCCACCTCTTACCCTCTTTCCGCAACCCTTTCTTCTCCAATTTCACTTCCCCAGTGCTGTGATCTTCACGCCTATCCTCCGCCATCGCCTTACCCTGATGTGGGTCTACTACACTTTCTTCAATCGTAACCATCTTTCGCCCGAAATCCACATCGTCTGCCCAGCCTTGCATGAACTCAATGTTCGGTTTCCGTTTTGAGCGCACAGGCTCAAGCGCGGTTCGGAATTCGAGGGTGCCCGTTGCTGTGGAATTGAGCAGTGGAGTGAAGACGAAATAGGAGCGGGGGGATATGACGAGGGTCTGGTATTTGGCGGAGAGACGTTGGGAGAGGACGTAGCCTATGTGCCATTTGTCAATGGAAGGATTTTTTGGGGGCCAACAGCGAGCTTACCAGCCCAGCCGGAGCCCAGGATGACGATGCGTTCGCGATCGCCTTTACTCGCGTCCAGGGCATCTAGCCCGACTGTACCTCTATTACGACATGATTGCGAAAAGCAATGTGTCGCTGGACGCGACCTGTAAGTGATGCTATCAATCAAGGGGGTAGGAAGTCGTCGAATTGGGCGCAGGGACGCCATTGCTGTTGAAGACATGAGGTAATCGAGGGCACGGTAACGGATGGTATGAAAGCATGAGCATGAAGAAGCAAGGAAGTGACTCGGCAAAAAAGAACTTCGAAGTCAGAAGCTCCGCCTCATGAAAGTGACGCAATTTAGGGATTACCCGAAGCCGGACGATTGATAACGCAGGGGTAACCGAATGAAGGAAATACTCGGGTTTGACACGTTCTTCGCAACAGAGAGACAACAAGCTGAATGTGGAGACGTTCATAAAAGATAATCAAATTCGTACAACAGACATGATGCATCAACGCCTTGCTTACCCGCCAATAACCAAGCTCTTACTCAGCCATTCCGAAATGCGCCGTCAAACGGAACCCTCAAACCACCTCCTCCGGCCTCTCAGTATCCGCAACGACAGGAACGTTGAGTCCCCGATCAGGACTCTGCAGTACCAATTGTTCATGCCGCCTTGCTTTGAAGAAATCGCTAACCGCCCGGATGAGTATGAACCATCCCACGATCATTAATGCGTATGCTAGCCAGTCGCTGTTTGCTACACTGTTCGCACCACTCGCTGCCGCTTGCTGAGAGGATTCCGCAATAGCTGCAGCGGCCGCGGCAGCTGCACTGTCGGAGACGGCGTTAGGGTCGAAGTCGTGATTATTTGGATCCTGCGGTGCTGTGAAGGCCGGATCTTGTCCATTTGTAGGAGGTACCGTAGATCTGCCACTGCGCATCATAAATCCGTATTGAACAAGTGTGATGCCCAAACCGGCCTTTGAGCCGTTCTTCGCAGCGTGCGTGGTGTGGAGGAGATAGGTCAGTAGGAAACCGACGAGGGTGAAGGATACGCTAATCATGGCATTCCATACAAAGCTGAAGAGGGAGCCGACTGGAAGACCATCGACGTAAACTTCGTCGCTTGATGCGAGGTGGCCAGGTGCCAGAATGGTGGTTTCCCAATAAGGGGGTGTAGCGTCCGCAGCAGCGGCTTCGTAGGACTAGAACAGAGTTAGCGCAGGGCCCGCCAAAGACATATCGCAACGAGAGTGCTTACCGGTGGTTGTTCCTCTAGTTTTTCGCCGCGTTCTGGCTTTGCGTTTAGATTTGCAAACACACCGTCATTGGAGTGGGAGAAGGTAGAATAGGGTGTAGCGCCTGTATAGGGTCTGGCAGGAACATTGGATGAGACTGGATGTACCACGACTGGAAGTCTTGTGACAGCTCCTGACAAGTTTGGTCCGTTGCCATCGTGTACGGCTCGCTGCTCTAATTGGGATTGATGGGTATTGGCCCGCATGAGGCGCTGGCGATCGTCTCCTTCATTATGACCATCGTCATCTGAATCGGATCCGTCGTCGAAAGTATCCGCCAGTGTTCTCTCGGCTTCTGTTGTTATAGGGTCTTCGGAGAGTAGGTGTCGGGATGATGGAGAGGACGCGCGGGAGCGAAATGAAGGCGGTGGAGAAGAGGGAGTTGCCTCTGTATTAGAAGGTCTTTGAGAAGTATCTTGGCAATATTCCTCGTCGTTTGCAGACACCTGTAGTCGACGAATGTCAGCTTCCGCCTTACCAGAGACGTAAAGTGGAAGCACAGGGGCATGCGACAGCATGAGGCTCACCCTTTCGTACTTCTGTGAGCTCATTGTGAGACTCACTCCAACCTTTCTTTTACCAGTCAAAAGAAAAGCTAGAGTCGAGATGTATGTATAGGGTACTTTAAATGGCTCAAATGGATCCAGTCGTGGTAGTATGCTGATGAAATGCTTGAGGGATTCCAGCAGGTTCGTTTGTTTAGGGGGAGGAGTCGATGGGTCATCAGCCGGCCGCCACCAGAACAATGCTTGGCTCTTGGCAAAGACATCGAATACGATTTCGACTTCACTCTTTTTGTGTAGACACCTGTTGTATTGTTCTTATTGACAATGGCAAAGTCTGTAAGGAAGGCAACCTTTGTTCTTTACTGTGCTTGTCTTGACTAACAACATTGCCCTACAGATTGTGTACAAACACTATCAACGCCTCCTCACCCAATGGCCCGTCGACCTCCTTCGCCCGGAAGTCTCATTCCAGAAAGCCATACAGCGCCGGATAGATACACGGCTCAAGCCTTCGACAACGGCTCCTGAAGATAATGTTGTGTTCAATCAAGCTCAAGCGACGGTACCGACGAAGGTAGCGTTTGATGAGAAGGGCGAGCTGGAGCAGGTCAATGTGCTTTATTCGTTCCTGGAAAACCGGTATACAAAGACGGTACGAATTCGCTGCATACTTGGAGGGGGGAACAATGGATGTAGCAATGACTGACGAGTATCGGAATCAGTACCCGTTGTCTGAGAAGATGATGAGACCGGCTTCGAATCCAAACTACTACGATGGCCTGTTGAAGGAGCTTAATGAGGCGCCAACGCGGTCTTGGTTTCAGAGCATGGTCATTCGGTGGAAGGGGTCCCTTCGCTTTTCGTGAGATGCCGGATGTGTACAGACCTGTATAGCATGCGTCGCAAGGAGCGTTTTGGCGTTGCTGGGGGGTTTGACCAAATGTGCTCGTAACGACTATGCATAGCGATGGCGATGGTTAACTTGGCAAAGAGTACGGTGCTAGATATGTCGAGTCTTGAAACAGAAATCACACTTGGTGGACCGTCTTCATAAAATGTATATCCAGTTGATGCACGTTGCAGTACAGTTACGTACAGATCCTTCCCTTACTGTCTCCTCAGCATGGGAGCTTGCCTTCGGCAATTTGCTTAGCGATATCTTTGGACCATGAACCCATTTCGAATATTTGCTTAAGATCCTGCCTACTTATTTCATTTCATTGCTCATACAGAAAGGAAAATGATTCAAAGTCTTTGACTCCAACTCGGAATAGACCAGAAACTCTCAACCCTGGAGACACCGGTACCGAAAGGGAAATGGTCTGAAGTCCCTGACTTCGACTCGAATAGAACTAGCCCAGCTCAATCCTGGAGACGCGAAACGGCACCGCCAGCAAGACTCCCTCAAACCTCAAGCCCCAGCCAGTGGCATACTACGTGCAGTCGGAATCGTCCAGCTGCATGTAGTAAATTTTCGCATTATCCCAACCAGCCGGTGCGAGGTTGATATCGAAGTGTCCCTGAACCTGCCCAGTAACGTTGATCATCGCACAATTGGGACAATGGTTCGTGATCAAAATTTTAATCTGCGATGGCCCGTCTTGCTCTTCATTGCCGCTGTATATGCTGCACCAAACATCGTCAGCATGGCATAAAAGGATGGAATCGTAGGCAGATATACCCAGTCGGGCAAGCAGGACCGTTTGGATCGCAGTACGGTGTCCCGGAATTAATGATGCTATAGCACGTCCCGCAGACAGTGCAATCGTCGGGCCCAAGTCCTACCATCGCCGCTGCGTAGACGCCGTCGGGCAGCTGATCCGGGCCAGAGGTGGTGGGGAAGAGAGGTGTTGGGGCGCTGCAGACGCCGCCGTTGATTGTGCAGGCGCTTTGTTGGCCGTAGGGTTCCCAGTCTTGCTGTACATGGAGATAAAGGTGAGCTTGGTTTCAGGAAGCAGGGTTTAGCACGAGCGTGGCGTGGCGTGTAAAGGGGGGCAGTGTGGGTCGGAGGACAAGGACTCACAGTAGAGTAGCCAGATTGATAACCATCTGGTTGTGTAGTTGGGGTAATTTGTTGGGCGATTGGATTGGCCATCGTCAAGGTTTTGAGACCACCGAGGGTCAGAGTGGTGAAAAGGGCAAGGCTGGACATGGTGAGTTGTCGAAAGCTGAATTAGAAACAAGCGAGGTGAACCCAGGTCCTGGCTGTGAACGCTGATGTATGAATCGATAGGAATCGGAAGGATAGAGATCCAGAAATCCGAGGAATTGCTTGTACTTATATTTCACACTGACGGGATGTAATGTACCATCCGAGTTTCCCTACAGAAGACGCCGAGCCTGATTTCTGTGACCCGTACCATTTTGTTTTGCAAAGAGGTTACAGAACCTCTATGCCGTGCCTTCACGTCTTCGGAGAACCTTTTGGCCGTTCTTCGCTACGCGTCTCCAATCGAAGCCCACTGACATGGTAGACACTCTCGTCGAAACCGTTGTCATCGTCGATGAGAACATAGAAACAATTTCAGCCCGACGTAACGGCAGACATCACATCAGGCCAGGTGGGACCACATCCCGTATGCGAGTATCATACTCGATCAAGGAGTGTTTCAATCGATGTAACCATTACGGCGGGGTCACGTTACTCCCCCAATTCCACTAGGCTATAGATAAGGTATGCGCATTGTGAGGGGCCGTGGAGAAATGATCTGAATCATCGGGTTCGCGACATTGCCATTTGGCAAATGTTCTATTGGTAGATGAACAAGTCTACCTTCAAGCCTATATCTACAAGTAGCACAGAAGCACATGCAAAAACTTCAACTCAGAACACGGGGCACGGCATACTGGTCGGGATACTAGATTCTTGGATGTGGGGTTGCATAAGGAATGTCTTCGAAACTCGAAAGTATGTTTGAGATCTCGGGAAGGATCTTTGAGATGTGTGAAAAGCCTTGGACGGACAGACGCGCGACTCGCGATGGGTGCTTCCGCACGTGGTACTAGTGAAACTGGTAGGTAAAGACAGATGTTGCCATTATAGGCCATGTGAGACATGGTGACACTTTGGACAGACAAAAGCGCGACTTGTGGTTGGCTGCCCCCGCACGCGATCGCAGAAGACATAAGTAAGTCCAGACGTATATGATACCATCGCGCAAAGCATGATTGGAAATTGAGATGCAAAATGTGGCGGTCGCAGCAGCGAAAGCCGCATTGGCGCCAGATCGAACGGAGCGGATACGAGTAGGTACCTAGTTCTGTCCATGAGAGGTGGCGCTTAAAGACTTGACTTTCTACCTCGAGTTTCGCCTCCCTGGCATGAGACACTCCTCAAATGTCCGGAGTATTGATTGATGATAGTCTCCAAGTCCAATCCTAGTCTCGTCGGCCGGAATCGTCAGGGCGGGCAGAGTTTGGCCGTCTGGTCCTGAGACTTTCTGATGACTGACTGTTTGAGTGTTTGCGTAGCAGTTGGAGCCTTCTCAAACGGACCATGCTGCAGTTGGTGATGATGCGCATGGGTCGAGTATTCCCGCACTGCATGGTTTGGTCTTATACTTTTCATGTTTGATGGACGTGCAGATATTGGGTCCCGGCAGGCCCAGGAGAAATCTTCGGTCTTGGACCATTTGGGATCTCTTGACGATTGGATCCTGTAACAAGTTGGCTCTGCGCTGAGCAAACTGCCCGGTTCGATTTGCCCGAATGAGTAGAGGAGGAAATCCAAAGATCTGTATATTATTTCACGCAGGTGGAATGCGATGGTGCTTAGAGAAATACTCCTTCTCATCTAGCGCTGACTCGGACTACGAAAGCAGGAGCTGTTCGAGAGGGCGAATGGGCACACACGGAAGTACAGAGTAAATCAACGGGGTTGAAAGAAGGATGGCACGAGGGATAGACGTGCAGCCAAACGTTTCTTAGATCCCATTGCCATAGGAAAGATACCCTTGAGGAGAAAGATGCCTTCGGAGTATGTAGTGGTAACATTGTGATCCGGGTTGCCTCGTGCCCTGTCCAGCTGTTGACCAAGAGACATTCAAGAGAGAATTGCCAACATCTGATTGCAATCATGTTTACTGTTGAGAAGGTGCAAGCCTCATCGACAGACCTACTATTGTCCGATCTACTCTACGGCCGTCCGTTGATTTCGCCCCCACACTGAGCAGTCGTAGGCTCTTGCGAGGCGGCGGCATATGGCGAATGTCTAGAGTAGTATCTGGTCTCTCTCTCCGGCGTCTCCCGTGCTCTAGCCGAGAAATGGGAGCGTCGGAGGGATAGCATCTTGAACCTTCCTTTCCCATACTTTATGATTGCAGAGGTCAAAGGGTCCCAGGTTCTCAGTTGTCATGGCGGTGAAGGGTGGAGAAAAGTTGGCATTTGGCAAATCATCTACTTCATCTGATCCTGAGCGCTTATCATTATTATCATTATCATGCAACGTGATGGGATAGGTAGTTAGGTATCTTTCTACCGTATTCTATCGTCGATTCATACTTAGTCCCAAAGGAAACTTGCCATACTCCATACTACGGGATACAGATGGCAAGGTTTGAGGATATTAAACGAGAATCGTCGAACAATCGTCGATGCGGCTCGCTGACTCAGCGTGTTTGATTGGTCCGATCTCCATGCTAGTGCCCCCCCTTCTTTAACCTCTCACCATCTGGAAGAAAAGTTCCTCAAGATCGAAATATCATCGACTTACATCTGGCCCTGGCCCAATGAGAAAAATACTTTAAAAATCTTCGATCCAGTGATCCACCATGCCTCGTTCCGCTGGATGCATGCCTTCCGAAGGAGCATTCTCCGCCTCGATCCTCTCATTATTATCATTATTCCTCAAGAGCAGCGCGCAAACATGTTCCTTCCAACCCTCTCCTGCCCTCCCTACCCTTCTGGCAACTTTGCATCATCCTCATCTCCAGCAACGAACCCACCCCACTACTTACCCTGGTCTGCCCCTCCAGAGCCTACATATACTGCATCAACAGCCAGCCATATCCCATCTCCATGACCTGCGAGACACCTTCCCTCCTCGAATCCTTTCCCATCTCTTCGCTACCAATTCGACCCGATCACGCTGGTAAAATGGGTCCACTTCCAGAAGATCGAGCAATCAGACTCTGATCGCTCCGCAAGACACGTCAGGGAGTGCAACAAGGCAAAGTGGGATTCTGCTTGGCTCCAGTCATTTACCATATTAGGCTAGGATAGCGCGCTGAGTTCCCCACAACTCCAAATGCTGTCCCGGCACCCCAAATCGTCAATTCGTCAGATCTCCGATTCCTCGGACCCACGCCCGTCGAAGAGAGCGAAGACCGCAGCAGTGGGGAATTATGAGGCAACAGGCGGTCGTGCCAAGGCAGAGAGATGGTTCAAGGACACCAACAACAATGCTTCCGGCACGAAGGATGTCCCATACCTCGATAGTGAGTCTCACTTGCGCATCTTAATGTCTAGGCACCTTGCTCACCTGTTGTTAGACGATCCGCCTTTCTACCTCAACGAAAGGACGTACTCCGCTGGGAACAGTGCCTGTGCTGTACACTCTGATGGATCCTCGTTCAACCCTTCCAACCCCGGCCAACCCACTGCTCCGACAAGGTCTCTGCTCTCTCAGATGGAGGCGAAGGAAAGCAATAGTGAGGACTTTCGTGGTGTGATCGACGACCTGACAATACAAAACAAAAGGCTCAGAAGGAAGCTAAAGCAATACGAAAGACTCCATTGTTCTCATCTGCAGGAGGAAAAATTATTTGAGGTCAGAATACATGGACTGGCCGCCCATCGCAAACGCGAGTTGGAGGAGATTCTGCGGAGCTTCGCCTCCAGTAGTGAAGAGTCGCCCGAAACGTCCCTCTTCAAACCTGGGAGCTTCAAAACCACTGCTGTAGCTTTGAAAAATCACATACCATCGTCCTCTTCAACTTCTTATTCCAAAGGCTCTAAACCCGTGGATTCCGCGTATGCTTCCATGTCAGGCCAGACAGGAGCCTCGCAAAAGCAGTCGCACGACCATGCACAGAAAGACAGGCAGGCTCAGTGCCATTCACGACAGCATGATGTGCAATCTTACCTTCATCACATACCAGAAACAGTAGTGCCAAAGCATTCGCTCCCGATGTCTGAGAGGGCCAAAAGTAGATTAGTGGTTAGAAGACTCGAACAGATTTTTACCGGCAAAAGGGCAGCAGGCCGACACATTCAGTCTCATCAGCAGCAGGAAGTGTCGCAATCAGCTGCGCAAGCGGATAGACTCCCACTTGAAAATTGCGGCCGCAAGTTTCAACCGATCCGAGGAGGCGTGCGAGAGGCTTGTATCCTGCCTAACAGCGCGGAGTTGAAAGTGGATTCCCTCAGCGAGGCCAACTTGGCTGCTCAACAATCACAACAGACTGTCGAGAGCCGCGGCCGAAACCCGCTGACAGAAGGCATGCGAGAGGCTCGCATTCTTCTGCGCTGTGCGGGATCACAGATCGACTCTTCAAGCGAAACAAACCCGACCGGTCAACAATCACGTCAAAGCACTGATGGCGAGGACTCCAGGTCCCGAGATCCGCGGGCGAGTCGTGGTTTCGCGCCGGATCAACGACCTACACGCCCACTCGACTTGGACATACGTCGCGCGCAAGTGCCATCAGACAATATCGAGTACATTCGGCATTTGGGTCTTGCATCACCAACAGCGACTTTAGATGCCAAACCAGATTCGGATGACGGATGGGTATTCCTCAATCTGCTCACAAGCATGGCACAGTTGCATACGCTAAATGTGACTCCGGAGTTCATCAGAAATGCTGTCGCCAATGTCAGCTCCAAGTTTGAGCTCTCCACGGACGGTACGAAGGTCAGGTGGCAAGGTGGAACCGATGGGACCCAATTGAGTTCCGGCAGCGATGAAAGTGACGACACAGGAAATTGGAAATCCACAGACACTAGCGTGTCAGTCAGCAAACAAGGATCATTGGCAGGCATACCAAGCAGAGCGGGCCTCGAGGACTGTCAAGAGCAAAAGAGTGCTCTTCACCTTCCCACCATTGGTTTGTCTGCAACTCCAGAGGTCGGAGCGAAACGACGACCCGTGTACTTGGAACAGCCCAACGATATGGACAAGTTCCACTACAAACCACTCTTCTTTCACGGTGCAACCTCTGAAGATGACGATGACTCAGCTCACGTAACTAACTCAGTCTCATCATTTGATCCCATGGAAAATGCCACCGGACTCAATTCTGGCTCTCACGGCGTCCGTGAATCAGAAGTGAAGCTGCGCAAGCAGAATCGGGAGAATGGGCCTATCATATTTTACAACAAGGCCAGATTCTGCACAGACCTAAGTGGGGGATCAAATGCTGCAATGCATAATGGGGCTGCTTATTGCCGTTATACGCAAGAGCCGATTGGTTGTCTTCAACAAGCGGACGATGAGGAATTGGATGAGAGCGAGAGCGACTATGTTCCAGATGGAGACGGTGTCCCAGAGTCAATGGACTTAGACGTCGGCAGCACAGTCGCAACGCGTTCCGCATTAGACCTCGAAGATCTGAGGTCTTCGATCTCAGACCTCTCAACCATGTCACCGATTCCCATGGAGGCTTCAGGACTTGGTTTTATACAGCCGGAGGATAACTTCATGATTAAAGTACAAGTGCGTCACGGAGGGGTGAAGAGGCGAGGCTCACGCGCGCAATCACCATTCTCCAGTTCACGTGGCCAGATTCGACGTCTGCTTCACAGCATGCCACGAGGATCCACTAAGAATTTTGGTGAAGCCAAGGATATCCCGCGCAGTCAAACCAATCGTGGGCCCATCAAGAGTGAAATCGTCTCAACTGTGAAGACAGATATGCCACCTTCGTCAGTGCCTCCGCCCTCATACCTTTGTCCTCCAGTCTCTTCATCAGAATCTGGCGATGGTGACGACGAAGATGAAGACGAAGACGAAGACCTCTGTGTCGACTACTACAGCGAGAAGCTTCAAGCTTCAGCAAAGTCTTCGGTAGAGGATCTTGTCGATCCCAGGCCTGCGAACTTCTTCCTCGGCTCTTTATCAGACGAAAGTAAAAGATCACCCTCCGTCTCCACCTCGTCTGGCTCTGACGATGATTCTTCCATCGATTTTCTCGCAAACGCCCGGGTACTCGACCCTGACACTATCGCTGCTCAAGAGAGGGAGTTCGAAATAAATTCCTTCCAACAGCCGGCTCGTGCTGGTAGCCAGGCTGCTGCAGTAAGTGAGCCTCCAAGCTCTGACTTGGAGCGGGTTGGGACTGCTAAGACAGAAAGCGACGTGGATAGTATGAGTGTCGATGGAGACGTAGAAGACGATTGAGTTTGGATCAGCCAAATCATTATCGCTAAATCGCTAACACTCGATCAACAAGTCTCTCACTCGCAGTGCGCCCCTGGAAATGAGCTTTCAGCTCGCCAATGACCAACATCGCCACGCCATCTGTCCTCACCACGCCCTGGCGCACAACAACGACAGTACCATTAAATATGCTCACCTCTTGCGCATACTCATGAAAGGCGGCCTGTGCATCAGCCACTTTGGCGTCGATAGCCGTCACCAACGAGCAAAGCCTGCAATGAATAAGGTTGCATTGTGAGGATGCCGTTCATGGGAAAGCCATAGGCGGCGAGGACATTGCCAATGATCTTAGCGATATCTCTGTGTTTGCCGCCGAGACGAGGATGGGGATTGGAAGCGGGGTTGACGTGGTTGAGGGGTTGATTGATTTCCGTGCGATGTCTTGATCCACAGTAACGAGATGGCAACGCAGGGAGGAGGCTTCCGCCTGATTGAACGAGCAATTGTGAAGAGCAGCGAATCTGTACCTGCATCTTCAGTATCGGGGTAATTATGTCTCCGATCCTGATCGTCAATGCTTTTACTTTATCTCTTGGCAACGGTCTCGGCGCCCTTGGCGTGACGAGTGCCAAGCGTAACCCCTCCAAGTGGAAGGCGCAAAGCAAGAATATAAACATCGAGACAATCCCACCATCCGCCCAATTCCTTCTTCATCCTCGGTCTCCAATCCCTCACCTAACACTCTTACCGCCTCATCTCCATACCCATACCCATACCCATACCCATACCCACACCCACACCCACACCCACACCCCCACCCCCCTTCCACCCCACACCCACATCCTTCCACCCACCTTACTTACACCAACACCAACACCATCAACCATGAACGCAGGACAAGGTCAACAACAGGGCGGTAACGCCGCCGGCGGGCAGGAGGATTACCTCGACAAGGGTCCGTCTCACTTCCTAGCCCCCTTTTCCCTCGCTCTCACTTCCCTAGCCCCCCTTTTCCCTCGCGTGCCCTCATCCTCCATCCTCCACCGTCCCTCGCGTGCCCTCATCCCTCCATCGTCCCTCGCGTGCCCCTCATCCTCCACCGTCCCTCGCGTGCCCTCATCCTCCATCGTCCCTCGCCTGCCCTCATCCTCCCTCGTCCCACCGTGCCCCATGAAACCTCTCCGTCCCACCGTGATGAAACCTCACCGCTAACGAGCCGACCGCCAGGCCTCGACGCGGCGGAGAAGAAATTCGGTCAGGGCAAGGTCGATCCGCAGAAGGAGCGCGGGGTGAATGAGAAGGTGACGGATAAGGCCAGGGGGATGTTTGAGAAGGCTACGGGGTGGGTTTTTTGTGTTTGTGTTTTTGGTTTTTGGTTTTTGGTTTTGTTTTTGTGTTTGTTTTTGTTTTTGGTTTTCGTTGTTCGATATACTTGTTTTCCGTTGTTCGATATACATGGTCCCGTGCTTGTCGGTGGGGAGGTGGAAGATGTGGGGATGCTGACTGGTTTTGGTCACTTAGGAAACATGTGCCGGACAAGTTCTCGAACTAGGCTTTTCGCACCCGGGGATGGAGGGATGGATGGCACGGTGGATCGAGAGGTCTGGCTGGTGGGGAGGGAAGACCTGTATGGAGGGATGGGGTGCTTGCGGGGAGACTTTGGGCGGATGACAGTACCACATAGAAATGAAGCGCTTCTGAGCTCCAGGTTCGACGCATTGAATGCATGAATGATGTCTATTTGCTACGAGGATTCGATTCGATTCGCTTGCGTCTTTCTAACTTTACGGACCAGCAATGCCCCCGAGTGAACGCCACCACATGCATTTCCCCCAAGGCTCTAGCCGGCCATCCCTATGCGATCTCCCATTTGTCCAAGACAGTCACCCACTCAACGTATAAATCACAACATCGGCGCTACAGTATCCGCAACCTGAAACGCCGCCTCGGTCTTCGACCGGATCTCATCAACCGTGACGCCCTCGGTGAGCTCGATGAGCGTGAGTCCGGATGTGAAATCGACGTCAAAGACGCAGAGATCGGTGATGATCCTCGAAACGCAGGCTCTGCCGGTGAGGGGGAATGCACACTGGTTCAGGATCTTGGGGCGTCCTTTCTTGTCGACGTGTTCCATGGTGACGACGACTTTGGTCTCTTGAGGGTTCGAGACGAGGTCCATGGCGCCGCCGAAGCCTTTGATTTTGCCGGGGAGCATCCCTGTCAAGGATCATGTTAGCATGGGATGCGGCTCACGGGATGGATGGGTGTATCGGCTAGGACTCACAGTTCGCAAGATCACCCTTCGCGGAGACTTGCATAGCACCCAGAATCGTCAGATCGATCCTCCCGCTCCTGATCATGCCGAAGCTCTCGTCGCTGCCGAAACAACTCGCGCCGGGCAGTAATGTGACGGTCTCTTTGCCCGCGTTGATCAAGTCCGGATCTTCTTGGCCCTTCTTCGGATACGGTCCCAGTCCTAGTATACCATTTTCTGATTGCAGCGTGACGGATACCGAGGGGTCGACAAAACTCGGCGCGAGCATGGGCATTCCTATGCCTAGGTTGGCATACATGCCGTTTTTAAATTCCTTCGCCGCTCTCCTTACAATCCGCTCTCTCTTTCCCGCCGTTTCCCCTTTCCCAAGAGCCCCCGTGTCCGCGCCCGCCCCTTCATCTGGCGAGAAGTTGTATTTCTCGATTTTCTTCTCCGCCGTACTCTGGATGACCTTCTTGACATAGATGCCCGGCAAATGTACAGCCGCCGGATCTATATCACCTGGCTCCACAATATGTTCTGCTTCGACAATCGTCTCTTTCGCGTTCCGCCCCATCGCCCCGTTGAAATTCGCTGCCGCGTAGCGGAACATGCAGTTTCCTAAACGGTCCGCTTTCCATGCTTTTACGAATGCGTAATCCCCGCGGATGGCTTCTTCCATTATGTAGCTCTTGCCATTGAACACTTTCACGTCGCGTGGCTGGCTGTACGACTGCACCGAGCCGTCTGCATTATGCCGTAAAGGGAGTTCGCCTGTTTGTACAACAGTGCCGAACGCTGCTGGGGTATAAAAGGCTGGGATACCTGCTCCGCCGGCTCTACAACGTTCGGCCAGTGTACCTTGGGGTGTCAATTCCATTTCTATCTCGCCTTTTAGGTACTGTTGTTCGAACAATTTGTTCTCGCCCACATAACTCGCTATCATTTTCGAAATCTGTTTCGATTCGAGAAGAAGACCGAGACCTGAGCCTACTAAGCCAGCATTGTTGGAGACAGCGGTAAGGCCTTTTATGTGAGGGTTTGCGTGGACGGTGTTTATGAGGGTGTCGGGGACGCCGCAGAGGCCGAACCCGCCGGCTAAGAGGGTGGTATTTCCTTTCATGTTTTCGAGAGCGGCTGAGGCGGAGGGGAGAATTTTGTTGATTTCTTTTCGAGAGAGCGTGGTGGAGAAGGCGCGGGTGTGGAGGGAGGACTGGAACGAGCGGTCAGCTCCATTGTTAATGAAGAGTATGGAACTCACAGGGCGTAGAGGAGAAGTTGCCCGCAGACAGAGTATTATTTGGGAGACCATGATGGTCGTATGTAGGATGCCTACAGCTCCAATGTTCTGAATTGGGCGGACCAGAGCTCAAGTTATAACATCCGACCTGCTGCGAAAGTCAATTGAACCTTAGAGGGGTCGAAGAATTTTTCGGCTCGCTATGCATGAAGACGACAGAGGAGGATTTGAAAAACAGCTTCATTAGATTTAAGTGGAAATACATACAACGCCCGGCCAGCCGTAGGCGATAAGTATTGATGTTTCTGATGCAGTCTCTCCGCATCACGGTCGAATTTCGGATGGCGGAGCGGCAAATGCCCTCCGCAAGTTGCCGCTATGATAAATCGACATACCGTGCAAGTGGTTTGGAGCCAATCCGGTTAAGGGCTGGTTGCTTTATCTACGCGCTACGGGGCCTCGGGGGCATCGATCTTAACACAACTCAATGACACGTATTTGGAGACCCCCTGAGGCACTGTCTCATATACAAGACATCTATCAGCCACTGTAACAAGGCACATGTGAAGTTGACTTTGTAAGTCCCTTCAATGGCTCACATTTTGTCTCTCGCATACTATGAGGTGACCAAGACTCAATCTTGATCTCACTTCATCAGCCCATGCTTGCCGGCGGACTCAACAACTCACTTTAAATACAGCTTTCCAGTCCACAATGCAAGATCCAGGGAAGACCGAACCTAAACCTTCGCGTTTGGTGGAACTTCCACTAGAACTTCAGGGCATGATATTCGAAGACGTAAGTGATTCACCCCGAAGTGTTGGGAGAGGACCAAATATCTAATGCCAAAATATGCTGCAGGTCAATTATTCTGACCTCAACAGATTATGTCTAACCTGCAAGACCATCAAGGCGGTTGTCCTTCCTAAGCTTTACCACCAAGTCGTCATCAGAGTGCCTCAAAAATGGTCACGGTTGCCCTCGTTGGAAGGTCTTCTGGGCTCTACTGGGGATGGTCTCAAATATACCACAGAGCTCTCCATTGAGACCCAACAATCTCCGTTACGAGACAGCCAGCGAGAATCTGAGGACTCCCGGCCCCCAGAAGAAGTTCTAGCGGAGACAAAGCTCCAGTTCTACCTTCCGCAAATTTCAGCATCGAATGCCCTAAATACTCTCATTCGGCTGCTAATCGTCAAGCTGCCCCAAAATCGACTGGAAGTGTTTAGGCACGTTTTTTCTCCTTCTTTTAGATTGAAGCACCGAATCCCCATCAACGGACAAGAGCTTACCAGACAAGTAGGTGGGAGCATAGTTGCGAGCTCAATGTTTCGACTCTGAACCTTCTATTCGAAAGGCAGGAGGCCAACCTGGATATATTGTTCTGCAACAGATTATCCTCGGCCTGCAACGTTTCGGGTTCAGTGATTGAAGGGATTGACCAATTATCCGTCGAGAGTATGGACCTTAGCCGTGGTGGTTGCCAGTGGGCAGCCAGCATGTTAGTAGAAAATGCCGAGACCTTGGACCATCTCGATCTCGGGTTCAACAATCGCATTGCCCATGACTTCGCCCTTAATAGGCGTCCACAATATGATAAGATGTGTGCCTCGTTCGCGGTTGATGTTAAAAAAACACTTTCTGCAAAGGGTCTGGAGCCGCCGGTGGACCTGTTATTGGAGTCAGTGTATTTGTGTGGTCTTGACTTTAGGAGTGTCATCCAAGGGGAGATGGCCCTCGACATCGATTTCAACGACGTCATTGAGCTGAGACTCGAATCGTGCCCTGGACTAAGTCAAGCATTTTCTCTGCTCACGGGTCAAGGAGACTCATCAAGGCTCGCTCTCGGTGCGCTTCAAGTTCTTTTCGTGAGGCTCGAAGATCCTGATCCGAATTTCTCCACCAGTCTCGAAAGCTTTCTCACGTCCGTTCGCGGGCTTAACCACCTTCAAGTGCTTATTGACAATGCCCTGACAGTCCAGTATCTTGAGCCAATCCTGAAAGTCCACGGCAAAACGCTTGAAACGCTTGTGTGGGATGAGAGACGCGGACCTAGAACACGGTTAGATGCCTCAACCTCTATGTTCTCTCCCAGGCTTGGGAATCTGAAGGTGATCGCCCGGAATTGCCCATCATTGACGCTCCTTGGAATACCGCTTGATTGGGAGGTAATCAGTAGCTCAGACAAATTACATGAAGCGGTAACACAATTGACCTTCACTCCGTAGAATGTGCGAACTCTGACAGTCTTTAGATTGCGAGGGCTTTCATAAAAATGCCATATCTCAAGGTGCTAAATATCCGCAACTTACCTGAAATAAGTGGAAGATCCGCGATGCCTATGGACTATTTCGTGAAGGGTCTAGCGGCTATGTTTGTGGACATTGTGAACAAAAAGCGGAAATCAACCCTCCTTAAGACTGTAGCAATCGGGGCACCCCTCTACAGAGACATCCACATTGGAACTCATCATGTCGTCCACACCGCCGTCAGTGATTTCCTGCGCTTCCGCATTTACAACATCGATTACGATTATCCATCTCCAAGCGGCTTGTCTCCCGTACTTAGCGAAATATGCAAAGGCGCTGCACGTAGTTCTGAAGGGCAATTCTGCCACGCCAAACTTTTATGTAATCACTGGCTCGGCTGATGGCTAGCTCCATCACTCTCGAATGCGGTGTTGCAGAACTATCGAAGGACGGCACTGTCCGTCGAACAATTGGACGGTGGTGACGGGGAATCCCGCTCATCCTAGTCTGAAGAGATCTCTGGTGCATATTCATAGCAGAAACTTCGCATCAATGGGGAAAACGGAGCGCTAGCATAGAATAGAGAAAAAAAAGACCTCAAAGAACGCCTTAGAGAATCCTTCATGAACCTCGACCTTAGATCACAACTTCCCGCGGTCGCACAGCTGATTCCGAATGTCCTAGCCTTGATTATTTTCCTCTACCTGGAGGATGCGCTTCTTACCGCAAACCTCTTGCCGACGCAAAGACTCCGTTTGCCTTAGTTCGACTGCTCATTCTCAAGATTCCCCACAGCCGGCTCGTACACTTTAGGTAAGTCGCTCTCTTCTACGATATCCCAAGGCAAAGGGTGTCGTGGTAGTCGACATCAGATTGACTACGGAAAAGCTGACAGCATAAGGTAACTGTGAGCTTGATCTCCGACCGTCGACCTTATAACAAGAAATCATACCACCAATTTGCGGCAATTCAGGCAATTCAATATCAATAGTTACGCTCAGCCCCGTGACATTTCAATTTAGTAACGGACAACGTTGCCGGTTCTGCCATCAACGGCATGGAACCTAGTCACTACCGTGAGTAGCCAGTCCAGCGAGAGCCTACAGTCGAGACACCTTACGCACGCTGACGCTAGGATCGCTACCTCGTATCGCGATCGATTATGCTCTCAATAGGCACCCGTCTTATCACCTGCTCCCAGTTCCGTTTACACAGATACTTGAACACGCACTTCCTACGGAATTGGAAGAGGCCGCAGCTACTGCTGTCGTCGGACCAAGTGGACATTGGGTGCCAAATCTGCGAGGGCCGCGATCCTTCCGCGGTAGGATAGCGACTTGCCTCCGTGTTTCGCCTACCACTGCCGCCGCCCTGACTCCGTCAACGTGACCGCATTCTTGTGGCAAAAGAGGTGTATTCGTCATTCATTGAATCTCAGACCAAGAAAAATGCAAATACTCCTGGATCTCCTCCGGTCGGAGATGAAGAGTTCCGTTAATTGGGTTACAAGTATTTTTAATTTGGCATGAGAGGCTGCGTCTAATGTTCTAACAAAAGAGCGGTATCAGAGAGTAGGGATGAAACAAAAATCACAAGAATAGCAACGCATGTTTGCCTCCCAAACGCCAAACCGGATTATGTCATTAAAAGCAGAGCAGTCCACCGTTCTCTGATAGGTCATGAGGCCTGCGCCTCAACGAAAACTGATGACCCTGATCCTCGGCCCTGCCGAGAGATACAGCCCTCCCAACTCCTCCCCTTAGTCCACCCACATCGCCAACGCTTCCTAGAATCACTCTAGGTCTTCTTACGATCGGTCATGATTACCGCAAACTCGCCTTCGGACCCAACGGGACGGCGGAAGGTTGCCTCAACGGTGTCGCCCAGACCAGTAAGAGGGTCAATCCAGGGTCCGAGCTTGTCTTCCACTTCCTCTATCTCATCGTCGCTGTAAAAGTAGATCGTACATTCCCCCCCACCAGGCAAGTCTTCGCCATCCCATTGCCAGAGCTCGACGAACTGAGGCTTTGCCTCTGATCCATCTTTCGTCGCTCGGCACACGCGCTTATAATTCTCGGCGCACTTATGGATAATTTGCTCGGCGGTATTGGGCCCCTTGGAAGTAGGAGGCTTAGATTTGTCGGTTGGGAATTCAGAGGAACTAGTATCGGAAGAGAAGGGGATGGCGGCTTGAGAAGCCTCAGGAGCTTGAGTGCCATGAGAAGGGGAGGAGGACATCGCGGCTGATGTTTAGTGGCTTGGTATTGCTGGTGATGGATGGTTTGCCTGTGTGGAGATTGGTGCGGTGCATAGAGGATGGTCCGCGGTGTGGATGGTGGTGTGTGGAGATGCTAGTGTGTGTGTGTGGATGCTAGTGTGTCCGAATCTGTGTGGAGAGTCTTTGGCCGTCTGTCTGTGCTTGCAGGAGATATGAAAAGGAAACACAAAGAGAAGGGAGCATTCTTCCATCTTATACTCATGACTCACACCGCAGGGGATTCGAGAAAGCAAAGGCTGAGCAAGAGACTGGAAGGTCTGAAACGGGATGAAACGAAAACGAGCTGCAAGAGTTGCCAAATATCCGTGGTCTCGGCCCCCTGTGGTCGTGTCTGAGTTGAAGGGAAAAGAGTGGAATTTACTAACCTTTTGGGGTGTGATCCCATGGCTTCTGTGACAGCGAAGCTCGAGTTGAGAAGAAACGGGTGCTGGCTCGTTAGGAGATTGGAGAGGTTGAAATGATACGCAACGGAACGAAACGAAACGAAGCCGCCCAAATTGCCAAGCTTCTATTGGTTTGGTCTCTTAAGGTCATGTCCAAGTTGATGGGAAAACGGTCAGATATTAAAGAGGAGTATTGAAACATAAGGCTGAAACAAAGACCGCAGGAGCAACAACGCATGGTTTTTCCTCCGAAACGCCGAGCTAAAACCCGCTATTAAAAGCCGTTACTGCCCGATAGGTCTGGCGCCTGCGCCCAAGTGGAAACGTGGTGACCCTTGATCCTCGCCGCTGCCGAGAGACACAGCCCTGTCAACTCCTCCCTCGCTCCACCCATACCTTCACCCACACCGCCGACGCCTCCCAGAAACCCTCTAATTGTGGGGGTGACGGCTCCATTCGTAGCCGAAAACTCCGGGGCCGGTGGGGAAGAATGTCATTTCAACACTACTCGACAAAATGTTCCAAGGCCTCCCCTCGTTCTTCCTCGAGTCGTCGACCAGGTCCATAGTTGGTCCCTGACCTGGTAGGTCGCCTGTGCCGTCGAACCCCTCGACCGTGATAGTTGGGTAACCTCCTTGATCGGGGTTGCGAAAGATCACTCGGCACACGCGCGTAACGGGGTTGCCGTGGTAGCCGGTAGAATTGACTGGGGTAGGATTCGAAGGGAGAAGGGAAGGAGTGTAGGAACGGGAGCTGCCTTGGGAAGGCCGAGGAATCCTAGACTGAGACATCGTGACAACTGTCCGGTGGCTTGATATTGTTGGTGATGGATGATTCGCTTGTGCGGAGATGTATGCGGTCTGTGGATGCTGAGTTTGGAAGCTTGGGGGCGTGTGTGTGGGTATGTGTGTGCAAATGCTGATGGGTATGAGAGAGAGTGTCGAGTCTCTTGCTGTATGCGCATGCTGGGTATGAAAGGAAACACAGGAAAGCAGAGAGCTTTCCTCTTTTCTCTACTCACTCTTAAGACCGCCTGGAATACAAAACCGGACAGACTGGATCAGTGACAGGGGAAGATGACACGGAACAAAGACTGGGGGGGAGCCAAACTAACGTGGGTTTGTCCCTTCATGTCATGTCTGACCGGATAGGGAAGGAGTCAGAGATTGCCAAACATTGATCGCTTCATCCCCTGGTTTCTACGACAGCAGAGCTCGAGTCGAGGAGAGAAGCTCAAGGATGTGTCAAACATTCATGATTCTATTTCCGAAAGCGTTGTCCGAGTTCATGAAGACAAGCTCAGGATTTGTCACATATTTGTGGCTTAATCGCTGGTCTGAAACGAAAAGAAAACAGCTGAAGTTTGCGAAACATTTAGTAATTCACCTCTCTCAAAAAGCTTGTCCGAGATGAAGAAAGAATGGCTAGGAATTGCTGAGCATTTACGAATTGCACGGTTTCGACTCGAGCAGTTTCCTTCAGGGCGAAGATGGGCTCGATACCAACGTTGATAACCTTACTGGCCTGAAGCTTACGCCTTGGAGACTCCATTAGAGACCCCGACATCAAATCACGAACTTGGGATCGCGTAGTCCTGACCGCGAATTTCCTGGCCTTGGTCGTTCTCCTTTTCCGCTGGAGAATGTGCTTTTTATCGCGAATTACGAAACCTTGTTTGCATTGCTGTTGTTCTTCTCACCCTCAGTCCAGGCCCATCTTGTCTACAGAAGCCCCTGCAGCTCAAAAAGTACTTTTGTCTCATGGTAAGGCTTCCTTTGGATAAGCTACGGGCCCGAGGCCTACCACAGAGTTCTTGTCTGGCGGGTTTCCATCTCCTACAATACGCACGCGCTTATTGATGGAAAAATGGAGGATCAGCGTGGAAGAAAGAAAGATGGAGACCTTAATGGACAACCTCCTCGACGATGCATCTCAATCAGACGCTGTGAGATGACTTAGTCAATTACTAGCGTTTAGATCATGAATCTTGATGGTTGAGTTTCTTTCTAGTTTTCCGAAAATCTTTGTGGGTAATGACAATCGCCAGACTCTCCTTTCGCACCGACAACTAACTATCTAGAGATGCTAAAATGCGTGTAGAGTGAACGCCGTGCAGAAAGTACGGTACGCAAGGCTGGACAGCGTTGTTTTCCTTGCAAGGCGCTCAGGAAATTTGGCGTAGCAACTTTGACCTGCATTGCAGAATATCTTTCACCTCCTACTCGTAACTACCAGAGTAAGCAACTTTGACCTGCAAGAAAACCTTTCCACCCCGCCATTTTTGGCGGAGTTGATTCAATACACAGCAGTTTGAATACCTGTGCACCAGAGAAGTGCCTTACTGCTCACGAGGCTGCAATCTGACAATGTCTTCCACTTTGCCTGCTACTGGTACGAGTACGCCACCAGGAAATAAACCGGGGATTAAAGTTGACAAGCCTCACCACTGGGGTATCTAATGATGCTTAGACTCTACACTTAATCTGTACCCTGTACAGTCACGCCACGCACAGACCTACATTAGCCGAGTACCTGCCCCTCTGGATCAGGCTGTCCCTCTACACAATCAATAATACTCCAAATATGGTGGGCACGAAGACCTTTTCATTGGCCAAAGTGCCGGCAAGTCGACCGCAGCTGGGTGAAATGCAATTGATAGTTAATTCTTCGAAGATGCTGAGGCGATAACTGGCGTTTCTTAATGCGATACACGAGACCTGACGATATGCGGGCCAAGAGCAATGCCGGAGTCGAGCCTTGTCTCGACACCATCAGGAACTTAATGCGGTACCGATAGTAGCCGTGTCCCTAGTTCATAACAGGCTGCCCGTCTGACCTTTACATTGTTATGGCCTGACTGTGGTCCGCGTCTGTTGCGTGCTGCACAGAGCTTCTTCGTATCAGCAAGGCTGCCGCACTCATACTTCAGTCCCGGTTTTCATTGCTGGAGCAACGATTCTCATTAATTCAAACCTCCACCTTTCTCTGTTCATCGTCACTTCGAATCTTTCTCCGCAGTGAGAGGGAAACAAATGCAACTATGTTCACCAAGAGAAACCCTGCAGCCAAACACCTAAGACGTTCTTCTCTCACGGGACCCAGAGCAAGCATTCTCTCGAAATGTATTCCGATACTTGTTGTGCTGCCTCCTTTGATTCTTTCGATACTTTACTCATATACCGGAACCATTTCGTGGTCGGGTCATGGCGCCGCCATATATCAGACAATCCTTCGGCGGTATCGGCAGTGAGACAAGTCATGTCTGGTATAATGGGAATGCTCCAGGCTTCCGCGGTCTTAGCGATACTTTGCATCTTTCCTGCGCGCACGCGGCTAGCTCATCCTACCAAAGCTGTCAGGCTTGATACTCTTGGACTGTTGAATGCTCTGTCAGTACCTCGCATGGACTGGAATCTGCCAAAGAAGAGCTGGCTGCTCGTCTTTTTGGCTCTTGGGCTTGGCCATGGACCCGCTGCCTTGTGGGCCAGCGCTTTCACCCCAATACCGACCACGCAGCTCAAGAACCTTGGCAGCGTATTGGTTCCAAGCTTTACTGAAGCTTCAAAACATTATTGGGGCGAACAGTTCGATAAGGGTCTTCGCCTGGAACATTGCCATACTCAGAGGCAACCATCATCCTTTGAATACGTGTCCAATTGTCCTCTACCATATTACCAGAATGCATTACTCACTACTGCCCGAGAGGCCATAACTCCAGATGGTGCACCTCGAAATCATTCACAGCTGGACAATCCAAAGTGGACATATCATGGGCGGTCTTATGGTGTTGGCTCCTTTTTAGGGCTTGAATCCGTCAGTGACCTTCCCATGGACTTCCGGCTTACGGAGTACTCCTTTGAAGAGACTGGCTATAATGCAAGCGTACAGTGCGATCACACCAGCCATCCTGATAACCTCAAGATCGAATACCAGATGAATCAAGGTAACCTTGGGGTATTTCGCTTGCGAGGATCTTTGTCAAATATGACTCAAAAGGCCAATGATCCAGTTATAGCCTGATGTGGTCGTCATGGTCAAGAGAAATGTGTGCATCCTGTGGAAGCCGTAACCTTTGCATGGTTCGCCGAGAGCAATAACCAGAGACAGCATATGGTTGGCATTGCAGCAACGGCTTGGTATGGCGGAGACTTTGCTAATTTGGAATGCTCACTGGAATTCATCCCCACAAGATCCACGGTCACAGCAAATGTCACGAATTCATCGATAACCGTCGTCAAATCCAGCGGTAGTGCGGCAACCGACCCTGAACCAACGGGACTCCTTGTTAATAACACTGTTACGTCCCTACACTTTCTGTCTAAGATCAGCCCCTCTCTTTACGTCTCGGTAATGGGCGACGCGTTTCAGTATAACGTGAATACCACGTACAAATCTTCCGCTTACGGTAACCTGACTCGCCGCGAAGCCGGACTCAGAGCCACCGAAGCTTCATTCGAGGCCACCCTCGACGATATCCTCGGAATCTACGGAAGTGGTCAGATCGCCATAGCCAATGAAGACAACAAGCACGACCATCGCAGGCACCTTCGGTTCGTACCTTTTCGGAAAGCCACTTGTACTTGGCCTCATACTTCTGGTCAATCTAGTCATCCTCTTAATCATCGTGATTGAAGGTATCAGGACGAGATTCTGGCGCCATCTGCCGCAATACGATATCTTGGATTTCAAAAGTACTGTCACCGCAGCGTCTCTTGGTGGTAACGACATCTCCAAAAAGGTTCAGCGACAACGAGGGGAAGGCGATAAGTGGACTGCTGATGCCGCAGATCGAATGCTCGGCGATATTAGAGTTTGCTTGCGTCAAGGCGACTTCGAAGAGCCTAAGATAATCCTTGATGAAGGTCTTCTAATGCAGGACGAAGCTGACGGAGGTGGCACAGAGATGGACGATGGGATGGCCCCCTTGGAGACAGAGCCATACACTGGTGCCCCTGCAGCGTGGAGTCCGATTGGACAGCACAATGAGTGTTCATCGGGACAACGGAAGACGTCATGATAGCAAATCGGCGAGTCCAAAGCGATTCATAACCCTATATACAAGTTTGATCATTGTTTTCCGGTGTTCTGCCCAGCATCTGCCGTACGGACGAAACTTTGGATCTTTTGCACGTTGCCATGCTTCTGGGCAACAGCCGCCTCGTACGCTTTCCTGTACGTATGTACCGCCTCAGAGAACGGCTGTCTTTTGTCCCGCCACCCGACGATCGCGTCTCAACTTCTCAGAACCCACCCATTGGCTAAAGCCAAACAACAATCTGCACTACATCCACTGCCGCATTCTTTTCCTTCTCCGGTAGATGTTTGACACCATCTTTGATCTTATACTCTTCAACAAGTGCATTCGCAACCTCCTCAAGTGTCTCGTACCGCCGCCCTGAAATGTTGTAACACTGACCCTTTACCACATCCCTATCAGCCTCAGCAAGTGCAACGTAAGCTTCCGCACAGTCATCGACGTGAGTCCCATGCATGATGCTTTTCGGGTCTGCCCTAAGCTCCAGCACGCCTTTCTCGGCAGCCTTAGTTGCTACGTCAAAGATTGGGCCGTAGAAGCTGCCACTGAGACCGTAGAGGGTGGTGGGACGGACAACTACAGCATCGAAGAGATCCGTATGATCGAAGATCTTGATGGCGTGGGATGCACGTGCGGCAAGGAGCGACGGTGCATTCACCGGCGACTCTTCTGTGTGCGGCGACAGATTGTCTGACCGATCGAGACCAGTCGTACCATAGTCCTTACACCCGGACGTAAACATAACTAAAGGACGGATACCCATTTTACTGCTTGCTGTAGCAAGCGCGCGTAAAAGGGCAATGGTGTCATTGAAGTGCGGAACATAGTCCGAGATCTGCTCGGTACAAGAGACCATCACGTCGAACACGAATCTTGTTTGGTTTGCCGACCTCTCGACGTAGGTTTTGTCACTTGCTGATCCAAGGATGGATATGATCTCGTCTGCTCTGAGGGACGCCCTGGTCTCTTGGTTGCGGACGAGTCCGTAGGTGATCCACCCTGCACGTACGAAGGCTCGCGCGACCGCATTGCCAATGTAGCCATTCGCGCCGGTCACTAATACCGACTTGGGTCTCGTTTCTGGCATTGTACCCAAACTTTTCGATGGTAATATCTCGATCGTTCAAGGGACCACGTTTTCGTCAAATCTGGATGTCCGGCAGTGCACTGAGATGTCAGCTATGGGCAGCTGGGATTTCCCATCAATCATGGCGCCAACAGAGGTCCTTCACCCATGCCATCTATACCTTTCCCTAAGCGCGGGGGTCCGAGAGTCGAAAAGGTTCGCAGCTGACGTAGAAAACTCTTACACTTGTACCTAGGAGTCGACCTTTGCTCGACCTGTAGTTAGGGGAAAGGCGTGAAGTTGGTTAGGGATGCGGATTTGTCATACGACACGTGACGTCAGGTCAGACCTACTCGGTCATTTGACAGTCATATACGGTCAACTGACCGCACTGCAAATGCCTTGTAGTAAGACAAAGCGTGAGGTTCGAGGGAAAGGATAGAATTCAGATGTATTTAGGGCTGAAAGCGGATGACACTAGTACCCCTGTTTTCTTAATCATTGGGAAACTAAAAAAAAATCTGCGAATTTGGCACCCCCCATAATCAAAAATCAAAAATTTGGATTTTCCTGTATAACCTCACCACCACTTGTTTTTACAGTCTAAAAGTTTTACGATATCTACTTATTATATTAAGTAATCTATCTCTAGATTTTAAAAAAGATCTAAATTTTCATCTTATAAGTGAAATATAAAAAGTGAGAATATATCGCGAACTTGAAAATTTTACCTCGGCTACTTTTTTCGCCAAGACTATCTTAAAAAATCTAAGAATTTATTAAATCTTTATTCTATAATAGAACGAATAATTAGAATCTTTTATAATTCGAGATTCTTAATCTCTTATATAATTATTAAAATCTAGAGTTTTTTAGAACGTTACAAGTTATCGTTGTGAGGCCATTTAAGAAAAGCACTTTTTTTGTTTTTTGAAGGGGGTGGCCAAAATCGCGATTCTAGTTTCCCAATGATTATGAAAATAGGGGTAATATCTTACTCTACCTTACCTGTACCGAGCCGTGCGAATCGCCTGACGGCCTTACGCTAAAGTCCGCATGCTTAAATACGGAGCTAGGTACGTACTGGGTAATGTACCTGGTAAGGCACCACCACACTGTAGTTAATATCCTTGCACCATCACCAAATACCGAATGCACCGACTTTCCAATCTGTCTCGCTCCTTCACCTCCAAATCTTCGTCCAAGCTCACTACTATCCGTCAAGCATCCATGGCTGGGAAGCACCAAGCAGCAATCCTCCCGCAGAAGGGAGGTCCATTGTCTGTCGTGGACCGCGCCACCCTCGAGCCCGGTCCTAATGACGTTCTCGTCGAAGCCAAGGCCATTGCCGTGAACCCAGTCGACTATCTTCAGCGCGATTTCGGTATGCCCCCACCCAGCTATCCCGCCGTCGTTGGGTCCGATGTGGCTGGCCTTGTCGTCAAGGTGGGCTCCAACGTCTCCAATGCCCCTCCGTCCGGATCCCGAGCGATCGCATTTGCCTCGTCTTTCTATCAAGGCGGCTCCCAAGACCATGGCGCTTTCCAGAAATATGTCTTGGCTCAGTCAGAAGGCGTCATTGCGCTCCCGGATGCCCTCTCCTTCGAGTAGGGTGCCGTCCTCCCCTTGGCCGTCTTGACCGCGTTGTCGAGCTGGACCACAACTGGAATCCCGCTCGGCACCAAATATCCCTTTCAGGACAAGCAGGCAGTCCTGATCTGGGGCGGCGCCAGCAGCGTTGGTACCTTTGCCGTTCAATCCGCAAAGTTAATGGGCTTCACCGTCTATCACCACGGCCAGTACCAAAAACCATGAATGCCTCAAGAAGCTCGGAGCTGACGTTGTCTTCGACTACAAAGCGAGCGATGTCGTCTCACAGATCATAGACACCGTGAAGAAGGATGGCGTCACCCTACGGACCGCAATTTGCGTCGTGGAGGGATCCCTGCAGCCCACGTTGGACGTGCTCAGACACACCATGGGCGATGCAGTCGCCAAGGTTGCCCATGCCCCTCCTCTGCTCCCGGGAGCCCCGACGCTCGAGGGAGCTGAGGTCAAGTTTGTTCTACCACCTATGGACCCGGCGGAAAGAAGCGACCATATGTACAAGTGCTTCCATGTCTGGCTGCGAGACGGTCTAAATTCGGGTACTGTCCTTCCCAGCCCACGGGTTCGGATTGAGGCTGGAGGTCTGCAGGGTCTGAATAAGGCGCTGAACACGTCAAGAGCAGGTGTCAGTGGGACTAAGATTGTAGTCCAAGTCTGACTCGTCTAACCATATTAATGCATTCGACAATCCTAATTCGCACAAACTGCTATGTGAGTCTTGAATGAATCAGCGCAACTCACAACTGCGCGACTAATATTATTGCCAAAGCATCGCCTAGGTCCAGCGTCCGATCTCGTCTGATTTCGTCCGATTTCTGCGACGATTTTGCATCTGTCAGCAAAGACAGTTTCTCATTTGTCAGCTTGCACAAGACTCGGCCTTTGCTGACAATCTCCCATTTGTCAGTTTGCACAAAATCGAGGATACCTGCTTCCTTGAGAACTATCATCAAACTTGAAGTGCTTCCTAGGAAAGGGCCAAGATTCACAAAATCAACGTTCCCCAGACATTTACCTCAAAACAGCGCAGAACATGTCCAAGATCCTTGCAGTCTTTGGAGCTACCGGCCAACAAGGCAGTTCAGTCATCAACTATGTGCTGCACGACCCAGAGCTCTCCCAAAAGTACAAGATCCGTGCTATCACTCGTGATGTCAACTCGGAGAAGGCCAAGCAGCTTAAGGGGAAGGTCGAGGTCGTCCAGGGTGACGTACTCAAACGGGCCTCCCTCGAGACAGCTTTGACCGGCGTGCACACCGTCTTCGCCATGACAACACCTTCCTTCGGCCCCGACGGCTTGGAGGTCGAGTACAACAGTGGCAAGACGATTGCCGACGTCGCCGTCGAGAAAGGTGCCGAGTACATTATTTTCAGCACTCTGCCGCCAGCCAAAGAGATCTCTGGCAGCAAGTAGACCAAGGTCACCCACTTCGATGCCAAGGTAAAAGCTGAGCAGTACATTCGAGGTCTTCACATCAAGAGTGCCTTCTACTCGCCGGGATTTTTTATGCAGAATTTCCAGTCTATGACCTTCTTGGCTCCACGACAGGCTCTCGATGGCACCTGGGTTATGGCCCGCCACAACTCTCAAGGCCCAGATGCCCATGATCGACGCTGTTGGAGACACAGGCAAGTTCGTTGGCGCTATTCTCGCCGAGCCTGTCAAATACGAAGGCAAGACGTTCTGCGCCGCCACGGCGCTATACAGTATGGAGGAAGTGGTTGCCATCATGTCCAAGGCCACAGGCAAGACCGTCGTCTACAAGCAGATCCCGCTTGAGGACTTTAAGAAGAGCCTATCGTTCGGGCATGACATTTTTGGTGAGGCGTTCAGCTACCCAGAGGAGTTCGGCTACTTCGGCCCAGATTCTGAGAATTTGGTTGCTTGGGCTGTGCAGAACGCCCGAGGCAGACTCTCCACCCTTGAAGAGTACTTAGAGGCACATCCTCTTCAGCTGGCGTAAACGGACACCATGGGACGACGCAGGCAGGAGAGGCTTGAGGAGTTGTCTAATACGGATCCGGAATCCACAACATCACTAGACATCAAAGAATGCATGCTGGAAGTGCAGGGAATGTCAGTAGGAGAGCTTGCTGCCGAAGAAAACCACCTTAGTGGATTGGCGGTCCTCCGTGACTTTTGTATCATAGATCTTGAGGAACAAGGGAAGGAGGTAGAAGAGGTGATAGAAGCGTTGCAATATTGAAGTCACAGCGCAAAAGCAATCCACCTTAAGCCAGTACCATAGAGACCAGTACCGCAGAAGCCAGTACAGTACCGAGTGGTTCACGAAAATGATCGCGGCTACGTGGCGCACCATTTGGGATCAGTATAAATCTTTCTTGGAAAACCCGGGCGCGGGGAATAGCACTGTGATGGTGAGAAATATCCGTTGGCGAAAGCAATGTCGTTTGGCGATGCGTCATCATCGTATGTATTTCGTTCATCCCTCAACTATAACGCTGCGATAATCCCATGGTATGATGGAACTGGGCTGGATGCGGAAGCTAAGGCCTTTGGATCATCGGTTCGTGATCTCTTCATGCCGACGAGCGGTTCGTCTATGAATGAAACGTCAGCATTTTTGGATCGTCATCTCGTGCGGCAATGGCATTGTTATGGGTGTTTGAATATCAACCGACCTTACATTAGCCACATCAGTTACGCGAACGGGGTTGAAAGTTTGCACTCGATATGTGGCAAGCATCTAGGCAGGCTGCAGAGGATCAAGGCAGTGTATGATCCAGCTAGACGGTTCGACCAATTCTTCCCTTTGACCCAAAGGCCTGCTTGATCTGCGTAGAATCTGAAGTCCTGAATGAAGGGCAGCATCTTCTGTCAATTGGAGTGTTGTGCAGCTTCTGGATGGCTATGACTGTCTGCATTGTAAATTGCATTGTATCGGAAGGCCTTGACCGATCATAGAGTAAGAGTAGTGGTCAAATACCTGTAGGGTATGCATGCTGCTGCCTTGTCTGCCTTGTCTGTCCTTGTGTCACCCGTCACTAGCCCCCACCTTCTCACTTTATCTGAAAAGTGCTCATAGGCTGCGAGGCTGCGAATTCTCTTTACTTCTGCCAACGTACGAGAAGTCATCAGAAGAATCACCTTTTCCCTTTTCTACACTCAGTCATACATCATGTCACAATCGAGCAATGTGGTCTGGATCACTGGGTCTCTGCAAACGCTTTCTCTCTCGCCCCAACACAGAGGTCATCGCCAGCGTCGGAGACACGTCCTCTCCTTCCGTTCAAGAGCTCTCCTACCTCGCCAACGGACCAGGTGACACTGTCATGACAATCAAAATCGACATGACATCGCCAACCGACGCGAAAAACGCTGCTCAGGCTCTACAAACCCACCATCAGATCTTAAAGCTAGACTTCGTCCCTCGCCAATGCCTCGGTCCAGAACTTGACCGTTGCCCTACTCGCTGCTGTCGATCCTGCGCAAGTTCTGGAACATGTATCAGATTAGTAGATAGATATGTTTTATATTTCGAAAGATTTTAGAATCTATCAATATGCTAGTTATATTATGAATGACTGCCTTTAACCGACGCTAAAAAGTGGATGCCGGTGAATAGATAATGCCGAGCCTCTATCTATCTTCATTAGCTCTATATTGTTTACGGTCAAATACCTACTATTTACGATTGGCGCTGTTATTTGATGTAGTCATTACGCATCCGTACGTGAAGTTGGTACTTTAAGGTCGCCAGGAGGTTTTACTAATCATACCTGGAAGTCTTAGCAAATTGTAGGAATATTTCCCCGATTGAAAGGTTAGGGATAAGTATTGTGTATAATATCGTTTTTACAGATCCTAGTATTTTTAAAATTAAATTTTGCAGGATATCCCTAATTGAGATCTTTTCCTACTTGATAAGCCGTATTTTATTTAACGTAATACTGCTTTAAGTACGGGTCCCCATCCTCACCCCCCCCATCCCCCGTCCCTCCGTCCATCCCCCGCCCCTCCCCCCCCCCCGTACCTCAGATATCCCTGCAGAACTTTGCTATTTGAATTTTAAAGCGTGGATGTAATTTACAGTAGCCAGATCCCGAAAACGAGGCTTGGCTTCGTATTCACCGAAATAATTATAGAAGACTCGCTTTCTCAGGAGACTCCCGGGAGGAATCTTAAACCACGATATCATGAGATTGAAAATAATTGATATAAAAGATTCTTCAAGGGATTTAGGGTAGATACGTTGAATCTTGTAATAAATCTTTATTTGTAAATAATACTTATGGTATTCTTGTTACGCTAAGTTGCCTACTGATCATTACGAAAAACGTTAAGGTAGACCAGGAATAGTAGAGGGGTCTGTACCCTAAGCGCAGCTTTTGACGGCGGTTGCCAAGCGTCTTACGTTTCTGCCGAGCTGTGGCCGAGTGACTTTCTTGGTGCACGCAACGTTCCTTCCCAATATAAATGCCACTGTCTTTACCAGCCTGTTCGTCCCTTCTCTTACTCTTTTCATTCTCTGGTTGCATCACTCGAAATACCCCTTCTCTGGAATAACTTTTGCCCTAGTGCAAAGGCTTCATTACAGGCATCATTCCACACTCGAGCGACTTTTAAAAGCAACAATAATGACTTTCCCTTCCACAATTCATTCCAAATTCTTGTCCGCAGGCAACGAGTTAGGGGTAGTAGCCGTCGGGTTTTCCGGTGGCCAGGTAATTGCTCCTTTTTCCATAACAATGCCCTACAGACACGCCCTCTCCCAACGTCTTTAATCGGCTAACCTCCCCTCCAAAAGTGCAAACCAGGCGTGGACGCCGCGCCCACCGCCCTCATATCCGCCGGCCTCCTTACCCAGCTGAAAGAGGACTTGGGCTATACACTGCATCACGATGACACAGTCCACAACTACTCCAGCCTCATACCCTCCTCCGACCCAGACTACCGCAACATGAAGAACCCACTCGCAGTCAGCGCCGTTACGAAGCAGCTGTCCAATCAAGTGTACGAGCACGCAAAGCACGGCCGCCTGGTGCTGACTTTGGGCGGCGACCACTCCATCGCGATTGGCACAATCGCGGGCACGTCTAGAGCCATCAAGGAAAGACTTGGTAGGGAAATGGCGGTGATTTGGGTGGACGCACACGCAGATATCAACACGCCGGAGACGAGCGAAAGCGGCAACATTCATGGTATGCCCGTTGCTTTTCTGACCGGACTCGCAAAGGAAGAGAAGGCAGATATGTTTGGGTGGCTGGGAGAAGAGAAGGCTTTGAGCTTGAAGAAATTGGTGTATATTGGCTTGAGGGACATTGATAGGGGAGAGAAGAAGATTCTGAGGGAGCACGGGATAAAGGCGTTTAGCATGCATGATATCGATAAGTATGGATCCCTTTCTTGCGTCGCTGGAATACGTGATGAATCGTGGTGATCCTGGACCCTTACAGTTTCGATAGACACGGTATTGGCCGAGTCATGGAAATGGCGTTGGGACATATTGGGCACGATACTCCCATTCACCTTTCCTTTGATGTCGACGCTCTGGATCCTCAATGGGCCCCTAGCACTGGAACCCCAGTGAGAGGTGGCCTGACGTTGCGGGAAGGCGACTACATCGCCGAGTGCGTGCATGAGACTGGAAGTCTTGTTGCTATGGATTTGGTGGAAGTGAATCCTTCTCTGGAGGCGGTAGGTGCTGCGGACACAATCAGAGCGGGTTGCTCCTTGGTGAGGTGCGCGCTGGGCGATACTCTCTTGTGACGGGTGATGATTTACGAGTACCACAAGAGCAATGCGACAATGCGAGGACGAAAAGCATATTTCTGGAGGATGCGTTAGTGTTGATTACATCCCAACATATTTATTGAAGTTCTTTAACTTCATTCTGTCACAGCATAGTAAAACCGCTCACCCTTCGCGATCTTGCTTACCAAAAGAACGACTAGCAGTCCCTCGTTGCTCCATGCACGATTAAAGGGATCCAAAAAGGGGACCTTGGCACTAAAACCGGAAGCTCTCCCAAGACAAGCGGGCTGGATAATCGAAGGTGATATGACACCCACCAAAGTAATCATTACCTCGTTCAGATCAACATTTTCATCCTACATCCTTCCCACTCACTCGAACACTCACAAATCCGTTCAAGTGGTCTCGGAGATGACTACCATGATGATTTATGAAAGGAAACGATACGTCGCGTTTTCTGACTCTCGACTGCAAGTCTCATGCAGGCGTGCACGCTTGACCCAAGCTAATCGAATCCTGTCTTTGATGCAGTGGGCCACACCTCGCTTGGTAAGCCTGAAGACGCCAATCCATGTTGGGAGATGCGGCACAATGGCTGGCATGAATGTTCATAAGGCTTGAGACGCATTTCCGACTTCCGGTCCTTGTCATCCCGTACGAATTGGCTCATAGTTCAACGCTCGTCCTATGTCCATCTCCTCACCATTGCCTTCAAAAGTCATGGACCCGGCACGGCTGAGACCTCATCATTCAAGCGCAAATTCCCAGAGCGATGACTACGCATCGGACTATCAGACTTCTGATGATGGTTATGACTATAACGTCGTTGACGATGCACCAGAAGCACAGCCAACAAAAGCCAAGAAATTCAAACCGGCTATAACTTCCCAGGCTTCCATTGAAGCTAGTGCATCGAAGGGGCTAGAAGATGCAGACCATGCATTTACAGAGTTAATGCCACATATCTGGCAGCGCCATGCTGGCCGGCGGAGGGCCAAGATACCAGAAGTAGATCTGGATTTGGAAAAGGGCGTTAGTGGTGGCGCAGCAACAGACGAGAAGAAGTCATCGAAGGCGGCCCCAGAGGTGACAAATATCAAGCTGCGCTGGACCATGCCCGAGATCGAAGGTTGGCGTGTACTACAGTTGGATTCTAGTAAGCCAGATGTCGAGGTCCAAGAGCCTTATCTGCAACAGCGCAGAGTCCGATGGCAGTAAGAGCCAAGTCGTTGTTATTCACAGCCAAGTCTAACTAAAGCCAGCCATTCTGAGCGAGACGTTATGCAACTGGACATACCTGAGGTTCGTTCACATTTATGAAAGATTAAGTTTCATGTATAACTCAATGCTAATGGGGAAATCCAAAAGGACCTAGTCAATGAATGTCAGTCTCAGGGCTTAGCTCGTGGCGAACGAGGACTCACACGACGTCTGCTCAAGAGAGTCCGTAACGTTGCGGAAAGAGAGTTTGTTGATGGTAGATTTCTCGACGAAGCGATCTCGAGCTTATTACCAAGACCGCCTTGCCACCCTTGAAGCCTTGAACCTACTTGTACATTCGCGGCAGATCCTTTCAAATTCAAAGCTTCTCAACCCTCAATCATTGCTTCTTTGTTGAAGACTCTGCCCTGCAAGGCGTAATATATAGCATAATGTTGCAGGAGCATGGCGTCCTCTCTGGAGCCTGCACAGCGACCGATCAACCTGATCGAGTTGGCCGACAGATGCGAGCAGCACCTCAACTCGTTGAAAACGTATGCGAACAATAGCAAAACGAAGCACAACAGCGGGAAGAAGAAGGTCTTACTTGAGGATGTTATCACACGCGTCAACAGCAATACTCAATCCCTCAAAGCCTGGACCGCTGCGATCACCAAGGGAAGGCAGACATCCGATAAAGAAATCAAGGCATCGGTCAATTCGGTCTTCGAGGACATCGTATCGCGGGTAAATGATGCTAAAGAAGCTCTGGGCCACAGGCTAGCGTTCTCTATCTGGATACCTGATAAATCCAAGTGCTTCATGCTGCAAGGCTGTATACCCAAATCGAAGCTGACTTCGGAACAGGGCAGTGGAAGTTGCGCGTCTCTGGAAGGAATTGGATGAGATAAGAGACACCATCGGTTACTTGCACAATCAGGTCTAAACAGTCTTGCGTGATACTCCAGATTAAAAAGAAACGTCGAATAAGAATCTCCGAAATTGTTCAGAGAAGATATAAGTCCTACTATGTCTTCGTCAACGCTATCGGCCAGATGTCAGAGGCAGAGAGGCGGTCAACACGCTTTGGAACATAATACCTACTATGGAAAGAATTCTCCCCAGGACTAGATCTGAATGGGAATGTTGGCAATGCGGATGACCCCGGGGATGGCAAGATATACGATCAAGGGAGCATACAACAGGCGAGCCAGATCCTAAAGGCATTCTATGATGCGTGGTCGGAACCCATCATCAAAGCCAATGGCGCGAACCCGACGTCACCAGACATACTACGGAAGGTGGGAAAGATTCCAGATATGGCGAAAATCTGCCTCATTCTACGTGGAATGAAGCAGGAGAGGCTTCTCGACTGTTTTTGCGAAGAATCCAAGGATGACAGGCATCTGCCGCTCAAGGTAGAGACCAAGAGAATTATCTTCGAGCCGGACGACGCCGACCACGCGAAGAACTTTTCCAATGAGCAATATAGGGCTATGTGTCGAACTTGGAACGATGGTGAACACATCAAGATTGCCGAGGAAGAGCCCCTACCCTTGAAATATATAAATGAGTACGGGAAAGGATCCTACGGCAGTGTGACAAGGAACCAACACGCTTTCACAGATGCATTCTACGACTGCAAGGAACAAATCTCCGTCGAAGCAAGAGCCCATCTACTGCGAGAAATCGCAAGGCTCAAGAAACCTGGACACAGGCATATTGTGCAATTCGTCAAGTCCTACCAGCGTGGGACTCGCTACGGGATCCTCCTGAAGCCTGCCGCAACCACTGATCTCAAGAAGCTCCTCGACAGATACCGCAGAAACGGCCTCGATTACGACAGGGATAGTCGAGACCGTCGGAGAGATCGCGTTGTCCTTAAGCTTGTTCTATTGACGGTGTGAGGATGCTTGAGTTGGCGACTTGCACACATCCACGGGTGCAACATACGCCACACGGATATCAAGCCCGCCAACATATTGTTCCAGAAAGCTCCAGGGCCAAACCCAGCACGATTTCTGTGGGCGGACTTCGGTCTTGCTCACGACTTCGGTGACTCGGGGCACAGCAAGACGACGAGCAAGTCCCGCCATCGTTATTCGCCACGTTACGCTGCTCCAGAAGTCATGGAGGAGTTTGAGGCCCGCAAAGCAAGAGGCGAGATCGAACACGAGGACTCGGATGATGACGAAGATGAAGATGCAGCGGCGCAATCCATTGGTGGTCCTGGTAACGCTATCGGCCATGGACGGAGTTCTAACATCTACTCCTTCAGTATTGTCTTCCTCAAAGTCCTCAGCTACCTAATCACCGAAGGATCGGATGCCTCTGTCCCAAGCGACTGTGAAAGTTGCATGCCGTTTTGGAAGAACACCGAAGGCGTACAAGCTTGGGCCAAAAAGCAGATCCAAAGATTGACACGAAAAGACCCGTTGGTATTCCTTTTCCGGCTCAGCTCAAAGATGATCGCACGCAGGCCCGGAGATCGGCCTATCATTTCCGACGTCGTCCGAGGCCTGACGGAGGCAAATCAGCAGTACTTTTGCACCGCTTGCCTCCAACAGCCCGAGGAGCCTACGTCACAAGCGGTCATTGCCGAGGAACAGATGGTCGAAGGGCTGGAGAAGGCAAAATGCCTCTCCTAAAGCAAACGCCGTGCCAATGGTCAAGATCATGGGAGTGAACATGAGGTGGTTGCAGAAGCGCCGCCTCCTGCCGAAGAGCTGCGAGATCTCGTCCGCCGTCCTAGGCCGTCCGTCAGGGGGAAAGAACCAAGCGGGAAGAGATCGTCGATGCGGAGTCCAGCTCGCCGGAATGACAAACCACCGAGCCTGTTGCGGTGTTCAGAAGACTTGATCGCTATAAACATGGACGAGACTGCGAGACAGATCCCGTCTGCGCCTCTGGTCGAGCCATGAACTCCTTCCGACCCATCGTCCAATACTAATGTAAAATAAACATCACGATGTACTTTCGAAAAGTCGCAAAATAATGCACGGGCAGAGATATCATTGGAAGCCAATTTGTGTGTCTCTGTTTTCTTTACTCTTGGATGCATCCGGCATTGGCGGCACCATGATACCCCCAAAAGCGTGAAGGACGTGGCGTTGCTTCTAACGAGTAATGTACACAAAGACTCTTCTCGGAGTCTCTATCTGTAGCAACGTGAAAATCCTCCCATTTGACAGGAATGTGTTGTACGCTCCGAGATACGGGACAATGTAATAATACTATACACACAAATTCACAGATATCAAATCACGATGGGGTCCTGGGCTGGCAGAATTGACATTTTTGCAAGGGTAATTACATGTCGAACTGGAACAGGTCAGCTCATCTGATGGCATATGGTGGGATCTGTTAGTCTCCTAGTCACTCTAGCTGTGGATTCGCCAACTCAGAGATCATGAGAGCTGAAAGTAGGCCAATAATATGCAGGCGATCGAGCTGGGCCTCGGCCAGTTCGAACCCAAAAGACCCTCAAGCTAAGACCAGTGACATACATTCACATCAGGATATCGAAGTCAATTTACCCTTACATATCATGGGATACGTAGCTGTTAACCAAACAACACCATCCCCGCTCGCAAAACGCCCAGTCGCGTCTCCAACTCTTACTATCCCATTCTCCCCCCAACTCCAACCATGCCATCCCTCAGCACCTCAAGCAGTTCCGGCCTCCCACCCATCTCCGCATCCAGCAGCGCCAACACAGCCACCACTGCGCCCCAATTCCCTAAGGCTCCCACTACAATTCTCACCTTGTCCCCTATGCTACTTCCTACCTGCTGGTACCCGATAGGCTCACCTCGCTTGAAGTGCGGATTCCTAACAGTCACTTTCGTGATATGTTGTTATCGTACGGCGGACGCCTGAACCCCAGTAGAAGGCACAGTCAAGGCGCTTGGCTTCCGTGATAATAATGATCTGCAAAACAAAAAATGGTTCTGTCAACTAGGAGAAACTTTGACCCTTATCGTGGTCGGTCCTAGAAACAAAGGGACGAATGGTAAGGGCAGTGAGGGATTTGTAGCAAAAAATAGTGAACGCTTGACTATATATTGTTAAAATGACAAGATCAAGCAGTGAGTGACCAAGTCTTGATATCAAGGTATATTGGTATCTGATAATACGTCAATTTCTGAGTTTTCGGTCGTCAAAGAAGGCTGAGGGTGCGGAAGTGTTACCCTAACATTCGTTTAGTATGCGAGTGTAAACTCGTAGCATACTCTTTTAGAACTCCACCACGGTCGAAAGGACTAGCGTCTTTGTCCTGACGGTACGACGGTCAACATTGGCAAGGTCTATGAAGATTGCAATTGATCCTTGTTCTGGATCCTGAGCAAGCGACCTGGGGGTTTTGTCTCAGTCTCAGCAGTGATGAAACGTGCCAAGGTATTTCTCTGGGCATTTGATGGCTTGTTACTGGAGACCCAAAAGCTCCTTGAGCACGGCTTCGGCCTTTTGAGCTTCTATTGTCCCTGACCCCTGGCGCATCATCTGTCCGACGAAGAACTTGAGCTTCCCAAGCTGCTTCCCCTTTTGAATCTGTTCAACTTTCTTAGGATCCTTGTCAAGCAAAGCTTGCGCCATCATGATGTATTCCTCCCGGGACAGACGTCGCAGGCTCAAATTGGCTTGGTCGATGATCGTGTTTACGTCTCGTTCGTCGCCGTCAAATGACATTGCAAGGAGTCTTTTCGCTGTACTTCCCGTAATCTTTTCCTCATCCAAATTCTGGAGAATGGAAACCATAGACCTAGGTGGAACGATTGTTGGGGAAAAGGGAACATTGGCTGCATTGAGAAGACTACCAAGTTCGTGAAGGACCCTTAAGGCAAGATGTCAAAATCAATTAGGGGATCTGGATGACGAAGACGTACCAATTTCCAACAATTTTGGAGAGACGCGGAGCTGAGATGGGATCGTTCTTTTCGGAGGCCCACATTGTCCTCACAGTGTCGAAATAGTCTAACCGCTCACCATTGTCGAGGGACATCAAGGATTTTGCATCCTTCATAGTCAGCTCGCAGACGGTCATAAGATCTGCGATTATCTCGTCTGGACGCTTGGGAAGAGTCCTCTCAATGTGATCGATGAGATCCTGTCATCGTCGACTTAGCAAGCATCAGGGCAATAGCATCACGGCTGAGGCTTACTTGGTCAATAATGAGCGGTGCTATGTCCGGATCTGGCATGTACCGATAATCCACTTCGCCCTCTTTCCCACGAAGCTTCTCGGTCTCGGTACTTCCCAGCGTCCATCCACGAGTCTCCCCCTCTACGGATCCACCAGACTCCAGTATTGCAATTTGCCGATCTCTCTCTGCAGTGATGGCATGCTCAACAGCCTTGAAGCTGTTCAGATTCTTGATCTCGGTGCGCTGGCCCAGCGCTTCGCTACCTTGAGGGCTTACGGAGACATTGACGTCGGCTCTCAACCCTCCCAGTTCCATACCTTTTGTGACAGCATTCACAGCTTGTAGGATGGACTGTATCTTTCTGACGCAGGCTGCCGCAGTCTGAGGGTGATGGATTTGAGGATGAGTGATGATTTCGATCAGAGGATGTCCGACACGATTGAAGTCCAGCAGAGTAGTTGAGGGTGGCTGTAGATTTGATTTCGCTGTGTCTTGCTCCATCTGAATCTGCTTGATGGCAAGGTTGACGATTCTTCCATCCTCAGGCGCAATGCCATCATGATCGTAGACATGGACATTTCCGCTCACTGCAAAAGGCGAATAGTATTGTGTAATCTGGTAGCCTGCAGGCTGATCTTGATAATAATAGTGCTTGCGATCAAACTGGCTCCTCTGACGAATCTCACAATCGAGACTTAGAGCAGCACGCAGGGCTGGGAGGAGGGTAGCTTTTTGAAATTCTGGCTGGGTTCCAGGAAAAGCGAGATCAAAGACGGCAACATGGGCGTTCGGCGCGCAATCCTCAGATGTCATTGCATCTGAGAACAACTTGCGCTCAGTATTGAGCTGTGCATGTACCTCAAGGCCCACGGTCAACTTCCATTTCTTCGAACTCGAATCATTGCTATTCTTGCAGGTGTCCTGAGTATTCCCCCGTACGGCATCAAGTCTCTGAGCATCCCGCTTTCTCTTCGCCTCGTCTTTCAACTGCTTGCGAAAAGGCACATGGCTAACTTGTGTAGCCTCTGTTTGTAAAGACCTCGCGTGAGGAATTGGTGTGCTCCATTGCTGTTGCAATGAGGTGATACGAAGAGCCTGCCATTGATGAGTAGTGCCGGACCGCAATGGAGAAGCTGCAAGTCGCTGACCCGTCGAGCATGGAAGTACGAACATGGGGAACACATCAGATGGGAGAGTAGAGAGAATGACTTTTGCCAACTAGAGCAGGAGAGTCGACCCCGACTGTCGGTCCGTATCAAACTCCGAACTCCGTCCGTGCATTAGCGCCGATATCGACAGAGACTCGATTATCTTACATCCCGTAGCCTTCAGCTCTTCACTTCTCTCAACGCTCTTCTCCATTCCATTCCATTCCAACTTCTAGTTGACTCAACAAGATATCGCACAGCTAGCATTCAGTCATGGGTTCCACGGCTGCATACGCGTTGCCAGAGTCCCACAAGGACGTGAGTTTCCCATGTCCAATTCAATCTCAACGCTCCATCAGCTGACCGCCACTCCAGCTTATGCATAAGTCCTTGGTGGAGACCGATTCAGAAATCGCTGCCATAATGGTTCGTCACTGCCCTTGCCCTACTACAGAATGTCATATAACGCGCCGTCTCTTAGAAGAAAGAGATTCAACGGCAACGCGAATCGATCGTTCTTATTGCCTCCGAAAACTTCACGTCCAGAGCCGTCTTCGATGCACTAGGCTCGCCCATGTGCAACAAGTACTCCGAAGGCTACCCAGGAGCAAGATATTATGGAGGCAATGAATTTATCGACCAAATTGAGTTAACTTGCCAAGCACGAGCACTGGAAGCTTTTGGCCTTGATGCCGAGAAGTGGGGCGTCAACGTGCAGACTTTGAGTGGTAGCCCCGCAAACCTGCAAGTATACCAGGCCATAATGAGACCGCACGAGAGACTGATGGGATTGGACTTACCGCATGGTGGACACTTGAGTCACGGTTACCAAACGCCGCAAAGGAAAATCTCGGCGATATCAACATACTTCGAAACCTTCCCCTACCGTGTCAATCTTGAGACTGGTATCATCGACTACGAGACGCTCGAAGAGAACGCACTCATGTACCGACCGAAGGTTCTAGTAGCCGGTACCTCCGCCTACTGCCGTCTGATTGATTACAAACGCATGCGTGAAATAGCGGATCTCTGCGGCGCCTACCTGGTTGTTGACATGGCACATATCTCTGGCTTGATATCCGCAGGTGTCATTCCCTCTCCCTTTGAATACGCCGACATTGTCACCACGACCACACACAAGTCACTTCGTGGCCCAAGAGGAGCGATGATATTCTATCGCAAGGGCGTAAGAAAGTCAGATCCCAAGACCGGTAAACAAATACTCTATGATCTCGAAGGTCCTATCAACTTTTCCGTCTTTCCTGGTCACCAAGGTGGACCCCACAATCACACCATCACAGCCCTAGCTGTTGCGCTCAAGCAGGCTCGGACTCCAGAATTCAAGCAGTACCAGCAAAATGTCATCAGCAACGCCAAGGCCCTGGAGATAGAGTTCAAGCGTCTAGGATACAAACTCGTCGCTGACGGCACAGACAGTCACATGGTTCTCCTTGACTTACGGGCGCACTCTCTTGACGGGGCGCGTGTCGAAGCTGTCCTTGAGCAGGTGAACATTGCATGCAACAAGAATGCGATTCCAGGGGACAAGTCAGCTCTCACACCATGTGGTCTTCGCGTCGGAGCCCCGGCAATGTCAACGCGCGGCATGGGCGAAGAGGACTTCAAGCGTATCGCTAACTACATTGTTACTTGCATAGGTATTGCTAAGGATGTGCAGAAGAGCTTACCAAAGGAGGCGAATCGACTGAAAGATTTCAAGGCCAAAGTTGCCGGAGGCGAGTTGCCACCAATGAAGGAGTTGAAGAAAGAGATTGCCAACTGGGCAGGCAGTTTCCCTCTGCCTGTTTAGAAATGTACCAATTGGAGTATGGCTTGCAAATCTTCCACAGATTTGTACGAAAAAAGTCTTGGCGTTTTCCCAAAATTGGAAGGCAAAGGCGGGAAATAGACGACATTAACGCCATGTGGATCACTGCTGCTTCAACGCATTGCATAGCGCTGCATTTCCCGTCACAGAGCTTAGATCTTAGATCTATCATTCAATCATTCAATCAATCACAACTCGTACCGGGTCCTTCACACTTTTCATGCGAGATTGATAGGCTTTCCGAGAAACTCGTCTTACATCTCACCTATCCTTAGGTGTAGCTTCAGACTACACAGCGTGGCGGCGATTCCACGCACGTTACTATCCTACCATCTCTACCCCCTCGGTATCTCCGCTGTCCCACAAATCTTGGGCAAATAAAAATGACCCAGTTCCCAATTAAGTCCATACCGGCAAGTTCTACACTCCCGGATTTGGGTGCGATCCCGAAGCAAGGGAATAGATCCATGTCCACTGGGCTGCATTGCATCATGTCTTGTATCGGAGCAATATTCGATGCGTCATGTGGCAAAGGACATGGTCCATTGTAATGTACTGAACACTTTTCTTCCGAGTTTATGCTTAACTTCTCAGCACCGAGCGTCTCCATTCTGGGGACCAGCATTCTATCCCTGATTTGCCACCCACCTTTCCTTCTTTAAATACATCACATCCATCATCAGTCCTTAGAGACAGTCCTCAAAGCCACACACCTTCAATCACTGCTCACGAGAAGTCATGATGATCTCCAAGCTACCTTTCGTCTTCTTCGCGCTCTCAGCCATCCAAGTCACTGCCTTCCCACATTTAAGTGTTAAAGGCGTTGAGGAGTTGACGGAACTCGCAAAAAGGTCCGGCGAATGCCCTCACCTAGCAAAACAAAATCAAGCAGCATGCCCTCATCTAGCCAAGAACAAGGATCTGAAGCGTCAGACTACTTTTGACCCCACCTCCCAGCATGTCTCCACTACTGGAGAGTATGCCTGGGTTGCCCCTGGAGCTGGAGATCAGCGAGGTCCTTGCCCCGGTCTCAATGCCTTGGCGAACCATGGGTATCTTCCGCACAACGGTGTTGCTGATATCCCCACTATCGTTTCTGCTGTGAACACTGGTAAGTCCATCTCATTCCGATGGATTGTTCGAGTTTGCATAGCAGTCTCCCCGTATCTGAACACTCCATTTCCTTGCGCCCTCTATCTACTTCCCGTATCGCCGTGTAGACAAAATTCTCTGGAACCGTACTGACGTCTACATAGCATACGGAATGGGTATCGACATCGGTACATTTCTTGCAGTATACGGCACCGCATTTGATGGCGACTCTATCTCAACGGACCCCGGTTTTTCCATCGGAGGACCGGCTACTAGCGAAGAAATCCTGGGAGTCGGTCTCCTCGGAACTCCATCTGGCTTGAGTGACTCTCACAACAATTACGAAGCAGATACCTCTCCAACACGTGGGGACTTGTATGTCGTGTAAGTGTCTCTCTTAAAATTCTTGGCACCACCATTGTACATATCGAAGCTTTTCAGGATTCTAATATCCTCTAGCGGAAACGACTACCTCCTCCAAGTCGACCGATTCCAAGAATACTACGATGCTCTCCCGGAAAACACGGCAAGCCTCACCCCAACATCTAGCTATCCAGATGCCCCCCATAGCTAACACGAACTAAGCCCGCCCCGGACCAATACGCAGCTCTCTTCCCCTTCCGCCAAGCACAATTCAACAACTCCGTCGCCACAAACCCCGACTTCTTCTTCCCCCAATTCGCCGGCGTATTCGTCTCCCCGGCCGGCTACGCCTTCCCGCCCCGCATGATGGCCAACCATTCAGCCGAGTATCCATCAGGCTATCTCGACAAGGCGAGCTTCATGACATTCTTCGCCGTCACTGGCGAAAGTGGAGCATTTGAATACACCCCGGGCTGGGAACGCATCCCGAACAATTTCTACCGCCGTCCTCTTAGCGATCCATATACTCTCCCTGAGTAAGGACCCCCCTCCCTCCCCCCCCATCATAAACCCCAATTTATCCAGCTATCTATTCATCCACCTTGCTACATCGTCTCCAAAGAACCCAACCTGACCCCCCCCCAACCAGCTTCATCCTCGACGTCCTCGCCTTCGGCCTCCTCGACCCGCGCCTCCTCTCCATCGGCGGCAACACCGGCACCCCAAACTCCTTCACCGGCCTCGACGTGTCCGACCTGACCGACGGCGTCTTCGACGGCGCCACCCTGGCCCAGGGCAACAACCTCGAATGCTTCATCTTGCAGCTCGTGCAGGCGGAAGCGCCGACGGCGGTCGCGGCGCTGTATGAGGATGTGACGGCGGCGCTGCAGCCGCTGGCGGAGAGCATCTCGGGGAATCTGGCGGGGCTCGGGTGTCCGCAGTTGGGGGCGGTGAATGCGGGGATGTATGATGTTTATCCGGGGTATGCGAAGGCGAAGGGGATCTGAAGGGGTGAGATGGGGAGTGGGTGGGTTTGAATTGCGGGCGAATTGTCTTTTCTGGAGTACACATCAGACTCAGGCTAAGGGGCAGGTAACATAGCATGTAATATCACTACATACTGGCGCCAAAGTTCAACACTTGTCAAGTAATACTTAAAGGTTACATACTATGTATGCTACGCTAAAGTGCAGCTGAAATGATAGCACTGAGCCAGATGTGACTCAAGAAGTTTTGCTTCGCCTTTGGCTCAAATCCCACCCCAAAATGACGAGATCATCTCTGTACTAGTACTGACACTGCTGTTCAGCATTGCCAGTGCTAGAGCATCAGCCACTCATCCCAAGAAGAGACGATACTTAAAACACCAATTCTTCCCTACACACACACACTCTCTCTCTCTCTCTGCCCGCCCCCCTGGACAGCAGAGCGCAGCAAGCCATCACCTCCAGAAGCTAATAAAGTCACCCAATCAGCAATGGAACGTACTGGGTTTTACTGTCGTCACAAGCGGCAAAAGTTTCGATATCAGACTTTCCAGAATAGCGAAATTGGATGCGCACGCCGTACCGGCGGCTCAGTGTTCGCGCACCATTTGGCGTGAAAACTACGAATGTGGGTCGTGTTCCATCTTCACACGTAGTATGTTGAAAGGGTAGATAGATTGGAGGGGTTATTGGTGCTCATATTCATGTTTCGTAGTTGAGGAGTCCAATACCGTCAATCGGCGAGGAGCAGGTGGTGTGAGGGCATAGTCGTCATCAGTATTCGACACGCCATTCCTCGGGCCGCTGCAATACGCAGTAGCCGTTCCGTATGTCCATAACCCATCCATCACGTCTCCATGGCCTCATCGTCAGCAATCCCCGCTTCGACTTCGCTCGCCGCTCCCTCCAATCTGTTTCTCGCAGCCTTCCTGATGCCCTCCTCCACGCCCCTCAACCGTCTGCTCTCTTCTTCCAGTTCCGCAATCACGTCTTCCTGCTCTTCGATGCCCATTCCTACACCCGGGAGTTCTCGTACTGCAACCCGCGCTTTCTGTATCTTGTTCGTAATGGACGAAGCGGCTGTTGCTAGGTCTTTGGGTGAGACGGGGGTGATTGTGTCTGGTGAAGGTGTGAGACCGTCGGCGGACGGCGGAAGGAGGAGGCGAGAGAGTAGGGAGTGAAGGGGTGGGAGGATGTCGAATAGTTGCGGCGGAGGAAGCGTGTTGGAAGGGGGTGGGGTGGTTGCTGTTGGCATGATGTGGAGCGTAAGGGTCTGTAGTGGTGCTGGTGGCGGTTTTGGAAGGTTTCAGCCTTTGGAGATACACACCGTTTTGTGTGCGATATCTGTGGAAGTAGATTTCGTACAATCAACGAGGAGCTCTTTGTGCTGTGTGATTTTTCTCTTTTTTTAAAAAATAAACGGCTTGATCATTGAGGAACACACTGTTCGGGATTGATGACCACATTAAATACCCTCTATATTCTCTTCCCTTCCAAACCCTCAAATCGTCACTTTCCTAGATAGCTTGCTTGGTGGATGGTTGGACATGAACCGAGACCGTGAGCGGACTATTAGCTAAAAGGAGTGACGTCCGGAAAATACCCCTCCGCGCCCCACTAAGGATTTCTTTTTTGTACCCAATACTCGTAACGTCTTTACTCCTTTCCCTGTACAATTGACTCTTGGAAATTACAATCTCTTGTCGGACTTGTCCAGATCTCGTTCACTAGCGGTAAAGATACCTCTGAGTTGCAGCTTTCGGGAGCTACGGAATCCTTCAACATGGTCAAGGTCGAGCAGAAAGCAGTACTGAGTACGATAGCAATCTCAACCCCCAATTGACGGTAGCTGACCTCTCCAGTCGTTATCGACGGCTGGGGCATTCCAAGTGAGACATCACCGAAAGATGGCGACGCAATTGCTGCCGCCAAAACCCCCGTCATGGACGAGTTCTCGAAGACAGGCTCGAAGATTACACAAGGCTACACTGAGCTTGAGGCATCATCACTAGCTGTTGGATTGCCGGAAGGCCTTATGGGCAATAGCGAAGTTGGACATTTGAACATTGGAGCAGGAAGAGTCGTCTGGCAGGATGTTGTCCGAATAGATCAGACGATCAAGAAGGGCGAATTGACAAAAGTCAAGACGCTCACGGACTGCTTTGAGCGGGCAAAAGACGGCAATGGAAGGTTACATCTGCTGGGTTTGGTCTCGGACGGAGGAGTTCACTCACACATTAAACATCTTTTCGAACTGTTGAAGGTCGCAAAGGAGCTGAAAGTACCTAAGGTATACATTCACATGTTTGGAGATGGGCGAGATACGGATCCCAAGTCTGGCGCTGGCTATCTGCAAGAGCTGATCGAAAAGACGAAAGAACTGGAAGTGGGCCAGATTGCGACGGTTGTTGGCCGCTACTACATTATGGACCGAGACAAGCGGTGGGATCGAGTGGAAGTAGGTATGGAGGGAGTCGTAACGGGCGAAGGACCAGACGTCACTCCTTCCACCGACCCCGTGGCAACGATTAAGGAGAAATACACCAAAGACGAAAACGACGAGTTCCTCAAACCCATTATCGTAGGCGGCAAAGAAGCCCGAATTCAAGACAACGACACCCTCTTCTTCTTCAACTATCGCTCCGACCGCGTCCGCGAAATCACCCAACTCCTCGGCGACATCGACCGCTCGCCCAAACCCGACTTTCCTTACCCAAAGAACATCAGCATAACAACAATGACCCAATATAAGACCGACTTCCCCTTCCCCATCGCCTTCCGCCCCCAACACATGGGTAATGTCCTCGCCGAATACCTTGGCTCCAAATCTATCAAACAATGCCATGTTGCCGAAACCGAGAAATACGCCCACGTCACCTTCTTCTTCAACGGCGGCGTCGAGAAACAATTCCCAGGAGAAGACCGAGACATGGTGCCCTCGCCCAAAGTAGCCACCTACGACAAAGATCCAAAAATGAGTGCCGCGGGTGTCGCCGACCAACTCTGCACCCGCATCAAAGAAGGCAAGTACGAATTCCTCATGAACAATTTCGCCCCACCGGACATGGTCGGGCACACCGGTGTCTACGAAGCCGCGATCAAAGGTGTCGAAGCTACCGATGCGGCCATCGGCCAAGTCTACGAGTGTTGCAAGAAGGAGGGGTATGTGTTGTTTATTACGGCAGATCATGGCAATGCCGAGGAGATGAAGACAGGAGAGGGCAAACCGAAGACGAGCCACACCACCAACAAGGTGCCGTTCATTATGGCGAATGCGCCGGAGGGGTGGAGCTTGAAGAAGACGGAGGGCGTGTTGGGAGATGTGGCGCCGACGCTGTTGGAAGTGATGGGATTGGAGAAGCCGGAGGAGATGGGAGGAAGTAGTTTGCTTGTTAAGTGATGAGATGCGATGAGGAATTCGGGATGGACATGAAATGATGAAGGTGATGGGAAATGATAGCTGCGTGTTGGGCATGAATATAGATAGCTCTATTGAGAGGCACACCGTCTTATAAGCAGACTTTGAATTGTTCGGGGTATCTATCTGCATGTGATTGTTCAGCATAGCTACAAGCTATACCCACCATCTTCCTCCACTTTTCCCCTTCACTCTCCCCCCAGCGACATCGTCCGGGTAGGACTATTTCTCTCTATTTCTTGATAGAAATATAAGTCATATTACAGCTAAAGCGTCGAATGCAAAAATGGTATCTTCCTTTTTCCCTGGAAATCATGCGCTGCCACTCTCCATCTTCCGTCTCCTTTTTTCCTCCTTCCTTTTCGCCCTCTCTTCTTTCGTCTTTTTGCGTTGCGACGTTTGGTTCGAATCCAGAGTAGGATTCTGAGACTCGTGCGCGGTTGGTGATTGGTTTTGAGTAGAGCCGTCTTTAGGCGTTATTATCTGAATCGAAGCGTCGCGCTGTGCATTTTCTATCTCTTGGATCATTTTGTTCTGGCTGTCAGCGACCTCGCGCTGAGACATATCTTCTGCAGAAATCAGCGATGCACCCCTAGTCGCCCTCTCCATCTCTTTTCGCCTCCGTCTTTCCTCTCTGCGCTTTGCTTTCTCTTCCTTTGACTCTTTTTGGGGTGAGATGTCGTTTATGCTTGTTTTGCCTTCTACAGCGTTCGCGATGGCCGGGGCGCCCTCTACTACTTCGCCTGGCTGAATTATTTCAGCTGCTTGTATCACGTCAAGGGGCAGAGCAGTTGCAGGCTTTGGGGGGAATTCTTGTTGCTCGAGTTTCTTCTTTTCTCTTCGTCTTCTTCGTTCGTCCTGCGTCTCCTTGCCATTGGGCAGTTTGCCATTGAATTTGACGCCATTGATTTCTGGTTGCGGGCTTTTAGTTGGACTCTCTGCTCCGTTTGACCCCTTATCTGGAGTGGCGTCGATTTCCATTGTGTCCTTTATGACTCCAGTAGTACTCTGGGGGCTTTGGTTTCGCTTCTTTGATTTCACAGCAGAGAACGTGCTGCTGCTACCGTCGTTAGATTCGGGACGCTTCCTCTTCTTTCCAGGCGAGCTTTCATTCAATGGAGCAGGGGTGCGGAACTCCGGCGCTTTCAGCATAGGCTCGAATGTAGATTCCATGTCGGAGTCATCAGAGACGCCAAATGGACGGTACCGTATTCTCAAGCCTTCTGGCTGTTGGCGTGGCGTCTTTCTGTAATATTCCGACGCTAATGCCGAGCGATCTTGATGGACTGTCGATCCGAGTGCATGACTTGGGAGGCTCACAAGTTGCTGCAAATGCAGTGTTTTAATGACAGTAGTCTTTGAGGGTCGGTAATCATTCGTCTGGGTGGAAGGCAAGAGCAACGCTCGGCTGCTGGCTTGTTCGGCGTCCGATTCTGGGATCAGCCCATACTTTGCGCCGTGGTACTCTAGTACAGAAGCACCGTTTCCGATGTTCTGTGTCGAGACTTCTTTGACTAAAGAGATCGGGACCGATTCTGGGGCGGTGATGTGCCATATCTGCTTTCCTTGTAAATTTGATGGTGCAAGTATCTCCGAGAGTTTGGACGCTGCATGAAGTGATATCGACGTAGACTCGAAGCCAGCAGGTGGCTCATAAATTGGTATGGGTTCCTGAGGTATGCTTTTTTGAACAGGACTTCTCTTTCTAGGACTCTGTATAGAGGTCTTGTCACTGCTTCCAGACTCACTTTCGCTACCGCTTTGGCTCACACTGCTACTATCTGCGCTGCTTCCTCCTGCCTCGCTCTTTGACTCATTTCCCGTAGCGCCCAATTCACGATCTTTCTTTTGATCCAATGGCTTGACACTAGTGAAGGCTTTGATGGAAGGCTTTGCAAAGACAGGGCGAGCCATGGCCGGTTTCGGCTTGGCTGTTGGGCTTCCATCTTGAGCTGCCAAAACCCTTTTCTTGGAAGACTTCTTCTCGTATTGACTACTGCTGTCGATCCCACTTCCACTACCGCTCGAGTCATCTTTCGCAGGACTCCGGCTTAGTGATTTCCGTTTCTTCGATGGCTTTGCTTGCGAGGTTGAGGGCTTTGGTGCGTCCGGCTTGGTAGAAGTTGACTTGGATTTGGTAGTCTTCGGGGCTGGTCTATTCACTCTTGCGGTCTTCGTATCTCCAGAGTCATCTGAGTCCACAACGAATTCAGAACTCAGTGAGGGTTTGGTTGCTGTTGGGGGCTTCGCTGCTTTTGATTTCGGCTTCTTTGCTGGCAACGAGAAAGACTGTTTTGGACCTGCCATATCGCTCGAGGCCTGCGAGCTCTATTGTTGTCGGTACAACATTGTTGACGTTCAGACCTAGAGGTGAAGTGGGTCGAAACTTTCTCGGATTCTCGTAGGGCTGTTATCGCGATAAGTCTTAGCGCGCCAAGCCTGCCGCGTACTTTAGCTCCCGTTGAGTGGCAATTAGCACCACCCTAGTTCCAGGGCCAGCAACGCCATGCCAAAATAGCAAAAACCACAACAACCGACACCAATATTCTTAACTTTACAACGGGTGGACTAGATACAAATCTATAGTATTAAAGTCCACTCTTCTCGAGTTTGCTCTAAAAACTTGTCACCAAAAGATTCCTCGTAATTTATACCATCGTTAGAGGTAATTATCTCGCACTGAATTACACACTCATTGAATTTGAATTTTGGCATGGCGAGGCAGCTAACGCTCCGAGAGCTCCAATATTCACCAGACAGATTTCTAGCCTCTGTTGTTCATCGGCCTACAACGTACAGACATAATTGGATTCGATCAGTCTACTCTTCACGGCCGTAGATGTGCTACCAACGAAAGTAGCATATTGAATACGAGAGAATTGCGTCCACACGTATTGGACCTGTAAAAGAACAGAATCAAGCTTCATTGCTGATATGCGTCTGTATTTCATAGTGCAGTTGCATGGGGATGAGGCTCGTGATGTTGAAAGATCTGATCCTGCGCCGTGCTAGGAAGAGCACCAGTTTGCAGTTATTCGGCACAGCCACAAATCCTACAGCGCACGTTTTATATCAAAAACTTAACTTTCTCGCTTATGGTTTCACCGGAAACACTCAGGCTCAATCCCGTGCTCTCACGAGGCCTGGATCGCGCGGTCATGCAGAAAGCGGGGATCGAAACACGGCATGAGACGGTCTTTGCCAAAAGGTGCCTCTGGGCTGGGACGCCGATGGTGAGGGTCAGGAGTGATGAGAAATCAATTCTATGGCAATGAGTCTTTTTGCTTTGCACCAAGAGGAATAGAGTAATCGGTGGGACGGGAGTGACTAGAAGGAGAAGGAGAGCATGGACAGGACATACTAGTGCGTAGCGAGGAGGAATTCAGAGTCTTCTTGTGACTGTGAGTTGATACTTACCTTGCCTTGAGGGCTATGCAATACATGCTTGCAAGGTACGCCATCAATCATGCAGAGATTGATCCACGAGACGAAGGTAAATCACGCACTAACAATACAAAGCCCAGGCCACTGATTTCCAGGCCCAACAAAATGAAAGTTCCCTACTTGCCTACATCACGCTCAACTATTCCGATAGCTTCTTTCCGCACCCTTGTCCCTATACCGTATCACGAAAATGCCGTGCTCCACAGTGTTCAACGAAAACTAGTCGCTTAAATATAATTCCTTCCTTTGGTGGCCAAGGACAAGCCGGACACTGCCATATCCTCACCCGATTCTCCTCCGCTATTTTCTCCTTCTCGGTAGTATCTTCGACATCTCGGTATCGGATTAGGTAGAGCTCTTCGCGAATTTGGGGAAGTCGACTGGGGGCGAAGGTGCGAGAGAAAGTGCGCCTATACAAGTATTAATACCAGACCTACAGCGATCGACCAAACGTATCGGACTTGGAAAGCCTAAGGGGGACCTCCTCTTTTGGTTGCGCGGCTGTCCGCTGTGACTGTGATCACGAAGGCCGCGATGGCGGTGGTCAGGAGGGAGGGGTAAGAGCTGCAGGTCATAAAGCCTAAACGTACCACCTACTGAGGGGCGCACTCTGCCTCAAGGCGTTGCAAATCAAAGGTGGGTGGCTCTTGGATATAACAACCTTGATGTCTTAATATGGTCTTTCCTGTCTCGCTCAAACCCAGTGCTTTCTTTTTTAAATTGCAATTTGACTCTGAACTCTTGTTGCGGCTAGTTTTGACGGTCGACGGAAGGGTTGATTGTGCAGTCAGCCTTGTATGGCGTACACGCAGGATGCATCCGGGTCTGCCTCGACTCCTGGAACATTCGCGCGTGAGATTAGGAAAGAAGGATTCGTTGAAATCTACATTGGACTCGAGAGACCGCAACTCGATGTTGTTGTCGTGCATGGCCTGTAAAGCCACCCTGTGAAGACCTGGACTTACAAATCGAATACAATATACCATGCAAGTGTGACATCCAAGAAATTTCTTGGCTTTCCTCGCAAGCCCAAACAAGACAGTGCCAGCGCCCCAGAACCCACATCTGGAGTGCAAAAAACAGGACGTTTCGAGAATGAAACGCACTGGCCAAGGGATATGCTACCAGGAAACCACCTCGACATGTGCCGATTCGAGGGTCTTGATGACGAGGGGTATCGCCAATTTAAGGGGGAACTCAAAAGACATATCACACGCCCGGGCGGAAACAAAGCGCAGGAGCGGGAAAGCATGTAACCAATGATTACCTAATTTGGAGATTCGAGCTCATGCTGATGGGCGAAATAAGGATGCATACAGCGCCTCTACATATCTGGCCTTCCATTTGTGCAGAGCAAATTGATCTGGCAGATGTTGGGACTTTGAAGTGGCTGTACGTTCAAGATGAACGTGGGCAAGACTTAAGGACAACCGAGATGCTTTTTGGATCCAAGGTAAGCCAGCTTCCGGTAAATCATATGTGATGAAACACCTTGTCACCAACCAGGAAAGAGGGAAGCTTCTCGCAAGTCGAATGATAGTGGGTCTTTAATTCACCAATTGGGGCGGGAAAATGGAAAGATCTTAGATCGGGATGTTACGTTACATGCTTTACCAATTACTCAGCCAAATTTCTGACTTGCTATCTTTTATTGTCACTTTTTGCTCGCTACTGAGAGAGTCGATCATGGCCTCCAAATTCACGTGGACTGTAACCAGACTGGAAGCAGCACTACTGAGATGCAAATTTCACCGAAGAGCAGGCTTTCGTAATTGCTTCTTTATCGACACCCTTGATGAACACGAAGGTGATCACAGAGAGATTGGGGTGTTTTTGAGGTGTTTTTGAGAAAGCTTGCGAATTCTGACCTTGATTCTTCCGACGCCTTGATAAAGGTTTGCGTGGTAAGTCGACCACTTAACCGACTTAGAGACCTCTTCGACGACTGTCCTGGCTTCAGAGTGCAAGACTGGACAGTTAGGGACATTAATCGAGTTATCTCAGAAAGATTCAAAAACCACCCCAGGATGCGTATCCTACTCAAACAAGAAGCACATGTCCAGGCTGTCAACCTTTTGAAAAAGAAAATTAACAAGAGGGCAGACGGCGTGTTTTTGTGGGTTAGACCAGTAGTCGACGGTTTCTCGAGAGGCCTCACCAAAGGCGAGTCAATTGAAGCGCTTGAGTCTCACCTTAGCGAACTTCCTGATGACTTAAACGATTTCCATCGACACATGCTTTCCAAGATCGACCGCCGATATTTCCGTGAAACTTCTATGATGTTAGAAGCTGTCCTGCGGGCTCGAAGTCCCTTCACCGTCTTACAGCTGGCACTGATCCTATACTCCAATGCCGCGACGTATCCAGAGACTATACCATTTACAAGTTAGTCGAGTACACATAATGCCGCTATAACGCTGACTCCTCGTCTAGATACCAGCATCGACTTGGGAAGACAAATTCGCGCTTACAGCGGCGGCATTCTGGAGCTGAAAAGCCGAAACCCCCTCCGGCTACGGGCCATCTCAGAACCACGCTCGTTAAGATCTAGCCTATCAAGTCGAAACAGCAAGTCGCATTCCGTTACAGATTCTATGGATGATTCGGTTAGTGTAACGAACTCATATTCCAGTATAAGTATCGGACAATGGACCGTTCTACCCTTGCATCAAATAGTTCAAGAATTCCTTCGGCGGCCCGAAAATCTGACCACCATCATCACAGCACAGATTTCTTCGAAAGAGAGGTGGGAACAGTGTGGATATGGACATTTATACGTTTTGAAAGCGTGCCAGACTTGGCTCAGGCTACCAAATACTCAGGATGCACAAATACGAATGTCCTCGGATGAAGATATCGTGATGGATGTCGCTTATCACAGTCTCTGGGTCGAACGAATGGCAGAAGGGAAGCGTCCTTACCCATGGTCTGAAATGCAGTCTAATCAAGTGTTGGACGGTATTGATGCCCATTTATGTGCCAACAAGCATTACAAAGACTGCTGGCCGTACCAGTGGGCAACTAATGTGCACTCTGTTTTGATCCGAAGCAATTGCGGTTCAACTTTGTTGCTTTTGCTGTTTTGTCCAACATGCCTCTCCTGGTTGGAAGAAGACTTAGGCAGGGTGCTGTGAATGTTAACAGGGATTACGGTCTGCCGCTGCTGTATTTCTCTGTGATCTGCTTTGATGGTGGCAATAGAAGGACACTCCGACCAGCCGTGACGAAGCTTTTGCTTGATCATGACGCAGATGCAAGGCAAACGTGTCCGAATCTTGAAGGATTCAAGAAAATGGATGTGCTCGCTTTTCTTGTCTATAATTGCAGGGAGTACAAAGGTGAGCTCGACGCTGATGACGTAGAGCAAGTTGTCGAAATGCTTGTGCAGAAAGCCGTAAATCCAAATGGCAAGCTGGGGAACAAGCTGCATTACAAATGGCAATGGGTCGAGCCTCGTTCGGAGGAGCCATTGCTTCTTGCGATTGCGGAGTTGCTTTGCCACGTTACAACTTGTTTCTCATCCTAAAAGCGTTGATCACACGCGGGGCCAATCCAAACGCTCGAGACCCGCAGGGGAATACGCTTCTTGCAATCCTTTTCACCCACGGCGTGGCTGTGCACATTGATGATTGGCTTTGGCTTCTGGACCATGGCGCCAAAACATCCGAGTCTATGGTTGGAAGATCATACAATGATCCTGGATGCGAACATGCCCTTCAAGATCCTGCGTGCAGGAAACTGCACTACTGCGATTGCAGGGCCAGAGATGCGGCCTGGGAGCGTAATCCATCCTGGAGTTATTGGAGCACAGCAGTTGGTCGTCTCGAGCGCCGGCTTCTGGGACCATGAAAGCTTTACACGGGCGGAAAGCCTTCATCAGTGTTTGACCATTCTGAAACCTCGCTCCAAGGTGATGGCTACGGAAGGCGTCGCGCTTGTATTATGCATGTTGACACAAGTCAATCATATTGGGCTTCAAGCCGCAATGCAATGCACTTCTTGAAATCTGTCTTCGCATAGCGTCACCGCCAATTTCCGATGAAGTGCTTGCTTTTCTGACACCGGACCAATGGTTAAGCCTCTCGGCGCAGTGGGCGTGGCCCTCATTCTGATCTATGGAGGCTAGTATACTTAACCTGGTTGCGCACTATCGAATCATTTACGATTCGGGTAAAAAATTCAAAGCTATCGGCGCGGGTGGAATTGAGGGTAAGTAAGACGTCAGTAATGACAAAAACCATGACCTCGATGTATCTAACCGTCACTGCCTCGATACCAGTTGCCACGGCGGCATTCTCATCGATTTTGAATCCGACATCAAACACACATACTGGGAACTCCATCCCAGCTTCAACTCCATTCGCATCTACCAGCCACTCAACTTTGGCTTAACAAACCCCATCCATCATATCCAGCAAATTTGCCTCCGCAAAGCCAGCCATTATATCACCTCGTGGCTGCGCTCAGAAGGTAACTTGTTACGATGTGCAAAAACAAAACGTTTTCATGCTACTGGCCCTCCGTGACGTTGATGGAGAAACATGGACGCCATAGATATACAACCTGGAACCCAGTCAGGATACGCACAGTGTGTCTTGATAAGGGCGGGGTGGTACCTATCATGATCTTGTATGCAAGCCCGATGGCGCAAAAACATGGCAGGCCCACGGCTTAGCCTTAGAGGAGGTGTATGAACATCGTTCTATCATGACTATGGTACCCACTGACATGTCAAACGATCTCAAAAACCCTGGTACCCTCCATATGAGCTTGTGTGTCCTGCTCTCCAACTCCCCCATGACCCAGAGCACGCCCGTCTGCAGCATGTCAGCGCGCGGCTCTCTGTTCTCGCATAACGCATCTCCAAGAAGAGGCTATGGGCGCATGTATATATTGCATCGCACGTAGACGAAGGTGAATGTATTGTCTGCTTCACCAAGGACTTGAGGAAACCTGGAAATTTCCCCATATGCGTCTTGGAACTGTATGCACTTATCCCAAATTTGTCTCCCAAACGAGCAAAGGTCCCCCAAGGTCAGGATGCCCAGCATCATCCATCTTCGTCGCTCTTCCAAATACTCTTGCTCATTTCAGTTGTCTCAGCTGTCTCACTACCGCCTATCCAGTTCCTCATTAGACAGCTCCCATTTCCTTTAAAAGCATTTACCATATTGTTTAACTCCTCAGCTCTCGGCGCACCCCTCGCCCAAACGTAACGGTGCAAGATTCGGATCCCCTTTGGATATTTAAAGCTGCCGCCAAAGTCATCGAAACCATTGATTGGAACGACTAACAAGTGAGCTGGTGGTAGTGACGCCCATGTAGGATGCTTAGCTGTGAGTATCTCTCATCTGCTAATGGTAAATACGTTCATCCATGTGGACGTATTTTCATGAGTATGGTCATAGTGGATGGAAAATGCATCGTTCAGATCTACCTCCTGCACCATTTGATGTAGCTCACGCGAGCTACACTGAGATTGGACAAGGCGCGCAGGCTGTGCATGATAGATGCGCGATCGGTAGACCGTTTAACGGCGGTATTGCGAGTAACATTGGTGAGTGCCAGCGTGAGCGGTGCAAAGAATGAGACTCGGGAGAAGACAGGGCCTCGTTACCGGGTCTATGTATGAATCCTGAGAACCAATTGTGCAGGAGGCGACGACTGTCTCGTGGTCGCACTATCCGCGACCTCTTACTCAAACGTAGAATTTTTCTCCCCTCGACGACCCTCCGACAATGCGGTCTTGTCTAAAAAATTTCCGGTGAAATGAAGACGACTCACGAAACGTAAGTCTTCGGGTATGGGCAGCAGGTCGATCTTCCACGGATCTGATCTCCTCTAAGCCTAAGACTTCACTCTCTTCTCCCAGTCTCTTCTCAAAACCAAGGTAAATGGTAAGAGCTGACAAGTAGATAGATGGGTAGACAATGGTCAGTGTGAGCGGCTTATATATACCTCTGATCACCAGAGAACGACCTCTGATTGCTTCTAGTGGTATCAGATTTGAGGACATTATGGCGTTCATGTATATTTGTATAGCTGCCGGGCAAGGGTGACACTGTGAAGGTAACGGTGAGTTTACTATCTGGGCGGAGATCAAAGAAGCTGATTTTGTAAAGGTGCCGCAGGCAAGATCGGAACAACGAATGTTAGAAAATTTGGTGCGAGGGACATAGGAGCGATAGGCTTCCGTTTGGAAGATGCTCCGGAGAGGCCTTGGGCTGAGTTTCTCCTCACCATCTTGATTAGATTCTCAGGGGATCTAAGGCGTTTAAAACAATCATTGAGATAAAAACCCTTGTGGCAGCGACTGGCCTTTGTTCGTTGCCGATTGGAAATAGATGCAGAAGCCGTGGTTCAAGTTTTCTCCAACCCTATGCCATCAAATAGCGATCCGTTTTGAAATCCAATCTGTTTCCTAGTATTATCTTCAGGGTGTTGTAGGATTGAACTCTTTCGCGCCAGTACTCATGACAGCACAGTTGACCATTCAAGTCGTCTCCCCCTCTTCTCCTTCTCCATGTACTAGACGTAACTTCAATCTCTTGATTCGGGTTTGCCATCCACACATCGAAACAGGGTAGTCCCATCCTGCGCTAGTGACACCTTAGTTAGGGCTGCTATCGATAAGTAAGAACTCTTGGCGCGATGCCAGTCATGACGATCTCGAAGCGACTCCACTTCGACAGAGCACAAGATCGAGCAAACTGAGCGATTGCCATGTTCTGAACGTTATTAAACCTGGATGCAGCTGATACTCACGCTCTCACGATCATTAGCTTTCTTAGAAAGCCAGGATGAAGTGTGCTAGGTTCGCTCCACGCACTGTTAACGAAGTCTGCAGAGCATCTCGAATAAGCGCTTTCCACGCATCATGTCCGTCGCAACGACGGCATTTTAGGAGCCAAGCGTCTCTCAACGAGAGTCTTCTTACTTACAAGCTCCTGATTCACGTCGTCCTCGGCGCCGGCGCTGGTACAGCTCTATACCACGGCTCCAGACACTTACACCTTACAGAACTCCACGCCGAAGCACCCCCTGCCCCCGTCGAAGTCAAGCTCGAAAAGCCCAAGAAGACCAAAGGGCTATCAAAAGAAGAGAATCGCGATACTATCAGTTCACAGCATCTCCAAGTGAAGAGGAGCTGGGAAAACCCCGGCGTGTACGCGTGGGGGCTGAATAGTGGGAAGGTAGCGGCGCCAGATTCAGACGAGGCACTGATAAAGCAGCCGAGGAGGATACTGTTCTTTGACGGGTTGTTGCTACGGGACATAAAGCTGGATAGGAATTTTGGTGTTGCTGTCACTGAAAAAGGGGATTTGCTACAATGGGGTACTGGGTTCTCGAAAGATATCAGGCAGCCTACGCATACATTGACTGGGAAAGGGTTGACGGCTGTGACGATCTCTAAGGATAGAATTATAGCATTGGCGTCGAATGGGAAGGTCTATTCTTTGCCTGTGTCGCAGGAGGATCAGGCCAAGGGCGCTAAACCTATGGAAAGTTCGTGGATGCCCTTTTGGAGCTCGCGAGCGAATGTCAGCTATCGTTTGTTACAGCCACAGAATATGGGATGGGGCGAGAAAGTCTCTTCGATCAGCTCTGGTCTCGAACACGTCCTTCTCCTTACCTCCAATGGCCGCCTTTTCAGTGCTGCTTCCAGCAGTGAAGAGTTCCCAGCGAGGGGTGAGATGGGTGTTCCAGGCTTATCCTGGACTACTCGACCGCCTGGCCCGTATGATCAACCACACGAAATCACCACTCTTCGCGGTTTCGAAATTACAGCTATCGCAACAGGGGACTTTCACTCTCTAGCACTAGACAAGGAGGGTCGCGCTTTTGCCTTTGGTGACAATAGCTCTGGACAACTCGGCTTTGATCCTAGCGGAGAGTCTCCATATATTGATGCTCCCTCTCTTTTGCCAATATCAAGACTTTATTCTGGTACCAACCTTTCACCTCGCGTGACTTCCGTCTCCGCTGGTGGTTCAAACTCGTTCTTCACAGTGGATGCGACTCGAGTTGCTCAACCTGGCGAAGCTTCCGCTGCCAAAGTTGGCCTTGGCCGCATCACGGCTGACACCTGGGCTAGCGGTCAAGGTATTCTCGGAACTCTTGGCACTGGCCGCTGGACGCACATCCAAGGCACGCCGACGAAGCTTAAGGCGCTCAGTGGTCTTTTTGAATTTGATGAAAGCAACAACACGGTCGTTCCCATTCGGCTGAAGCGTCTTTCCGTCGGCAGCACACATGCCAGCGCAACAATGGATAACGTGACGCATGTTAAAGCTGGTACTTCTTCGTCCACAAACTCTCGCAATGATACCAATTGGGGTGCTGATGTGCTTTGGTGGGGCGGAAACGAGAACTATCAGCTTGGAATGGGGAAGAGGAATAATATTGCTTTGCCAGGATATATGGCGCCTCTGGACGCTGCTGCGGAAAAGGCTGTGGGGAAGCGGAGGGAGGAACATCGCTTTCAAATCACCCCACGTCACAAGGTCGATGTCAATGGGCGCAAAGTGAGTATGGAGCAGAGAGTTGAGTGTGGGAGGATGGTGAGCGCTGTGTATTCTGGAGTTTAGGTCTAGCCTCATACAATAGAAAGTAAAGTACGGTACCTTACTCTAGAATCAAGTAAGGTAAGGTACTTTAGTAGTACTAAAATGCGCCAAGCTTTCGACATTAGCTACTAAGCTTAGCCTATCATGTCATGGCGTAACTAAACGAACTGACAGGACCGGCTCCGTCTTGGAAGTGAGGGATCAACAGGAGCTTGGAAGCAACAACTTCACTCGTTGGCATATTACTCCTTCTTTACACCCAATCCCTCTGTCCCAACCTCTTTTCTAGCTCCATTAAAAGGCCGCATATTAGAGGCTCTTTCTAAGTGATGCACGGCCCAATTGGTTGCTATTTCCGGTAGCAGTTCCAGTCGCATATCAGAGCCAACAGCATACTGCATCCCTCAACGCTCTCGCATATAAACTGCGAACTATCTCCTACCCGAGACTGTCTTCCGGGGCTCGCGCTTATCAATCCTTGCCAGAATCTTGTCAAATCTGGGGCTTCTGTCTCTTCCTCCCACTTGTACAAGTGCGACAACTGTTACACCCTCTCCCACGGCGTTGCGCCCGCTTTTTGGCCGGAGAGATTGACAGAGGTGCAATACGATGTCAAAAGCCTTTTCAATATCAGGCAGGATTAAGCTTGGGAACATTGGACAGGGGGCAAGTCTAGGAGACTGTGGTCACGAGGGATCACGATGGACCAAACCAATGTGGGCAATATGAACAATTACTATGAAAGGCAGTACTCGCAGGAGGATCTGCAGAGGCTGGCGGACCTGAGCAATCATGATGCGATGATGGGCATCATAGGTCCGAATGGAGTGGATGCCTCAGGCATGATGGGTGGCCATACATTGGACGACTTCATCAATCAGAATCAGAAGGAGATACAGCGGAGAAGCAGCTTTCACCAATCTAACACCTACACTTCCAACCGACCGATACCAGAGATGGATTCCAGAAGGTCATCGATGTTGGAATTCGGTCCTGGAAATAACAGCGACCTCGAAGGTTTCCAATTCGATCCAACTCCCGTTTCAACAAACTCTGGGATGCAGCGTCCCGGGAACATTGCTCAACGAAGACTCGACAGCCAAAGAGCGAGACGGCAGTTATCCAACGAGCATCTTGCACTCAATACAAGCTTCCACAGCATGGCTCCAAACTATACACCAATCTCATCATCCTCACCCTACGGCCATAATCTTGATTCTGCAGAGTCGCTCGGCTACGACATGTCCGGAAGCTACCTGTCTAACAACATGCTTATGGCAATGGATTTTTCCGGTTTGGACCACGGCACGAATGGCGATATAACCCCAAGGAATGCGTATACGGGCAACAATTTCACAACCGACATGTCCACTCCGCCTATGCAGCAGAATATGTCCTCTTCGATACCCGAGCAAATGCATGATCCTGGAGGAGGTAGTATGCTTGGTCTCGGTACTCAAGACGGGATGGCAAAGATGCCAAATATGCCAGTCTCAGATCAGATGCAAAATTTGCAAGTCAATCTTAGCCAACCCCAGATCTCTATGTCGAACACGAGCCCTCCGATGGAGATGTCAGGATCCCATGCTCTACCCGATCTCGATCCCCCTCAAAAGCCTCGGCCGACTCCTAACCTTGATATCACTACCAACAACGGGGTACCTTATCAGGGTCAAGGGAGTGCTTCACAACAGGTAATACCCCAATATCGTAACGCCTATTCATCCAGCGGTTTTGATATGCTTGGAGTCCTTATGAGAGTCGCTGCGAGGCCAAAACCACAGATCAACATAGGAGCGGTCGATATGTCATGTGCCTTCGTCGTATGCGACGTGACTCAGCACGACATACCGATTGTATATTGCTCCGATGTCTTTGAACGTTTGACCGCCTATACACGGCACGAGATATTGGGGAGAAATTGCCGTTTCCTCCAATCCCCGGACGGCAAAATTCAAACGGGCGTAAAGCGAAAGTATGTCGACGATCAATCCGTGTTTCGCATCAAGAACATGATCAATCAAAGGCAAGAAACGCAGATCAGTCTGATCAATTATCGGAAAGGAGGACAACCGTTTATGAATTTGCTTACTATGATACCGATAACATGGGACAGCGACGAAATCAAGTACTACGTTGGGTTTCAGGTTGACCTTGTTGAACAGCCGACATCCATAACAAACAAGAATCCTGGTAAGGGTATCCTTTCTCCATCCTTGAAGGTGAAGTTCACTGACGCTCGTCGAGATGGGTCATACAGCATTAACTATCAGCGCGGCTTGCTGCCACGATATGTCGTCCCCGATCATCCTGGCCATCAGAACTCTGAGCTTGGCCAGACTGTTGCTCGTGATGATGTTTCTACAGTTCTCAGTACTATTGGTTCTGGGGAATCTGAGTTATCAAAACGAATATGGGACAAGGTCCTGCTCGAGAACACTGACGATGTTGTGCACGTCCTGTCCCTGAAGGGGCTCTTCCTCTACCTGTCTCCGTCGAGTCGCAAAGTTCTCGAATATGATCCTAGCGAGCTTGTGGGCACAGCATTGTCTTCTGTCTGCCACCCAAGCGACATCGTCCCGGTTACGCGGGAACTCAAAGATACTTCGACTGGAGCTGCTGTCAACGTGGTCTTTAGGATTCGGCGAAAACACAGCGGCTATACCTGGTTTGAGAGTCATGGGTCACTTCATCTCGAGCAAGGGAAGGGCCGGAAGTGTATAATCATGGTAGGACGAGAACGCCCAGTGTACGCATTGGCAAGGGAGGACATCATGTCTGCTGGTGGCTTTGGCGAGAGTGAGCTGTGGACTAAGATGTCCACGTCAGGCATGTTCCTGTTCGTTTCATCTAATGTCCGCAGTCTTCTCGACCGTCAGCCCGAAGATCTCGTTGGAACCAGTTGTCAAGCACTCATGCGGGCAGAGTCGAAGCTGGAATTCGGCAAAATGCTAGAGGTTGCTCGCACAGGTGTTCGAGCAACTTTCAAGCATGACGTACAGAACAAGCGGGGCCAAACGCTGCAAGCTCGGACGACAATCTACCCGGGAGATGCATGCGAGGGCCAGAAGCCTACATTTTTAGTGGCACAAACGCGATTACTGAAGTTGCCACGCACTCTGAATAGACAAGCATCCAACATATCCCCAAAGACGGAACAAAAGTCCTCGAGTCCCGCATCGTCTGCCGGTGGCGCCTCCGGTGGCAATCAGACACCCAAATCGGCTCCTGGAAATGTGAAGCCGGATGGAGTGACCACGCAGGCAGGTGGAATGGGTCTCGTCATCGGTAACCAGCACGAAGCTCTCGCATCAGAGGATAACGTCTTCGATGAACTGAAGACTACAAGGAGTACCAGTTGGCAATTTGAACTCCGCCAGATGGAGAAGAGAAACAGGTTGCTTGCAGAAGAGCTACAGAGTCTGCTCTCTAGTAAGAAGAAGAGGAAAAGGCGAAATGGTGCGGGTAACATGCAGAAAAATTGCGCTAATTGTCATACGATGGTCACGCCTGAGTGGAGGCGAGGCCCGAGTGGTAATCGCGATCTGTGTAATAGTTGCGGGCTTAGATGGGCTAAAGAGGTATGTATCCAGTGTCCAGTTCATTCAGATACATTCCCTAAGTTTTCTAGAATGGCCGAGTCACACCACGTACATCGTCACAAAAAAGCGACAAGGATTCCGCCTCGCCTGCAGGAACCAACAGTCTCAATCTTCTCACCGCGGTCGAGCAGATGCCTGACAACAAATCAGTACCTGCGCCAGATCAGAGGTCACCCCAAGCCCTCAACGCTGATTCGCACAACGCGAAGATGGCGCGAATGGAAGCGTCTGCATCTCAGGGTTTCGGCGGAGGCATCCCACCAAAGATTGAGGAAGGTATAGAACCAGGCGAGAAACAGATGAGGCCGCCGCCGCCGATTTAGTGGGACAGCATTGCAGGATTCCGTGGAGGATTGTGATTGTTTTGCTTCGCTCACACAGTTCTAGACGGTCGGTGTAATGACGCTGTATGCATATCGATTGTGGTTGTTGAGGCTTCGGTTTGCTCGGTTAGGAGGATATACGTCGACGCACTACTTGATGACGGCCATGTCAAGCGTCTTCTGCATGGCGTTCGGTCGGGGTGATGTTTACCCGTTCACATGGGGTTGGGCACGGGCTTGCAGGTTATGGCCATCATGCGCTCTACGGAGAAGGTCTATAGGTAGCTGCCTCTGGCTAGCACGGCGTTACAACAATACATGCTCTAAGATATTGGAAAATCAACTCTTCATTGATACTGTCCTCATGGATCCTGTTGCAGTTGCTGCCCGAACCACGCCCCCCCCCCCACACCCACCCTTTTTTTTTTCCATCCAAGCCAAGGGTCAGCGAGCGAAACAAATGGTGTAATAAATGGAGCCTCGTTTCACCTCCCTTCCCAACCAAGACGCCTGCCCAGACGTGACAGAGGGTACATCTATTCCGCATGGCGCTACTGCAGGCCAGCACTTCCCGGGGAATCGGCTTCTCCTGGATCAGGGCAAATCATTTGCCCCTTACGGCACGCGAGGAGACGCCATCTCCACCCCTATCCCGCCTAGCCCTTCCTTTTCCCGCCTGAAGATTTTTTTAGCTCGCATGATGGTTTTTGGCCCGGACCACCTGTCTGGAGAATAGAGTATGAATAGGTATTGGGATTTTTCGATATTGACGACCGCATGGGTAGTCGCTACGGGGGGCGAATTTGGTCGGATTTTCATTTTTTGTGGGGGAGATGATGGTGGTGGTGGTGGTGGTGCCACGAGGGGGTTTTTAGGTGGAGTTTTTGAATTGAGTTTTTTGGTTGGTGCACGGTGATGGAACCATTGGGTTTGGTTCCGTTTGACGTTTGGCGGAGCACATGGTTGGCAGGGTTCTGGGCGACGATCATTCGAATTCATTCACAAGGGCAAGAAGGGGGCGGGGGGGGGGAGATGCTCCAGATCTTTTTTAATCTGCCTTATCGCTTCGAGCGTCTGGGAGTTTTGGGGAACGGGTTTCGCTCATCCCAATTCCATTGCTTCAGGTCCAGGTTTGGCCCCTGGACGAGTGAGTGCAACCTGTCTGGAGAATTGCCATTGCCATTGCCATTGCCCTTGCCATTGCCCAACAGCGATATCGTCTTTGCAATTGTCTAATGAACGCATACCTCGCTTCAATTGAAACCCCTGGGCACCCCTTCCGCCCACACCTCCCCTCAAAGCATACGAATAGCAACGCACACAGCAGGAGTTGCGGAGCAATTGTCCGCGCAGAGGGCGCGAGAGTAGCCCGCAATGGGTGACCAGAATCGGATATCTATAACGATTTGCGGGGATGGTGGCTGCGGTACACCCTCCCATGTCTGGACCATGTTCACGCTGCAACGGCGCTGACTGAAACCCTGCTCGTACAGGCAAATCCTCTATAACGTTACGGCTGGTACGAAGTCAATGGACGCACGAGTAAGCCGTTGACCTTTCTCCCCTACGATGCACACAGCTGACCGCGTCTTTTTTTACAGATACGACCCCACAATCGGTACCCTTACTTCCCTGCCCCAACCTTTACCATCTCTAACCCTACTTGCCCAGAGGACTCCTACTCCACCACCCGCACCATAGACGGCCGAACCTACTTCCTCTCCCTCACCGACACGGCCGGCCAAGAAGAATATCGTGGCCTCTGGGCCGCCTCAAATCTCAAATCCGACGCCTTCCTCCTCGTCTATGACATCACGGCTGCCTCCTCCCTCGACACCCTTGACTACTTCCTGCAAATGATAGAGATGGAGTGTGCTCACCGGCAGGATACAGGCGGTGTGCAGCCGGTCAAGCTTGTGGCGGGGAATAAGTGCGATTTGAAGGATAGCAGGGTGGTTAGTAGTAGGCAGGGGTTGGAGTACGCGAGAAGCAGGGGCTGTGGGTTTATGGAGACGAGTGCGAGGGAGATGGTTAATATTGAGGAAACTTTTGCTCGTGAGTTCTCCTTTCTGTCGGATACTGGATGAAGAGCGAATCGGCACTGTTCGCTTGTCGATGATACTTCGGACTTCTTTGATTGCATACGCTAACCCTTCTCGCGTTCCTAGTAATCGTGCGCCGCGTGGTCGCTGCTCGCCAACACGCAGCAGGCACGACTGCCGCACCACCACAGAGAAACCAAGGTCTCTTCAGCCACGCACAATCGGCATCACGAACGCAGCAATTACCGTCGTACGGCGAAAAGGAAGCAGACACCACCGACTTCCCGGAAAGGCCTGGAGCCAAAAAGACGAAGCGGGGTGGTTTTTGGGCGAAATACAAATGCTGGTGATTCTCGTGGCATCGGGTTTCGAGAATTGGATTAGGTGGGACGTTGGGATGGGGAGAAAATACCTTTGGATGCTGACTGCATTTGGGTGGAGCGGTGGTGGTTTGATCGGAGTCTTTGCATTTCGCTTGCCTTGAATTCGACTTAGACGATGCCTACCGTGCATGTTATGTGAGCAATCGGGATAGAGATGCGATTATGAGCTAATGTAATATCGATATCTTTGAAGCCATTTGGCCACGAACTTGATGCAGGAATTTTGCAACAGGTGCATCGGAATAATACGAGTGATCTTGTGGATAATCATGTGGATAAAGTAATGTTCAATCCGTCTTCGCTTGGGGCATTTCGTCATTCTGCTTCGTGAAAAGGCTTGGCAAAGTTGGCTACGCTAAAGAGATCGGCCCGCCAGTGAAACCGCCGCGCCTTAGCGGCTCGGCGGTTACGCGAGGCATGACAACTTTGACAAGTTCGCGGGGAATTGACTCGACTCTTCTTATCATTCTCTTGTTATTATTTCACGATGCCCTTTATGCAAACTTGTAACTCCTCATCCCTGTACTACCACCAAACAAGGAGTGCCACAAGCGAGTTCGAGTACATCCAGCCTCCTCCTGAACGCGTAGAGTAAACAACCCAGTCCTACAAAGCTACGTCAACATGTCCGACGACGCCGTGGCCAGGCGCCCAAGCTCCAGTTCTAGCGCCAGCTCAGGCCTCGATCCACAACGTCCCGCACCACATCGGACTCACTCGCACAACATGCGTCTCGCCCAGCAGACGAGTCCAAGTCACGGCCACCGCCCGAGTTTCACAGAGCAGTTACGCGGCATGCCACCCTCACCCCGAGGCGCCCGCCAACTTTCCATGTCCGAAGCCCAGATACGGGAGCTGATGAACAATCCGCCAACTACCGGGAGTGCGGATCCGAAGTTTGCGGGGAGAGATTGGCAGCATATTGCTGTGGGGGAGCTCGTGCAGCCAGAGGATTTGAGGTGGGTGGAGGTTGATAGTGGAGTGGAGGACGCTACGAATGTAGGTCACTATCCCATCATTGGCGTGAGGAATGACGCTGACTATAGATAAAGCTCCTGACGGAGTCTGACGCACCTGTCCTACTCATCCGAGCAAACAAGAACGAGAATTCGGCCGTTGCGACTTTCGACTACCGAGATTTGACACAATACCTCCTCTTCGCCACCGGCCAACTGCAACCCGATGACGAACATCTAGTCGTCTTCGAGAAACTGGCCAAGAAGGCACAGCAGGGCCACAAAATACCACTGCGAGATGCGAAGAGCTTGGGCAACAAGGAGCCGTTCATAACATTGCCACATACTGCGGATCTCACGGCTGCTGTTGAGACGTTCGGAGGTGGTGTGCACCGAATTGTTATATTGAAGGAAGGGACGAACCATGCCATTGGGATCCTAAGTCAGCTGAGACTAGTGAAATTTCTTTGGGAGAACGGGAGGGCTTTCCCGATCATCGATCAGCTGTACCCTCGAGAGGTTAAGGATCTTGGTATTGGGTCTCAGGGACTGATATCCGTCAAGTATGTCGTTCCCTCTTGAGGCACCTAGTACTGCGGCTGATAGTAGATCTTTAGTGGTGACAAGCCTCTGAAGGAAGCGTTGACACTCATGAACAACGAAGGAGTCACGTCCTTAGCTGTCGTCGACAATAATTACAACGTTGTGGGCAATATATCCAATGTGGATGTCAAGGTCAGCAAAGTCGATTCGAAGTATAGTCCGAAGCTTTATACTGACAGGGTATCAGCTCCTCACCAAATCAAGCTCCGCGCCACTTCTCGAAAACACCTGCATACACTTCATCTCCGTCATTCTTTCCACCCGCGGCATGATTGACGGCCAAGATTCTTACCCCGTCTTCCACATAAACCCCCAGTCCACCCTCGCTCACACAGTGGCAAAGCTTGTTGCTACAACTGCCCACAGGTACCACCATCCTTTCCTTCCCATCTACCTAAGTTCAAAAACTGACTTCTTCCCAGAATGTGGGTAGTCGAAACCCCCACACCATCCTCCACCCCCTCCTCCGCCCCCCCAACCCCTGGTACCGGTCCCAACCCTCACGCCACCCCCATCTCCATCGCCCATCCGCCCGTCAATCACCCCCCACACCTCTCCACTTCCTTCCCGCAAGCCAATCCTCCCTTCCAACCTCTCAGCGCCACACCATCTGTCTCCGCTTCCGCCATGCCGGGACAGCATATGTCAGGCAGATTGAGCGGCGTGGTTAGTTTGACGGACATATTGAACCTGTTTGCGCGAGCCAGCGGACTGCACCCGACGGATCCGGAGGAGGCGAGGAGGAAGAGGAGAGGAAGTTCTAGTAGTTCCAGGAGTGGGGTCAGGGGCAGTATGGACAGTGCGAGGAGTAGCGTCGTTGATTTGAGGGAGAAGCGGTAGTGGGCGCGAAGGGGACAGAGACAGACGAGACGAATGGTTCACTGGTGGGCACAGCTATGAGCGAAGGAGGGATGTACCTTTGCTTTTCGGATTAAAAAAGCTGGATACGATGACTTGAAGAAGACGTAAGGAGAGACGGGCTTTGAACGCTTTTAGTAGGCTGGCTAGCTGGCTTACAGGTCCTTGTTCCCCAGAGGACGGATGTCGTTCACTTCGCCGAGGCGTGCTTGGGGCATGCATGGCTTGGAAGAATTTACTATTTTTTTTAGATTTCGGCGATAGCTTTCAATTGAAGCCTTGCCATATCAATCCAGCGATGCTCATCTACTACACATTCCAACATCACCCCTCCGAGCCGCGACCTATTCCCACGGCACCACATCTATCATCCCTCCACGTCGTCTTCCTCCTTGATGTCCTTCACAGCCACGGCACCCCTCGCTTCCTGCTTGAACCAAAGCTCCGCGAGGAAATCCGCCGTGCTCGCCTCATCGATGCTCTTGTCCTCCCTGACCTTCAAGAACCGCGGGAACCGCATACTCAACCCCCTCTCCTCGTCCACCAGGCCGATGGCGGCCAGATAGGTCGGGCTCTTCGTGACGTCCGCAAACGCCATCTCCCACACCTCCTGCGGCTCGAACCAGACGTCGGGCCGGCCCACATACTCGACGTAGCCCGGTCTGGCGATCAGGTTCTCTCCCGTCTCCTCGTTGTAGCGTTCCTTGTTCTCCTTGTAGAATTTGTCCGTGAAGCCGGAGATGCATTTGGTGACGGCTTCCAGGCTGCCGGTGGTCGGGTTGCGGACGGCGAGGAGGATCGGGGACCACCATTTCGCTTTGCGGCCGGAGCCGTGCCAGGCGGCGATGGGGATGAGGTCGATGGTGTCGGAGGTGGTGGAGTAGTCTTTTTTCACTTTGAGCCAGGAGTCGAGGCGCTTGTCGGGGGTGTAGGTTGAGAGGAGGGGCTTGCGGCGGGTGCCTGAGGTCTTCTCCTCGGCTTTGTCTGGTGCGGTCGGTTTGGGTTTGGATTTGGTCTTCTTGGATGGTCTTGTTTGGGCGGGGGGTGAGAGTGCTGTTTCTAGGTCATCGTCGTGGTTTTCGTCGGTTTGGAGCGCTGGGTTGGGGACATTGTCGAGGACTTTGACCATTATGCCTTCGCATTTGATATCGGTTGCTGATTTGAAGAATTCGAGAACGGTGTCGGAGTCAGAGGATGTGGCATCTATACACTTGACCCAGGTGAAGCGATTGGGGATTTCGACGAAGAGACTCCGGAGGAGCTCTCTTCTCTCGCGGAACGGTCTGTCGAGAAGCTCTTCACCGTTGAGGTACATGAGGTCGAAGGAGAAGAGACAGACGGCTACTTTGATAGATTCGATCGCAACATCCTTCTTCGCTCTGTTTGTCAAAGTTTGGAACGCCTTTAGATCGCCAGTTTCCTGGTCGATGGCTACGACTTCGCCTTCAAGGATGAAGCTGCTGACGCCTTCGCCACGTATTTGAGGCACGAGGGCAACCAGGTCGGGGTACTTGTCCGTCATGACTTCCAGATGCCGGGAGAATATTGAGACTTTGCCTTGCTCGTCACAGTGCACTTGGGCGCGTTGGCCGTCATATTTGTATTCGCAGCTGAAGTCCCGGCCTTGGAGTTTTGTGAGCATTTCACTCAGGTCACGGGTAATGCTACCCAGCATGGGTCGTAATGGAATGTGTAATCCTAGCCCACAGCGCAGCAGAAGCTCGTCGGAGATGCCAACTTCCAGAAGGCAAGGGACAAGGTCATTGTAGTTCGGTCTACGCGCGAAGCATGCTTTGACTAACTCTTCGCCCTTGCTGTAGACTTCTGCCAGTCCTTCCTTCTTAAGCTTTGCGAGATCCGACTGTATCCTAATACCAAACGTTGCACCTTCGGGTCGTGACAATAAGAATGCGCGAGAAAGGGCAATAAGCATGGTAGTCTTCACAGCCCCTATTCGCAGATGTTGACACAATGTCCTGACCAAATATCTGCTCTCTTCCGCGCCTTGTGAATCTTGCAACAATCTCTCCACGATCCTTTGCTTGAACTCTTGACTACCTGTCCCTTTGCTGTTGGCTACTTTGACTAAGCTTTCAAAGACACCGTTGATGGTCAGGGGCTTCGGCTTGCGCAGGGTGTAGGTTTGTCGCTTTTTGGCTTCGAAGGCCACATCTCCCGCATCTCCATACTTGTCGTAGAGCGTTTTGAGACCGGCGTTGTCCAGCATACATGTCTTCTTCAGCGCCTTTGAGATAGCCGAACCTCCAAGTCCTAACTCCAACGAAATATAGGGAGGAGAGATGGCATTGGTAGCCAGCCAGACAGCGGGTAGTAAGCTCTGAGGATCACCTTCAATGACGGTTCGTAGAAAATTGACCAAGGTATCGACGATCTTAATGCGACTCTGTGTACTGTTGACAAGCACGAAGCATCTGGTGAGGAGTCCATATGATGCATTACTACCTTCCGTCGCCCAATGTTTCTTGAGATTCGGTATGTAGTTCGAAGGATCGAAAGTCAAAGGGTTCTCATCGAATGGGACGGTCGAAGATATTGCGTCTTCAGCGGAGGTTGCCGACTGCAATGATAAGGTGTCTTTCTTTTGTGATCCATTTACCTGTAGCGGCATTGGCGCATGATCTGTCGCAACATCTTGCTGCTGTGAGGAGCCACACTGGTGATTTGAAGTAACATCGGCCTCTTGAACAAACTCGTCATCCTTTATTGCTTGTACGTCTTTCGGCTCCTCAGTTGACTCGAAAGGTGGAGCTGCCAAGACCCTATCTTGTTCTTCCCATTCGGCCTGCAATTTTCGCGCATACTCTTCATCGGTCAGAGTTTGGGTTTCAACATCATTGCTATCTCTTCCCTGCGATCCCAAATGTCCATTGGAGAAGTCCTGGAAGCGCGCGTTTTCGTCTGTTTTCTTTGGCGCCGAGTCCCCCTTTTGTTTGCTGAAGAAGAAGTCGAGGCTTCCTACAGTTTGCGGTGAGGATTGATGATTGTTAGTCTTGCGGCGCTTCGAAGGCGTCGACATCGCCAGTGGTCGCACTTTGGCTCATGCTCATGCTCATTTAGAGTACTTTCATGGCGGGCTTGTGCATGGGATATTGAACATCGTCATCATGCAGGGGTGGAGGAAACGCGTCGGCCCGCGCGTCCAATCCGGTAGCATGTACCCTACTATATCGGGCTAGCCTGTAGCTCGCCTCCGTTTGAATTCCTCCCCGCGCTTTTTATACAGTCGTAAAGTAAGAATTCAACTTAACAAAAAGGAAGAGAAAAGAAAATTTTTTAAAAAAAAAAAAAAAAAAAAAAAAAAAAAAAAAAAAAATAAAGCCTAAATTTACGGAGAGTCTTCGGCTTATTGTTTCTAACCTATTAACAAAACAGTCTCTTGCCTGAGGTTCTAGTCGTCCTCGGTCGCATTAGAGCCATGGCCGAGGTTGCCTATCGATCAAATGCCTCTCGAATCGCTGACGAGGAGCGAGATGTACGAGTGGAAGACTACTTGAATGACAAATTGCAAAACACCACCGACTTGGCAAACATCGATTCCCTGCTGGAGGATGTAAAGGCTCAGCAGGTCCTGCTCCAGCAGCAGGTATGCCCGTGGATCTATCTACCTTCGCCAATGCCTCCTCTGACCAGTCTTAGCTACAAGAGGCCAAGAGAACTCTCGACGAGAACACAAAAGTATCAGTGGCACACTCGAACGATCTCCATCAACGTGCAAGACAATTCCAGTCGCAGCAAAATGACGTAGATCGTCGCTTAATGATTGTTACCCAATCCGAGACAAGTGATGATGCTGTACGAAAATTTGATTCTAGCATGGAAGGCCTGCGAAAGCTGGACGTGGCCCAGGAATATATGGAACTGCTTGCGGAGGTTGAGAACCTAAGGTTCATGAATGATCTCAAAGCCATGGTCGAATCCACTCATACTGACGTCTTGTATGCAGCGCTGGAGCACGCCGCAACTTCAAAAAGTCTCCTCGAGATGCCCTTCAGCCATACCTCCGGCTCCAAACCCTCGTCAATGCTCTGAAAGATGCTCAGCCTGCTGCCGAAGATGCCGCACCACACTTAATAGACCATGTCGATAGAACTGCTCGTACATTGTGGAGGCAGATGAAAGACGCCTTCGCTGGTGAATTTGAAGCTACGCTGAGGAAAATGCAGTGGCCAGGGAGAGACATCACTTTGGACGGACAGCTGGAGCGAGAATGGACTGGTGGCGTTAGAAAGCTACTCGAGCTACAAGAACCAGAATTGAAAGCCAAAGACAGTCGGACTGCGGACAGTACAAAAGGAGAAGAACCTCTGGTGCTTCTCCCACTGGAGGTCATGACCAAACCCTTGGAACTCCGATTCAAGTATCATTTTGAGAGTGACAGACCAACGAACAAGCTCGACAAGGTAAGTCTAAATATGAGATTTGCTTGAATAAAACGCTGACACCAACAGCCTGAGTACTTTCTCTCACACGTCATTAGTCTGCTTAATACCTACGATGAATTCTTTGCAACGTACTTGCAGCCCATACTGCGGGAATATTTCAGATCGTCAAACCTAGCACTGACATCCATCTATATTGACTCTACATCTGCGCTCATCACCGCTTTATTACCAATGCTCCGCCGCAAAATATTTGCTCTGATGCCCCAAATCTCCCAGCAGCCGCAACTCTTGAGTCACCTTATACATGAACTCATGACCTTCGACGTCAGCTTAAGAAATGAATGGAATTACGATGGAGGTAACGCTATTGAGGGATGGAAAGGTCTGACCTGGGAAGTCTTGGTCAAGAAGGATTGGTTCGGCCGATGGTTAGAAGTGGAGAAGAATTTCGCCTTATCTCGATATCAGAACATCATCGATGCGCCGGAAAGTGGAGAGATCGACTACGACAGCGTTGACCCAGGGGCCACCAAGCCTACTTACGCTGCTATTAGAGTCAACGACCTCCTCGAGACGATTACAGATCGCTATAGACCATTAACATCCTTCTCCCAGAAACTTCGATTCCTAATCGATATTCAGATCACGCTATTTGATCGCTTCCACTCCCGCTTTCACGACTCCCTGGAAGCCTACCTGGCGAGGACATCCTCCATCGCCCGCACAGTCCAAGGAGTCTCCCGCGAAACCCAAGCCGAACTCCAAGGGCTTGGCGGCCTGGAACGCCTGTGTCGTATCTACGGCAGCGCAGAGTATCTGGAAAAGAAGATGCGCGACTGGAGCGATGATGTCTTCTTCCTGGATCTTTGGGATGAGCTGCAAGATCGTGCTCGTCGGAGTACCGGGAAGAATCTTGCAGGCCCTATGAGCGTGGAAGACGTGGCGGAACGCACCTCCAGCACTGTTGGCTCAGAAGAGGACTCTGGCGCTCTTTTTGACGAGACAGCGGGAGCGTATAGACGCCTGCGTGTCCGTACAGAAGGTGTTATCCAGGACATGCTTATCTACAGCCTTCGCGAGTCTCTTCGACCATATGGCCGCATCAACCCATGGTCGTCTCTTTCCGTGGAGTCTAACTCATTCCTCAGTCTAACGGCTGAGCTGGATGCTACTGTCCAGCAGTCAAACGATTACCTGTCCTTCCTCTCCAAGGTCCTGGCGCAGGCGCCATTGAGACGCATTGTGCGCCAAGTGGCGCTCGCTATACAGATGTTCCTGTGGGATCATGTACTAATGCGTTACACCTTCTCTGCGAGCGGTATTGCACAGTTCCAGAGGGACGTAGAAGTCGTTTGGGAGACCATGGACCGGTGGTTGGGGGAGGGCCAAGGAGAGACAGGGATGCGGAGATTGAAAGAAGGCTTGGTGCTCCTGGGGCTACCTGTGAAGAGGGAAGAAGGCGAGGAGAATGGAGATGAAGATGTTGGATTGGGCTTGTGGGAGGTAGAAAGAAGGGTGTTTCGAAATAACGAAAGTGGACGGGAAGTCCTGGACGAATTAGGTCTGGAGGTGCTGAGTGAGAGTGAGGCAAGGCATGTGCTAGAGAGGAGGATAGAGCTGGGTCATTAGGTTCACCTATCAATACCGTTTCTTCAATTAACCACCAAACATCCACATTCCATCTCTAGAGATTTATACAACTTCCCCGCCCGCCATAGGGGATTCACATCCTCCGCTTTCGCCAAAGCCCCAATATCCTCCATTGGATTCCTCTTCACAGCAATCAAGTTGGGACGGCCAGGGAGGAGGGTGGGGACCTGGATTGCTGGGAGAGATGTATACTCATCTGGGGGAGATGATCGAAGGCCAACGTGAACGATTGTTCCGGATCGAAGAATCCAGGTTGCATCTTTCAGCCGGGGGAGCACGGCCCGGTATGAGGAGATCTGCATCGATGCGAATACAGTCAGACTCGGTGATGCTGGGTTGCAGATCCATGCTTTAGGCCGATGCTTCCGCGCTTGATCTTTACCGATACTTTGACGGCGAGACGGTGCACTTTTCTCAAGGACCTCTACGGCCGTTGATCCTGAGATTTTAAAGGGAAGATGCTGGGGTAGGGCTGCCGAGTGCAATTCGGGCATATGAAGGATTGAAAGGGAACAAGATTCGAGTTGTTTTTGAATTCTTGCATTGCGTTTGCCATGCGCACGTGCGCAGGTACGATCCCTTTCGAAGTTCGTACATGTAATGGTGAAGTCCCTTCGTTTTCTTGTCGCTGTCATCATCCGCAGCCCGCGCGACGTGTTTCAGGACTACTGGATGTCTACTACCTACATGTATCTTACCGGTGATCTTTGGTGTACGGAGGGTGGGAGGTCGGCGCAAAGTCTGGACAGCGCTAGTAGTAGCCCTAACCCTACTCTCGGAAAGCAGGCCCGTAGCGGGGAACCCTCGGAATATTGGAACACCATAGATTGAAAATTAGGGACTCCTGTTGGGCGCAACAGGGGCAGTGGGCCCCAGTCTGAGCTTCTGTCAGGCGCACTTCCGAAGTAGATCGAAGTGCATTGTTCGGGCAGCCCTTCAGGCGAGGCAGAATTCGAGATTTTGGCGCAGTAGTCTTGGCGTCCGGGATTCTGTGTTGCCGATCTCTTTCGAGGGAATACTGAATGCGACCTTCTTGTCACGGCTAGGCTGCGGCTCTTGGATGAGGCTGTGCTTATGGTGCAAAGACCTTGCCAGCATGCATCTCTACGAGAGGCACTACCAACGACTTGTTTCATGTGATGCTGCACCGATCTCGCTGTTCGCGATGAGCGTAACACTCCAGCGACCTCTCTGAAGGACGATATTTAGATACTGGAGCGCGTTGACTAGCTAGCTATCTTGAATCTGTCTGTCTTTCTTGTTACATCGCTCGTCGCGATTTGCTTTACAGCATGAATGGGCGCCTTTGAAGCCCGGCATCTACTTTCTTGATCCTGAAGATGGGCTCCGTCGTTTGATAGCACTTGGCCGGTTATGGAAGCTATCGCCGCCGCGAGTAGTGTGGCAGGAATACTCAGTCTACTGGGCCAAAGTATCGATGGTGTCTCGAAACTCAGAGGGTTCTTCTTGAATGTCTCGTGTGCTTCCAGACACGTCAGTCTTTTCCTCTACGACATCAATTGCCTCCTGGAAGCCCTTCATGCTGCCAAACAGCTTGTCGACAGGCTACCTGAGGGCTTCAAGGACTCCCAGATTACTGCCCTACAGGTACAGCTTGACTTCTGCACCAAGGATGTTCATCGGTTGCTCGAAAGCGCGAGTTCCCTTCGCCCAGCTTCAGAGATCGGGGCAAAGGCCTGGATGAAGAAGTTTTGGAATGCTGTTAATAAAGATGTTTTAAGCAACGCACGCGAAGAACTCGAAAGACACAGACAAGCCATTGAGCTTAGCCTGACAGTCCTAGGAAGGTACGTTTGAGCCTCCAGAAAGGTAAGGTGCCTAGGGCTGAATTGAAATGGTAGGACGCTCGACATTTCTGCAGCAGTAAACATCAAGAAACTTGACAGTAAAATTGATACAGGTACTGCGGCGTCACTGTCCAAGATCGAGGAGCAGAATGTTGTCCTCGAGAGGATCGAGTCACATACGAAAAGCAGAGTGCAAAGTTCTGCAGACAGTGTGCAGAGTTTACGGAGTATAGCAAGTTCGCTATCAAGGATGGAAGCTTTGGCCGCCTCAGCCGCTAGTACTTCCATATCACAAAGATCGAATGACTCGAAAGAACCAAAATCCAATCAACGGTCTAGACGCCGGGCAACCGGGGATTTTGTCCCAACATATCAACGAGGCTCCCCCAGGACGTCATGGAGGCGCTCATCGGCCAGCGCACAAAGCTTGCCGGCTGTTCCAACCATTCCGGAGACATATTCTCACCTGTTTGAAGACCTGCCGGAATCTAAAGGCCGAGAAGACGGTACTAAAGAAAGGGCTCATCCGTGGGCTCGCATGTTGGCAGACTTGGACCAGATAGACGACGATCCATTTGTACCGAACAAGGCCAATAGCGGCGTCCTCTGTTGGGACCCACAGATTGACTTTTCACTGCATAAACAATACCATACTTTCAGCGACCTAAAGCGCCAGTGCTTAACAGAACTATATCCTAGCGATGTCCTGGAGTATATTTCGCTCATCAGAGTGATGAAGTCCTATGGAGATAAGATCAATGTTCTCAACTTGCTCCATCTTGAATCGAATTTTCTGGCAAGGTCAGCAGCAAAAGTACACTTCCATCTATGTGAGAGTGATCTAGAGATACTAAAATGGGAACGGACAGCCTTACAAAAACGTCTTACGGCCTTACGTCTAGTCGCTCTGGACTCCCGAAGGCGTTGCATATTGGCAGGTCATTCCCTCCAAGGAATTGACGATCGAATTCGTCCGCCGGATCTCTTCAACGATCCAAACGAAGCTTTGGATCTATGCCTCAGCCCTCAACTCGGAAGAGCACCCAGGCCAATATCCAACGGGGTTCTCGAGAGAGAGGTCAAATGCGAAGTTCTCGATGAATGGTCGACCAATCGAGACCGCATCAACCGCTGGTTGCTTCATTGCCTGCAATCCGACGAAGAGCAGGCCCAGCTCCATAAATCTATGCTAGCAGAACCATTGCTCAAAGATGAGGATTGGGCCAGGCAGGTATTGAGACACTGGTATATTGATGAAGCTGCCCTTGGTCACGAAGTAAAGACGTCGCTCTCCATTGGCGCCGTTGACAGCCATACCGTAGATGATACCCCAGACGACGAGTGGGCTAGCCTTCCGCCCGTGCCGATGCAGTATATTTGAGGCACTTATACTGTCTTGCTGTAAGGAGCCTGTTATGCTGGTGAAGTGCTCAAATTCTGGAAGACATGGCGGCGGGCCGCATTGCAAGGGGGTATGTGAGGGATTTAGACCCGGGGCGGTGACATCTCGCACAAAGTCTTACCCGGACGCAAGAGGAAACCCCCAGCAGCAACCAAAAGCCTACACGAAGCCCTACCACGACATAGGCACAGCCGGGAGGGAAGGCCCCAAAGGTAACGAAAAGCCCTACGCCTTAGGCACACACTGTTGACAGCAACGGAAGCACAGCTGGACCCCAGGTCAAAGGCCTACTCATCATGTAGGCATCTCGATCCTATAGCAAGCAAAGGGGAACCAATAGCACATAAAAAGTAAACATACCAAGGGTAACAGAGATCGAGGACCAAGAATACAGACAAGGACTAAAGGCATCAGCAAGCACAGAGTCGTGGACAAGGACAAGGATAAGGCTTGATGGACGGGATGGCGTCGCACGCAGCATCACCACTGAAGGGGTGTTGTGAGCAGGGGTGTTGTGAGCCGCATTTGCTGTTGTAGCTCATCCTTGCTTTGTTGTTGATGTTGTATACAGTAGAGCCGTAGGGTCTACATATCTCATCATCCGTCTCATCTTAACCGAGCCTCCATCAAGGGCCCGCAAGGACATTGGCTGGGGTAAATATCCATTGAGATATCCCAGGCTGCGGTCCGCGCACCGGCAGTCTGCTGTCATAAGCGGGCTCCAAGCCAAAACGGAAACGGAAACCGCGCTTGTCAAGACTCGGAATGGCACGCTATTATGGTCGGCGCGCGACTTCCACTTGCGTACTGTTTCTCTGCAACCCACTGCTTACTGGTTGCTCACCGTGTTCTGGAGAGATGAGAATGCCTTCAGCTCTATTGAGGGTTTGCTAAGGCGTTCTTTGATTGGAGAGAGCAATAAGATCTGAAAGCATAAGTCTACAGGTGAGTCGATCAATGTTATTCTTCAGATAAAAGTTTCCAAACAATGAACCCGGCTGACAACCAAAGAACACCTTTCTTGATGCTTTAATCATGGTCAACAAAAGTCGCTAGTGGTCGACACAAAGAAGTCTTCTATTGGGCATCGTGACTTCCACTAGTTTTACCGTTGACTTGTCCGAACTTCAATTCCGAAAGTACGTCCTACCTCTTTACATCCGCGTCCAACAGCAATTCAACCTCCAATACGGAACAAGACATTAGGAGCTCGACAATTCCCTCGACCATGGACCACATCAGACCTTTTTCAATAGAGAAGTCTAAACAAGACGAATTCGTGCAAAGTATCCCAAAGATGATTCAGGACTTTCTCAATGAGCTTCCGAGGGTGGAAGCAAGCAAGCTAGCAGAGGACGGCCAGTGTATGATCTGTCACCAGAAGTACGGTCTCGAAAATCCGGACGCTGACACCATCGAAGAGGCGGAAGGGGCGGTGTGCTTCCCGTGTGGCCATCACGCTGGTCGAAAGTGCATTTCGACCTGGTTACAGACAAGTGGTGACTCATGCCCGCTGTGTCGGAAGAAGTTTTTTCTGGTCGTACCGTGGCCGCACATCATACCTGATGAAAAGGACCGGGAGGATCTGAAATATCATCCTCCAGATTTCGAGGACATATGCTCGAGCTTGCGTCGGTCAGACTACATTCTCGAGAACGTTAGAACAGGGTTGAGAGGACGTTCGCTTCCTGGATGGATCGTGCGGGCGGCCGGAAATTATTATGAGTACAACGAATCGCAGGGTAACTTCTTTCGCGACCACGAATTCCGGAAAATGGTCGCGAGAAAGATTCTCTCAACTTCGCCATCAGAAGTTGAGAACGCGCCATGGATGCTGCAGGTATATCCTAGACCAGGGGACTTGGAAGCGCACGTCGAGGCGCTAGCCTCAGCACTTGGAGCAGCTTTGCCAAGAAGCGTAATTTATATTCAGCTTCGAGATCGCGGTGCCACGATCTATCAAGTGAATACGTACACGGATTCCGAAAAGCCGTACCAGGATGAGGGATTCTTTCGGAACCTCATTTCGCGTGGCGGTTTGGACGGAGACCCGCTTATGACGGATGATCGGCGAGGGTCATGGTGGACGTATCTTGGGGATGGCAATGAATTCAGCACGTATTTCATGGGTTACTGGAGAGTATGGCGAACAAGATCCAGGATTCGAGTCCGGATCAGACAGTGGATTCCATGGAGGGATCGATGATCTCGGCAAGGATGACGGGGATACAGCTGAGGCGGATGCGGCATTTGGTAGAGGCTCAGACGTTGAAGAGGGTGAATGGATCTACAGTGGTGCAGACAATGATTCGGATTGGAGGGTCAATGACCCGACAGACGAGGAAGTGAGGCGGACGTTGAGCTGGTACTGTCGTTACACGGAGTGCCGTCTTGGTCAATGAAGCTTTCAGCTGTTGGCCTTCCGGAGTTTCTGACACTTTACAGTATATTTACTTTGGTAAAATTAAGCGCCGGCCTGGCCAAGCGCCTTTTGCGCGGCTCTGATGACAAATCAACTTTTCAAATTGTCCGCCCAAGAACGCTCCAGTCCGTCACTCCGCAATCATGGCTGCTGCAAACAATGTTCTACCAGGCTCTCTGCTTGATCTGTTATCCAACGATCTCATTCTACGCCATACTAGTCCGTACATAGGTATCAAATCTCTTGTGTCACTGGCTGCTACTTCGAAAGCCTACAGGTCCCTTGTCTACAATACGCCACATGTCTTTCAGCATGCCAATCTGTGTGGAAATAATGTCTTGACGGGGTCTGCAACAGTCTTCTTTTTGGATGATCTGAAGATTGACGAGTTATACGCTCAAAGATTCCGTACCATCTTTACAATCCTGGAAAGCAAAAATGTGATTCAAGATGTCAGAACGCTCATTTTAGATGGGCTCTTTGTCCCAATTTCAATAATTGAAGATATACTATGCAACGACCGATATCAGATCCGGCTGCTCTCCTTGCGGTCAGTCCCTAGATTGCCAGGACACGATGTATTGCGAATCCTACGCCATCTCATCCGGCCGACCCGCCCAAAGGGGACGCCAAAGCTTAAAGGATTCTATTTGTTTGGCCATCAAGACAAGTTCCAGGAATTATATAATTTGGATGAAGTCATGAGAAGGCCCGGGGCCATTGGTATCACGGCCTCAGTAGGTGCCCAGCTAGGCGCTGGCAATCATATGGGCTATGACCTGCACGACTTTCGAAAGTTGGCTAGAGGAGACCCTTATAGTCATTCTCCATACGGCGCTCCGGGGACGTCGAATGTTCTGGAGGACAGCCTAATAACATCAGAATGGCCAGAAATTCTCGAAGCCTGTAAGGGCTTGATTGCATTTGATGCGGTCCTATGCCGCCATAATCAGAATAGTGTTCCAAATCCCAAACCAAGATTTGCTACTGTCCGGCTGCTCGGCTGCAAGTCGTGCAATTCGTGCCCTGAAGGCCCCGCATACCCTGAGGCTTCACCTTCGGACCACATTCCGATACTGTCGCCACCTCCATTGCACTCTTCGAAGGTTGAAGTGGCTCAGCGTATTGACACTGATGGTCAATCATATCCACCGCTCATACTGCGCTGTCGTACCTGTCTCAAAGATCGATGGTGTGAGGTACGTATATTCCGGAGTAAATTCTTCCCATTCGGCAGCAAGTGAGGGCCACAGGCTATCTTTTCGGGAGCAGAAAGCTTCTTCGCTCCCCAGCACTGTCTTTTTATTTAGGTGATATGCCATATCTTGGCAGCGAAAGGATGTTTCTGCTCTCTAAACTGGTCTCAGTTCTCGGGTTTTTTTCTGAAAAAAGCGACACTGACTCCAAAATCTGCGCAGAGGTGCAACGTTTGGTGGTGCGAATCATGCTATACGATTCCAAAAAACAGAGGTCATATGAAAGGAGATCCCGCATCAATCGTGCCAGGCCGAGCTTCGAATGAAGACATCAAGGTACATAATGGCCTATGCGTTTCAAAATGTCTCATGGACGAACTCTTGAATGGGGTGGGAGAAGGTGGAATGTGGGGTTGAGTCTTCGCGTATTTGTGCGCTCTTCAACCCTTCGTTGGCTTTGATTCGATCATCACTGACCTCCCATGTATTCTGAAGGGAGCCAAGAAATATTGTTATGAATGCGGTCAGCAATGCCAGCAGTGTCAGGCACTTACCCAGAGAATGTGTCTGTGGTGCCCAAACCAGTTTTGCCTCGAGCATGATACGGGCTGCAGCTCGAATTGTGTGAGTACCTTACATTTTCTGTATGATTTTCTAAGCCTGACGTGCTGGGCCACAGTGCGCTTGGTGCAATGCTGGAGGCCGAAGAGGGGCATTGCTGGACTACTGAAGGACTATGGAGCTAGAGCTCATCCATGCTGTGATTAAGATTGCTACAGGGAACTGAAGCTCACAAATGTGACTATCATTGTGGCTACTCAAGGCAATTTCTTACCACCAAGCTAAACATCAATAGAAAAATCGAGAAGCTAGTTGATAACTTTCCCCGCCGTCACATCTTCGCAATATCCCTCCTTTCCCCACACCAACTCATAAATACACTTCTCTTGAGGATCATCCGGGTCAATGAACCCCACGTACCCGATCCCGACCTCCCCCCACTGCCCATCGTTTATCTGGAACACAATTGGGACATCCCCAAAATCATAAGTATTATTCACATACTGCCCCAGTCCCGTCAGTGCCGCAACCAGAACACTCCATGTCAGAACCCCTTTGGAAGACTGCGCGTACACCTGGAAATTGGTCGCTGGGGGCGTCATGTACCAGTTGAAGCCGGGCGTCATGAATCCGCTGTAGTGGCCTTGATGATTTCGGAATCAGCATGACTTTTTCGGGGGGAATTCTGAGCCGCGAGACATGTCTTAGGAGCAGATGCCTCTTGAGGCATGTCTGACGACTCATAAGACAGCATGAATGGGGAAGAATTGCCTCGGAAAGTATGACCTACCGGTGATGGGGCCGTCACCGTGCTGCGTTAGGTTGTTTTGGGCCTGGACGGCTGCTTGACTTAGAGCGCCGCGGACGTCGCGGTAGGTGAGGGGTGGCGGCAGGAGGCGGCCGTTATTGAGGAAGAGATAGGTTTGGGTCCCGGGGATGCACCAGAGGTATTTGAGCCATGGCTGGTTGGAGCCGGAATTGGGTAATACTGGCGGGAGAGGGTTTGTCACGTCGGAGGCACTGAGGAGGCTGTGGAGATTCTTCGTCAGATGCAAAAATCGGCATACAGCGACTCTGAGCGGGATTTGACGTACGATCCTGCCACAACGGTAGGCGCGTTGCCACACTTCAAATTCCATTTATTGTCTCGTTCCGCAAGTCCTTGGGAACTAGCGAGTGGGCTCGCAAAACCAGTGATGAGGAGAAAGAGGGTAACAAATAGATGCGTTAGGAAACACGTATGAGACATGGTGGTATCAAGAGAGATAGGGCTCCCAGCCAGAGATTTACGACCAAGTAGTGAAAGCGGAGCGTCAATGACGTCAACCTACTGATACAATCTTTTCAAAGGAAGCAAAGAAATATAAGGGACCAGAGCGCTAACACTGAGAAAAGTCGTGGCATTATCGCATGGCTGTCGCCAATTACTCCAAACACCACCACCGGCAAATCGCCTGAGTACTAGTACAGACCCGCCACACCTTTAAGGCGCTTGGTTGTTTGAAACTTTCTCGGAAGCTTCTTCCTCTCCGGCAACATTACGCAAACTGTTTAGAGTGAAGGAGCATATGCGCACGAAGCTGTCTGGAGGTCGGACACTCGAGCAGTACCTTATCGAATGATGCTCGTCTCGACTGCGCTATCGATATACTCCTAAAGCTCTTCCGGAGTCTCTCTTAGCACTCTACCCTGCCGCGCTGGGTGGACGGCTATCGAGAGCGCGTGTCTTGTTGAGACTTTCTTGGCCACAGGACGCAGGGCACATGCACATCTCGGCGTCAGCATAGCTTCTTTGAGGTAATATACACAGGTTATAGGACAGTTTTGGGGGTTGGACTTCGTATACTGCTCGCGAGACATGTCTTGCGGCTCAAAAGCAAGGGTTCGATTGGAGATGGGGTTGTTCCACAATGTGCACTCATTCGAGAAACAAACTGAGTTACCAACAATGCAGGCGTCGTGCGCCCAAAAGGCAAATATGGGGATCGTAAGTCAAGTTGCTACGCATCCCGAACCGGTATTGTGGCCTTGCAGAAGTCGAATTGCGTGCTCGACAATCTCAATATCCGAATGCATGGTGACAACGTTGTTTTGGCAGAGGAAACACCAGCACCAGTGTAGTACCATTGTTCTCCCTGCACTGGCTGTTGCTTGAACAGCATGTTTCGGCCACGAAAGGTGGGAGATCTTATAATTCCAACCTTCACACTTCTGTGGTGACAATCGTCAGGTGCTATGTCACAGCTCCTCCGAACCTCCGGACCATTCACTGTGTCTAAAACCATCCAAACTGATTGGTGGGAGCCGTCAAACTAGAAAGGCACATCTTTGTACTACAGCGAAAGTGACTCTTTAACCTGAATATTTGAACGAAGTGTTATTGTGGCAGTGGCGAATTCTTTGTTCCCTGTGAGTCGATGGCTTGCCACACAGCAGAAATCATGGGTTCGAAAGACTTGCTCTTCAAGTCTATCTGCTTCTTTTGAACAGTTTGTTCAGCAACATCCTGTTCTGCTCCTGACCCAACGCCCACCATACTAACCCACCCCCCCCTCCCCAACTCTAATTCAAGCAGTTGACAGACGCAACAACAAATCACCACGTCAGAGCGGGCCTCCGCCTCAACATGGCAAAACGATTCCTCGATCAGCTTGCGAAGGTACCGGAAGACGAATTATCCAAAGACAGTCTGTGTATGATCTGTCATCGAGACTACGGCACAGATTCTGCCGATGTGGCAGTTCGCCTCCCGTGTAATCATCACGTGGGCTTAGAGTGTATCTCAACATGGTTGTCTCCGGACAAGAGAGATTGCAAGAACTCTTGCCCAATGTGTCGGCGCGTTTTCTTCGACGTGATCAATGAGGAAGATGAAGAGGAATACCGTCGCGAAGTATTACGTAGGGTTGGACAGCCACCCCAAGAGGGACATGCACAAGGAGACAATCCGAGATGGTACGGCTACTTTTTGGAGGCCGCTGCCGAGCAGTACCAAGAAAGCCTGACACGGGCGAGAGCATTTCTTGTAAGAAATACTCGAGGACGTGACGCGGTCGAGAGGGAAGAGCGATTTCGATTGTCTTACCCAACACTTGAAGATATGGAGTCTCATATTGCGAACCAGGCAACGGCATTTCGAACTTTGGCAGTCCGGGAGGTGATGCTGTACTTCGAATTGGGGCGTGACGGGTTTCTCCCACCATTGGTGGGACATATCAGGCCACTGAACGCAGAGCAGTTGGAAGCACTCTTCCGAGAACTTCAGCGAAGGGGAGCTTTCGAACCCGACCTGCACCCATTCGAACACTACGAAGAGTTGACCGACGACCAGATGTGGCTCCTGCACCGAGAAGAAGGCGAAAGTTTCAGCACAGAAGAGGGAGGATACTGGTCACTATCATTAGCCTGATTAGCGGTCAATGGACAGCTTGGAGGGCGGAGACAGACACGCGAAACCGTAGTGGTAGACCAGGATAATGTGACATAGAGCATGCTTTGAAGCCTTAAAGACAGACATAAAATGGCGATGATACAACTTTGGTTGCAGTCTCGAGTATGTGACTCTCTATATCCGGAGCATGTCTAGAATCGTATATTAGTACTGGTTGGACTGTTCTCCAGTCCCTCAGAACTACATTCCTCGACATGGGTAGCATCCCTTGGGGGCGCCTGTCTAATTTAACATGACTGATTTGGCCTCCCTCAGTCCTTCTACTCAGACGACAAAGCCAAGTCAGAACGGGGCCAGCTCGATGCCTTGGTGGACGAGAATCATCGCCAATACAAGGTAAGCATTCATTATCATGTACAAAGGGAGAAAGCCATGATGCAATGACTATTCCCTTGGGTTGTTTGTGCAAACACATCTTACAACTTCTTCGAGGATTGGGCTAAGTAAGTCACTAGAAGATTGAAGACATGGCTGTATTCTGGCCTGTTGCGCTGTTTGGGTATCCTTGGTTGAGAGTCTTGCATTGGTCCGTTTTGATTTCCCGCTCACACCATTACTAGCCTTTTTGCTATTCTCAAGAGGAAGCACAGAGGTGTATAGGTACCGCAATCGTGTCCAATGGATGAAGTGAGAAGCGTTCTTCTTTCAACGACATGGCTTAAGGACTCTGTGTTCATCATCCGAAATCTAAAGTCTTCCAGGTCCTGTAAGATTTAAGCGCGGTGCACCAACGGGCCACGCCGCCGCCCCCTTGAAGCTAAGTAAGTATTCTTGTCCGACACGCGTCCTAGCTTGAAACGCAGCTGCAGCCACGCCCCATAGGGCATAGGCCAAGGTGTTGGTTTCCACTTATTCTTCTAGGCGCAACTCAGTCAGCCTGCAATAAATAAGGGATGTTACTTCGTACTTCAACATGTCTAGACTCTCGCTCGCTACTTCATCAACATGCTCTGACGACGTCGCAAGTGCACTCTGAAAGGCCATACTGATCACAGCTGTTTTATCGTCATTCGCTGCAAAGTATGGGAACAGCAACATCCGCTTGATCCTGAGTCAGAATGAGAGCCTACGCAGACTCCGAGAAGTTCCCTTTTCTGCCTTCTGGCAGAATGATAACATTGAAAAACCGTCCCGTGCAAGGCGCAGTGCTACTTATTACATTCATCTTTCTTACCATCAGTCTATACAGTCTTGGGCGTGGGAGAGAAGCTGGCGAGAGCGCGCTGGACCATTACAAAGAGCGCTTCTCGAAATCGGCGGGAATACAGTCAAAAGCACAGGAAGCAAAGCGGCTCTATGCCGAGGAATTGTTGCAGCGTCCGCTGGCTACGGACTTGACGTCGATTCCAAAGCTGTTTCACCAGAGCTGGATAAATTCGACTCTGCCGGCCAAGTTCGAGGAATGGAGTCACTCGTGCCGTCAGGCGAATCCAGACTGGGAGTGGGTCTTGTGGACGGATGAGGACAATATGAATTTAGTGAAAAAATATGCGCCTTGGTTTGCGAGCACTTACGACGCCCTACGTTCTGAGATCTACCGTGCGGATACTGCGCGCAATATCTACATGCACGTTTTTGGAGGGTGAGTCTCAGAATTTCACCGGGAGAAAGACTTGTTGTCCGCTGACTGGCTGCTTCTAGCGTATATGCCGATCTCGATACTGAATGTCTGGGACCTTACGAAGAAATGTTCGCAGAATACAACACTTCTATGATAGTCCACAATAAGCCACCCTCCGAGTCCGAGCATCTTGACAAGAGCGGACAACGCATGGGCTTGCAACCTACACAAGTCGACGAAGAATCTAGACCGAAATCTACGGCGACTGGACTAGATATCCCCTCGTCCGCGGAAGGTGAACGGAAAGTTTTCCTCGGGCGCATGGGTACCGACGAAGATTACGTTCACTCAATACCCAACGCCTGGATGGGGTCCACTCCCGGTCATCCGTTCTGGGTCCTTCCACTCGAGTCTTGTGAACAACACATCGGAAGTGGCGCGCAGCCCGAGTATCTCACTGGACCTCCAGCCCTCTACGACCGAGTCAGGGACTACAGAGATGAATACGATCACGGCAGAGGAGAGAAGATGGACGATCATTACGGCAAAGGTGGCTGGCGATACCTGTACCCACCGTCGAGGGACCACCAAAAGCTCCCGCCGCAATCGATGGTCGTGCTTCCTTTCTGGGAGGTCTATCCGTATTCCTGGGAGCGCGATGGAGAGGCTTACAGGATGCTTTGCTGGGTTACGCAGGATACATTCAGTGCGGCGATGTGTAAGCACGTCTTAGGGTTGGACCATTGGGGAAGCCATAGCATTACCTATTGGAGCCATTCGTGGAGTGTGGACGGGCATTGGGGTGAACACATGGATGCGCTTAATAAGCCAACCGAGACTCCTGATGGCGACGAGAATGACGAAGAAAGTGCTCAGGCGAAACAAGAAGATTGAGAGATTGAAGGAGAGACTCGCGAAACAGACATGGGTCGAATGGCCAACCGGATGTGTTTGCAAGCATCTCCAATGATGGCACTCGGTAATACAGGGCGAGTGCTGCTTGATTATCAAAGTCTCTACACAAGAGCACCCCAACGACGCTTAAGTCGCCATGAGGTGAAAAGTTTGCGGATACTGGTGACGCTCGCGGCTCACAGCTGGCTCGGCGACTTCCGGTACTCCCGTCTGTTGTATTGTCCAATGGCCACTCACAGCGGGTGCAGCCTTCTCACTACCCTCAACAACCCGAGTTCGATCTTGACGGACAGTCACCTATGTCTCGTCATCCCAGCGATATCAACTGATCTATGGAGAGCTTTAGAACACTGCCAGATCGTTTTCCATTGTTGACGTACAGCATCTCAGCACTGCCGTCGAAACTAGCGTTCAGAGGCCAGGAGTCGTCGGAAGCCGAGTTTTGCTAGTCACAGATACCCAATAGACAGGGGCAAGGGTATTTTATACATAACAATCCATATATGTACAAGTTTACAGATGTTCGAAATTATGACCAGAATCTCTCGATATGCCAGTGAGTCCATTGAGCACAGACACCATCATTGCTCAAACCAGAGAAGAGATTTGCTACGTACGACAATACTTCAGTCTCCAGAATTGTAATACCTTTTTCCGCAAGTGCTACCGTAATAAGGGTTCTGCGGCGTGAACTCCGGGGTGACCAATCGTATGCGACCCTCAGCCCCTAATTGGGGACATGTTTGACAAGCCTACTAAGCACCTCTGCAAGTCTTTACCACTACACCTAGAGGATTGACGACTGCTCTTTCAGCAGATGGCTTGTCCAACAACAGCTTTGCGATTGACCTTTAGAGACAATTCGTGAGAACTTACCATGCCACAAGTCCCCCTCCGCACCCTCAGTATCTATGACAAAGGCAGCACCTACACCATCTTTGACACCGACGACAAGACTCATCTCTACACCATCCATTTCAACAGTCGTTCCGCTCCTCACATGACCGTCATCCGTACCTCGGACACCAAGAGCATTGTTGGCAGCGCCACATATCACTCGACCAAGAAGCTCGGGTTCGCCACTGCCTCAAACATCACTCTTAAACTTCCCTCCTCCGAAACTGTCTCCCTGAACAAAGAAGGGGGCTTCTTCAACAATGACAAGCGCACCATGCGGATTGCAGTTCTGGGACAAGTGTATTGGAGTAGTAGGCAAGTTAACAATCCTTGGAAAGGAGGCCGAGCGGAGACGAGCTTCCTGAAATTGGCGGATACGAGTGGGAAGGCCTTGGTGGAATACAAGGACGAGGGACACACATTGAAAAGAATGGGAGTTATGGAGATTGGCGTCGAGCTGACGCAGGAAGGGCTGGATGAGGTCGTAGTAAGCGGGATGGCGATGCTGTCGGAGGAGCAGACAGGTGTGAAAGCGACGAGGCCGCGATGAGTACCTTCCGTGGGTGATACAGGCAGAGGAAGCGTGTAAGCATGACAAGTATTGCAGAGGCAGTAGAGTATGATGGTTGAATGAGGAAAAATCGTGTTCCACCAAGTTGTAGAAACGATTAACGGCCATTTTATCCGAGAACCTCGGGTAAAACTGCCTCCCAATTTGTACCAGTCCGGTCCGCACTTCTTTGTTCTTTGTTTTATTCTTCTCCAGTCACGCACACCGCTTCGCTACAATCGCCATGCCGAAGGAGCACCGAAAACGAGGGCGACGGGAGGAAAAGAAGCGGAAGCGTGAGGAGGAGGAAGAAGACCAATCCGCAACTTCCAAGCGGCAGAAGTCAGAGGACGCAGAAGCAGAGGTCGAGATCATAGTGGATGGTGATGATGAAAATAGACCACAAGAAGGCTACCCGGAATATGCTCCACGACCTGTGGAGATCCCGTTCTACGGATTACTGGATGAAGATGAGCAGGAATACTTCAAGAGAGCGGATTCTATGCTAGAACTTAATCAATTCGCCGATCCAGAGGAACGAAGTCTTTTCCTGGCCAATGTCTACAAAGAGGCCAGTGGGAAGGAGCTCAAGATCGCCAATAGTCAGTCATGCTCAAGGCTTATGGAGCGATTAATTCTGCTATCGACCCCGGATCAGTTGAAGAATCTGTTTCAGAAGTTCAGTGGACAGTAAGTACGCCTGCTGTGACCGTTGAGGGTGATGCATCTAACATACACAGCTTCCTGCACCTTGTACAGCACAGATTCGCTTCCCATTGCTGCGAAGCATTGTTTTTACAAGCAGCGCCAATCGTCAATCAAGAGCTGACCGCACCTCTGGATCAGGGAAAGCAGAACCAGGGGAACAGGGACGTCTTCGTCTCTATGGAGAACCTCTTCCTATATACACTGAACGAGTTGGAAGGCAATATGGGGTACTTGATGAGTGACCAATTCGCGTCGCATCCACTGCGCATCCTACTAGTCGTGCTCTCAGGTATGCCGCTTACGGCTGTAAACACTTCCTCGGTGCTGCAGAGCAAAAAGAAGGAGCATGTCTCTATCACCAGTGCAAAATCAAAGCCAACGGAGGAGAAGACAGAAGCACGAATGGTACCAGATTCCTTCCATACCGCGTTGGAGAAGATGATGGCAGGAGCTGTGGCAGGTCTGGACACAACATATCTTCGGGCATTAGCGACTCATCCTATCGCAAATCCCGTTTTACAACTTCTGCTCGAGCTCGAACTCACAAGATCCGGCAAGCAAAGCGCGAAAGACTCGAAGTCTCTATTCCGGAAACTCGTTCCCGATGATGCGTTGGTGGAGGGTACCGAAAGTGCTTCTTTCATTAATAACCTTGTCTACGATACTATTGGCTCACGACTTCTGGAGGTAATTGTAACAAATGCACCAGGCAAGACGTTCAAAGCATTATACAAGAGCTCTTTTAAGGACAAAATTGGGACATTTGCGAAGAACGAGGTCGCTGCTTTTGTGGTCATCAAGATCATCGAGCGCCTGAACAAGGAAGACTTGGTGACCGCTCTAAATGAGATTTGTCCTCAGATTGACACGCTGATCAAGCGCTCGCGTACATCAGTTATCAAGACATTGATAGAACGATGCCGCGTACGACAACTAGAGGCACCATCCATCTCAACTGGCTTGAAGCAGGCTTACGGAGAGGGACCATCCGACCGATTGGTCAAGATGCTCAGAGTGGGCACAGAGCGCGCAGAGGGCATGGCAGAAGACCGCAGAAAACAGCTGGATGCTAAGGACAGTGCCAAAGCTCATGGATCTCTACTGGCTCAATGCATGTTGGAGGCACCAGACCCACTGCGGGAACTTATCTGCGATGGGTTACTTGCTATGGAGACGCGTGTTTTGATCTCAGTTGCAAAAGATCGAACAGCATCTCGTGTCCTACAGACAGCTTTGGTCTGCCCCGAACAGGCACCAAAGTTCCGTCGACTGCTGATACCACACTTCTATGGCCACATAGAGGACCTCGCATTGGATCCTGTTGCCTCCCACGTTATTGACTCGATTTGGGAAGCGACTGATGGTCTCACATTCATCCGGGAAAGGATTGCCAACGAGCTCGCGCAGCACGAGTCAGCCCTGCGAGCCTCGATCTCTGGCAGAGCGGTATGGAGGAACTGGAAGATGGATATCTACAATACAAGAAGAAAGGAGTGGCTGAACGATGCAAAGGGCCAAAGCCAAGACCACAACCAAGCTGCCAAGACAAGTATCGAGCTTGCCAGAGAGCGATATGCAGCGGGTACAATGAGACAACAGCACAAGGTGGTGAAAGCAAGGACAGACAATGGCACTGGCGCGAACAGCATCCCTCAAGGAAGGGCTACCATTCAGGGTAAAGCTTAGTGCGGAAGCGAGTGCTTTTCGGCACTAGAGAGTCATGACGATGATGACGAAAGTGGTAAAGTACTTTGTCGACTTGGTGCACCAAATATTGATAATACCAGTAGCAAAGTCACGACTCACGTGTACTTTCGACAGATACCCAATATCTTCCACTCTACTCTTTTACTCTTATATTTTTGTGCTTTTCTTATTCAAAATGTCGCATCAAGATTCCAATTCGACCCATAGCCCAGCTGAAAAAGAACCAGTTCCCTCTCGAGCAGATGAAGTCTCTAATGTTCGTATTTTATACGTGTCAAAATTGAAATGTTCCTGTCCATCTTCTCCTATATCAATACACTCGTGACGACTAACCGAACTCGCAGCTACTTAATGCTGTACAAGATCTTCTGATCCCATTCATACGTTCAGCAGACGAAGATGCATCTACCAAAAAGACCGGTCATGGTCTTTCGGTCCAAGGAGGGGGCCCACGCACCGCCCTCGTAGAACACCACAAACCTCACAAGCTATCCCAACTCATGGATCTAAACTTACCTCGGACCGGCCTGGCCCAAGCAGGCTTCCTCGAACAGGTGGAGCAAATCCTGCAATACTCAGTCAACACGTGGGACCGCGGCTTCATGAGCAAACTGTACGCCTCGACGGACGCCCCCGGCCTCGCCGCCGAGCTGATCCTGGCGACCCTGAACACCAACGTCCACACGTACGAAGTATCGCCCGCCCTCACCATGATCGAAAAACACACGACCCGTGCCCTCGCCCGTCTCTTCGGCCTCACCGGACCCCACGCCGGCGGCGTTTCCGTGCAAGGGGGCTCCATGTCCAACGCCACGTCCATAGTCATCGCCCGCAACACCCTCCACCCCGCCACCAAAACCCACGGCAACACCGCAAACGATCTGAAACTCGTCCTCTTCACCTCGGCCCACGGCCACTACAGCGTCGAAAAGGCCGCCCAGATGCTCGGCCTCGGCGCCTCGGCCGTCCGCGCCGTCCCCGTGGACCCGCACACCGGCCGCATGGACCCCGCCGCCCTCTCCGCCCTCGTCGCCGCGGCGAAGGCGCAGGGCCAGACGCCCTTCTACCTCAACGCGACGGCCGGCACCACCGTCCTCGGCTCCTACGACCCCATCGGGCCCCTCGCCGCCGTCTGCCGGGAGCACGGCCTCTGGCTGCACGTCGACGCCTCCTGGGGCGGCCCCGCCGCCCTCTCCCCCGCCCACGCGCCCAAGCTCGCCGGCAGCCACCTCGCCGACTCCATCGCCGTGAACCCGCACAAGATGATGGGCGTCCCCCTCACCTGCTCCTTCCTCCTCGGCGCCGACCTGCGCCGCTTCCACGCCAGCAACACCCTCCCGGCCAGCTACCTCTTCCACCACGACGACGACGACCACGACCACGCCTCGGAACCCTCCACCTCCTCCTCCTCCTCCGACCTCCACTACTACGACCTGGCGGACCTGACGCTCCAGTGCGGCCGCCGCGGCGACAGCCTCAAGCTGTACCTCAGCTGGATCTACCACGGCAGCGACGGCTACGCGGGGCAGATCGACGCCGCCTTCGCCACGGCCGCTCACCTGGCCCGTCTGGTGGCGTCGCACCCGGACCTGGTCTCCGTGGGCGAGAACCCGCCGCCGTGCTGCCAGGTGTGTTTTTACTACGCGGGAGGCGGGACGCTGCACGACGAGGCGGGGGACAACGGGAGGGTCACGAAGGAAGTGGTGCGGGGGCTCGTTCCGAGGGGTTTCATGATTGATTATGCGGGTGGGGATGAGAGGGGTGCCTTCATGAGGGCTGTAGTCAGTAGGGGGACGGGGAGGGGGACGGTGGAGGGGTTGGTGGAGGCGGTGGTGGAGTTGGGGCGGAAGGCTTGGGGGAGGGGTGGGATGAACGAGTAGGGGGGATTGGAACGGCCGAAGGTCGGATGAGGATCATGAAAGCAGATAGTTGGTAAGATTTAGAGACACGTAGAGATCAAAGCTCGGGTAATTAGCCCTATTTCTGAGACAGACAGAGCTCGTTGCTCCCTGTTTTGGGTTTGTTGACAAGGCAACTTCCCCTGATCTTTTCTTCCTTTCGGGGCAGCGACCCATCCAGAACCGTCTTCAAAAGAGTTCGTGCACATTTCAATCCTCGCATTCGACCCACAAAGTCCGATGGCCCCCAACATCCCAAACACACCGGCTGATAAGACGGAAGAGGCTGCCTAAGTGTCGATGACATCCTAGGTCCTCTTTCATCGATAAACTCCTCCCTTTTCGAAATGATTTCCATAGTAGTCCATCTTGCCGCCTGTGTGATGCCCTCTCACGACCTTAACCTCACCAGGCCAATACCCATCGACGTGCAATAATCCCCTCTGTACCGCTTCTTCAAAAGCTACCTTTTTCCCCTTTCTAAACTTGATTAGCTCCTGCACAACATCAACAGGCGCGTCTTTGCGTTCGGTTGTTTCCAGTTTTGGCAGACTGTCCGGCTGAACGCCATCCGCTGGCATCATGATCTTTTCGGATAATGCTGAGTCGGGAACGTAAGTATCAGTGTCTATAGAAGGCAGGCCGCATTCTTCATCTTTGTCAAAGAAGGTGAAATCATTTTCAGCTGCGGACCAGAATGCTTCACTGTCTGCATCTTCCGTGGATGACCTGGTCCTGTTGACAAGCTTTGACGTTGTGTTGGGAGCGTTGGGAGATACTGCTGGAGCCATCTCAAGTGCAATCTGTCTTAGTGCAAAGATCTCTCGGGCAGTATGGCGATTGTGCTTTGAGTAACGCTCCCCTGGCTTGCGTACAGGGTCCACTTCAAGGCGAGCCTGGAGGTTGGCAAGCTCAGCTTCTGAGGCACAATCCTTGATGAATTGAATTAGGGCATCAATCACTCGTCCGGTACTGTCAACACATGGAACGTTGGTCAAAGTGAAGGTTCGAAGCTTTGGCAGCATTCCTGGTATCAAACCATGAGGTTTGTCGAGCCGACTCGATCGAAGCTCTTGTCGTTGCTTCTCAATTAGTGCAGTCCGCATTTGTGAACTTTGTTTACCAGTGCCGACTCGGTCATTGCTCGTTACACTCATGGCTTGGTTTGGACCTTTCATGCCATTTACAGCTTGCGCAACCGAGCCTAATCCCGTTGCTGTGAGCACTGGGGCGGCGTCTTCGTCAGATTCCTCAGGCTCCAGCGGTTCCGGTGCGAAAACGCTTCCACGTCTGGCCTCGGGCTGGCTTTCTTCTTTACTAAGAGTAGGTTTATCGCCGATCGGTGGAGAGACGTAGAAATGCGTAGAGTCTCCGGGCAACTCATACCGTGGCTGTGGAACATGTATATCCAGTTCGTAGAGTGGTGGTGTTGCATCCAACTCGTACACTGCTGCATCTAGCTCACTTGGCACTGGTCCGCTCAATTCATGCTGAGTCTTTCCTGCACCGAGCTCGCAGGGAGCTACAGGTGAGCGCTCGTCTGTGAGTGGAGCATATTTGGTAATGACCGCATGATGAAGTCGTAGCGAGGTCATTTCTTGGGCATGCTTGCTCAGGATCGGCGTAAGCTTCTCCACTCCTGGCAGCCGGATGTGACGAGCATCGAATGGGGAAAGTGATGGGGATGCCTCCGACACAGGTCCATGCACAAATTTATTCACAGAGCCTGCATCGAGGACACGCAGCTTTCCTGACCGAATCAAGGCCGCTAGACCTTCCACTGTGAGGTTGTTGTTGGCGATGTAAAGATGGGTAATTCCGGAACGAGGCATGTCCTCGTATGGCAGTCTACTGATAACGCCGGAAGTCAAGCGCCGAACGAAGCGCTCATCGTAGCTTTCGTCTTTGAACTCATCGAGTACCGCAGGATCAGGTCGCACAAACCCTAAAGGCCAGTCTTCCACCGCCAGATTTGAAATGGCGCGTGGTCTCCCATTCGATGACCCATTAGTATCATTTTCAGCTTGGAAGCAAGAAACCAGAAGAGTCCGAACGCTGTGGTCTGTGAGGTGATTGCCTTGAACATCGAGGCTTCGAACTTTGAGACCTATAGCCTCAGCTAAAATATCGACGTCTTCGTCTCTCAAATGCACACTCCGTAACTTCAATACCTGCAATAGTGGTAGATGCCCCAACTTCCACAGAAAGTTCTTATCTCTTGCTGCTGGTGTATCGGAGAGGTCTAGGAAGGCGAGGTTCGGGAAATGGTGCAGACCCTCCGTCAACCCTTGCGATGTAGTATTCTGGCAGCTTCCAGCTATGAGGAGCCGAAGTGCGAACGTAGGATCTGGACCGCCAAGTGAAGGTCGGCGGCTGTCGCTGTAGCTTCGTAATGCCAGCAATGCCATATGATCGAAAAAGGGGAGCCGCGAGACGACGAGGGATTGGAGGTTTGGCAGCTGCTCCAGGACATCGCGAAGCCATTCAGGGTGAGGTCCGTCATAGAGCTTTTAGAAGCGTGAGCGTTCTTGTTTTTCCTGTGCGACTTGTAGTGATAAGCGTACCTCTGACTGAGCAGGAGGGAGATGCAGAGTATGGGTGAGTTCCCTCACGCTCAGGCGTACCCGTTTCAGGATCCTTTTGAAGCGTGTCAGGGCGACTGCTTAAAGTCAGTGGAATTTCCTACAAGACTCCATCCCATTCCTACCATAGACCCTATCATTCTCCGTTCCAAAATGTGACGCGGGATTACCCCACAGGCATGGAGCGAAGACGTGGTGCAATTCATGATTGACTCTATTGAGGGCACACAGTTCGGGAGAGGGTATGTAGGGAGCTATGAGTCCCCATGGGTTTCTCGCTACTGCGATTTCGTAGGAAGGTGGGATGTTTTCCATGACTGTAGAATTTCATTTCGGGTCAGCCTGGCGAGAAGGTGCCCCGACTGGATATCGGAAGGGCCATAGTTTTCCTCATGCTACCTCCCAGACTGGGGTTTCTATATTGACACTTTTGTTAGTCGTCACATTTTACAGTCAACGGGAGCTTCTTCTTTTTCCACAGCCTTGTGCTCGTGTAGGCGGGAAAATGGACGGCAGATGACACCAACTTGAGGAGTCTCTTGGCAACGGCTTGAGGTTTCAACAGGAAGCGAAGGCCGTAGCGTCCGAAGTCATAATATCTTTCCTTTCTTTTTTGGTGGATGGACAGATATGACAATTATGACTATATCTCACACAACATCTAGTAAGGTATATGGTGTCTTCAATGTTTACAACGATACGATATACCTGCTAGGGAGGCAAGAAGGTGGCTATACAGGTTCTGACTATTCTATCAGCAATTACGCATGCACATGACAAGCCAGGAAACTGCAAGGAAGACACATCAAGGCTGTCGCCATTTCCGTCGCTGTTGTCAAATCCTTCGAGACCAAGATATATTTTTCTCGGAAGTTGTCTCCTAAGGAAGTATGGCCGTTTCTATCTCTCGGAGACCCTCTGGCTATGAGCGGAGGTGCCACCAAATAACACAAACCCACCTCCCTATCGATCAACTGCAGAGGTTAGTAGTGTCTCGGAGAGGATCTTTGGATGCGCTTTCATACCCATCTGATGTTCGGCATGCCTTGTCAGAGAAGAGTACTCTTCCCCATCCACCCCTCATATTATCCAGCGACAGTTTACCACCGAGATTCCAACTTTTCTGCCCGGACAGGGCAATATTCCCACCCAGTTCCCAATACAGTCCGCTGTCACTTTCAAGCAGCGCTTGTAATGCTTGCTTGCTCGGTCCGCTCAATTGTGGCTTGAATAGTTACTCGTATGACTTCTCCTTCAACAGCTTTGAACCATCCACCAACACAGCCTTCATTAAAGCCAAGAAGTCCTGTGCCGATCCGAACACTCCTCCGCCACCAAGACAGTCTGTGGATCCGCTGACCAGGTCCCAACTTTCGAGAGTCACTGCATTTCCAGTCGCATCCAGAGTACTGAGACCAGCGAGTCCGTCATGCATGTGTGCTTTCTGGGCCGGCTAGAACGTTATGTTCTTCAGGTAAAGAGGGTCCCAGATCTTCTTTGACATGTAGGTTTCGAGAGTCTCCAGTTGCGCGCTCCACCATCTTGTTTGCCCAGTCCGCTCCCATGTCATACATCCAGCTCGTCCCTGGTTCGAATAGTAAAAGGCTGTTGCAGCGTTCTTCGATAGTGGCAGCAGACCACGGGACTTCGTTTCGATTCGTGCGCCACTTCAAGAGCAAAGGGTCCATCTGATCTCAGCACATCCCAGACGAGTGCGAGAGCATAAGCCTTGAACATTCGTCACCTCCCATGCCTGAGCAAGTAGAATGTTACGAGCCGGAAGATTCTACCTTGGAGTAATAAGTTTTCCTTCTGCTTCAGTCTCGGAGTGTCGCCAGCGTTCTCAGCTTTGAGGATGATTTCGAGGTTCTTCAAATCCGGAAGGATTGCGTGATGTCCTCGTCAAGGTCGAAAAGACCGCGTTCCACACACTGCAAAACGGTAATGGCGGTCATGAGCTTGGTGCAAGCGGCCATGGCCAAGACCATGTCCGGCTCTATCGCTTTAGCCGCATCCTCAGGCTTCGTGGATCGACGTCCCATTGCCTTTCCATATTCGAAAGTGCCTACGAAATCGTGAGGACCTGTTGTTTACTAGTCTTGCAGATTGAGAACGGGACATACATACCTTCCTTATCGGCTGCCAGAAAGATGACGCCAGGCAGCGCGCCTGAGGCGCAGGCATCTCGATAAGCTGCTTCTTCAACAAATTCCATCCTGTACGTATAGTGAACGATCAATACAGAACCTCTTGAGCATGATCGAGCAACAATCTGACTAAATTACTGGATATAAATAAGCGCCGTAAAATAAGCCCTTAGTAAGCGTCTTCAACCTTCGACCCGGGTGCCGAAAGACTACCAACAATGCTCGCGCTGAGACGATACCTCAACCAATGCGGCTCCCCTTTCGGTGATCCCGGCAGTCTCATTGATACATCCTAGCGGCTCGGCATATGCGCCGATGCTCCCATGTTGCTTACACTTTACCCTTGTTCTGTGCATTCCAGTCGTAACGGTCAGCCCCGTTGTTCTGGTACGTATTGAAGGACGAATAGTCATACACCCGTATGATGCTGCTGGGTTTGGCTAGTAGGCTTCTATCTCCTCCGACACTACCTCCTCGGCAGCAACCGATGTGATGCCGGTTCTCCAGCTTACGAAAAGGCCACGCATATGTAGAATGAAAATCAAAAATCGCTTATGCTCAACTGGAACGGTACGAGTTTTGTGGCATGATGAAAAGGCGGGGTGTAGAAAGAAGAGGACTCTCGGGGTTTTATAGTCCGGATTTGCCGCCGCTGTGGCAAAACCGGACTTGCATGAAATTAGTCATGGAGACATCCTATGCGAATATACATGCTTCCCATTTCATCTCATGAATCACCAAAGAGTCGATTGCAGGTATCTCAAAGCCGGTTCAACCCTAACTCCTCCCCTTCCTCCACCGCCCTCTCCAATCACAGCTCGAGAAGCGCCACCGGCCTCTGTTCATCAGGGGCACCAAGCCCGTAAGCACTCTTTTTACCTTGGATTCCGGCCAACCCTTCCACCTGCCTCCCTCAAACTCCTCAGTCTCCAGGTTCAGCAGCCACGCGGGCAGAACGTTGAAGATATAATTGGTCGTCTTCTTCTCGTCGGGAACATCGAGGGAGCGGTCGATCTTGAGAAGGTCAATTGGGCGCTCTGGGGTGGAAAAGCGGGACAGAGCTAGTATCGATTGGGGCACGGAGGCGAGATGAGTGTGAAGCGGGTGCGCGATCCTGTCCATTAGAAAGAGCAGGCGCGACACGTCGAACTCGGTTTCTGGGTGTCGGAAATGTTCGAAACTGAGGAGATAGTTCTTGAGCTTCTGCATGTCGTCTCGGTAGTCGGCTGAATTGCAGGTCTCAGTCTACGAACTGACTTTTTCCAACTCCCTTCGAGGTGACATCGTCCATGCGACTGTGAGAGATTTCACTCACTGTAAAAGGTAACCTCATGATCCAAAATTCCCTCCTCTCCAGTAGCGTCCTCCATCGCCGAAAAGAACCGGATCTCTTCCCGAGAGTGGTCCTCGCCGACGCACGTGTACCAGGCCAGGCAGTAGCCAATGAAGTCTTTATGGTCGGAAGGGGTGAGGTTTGGAGCTTGTTGATAGATGCTATTGAAGCCGCGAATGAAGGCATTGTGAGAGAGCGTGATGCGAGAGGCGTAGATCGTAAAAGGATCGTTCTGAGAAGCTATAAACAGGGGTCTCTTTCGAAAGCAAAACTAAGTGGTTTATGGCTGGTGTTGGAGATGACTACCTTTCCTGTTGCGTAGGCCGGGGTTGTGATGAGAGGCAGTAGCTTGTCTTTGTTTGAAGAGATCTCTGGTGCCATACTGCCGCGACTTCGGGATGAAATGCAACAGCAACAGTCGAGGAGCTTTATCCACCGCAGAGTCTAAGACTATCAGAAAAAGGAAGTGAACGCTGTGCTAGGTAACAGGACCGCTGAAAAAATGGAGAAAAAACCAGACCTTTAGACTCTCTGTAGACTGGGTCGCATGTAGTCTTCGCTCCAGGACTGAGCCGTCATGGATCGTTCTCCGCTCGTTGTGTCTATATATCCATAATCTTATGATCAACAGGTAGCCTGGAGGTCTCTCTGGCCGCTTCAGCAATGGGTCGCTTAATTTTGCCCGTTTGGGCGATGGTGCAGCAAGGTGCCAAGAAAGCTTCGCATCACAGCCGTTGGTGCCGTGACAAGACTGCTCTTTCTTATGTCTCGTCGGATTGAAGACGATTAAGAGGCGCTTTTCGTAGATACGCTCCTACCCAGCGATGGGTACTGGACCACTTGAGCACTCTCTATGGTGAAGGACAAAGGGGTTGACAACAGCCAATTCTAGGATGTAGTCAAGACACTTTCACTTGACGCGATTGTGGAATGATCGTCATTCGTTGCGATTCAAGTCATATTGAGAGGTGTTGGAAAAGTTGTGAACTGTTCCAGCAATCACCTTAAGACAAGCCTCAATGCAGGGAACCAAGACGCCGAACCGAACCACTTTGAAGAGTGGGCGAAATTTTTGCCAAGGACTGGTTTAGCATTGGATGCAAAGGTAGGGTGGCTCGTGAAGGAAAGAAGAGACCGCGCGGTATTTGACTTCACGATACTCGGCAGTTCTGGTTGCGCAATGATGTTCGACCACAAGTGTTCACAACATGATCATGATAAGCGCAAATTTTTGGTCCAATCCAAATGCAACAGGAAGTATCGGTAGGTAAGCTGTCAGTGTAGTCACCAGTCGCCAGGCCAATTCGGTGCATCGTATGGGGGAAGATTGGTCGAGAACCCCACAAACGCGCTGAGAGTCGACTTCCCCACGCTGATTGCTCTAATCTGTAGAGTTGAATCCCCCAGAGTTGTCCGCTTTTTCAAGCGTTTTGCCTGTCCATTTGAATGGAGAACCCTCAGGCAGTGACAATTTGATCACGTCGAGCTTCCAGTCGACTTTTGCATGGTTTTCGTTGCTGGTGCAGCCGTGGGCCGTGAACTTTTCTCAAAGAGAGTCGATAGTCTCGGATTGGGAACAAGGCGCGTATGAGAAGTGCTGTGAGCATCAGCGATGAACTACGTTGATCTACCGCCGGAAGTTGCATCCAAGGTAACAATGTTCTCTCTCATCTCCAAGGTTTTCTACTCCACATGCCTGAAGCAGTGAAGACAGCGGTATGAATCTGCAAAGATCTCATACCGAAGTAGGTAACGGGTGATTGAAGCGACGTTGCCGATGGTAATGTGATGAGTAAGTGATTATCTCGAAATAGGAACAGCGAGTCGACGTGCGTCTCGATCACTTGTGGATCTTGCCGAAGGATACATCTGATGTTGCATTTGTTTCAACCGGGGGGGGTCCCCATTATGCAGGGTAGAACAAGGACAAAATAGATAATGCAGTCAAGACATGTCTAAGCCGTATGTAGTCGAGGCAAAAAGTTTGACATCTCGGCGGCATCTCCGCATCGGAACGGAGAAGTGGAATAATGAATAATAATGAATAAGAATTATGCCTCGGTGTTCAAGGCAGTAGTGCTCCGACAGCGATTAGCAATAAGCGCTACAGGAGTAATCAGACAGGAAAAAGATCAGTAATCGATTAACAGGAACATTAAGCAGCATAGCAGCAGTAGCAAATGCCAACAGTACGTTAATACTTTAGCAACATGGCGGCTGGAGTGAGCGATAACACCTGCTTTACTTTACTTTACTTTACCTTAGCTGGCTAGAGCCTAGGGGTGGGGATTGTTATCTGAAAATGAGATGCCACTTTTTCTGCCAAGGTCCTCACTCCTCCCATCACTCCTGCCGACAATCAGGATTTGGTAGGAAGAGGGAAAAGGGAAGGAAGAGGGAAGGAACGCTTCCATTGAGACGGCAGCTGAATGAGCACAACCTCATGATGCCAGGCTGGTCTTGAACATGATGATGATTGTGATTGTGATTTACTATTACTATGATGATGATGATGATGATGATGATGATGATGATTATTATTATTGTGATAAGATACTGCGGAAGAGTCATATGATCGTGGGATGAGAAGTCTCTGCATACAGACATGGAGTAAAGATAGATACCTAGATGCACAGTCGTCATGACGCACAAGTTGAGTGACTTTTAGATCATTGGTTCGGGTGCAAGGCAAGTTGTGAAGACCACGAGGGATATACTAAATTAAAGTAATAATGGAGGAAGGCAAAAGCGAGAAAGTGAGAAAGCGAGCAGCAGACCGGCAGACGCAGGCGGATGATGCACTCCCGGTACTCTACACATGCAGGTGGCAAATGAAAATCCCTGTCGGCAAAATACAAGGCCGAGACCGGAGCTAAAGGTAATCGTACTTTACTCTGGCCCGAGGGGGGGCCCTTCCGACAACCTGCATAGTACAGTAAGTCGACTACCAGGCTTTTAGAGGCTTTATTATTTTTATTGCATGCCAAAGCGGCGAAGAAATCTCCATGTATGTAACTTCGTAAAGCCCATCTTTTTTGCCGCAGTACGATAGTAAGGTAAGGTAGTCATAGTGGTGGGAGTGTCTGCTAGCTGTAACTAGCGTTTTCTTTTTTCTTTTTTCCTTTTCCCTTTCCTTTTCGCTTTCAATACCCCCCATAACCCCCATAACCCCCAAAGCAAACCTTGGCTGCCCTCATCACACCGCCATCAACCCGATTTTCAGCCTCGAAACTTTCAAGCCATCTCAGCCAATCTACTCCATTAAAGCCCCACTGCCCTGCAGATAGCACTGCCTCAGAGGGGGATTTGAACAACAGGGATTCTTGCAAGTCCAAACAGCAAATACCGGTAGTATCAATGACATACAACATGGATTCCGCATCTCAGCTACGGCGGTTTGCCCAGAAACAATCTGACTGATACGACTGGCCTGCCTCTGCTCTGATTTGATGACTGCTGACTGATGAATCTCGCTCTCTTCACCGCACTAAAGAAAAACAAAAAAACCCAAAAAAAAGGCGAACTATACCATTTCGTATCGCCAAGGCTAAGTGGTGGGAGTGGAAAGTACTTGTCTCCGATCCGAAAGGGAGAAAAAAAAAAGGTACAAACGCTTCCAAGGTTACGATGCGTCGTCCCTTAACTGCGGGCGGAACGGCGTATCTGCTTTCCTTAATAATGCTCTGCAGCCTGCTGACTGAATAATAATCCGCTCGTCCCATTCCTTATATCTTCCATCGCTCCACCAGTTTCTCAATGACATTATGCCCCGGCGCACTTCCCCAACCTACACCCTTGTTGACGTGTTCGCTTAATCCATGCTGCATTAGCCTTGTCCATTTACGGCCTTTCTGCTATTGGCTATTGATGAAATCGCATTTGGCAAACAATTCCCTTCAGTGCTACTTCATTCATTTCATACCAAGCTCTCTTCATTCCACCATCCCAGTATAGGTCCGATCAGACAGCCTATATCAATCACCATTCTCCATGTTAGACGGCCTGATACATGATAATCATGCAACATAGGGATACTCACTCCTCACCCGAGGACGAAGAAACTAGCACACGCAAAAGAGTATGCAAGGCGTGTGATCGATGCAGGCTTAAGAAGTCAAAAGTCAGTATCCGCGGATGCGTGTTCCATCTCCAAGCTCATCCTTGTTCTACAGTGTGACGGGGCGAGTCCTTGCAATCGATGCCAATCCGATAATGCTATATGTGTGTTCGGAGAGCGGAAGAAATCACACGACAAGGTCTATCCAAAAGGGTGAGAGGTTCTGATGTTCTTCTGACCGGTCACGCTGACCTTCCGCGTAAGCTATGTGGAGATGCTCGAACAGCAGCAAGATAAATTAGTCAACGCGCTCCAAGAATTATACGACCGTAACCTAAACCGAAGAGCCTGGCCCGGACCTCCGTTACAGAAAACGGCCAAGGGGATCCCACTCACCCATGATATCCTCGATCGACTGGGACTGCTCAAACTGGACGATCAGGGCATTTACGAGACGTTTGAAGAGGATACAGATGTCCTGCGGCAGAAGATGACGATTAAGGAGGAAGAGCACGCATATCCAACCCCAACTACCACCAAATCCGAGTTCAGTCCCGCCACACCCAACTTCGAACCGTTTGTTTCAAGACCTTTCGCGGGCGAAAAGGCGCATCCAGCAAGGCGATTCCAACCGACTCCTCCAATGCACAGCCCGGAGGAGGATAGGTGTATGACGTTTCCCGAATCATCTTTGAATCTGGGCCCCAGCATGAATTTGGACCCAGGATCGCTACAATCACCAAGTCAGACGTGGATGCAATCCGCGTCACGCTACGTACCCGACATGGATTACAACTACGACGTCGCGTTATCATACAACGGGATGGGCTTGATGCAGCAGAAAGCCAACCCGTGTTTACCAATGTCTGCCTGGAACGACGACGACATTGGCCCTCTGGGACTGGATCCTATTTTATCATGACAACTGCTTTTTTCTTGGGATTTTTTCCTTCTTTTCTCTTTCTCCACATTGGGAAGGCATGTGTGCTGGTTGCATTTATGATTGGAACGGAGGATTGATCCAGAAGGAGGCGGAAGGCTTGAGAGTGGGCGTCGACGGATCGATGAGTACATACGCCATTTATCACCACATAACCACCGAATTTGTCTTTTGAAACCGTCTCCGTGAATCTGGTCTTACTTTCTTTCTTTCCTTTCGTTCTTCTCTCGTTCTTTTCCATGTGATGAACTCGGAGCTGAAGTTGGGAATTTGTTATCCTGTTTCCACACTGGACAGGAGGCTTGCGTCTAGCTTTGAAGCTTGCCCAAGTCGAAAGGCCCGACTGTCTCTTGATGCAGAAACCTGTTGAATGTGTTCCGATGTTTTGGGCTTGATGCAGTGTGTAGGAGCGAATGATTTTGTGTTGACGTGCAGAGTGCATAACCTTTTGATGTATATACTCTCGTGTCTTTTTTTTTTTTGGACCGGTGATCGATCGACAGAAAGCTTAAAAATAAGTCTCAACGGGTGGAGTAAAGTACTCTCTAGCTCTAGCAACATCTCAGTTACATTACAGTTAACTTACCTAAGAAACCGTTGGCAAGCGTGCCCCGCCTCTCCGACTCAGCGTAAAAGTAAGGCAAACCCCGCACTTGAATAATTAAAGTACTTTAATATATGTCTTGATAAATGCCATTTGATGACGCCACCACCAACGCCTGCAAGCAATCCGATCCGCGTACAGTACAATACATGTAAGTTATGAATTCTACAATTCTACAACTCTACAATTAATTCTAGAAATCAAGACTGCTTTGCACCTTTTGCCTTGTCACACTTCTCACATATCCAATCATCACAGTAAACAAGCAATTCCTCCTACATTGATTCATCACTCACCGGACTCGCCCTGCAAAGACCACTCACCTTACTGCACACCTAAAACCACATCACCAATTTACCCCACCTCTCGCCTCACCAACCCCGCCTGAACCACACCTTCCCCCCCCCCTCCCCCGCCCCCCACAAAATGTCCCCACAATCACCCGAATCAGCTTTCACCTTTCTCGCTCAAGGAGCCGCCATCCAAGAATTCAATGTCGACGGTCAAAACATAGTCTTGGCATTTCCCGAAGCCAAATTCTACAAGTCACACAATGCCCCTTACTTTGGCGAAACCATTGGCCGCACCACCAATCGCGTCAAAGACGCTCAAATACACAATCTCAATGGCAAAACCTATTCGCTGCATGCCAACGATGGTCCCAATTGCTTGCATGGCGGTGCGGAAGGATGGGGCAAGAAAGACTTCGACGGTCCCGTACCAATCAATCGATCGGGGAAAGAGGGGGTGCAGTTCACATATCTGAGTAAAGATGGAGAAGAAGGATACCCCGGCACCGTGCAATGCAAGGTCTGGTACACAGCTGGCAAGGAAGATGGCAAGACGGTTCTCGACGTCGAATACCAAGTCAAATTTGTCGGCGACGAGTGCGAGGAGACTGTAGTAGGGGTCACGAACCACAGGTAAGAGATCTATCATATCCCACCCTCCCTACACACAACCAACTCCATACCTAACTACCATCGTCACTCAGCTACTTCAACCTCAACCCCACCTCCCCCACCATCGACGGGCACGCCATCACCCTCTCAACAGACCAATACTTATCCCTCGACTCCAACTCCATCCCCACCGGAGACATCACCGCTCACGCCTCCGCCCCGAAACCAAACACCACCTTCTTCCTCGGGCCCTCCTCCCCCTCATTCGACGACTGCTTCGTCCTGGACCCGCCCAACATAATCCCACTCGACACGCGCAACCTGCCGCTGCGGACTCTGGTCCGCATGTCCCACCCGGCCACGAAGTTGAACCTCGAGATCTTGAGCACGGAGCCGGCGTTTCAATTTTACACGGGAGAGCACATTGAGGTGCCGGAACTGGAGAGTAGCAGCGGGGCGAAGATTCCGGCCAAGGGACCCAGGGCTGGCATCGCGGTGGAGCCATCACGGTACGTGGATGCGCCGAGGAGCGAGTGGAGGGGACAGTGTCTGCTCAAGAAAGGAGAGGTTTGGGGCGCCAAGAGTCAGTATAGGGCTTGGAAGGAGTGAAGTGAGAGATGGTCTGGGGGGGGGGAGTTGAGCATGCATTCGTCAGGGCAGACGAGCTTGTGAGGTATATATGATGCATGAAGGGCATAGACCAATCGTACATAGCAAACAGAGCATATACAACCCTCATCCATCCAAAACACGCCCACAAACAATCCACACACCCCAGGCCCAACCCCGTCAAAGGCATCGATATCCCTCACCATCGTCAACTCCCCAAAAATCCCCCCCTCACCCATTCACACCCACCATCAACAACCCAAAAAAATACCAAAAGTCACACTCCGCTCAATCCCTCCCCCCCAGCCGTGGCCCGGTCAACCAACAACAAAACCCGCATCAATCATCATCAATCATCACCGTCACAGTCATACCCCAACCCCCCACCGTCGCCGCAGGCAGGCGGTCAGTCAGTCAGTCAGTCAGTCAGTCATCCGCCCCCCCATCCGACCCATGCCCATCTGACCAGTTGCGGCATTTTGTCACTCCGCGTATCCATCCACTCCATCCACACTCACACTCACACTCACACTCACACTCACCCTCACACTCCCCGATGCAAAATCACTCAAACCCTCACTCAACCCCTCATCCTCACCCTCACCCTCAAACCCCCTCACCCTCACCCCCCGACGTCCAAAGTCAAACCAAACCTTCAAGCCCAGAAGACACCAGAAGACACCAGCGCCCACCCCACCAGCGAGGCATAAAGGATGAATCCCAAAAAAATCCACGCCGGTTAGTATCTTAATATCCGAACCCTCGCGGCGGAGGCGCTCAGCGATCCGCCACCGTCACACCATCCAACCCTGAATATTGTCTTGATCGACACCACACACACACACACACACACACACACGCACAACTCACGCGGAACAGGTTGCGCCGATTCCTGCGGGATTTCCGCCAGGGTGCGCTAAGATTCCTCGGAAATCTCGGGGGGCGTTGGCCGGATCGTGGTAGGTTTTCCGAGAGAGAGGGAGAGGGACGATCGGTGGTTCGGTGCTTGGGGCGCCGAAAGATTTCGGTGGTTATCCTATCATTGACGAGTAACTCTATTAACGGATGCTGTCTTGCACAAGTACTGTATAGCGACCCTGTTCTTACAAATGCCAATCAATATTGCATAATGGGCTGGCCTGCTGGGCCTCAGGCTCTAGCTAGGCTTGAACAGGAGACCAGATGCGACGCTGACCCGTTTCCGATGGCTACACGTGCATCCGAGTTGATGCTGATATTGGTATATATATACATGTATATCCACCAGTAGATAGATCCATCAGGCTCAAAGCCTTCTCATCCTTCCTCAAGCTCGGTGCAGCCGTCACAACAAAGAATCGCTAGAGGGGAACCCTGGCCTTTGAACCTGCCCTCGAGCTGCCGCATCCAAAGGCACCCTCTCCTCTGCAGCACCTCCAATTACCTCTTCGCAAGCGAGCTGAAGATTCATGCCGCACTTCGGTTGGAAGAGTGCACCATTGTAGGATCATGCTTCCCTTAGCTAGCTGGCCCTTCCGTCTGTAGAGTGCATAGTCACGAAACGACGGCGCAGACCGACATACCGTAGGACCACCGTATGCATGGCTTTGGTTCGAAACCTGTCGAATCTTCTAGACGGTGCGCTCCCTTGGTGGCGAGGAGGCCGGGAACCCTCACTGGAGGCTATCATAGTGGGCTGTAGACGTAGAAGCTGCCTCCCATGGTAAACTAGTGGGCCGTTGATAACGATGGTGCATCATGCAATCGTTCTGGCGTTCTTGCTAGCCTGAAAACTCTCGCAGGCGGTGAGTAGGGTCGGGGTTCTCCGTTCCTCGCGGCACAAGACGTACGAGCTGGGTCTCGAAGCTTCTCGAGAGGGAAGATCATGTCCTGATCGTGTCCGTACTCTTCGTCAGCAGCAAGGCATGTGAGGGATTTGGTCTGGTCTAGGGGCTCTAAGCCATGCATACGGTGCTGTCCATGGATGCAAAAGCCGCATATATGCGAGCAAGGCTGGTCACTGGCAGCCAAAAGCCTTATGTCGAGTCGTTAGATACGACGTTCGAGACTAGATGCAAGCTGCACAGGCCTCCTGGGGCCTCCTCATAGGCTCAAGGACATGAAGGTGGCCCCAACTCAAAGTCTTCTTGTGGCTAGTCGAAGTTGCGTTTTGCACTATGCCCGCATGAGCTCATCTCCGTGCCCGGGCTTTGCATCCAGAAGTCAATAGCGGTCTGCACTTGGCCTATGGTGTCGCCACTGCCGTTGACACGAGAAAGTATGATTATTCTATCACTCTTTCATGGACGATGTGTGTTCAGCTGATGTGGGGGGTTGATGCTAAGATGTCTTCCTTTGTGGTAGTGCATAGGAACGAATCCGCTGAGAGCCGTGATCAAGGTGTCTTCGGTGTCGATCGTAGAGACAACTAGCCATAGCAATTGGCATGGGCCTTGCCACGTCGATGGTGATGAGGTAGGCGATCCTGTAGCTGCGAGGTAAGCTTGCATCGGGACGGGTGGTCGAGCTTGACTGTCTTGTCTGTTGGACTGACTCCACTCTCGAAGGATTCAAACTGCCGTCTCGCTATAGCCAATCACTCAACAGAGATAACAAATTTTCCCACTCTCCATCCTCGTAGAGCTGTCGCAGGGTGCAATGAGGTCGTCACGAAGCTTGAACGACCAAAATACTTCCATGACACCCTGCCAACCCTCCCTAGTAGTCTCCCCACATGTGCGGCTAGTCTTCCTTTACCTCGATCTTTGAGATAGCTATGGAAAGAAGAATATCATACGCAGCTGACTGGGCAGTCGACAGGAGACCAAATCCGATGTCGGGGTTCACTGCTCCAGGCCAATACTCCAGCGGATCAGACGGCGAGCGCAGTATCCTTTCTAGCAACCGTAGCTACAGCACCCGTACATGATGGCGTAAGTCTATGTTATCTGGTGCGAAGCTGTGAGCAGCTGCTCCTCGAAGACTGGTACACATTAGCAGCTCCCGTGCGTATGTACCTCAAACGATGCGTGGATGTTGACTAACTCAGACAGATGGCAGTTGGATTCGAAATTTTGACTGATGATCAGCTGTGGACACTGATAGCACGCCTAGCAAGGCAAAAGGAGAAAGAAGGATGAGAAACATATCATATTCAACTCTGGAGACATATGTCGAGGCAAGCAGAGTCACGTTCAATGCATTTACCCCCTATAGAGATCGGCGATTTACTTATCCCGTACAGTCCTCAAGAGCAGAACAGTGCAACGAGTGTTCGCTCCAGCTTATCGCCAGCGCTAATAGGCCTTATTCTGAAGACCCTCTTCTGCACTGAGACTTTGAAAGACTTGGCCCTCATGAGCCGTCCTCATTGAACAATCTTCAGCGAGAAGTCAACATGCGGCACACCTTGGTGGATACTGCTGGTACTTATCACGTCCACATCGTTGCAAACAAAGTCTGCGACGTTAGCCTCTGTCAAGCCACCGCTGACTTCAACCAGGAACTCTCTCCTCCCTTTCCACCTCTCCTTAAGGCTCTTCGCGGCTACCTTAACTCCTTCGCCTGTGAAGTTGTCAAGCATAACCACATCAGCACCAGCTGCTACAGCCTCGTCGGCTTCTGCCTCAGTCTGACACTCCACCTCTACTTTGATAGCGAAGCCTCCAGCAGCTTGTGCAGCCTTGACGGCACGGGTGATGCTACCGGCAGCTATAACATGGTTGTCTTTGAGCATAGTCATAGCGCTGAGGTCAATGCGGTGAGGATCACAACCACCCGCGAGCATACCATACTTTTCGACCAGGCGAAACCCTGGGGTGGTTTTACGGGTGCCGGCCAGGATATTGGAATAGCCTGCGTTGCGGACGAGGGAGAGCATGCGGGCGGACCTGGTGGCTATACCTGAGCACCTCGCGAGGGTATTGAGGGCTACTCGCTCTCCAAGGAGGAGCTTCCGGACCGGACCGCGGACTGTTGCACAGTGGGTGATCGGATCGAAGAAATGGCCTTCAACTATGTGCCATTCTACACTGACATCGTTGGCTTAGTTTCTGGTACTCGAAGAGAACTTGATAAGAAACAAGAGCTGGGTGACATCAATGTTAGGAGGCCATACGTGCATTCCAGCTGCCTGAAGATCTCATCAAAGAAGGGCACCCCAGCTATCATGCCCGAACTCTTTCCCAACAGCTTTGCCTCAGCCATGGACTCCCCAACGACAAATCCGCCGTAATCGAAGCTGGGACAATCCTCTTCTAGCCATGCGGATACCATACGTTTATATGTCAGCGGCAGGAGGTGCGCTACGCTTCCATGGTTGGAGGCCATGGTCCATGGAGACAGTGGGTCCTTCGGCTGGATGTCTCAGGTGCGGAGGAGTGGAAGGCTTCTCGGCTTTTTAAGAGCTATAATGTTCTTTAGGTTCTCTTATTCAAGAGCTGTTTAGGAAAAGAAAAGCAAACCGAAAGCATTAATTGAGGGAAGGCGTCAACGAGGTCGTCCTTAACTCCGGCTATATTTCGGACTTAACCTCATCGAAGAATGTACTCATTAAGCAACCGTACATAATCGATCTATTTGCAATTTGAGGGAACTGTTCACTTTCTGGGACCCCAGGCCCTCATATAATCATAATTTTGTTCATGAATTCAAAGTATGTACGATCGTATTAGCCGATGCAACCCCTCAGTTCCCAATCCTCATGAACGAGTGTTGATGATAAGTAATCTTCCAGCTGTACGCCGTCGCTGTCATTCGCCTCATCAAGTTTCCCATAATTCAATTGGGAGTGCCAACCCCTAAGTCCTTCACAGCCCGTGCCTAAACCTCGACAACGCCTTTATCCTGGGCCTAGATTTCCAGAAATCGGACCTTCCGACTCTCGTTCGCCCTCACGCCAGTGCTCCCATGATTAGTGCCATTGCCTGAGGATCCAGGCCCTAGGTCTCTCCTCCTCCGCCTATCGCCTCTCTTTTGCCTCGCCTCCCTCGCTTCTCTATTCTTCCACTCTGCAACCTGCTTCTTTCGCCGTTCAGCTCGAGCATTCGCTATTGCCGGCGTAGGTAGGAAGCCAACGCCATTGATACCGTAGCCGTCATCGGTAGGGTCACTAGGGTCGTGACCCGTGATCTCTTCGTCATGCCACCAAAGCGTTGGAGACAGAGGAGGAGGCGACCTCGACTTTTTTGCGGATGAGGGAGGTGTAGGCGAGGATACAGGGCGTAATCGAGGGGTTTCTGGAATCTCGAGAGGCGTTACTGAAGGTTTGTCCTGTATTCCAGATGGCGCCCACGTTGTAAAACGGCCATTGGAACTTGGTGGTGGGGTTATCGGAGCATTGTATGTCTGGTTTGGAAGGATGATATTAGGATTGAAGCCGCCCGAATGAAGGCCAGTCTTTGAGTGGCTCATTTGAGATTCAACAGGTATACCAAAATCCAGTACTGAAATGGGACTATGTTCCTGCAGGTCCAGGTTTTGTAGGTGCCCAGCAACGGTTGCTCGAGGGCTGCCTTCGTTAGAGTAGCCGTGCTCGAGCAGAGGTCTCGTAGGTAGATTGGTGGTTCTAAGGCGTGAGGGAGCTGGAGCATCTCCAAGTAGGGAATCTTCGCCGCCTCGCTTCCGTTTTGGTGAAAGATATCTGGTCGGAGACACGTGGTTCTGCATTTTGTCTTGGGGATTTGGCGTGGCTGGGATAGAAATCTAGGAAATTTGAGGTCTTCGAAAGACTTTGGTCGGAGTACTCAAAGTCATATTTGCTTTCACTCTCCAAATCCTATCAGTATGTTTTGTATAGGCGGTGAGGAGGCCGGTGAGTTAAGTGGTCGTCTTACTTGTGGAGATGTGAAACAGCTCGGGGCAAGGTTTCAGGGTCCATGCATTCACATGTCCACTGGCATCAGCCCAAAACTCTTGTTTCCGTCTTACTTCTCACCCTCCTACCAACTTATTTCAAACAAATCCCAATCGTTATATGACTCTTATAGTGCTCAGTATCTATGTACTTGATTCAAGTACCTGAGATAAGACAGCAATTCCACAACGGAGCCTACAACACTAATGTAACTTGTATGATTCGACTCCACCACCGGCTGTTTTTGGTAGGACTGCAAGTCTCATGAACAAACCTGTGACTTTTATCTGTAAAATATGGATGTTTGCATGAGTCGATTTCCAGATCTTCTGCTCGGATTGCTCAGTCTCAAACTGCATTGGGCTACTCCAAACTCTCTCTTTGCCAGACATCTAAGCAAAGCAGCGAGAAGACTTCGTCTAGCTTTCAATGATGAGTCCACACGACCCACACGTGGTCTGTGTATTACTTTGACCGTATTAGGTTCGATTCCTAGTGGCGCTGGTACAATGGTGTAACGGTTTTTTTTTCTTTCCCCCCCCCCAAAACTCACCGGCAGGATACGCCCTGAAGAGATTTGGTCTGCTCCTGACGACAGTCGACGATCGATCAGATATTACGCAAGAGACACCCAAAATCCTGTATTCAGGACTCCTGGATGTACCTGCCGAAATCCGCCCGCACGTATTTCGATATGTCTTCAGCAACGAGACTCACAGAGTGGGTCCGCACGACCAATGACCACTTCTTTTTTCTGACCAGGCGAGACACCTTGATCGAATCTGTAATGCTCACCCGAATGCTCGTATATTGGACCGGAATGTGAGATGATACATGCCATCCCATCTGCTCCCGGCCCAGCTGACTTCTGATAGCCAGTCCTTCGCAGTCATGGCAATCCGCCCTCAGAGTACTGCGGAGTCGAGCGACCCATGTCTGCTCTGACCGTGTTGTTCAATACTACAGAACCAGAGGCATCGATATTCGCTACAGGAGAGTGCAAATGCTTCGTCCAATCGTAGCGGAGATGGAATTGTTAGCTAAACTGCCTCATTACAAACGCGCGTAAATCATTGTCGCATCCTGACCAAAAATGCCAGAACGTAAAGACGCGTATTTGCAAACACCAGCACACCTTGCTCTTCCCTGAAAACCCACGGGCCAATCTCATCCGAAGATGGCCAACCCAACACCAAACACCCACCCGACCTGTCAGCCGACGGGCTCGCCATACAAACAGTTCAACTCATGCGCTGAGACGACCCGTGGGTCGGAAGCGAACAATATTTGGATCCTGTGGGCGGAAGATTGAGACGTAAGCAGAGAGGAAGCAACATGGGGAAGTGACCAGAGACATACACCAGACTCGGGGACCAGGGGGAGAGATCTCAGGGCACATAGTACGCTGGTACACACTCCAACAATGTTTACTCACTCAGAGAATCAAGATGCACCCTGAGATAGATCGAGTAGCTTAATGTTTTGATTGATGGATACAACTGTATATGGAGAAGGACTTTGATCCGTCTGATCTACACTTTGAGCTTTGCTTAAGCTAGCAGCCGAGCTTTGTCTGGGGCATGCAATGTTTCTTTGATTCCGGTCAACAGTCTTTTTTAGCGAACCCCTTGGTGTAATTTAGGTTGTATCCACTGTATCGACAAGAATAGGATCTCAGAAAGCAAAGGGAAAGGAAATCAACCACCTCCTGCCAATACTCCTCAGACTGCATGAAGTAAACAGCATGCACGTCTGATCCCCCTGTGTGACGCGCTCCTCCTATTCGTCCATCTCGGCCTCCGTAGCTCTCGTGCCCAGATGCCAGCGGCTACCACCCTTATCGTCGCGCTCGTGCTCGATGGCGACCTTGCTGAGATGACCGATGATGTTCTCCATCTGGGTATCGCTGCGGCTACGGCTCTTGCGGCCGAGGTTATCGAGCCATTCGATCTGGTTCATCAGATAGTAGATGATGGCGATGACAATCTGGAAAAGCACAAAATGTCAGCAAGATGGTAGACTATGAACAACTGGTTGAAACTTACGGTAACACCGATAGAGTAAGCCCAGATGACAACGGCAGTCACAACGCTCGTGCGACCATTCGGGTTGAGATTGGCGCGGTCGCGAGGATCTGTGGCATAGCCGTCGCCGGAGAGCCATCCAAAGACACAGAACAAAGTTGACAGAACATCGACACCGAAGATGGCGGCAACAAGTTGCCAAGATGGCCAGGTTTGACCGCCACGGGTAACGAAGATGAGCCAATTTTCGGTCAAGGAGACTTCTAGGAAGAGGACCTCTTGAACGTTGGCGAAGTTCTCGATGATACCTCCGTTGGGGAGGAACATAGAGCCACGAATAACCCAAGTACCGAGTGCAAGCAGAGCTCCCATAGTGACACTGATAACCCAGATCTTTGGCAACTGCCATTCCACAGGGCGAGCTTCGAAATGAGCATTGTCGTAGGCCACAGCGATGGTTGCCAAATCGGCGAACAGAGCAAGAAAGACAATAAGTGAGACACCAATAGTCTCGTTAATGATGACCATTGAGGTGACCAAGTAGATCTCCAAATGGAAGCAGAGGGCGATACGGTATTGGATATAAGCTTTCATACGCTGGAAGATCTGTCGTGCAATCTTGATGGCGCTGACGATAGTGCTAAGACCGGGTGCAAGGAAGACGATATCGGCGGCGGCCTGGGCGGCTTCGGAAGCTCCCTCTACAGCAATACCACAATCAGACTTCTTGAGAGAAGGCGCGTCATTAACACCGTCACCTGTCATGGCAGTAAGATGTCCTCGCTGTTGGATCATTTCCACGACCTGGTACTTGTGCTCGGGGAAGACTTCGGCAAAACCATCGGCTCTCTCTACGAGGTCGTGTTGAGTTGTGCCGCTAAGTCCACCGTGGATCAGTCTGTCGGAGTTGTAGACTTTGGTACCTAGAGCCAACATCTTGCAGGTTTCCTTGGCGATAGCAATAGCATCACCTGTAAGCATTTTGACCTGAAGACCAAGGAATTGAGCCTCAGCGATGGTCTGAGCGGTATCTTCACGAGGAGGATCGAACATGGACAACATTCCGAGTAGCTCCCATGGCTCGTTGTCCTTCTTGACAGCAACACCTAGAGATCGGAAACCTCTACGAGCGAATTCCGCAGCCTTATTCTTGAACAGATCCGACGTCTCTTGAGTGCACTCTGAAAGGTTGAGAATAGCCTTTGGTGCACCCTTTGCTGCAACGTAACTGTGACCATCGCATGTACATTCGCAAGTGATACGCTTTGAGACAGGGTCAAAGGGAGTGTATTTCTGGGTCTTCCAGCCTTGCTCCAAAATTTCTCGTGCTTTGGGATAACGCTTGAGCGTAAGGATAGTAACCTTGTCGATAGGATCCAGTGACTTGATGTTGTGAGAGGAGGCCAGGACTGCGACTGCCATCATCCAATTGACATCGACATCTTCTGCGACGTAAGGTTCACGGATGGACAGTTGGTTGGCTGTAAGGGTCCCGGTTTTGTCAGAGCAGAGGACATCGACACCCTAAAGTTTGGGGTCAGTATACTCGGATACGAGCACGCTCAAGGTGAACATACTGCCAACGATTCAATAGCGGTCAACTTCTGAACAATTGCCTTATCCTTAGCCAAGTACGCAGCACCAACAGCCAAAGTTGTAGTTGTCACAACAGGTAGACCGACAGGGACACCAACGACCAGTAGAATCAAAAGATAGTGGAGCAGGTTGTTGGAACTGTTTTCAGGTGTAGCAATCCTGAGATGATGGAAGAAAGCACCAATCCAGGCGATCAAGATCCAGGCCACGACGATTACGAGGAGCGCAGTACCAATGGAGTTCATGATAGCCTTGAAATGGCCCTGATCTTTGGCACCCTGAACCAGTGAAGCAGTTCGGCCGACGAAAGAGGTCCTGGCAGGTGCAGTCACCACAGCGAAGGCCTTTCCACGCTTGCAACCAGTGGTGTAGTATGCGGTATCACCCATGAATTTGTCAACGGCCAAGGATTCCCCAGTGATAGCAGACTGATCGGCGGCAATCAAGGAATGACCATGATGTTTCTCCTCCTCTTCGTCATCCTCTGCCCCTTCCTTCTTCTCGGAAGGTTCATTGAGTTCTTGACGCATCAGCTCTTTGTATTCCTCGAAGGCCTCTGGGGCGTCGTAGTTGCAGATCAACCGGGCGTCAGCTGGGATGACCTGGCCTTCTTCGATGATGATCTGGTCAATTGTAAGATAATGCGCATGTATCATCAGACGCCAGAACATACGATATCTCCGGGAACAAGTTCACGAGCCTTGATGTCCTCTTCTTTACCATCACGAACGACTGTGGCTCTCATAGCAATGTCACCCTTGAGAGATGCAACGACATCGGCAGCCTGCTTTTCTTGATACCAACCGACAGTAGCGTTGAGGAGTAGAATGGCAATGATGACACCGAAATCGATCCATTCACGTAGACCTGCAGCGACGAGGACAGCGATTTCCATGACTGTGTTTCACTTTAGCCATGATCGCCATCAAGATTGCAACAGGGAGTTACCATAAAGGATGGGACCCGTGAAGTATGACAGGAACTGGGTTTGTTAGTTGGTGATATCATTTTATTATTGCTCATGTTTTCGCGTCGTACCTTGAGGAACAAGTTTTCTTTCTCAGTCGTCTTTCAAAGGTCAGTCAGCATCAACCGCGTCGCAGAGCGCACTGATCAAGTACTGACCAACTCGTTGAATCCGGTCTTCTTGCGACGGTTCTCAACCTCAGTGTTCGAGATACCCTGCTTGATATCGGCCTCGAGCCACTGCGATTCGCGTTAGCAAAGGGTGATGTTGATGGCCTATCGACCTCTAACTCACATCGTCAGGGATCTCTAAGGAGCCATCTCCTTTCTCGGCTTTGGGACCGCGAGACCAAAACTTCCACCAAGGCTTCTTCGCATCGCCGCCTTCCATCGACACGACCGACTTTCTTCGGGGACCTTCATAGTAAGAAGAGATGTAAGCGACTAGATTAGCATATTCCTCGCCGTTTTCCAGGTCTGGTTTGGCGTAGATGGAACCCTTGTGTTCAGCGCCGGATTGTTTGCGACCACCTTCACCTTCGTTGTCGAATTTTGGCTCATCGAAACGGAGGTGGTTTTCCGTCGAATTATCCGTACCGTTCTCATCGGGAGGAGCCATTGCAGCGTCTAGGATTGTTAGATACTGCAATAACAAGATGTTTGGTGGTGATAGCACCGAGGTGGTGTTGAGGAGGAGGGAAAAGAAGAAGAAGAAGGAGAAAAAGCAAAGAAGGCAAAGGGAGTGGAGAGGTGATGTAGGAAGATCGAGGCGAGATGGGCAAGAGCTCTTATAGTTTACTGTCTCACAATCAGCTAGCTTGAGCAACGACGCTTCCTAATTCGCCAATTCACCCCCTCCCAGTTGAGTTTTTTAAAACCGTTAAATTGGCGCGAAAAATCATCCAACGAAATAATCCCTCACTTCTGGCTGCATTCTCTACCCTATTCTCAAGCACAACAATGGTCGGGATTGGGCGGGAATTCGGTCTCACAGGGATATAGATTACGGCTAATGTTTCTAACTCAACCTCAGATACAGCCCAATCTTACACACGCTTTTGAACCTCCACAGCTGTTGGTGGGAGGGTGGTTGGCAAAAGTTTCATCTTTTTTTCCGTTGGCAACAGACAATTGTAGATGGAACTTCTCATGCATGGCCGGAGAGTCAGGCTTACGGCGAAGAGAGGGAATGAATGAATGACTGATTTATCGCCGTGGATAAAGTAGATGATTACTGTGTTACCGGATGCATGGGCTCGCTCGCTCGCTCGCTTGCTTGCTTGCTTATTTGTTTGTTTGTTTGTAATGTAAAATATTAATATCGTCACCGGCTGCGCGGGGTAACAATGCGCTCGAGAAGGCCCGCGAGACCAGACCACCATAAGATACGTCCTCCAATCTGATCACTGATTCGAGTGAACGTCATACCCATACACTTCAATGAATCAGTATGCAAATTCTCTACCTACCAGAAAGAGACAGCACACTTGCTTTTTCTTTTTTTTTCCCCCGAAGCTCCGCTTCTTGTTCCCCTTTAGATGAAATAATGCTGAGAATTCCCTCAATGGCCTCAATTGCTCTACAGCTGACCATCGCCACTCAAGAATTTGCCTCAATAATAATTCGTAGTTGGAGCCCATTTGCAAAGTCGTCAGATGTCTGCCATCTGCCATCTGATAATTCTCATAGAATTGCACGCATGTGCAACAGACCCTCTTGCGTTGGAGAGAAAAACAAGCTTCGATCGGCTCCCACCTTAGCCTTGTTACGGTACGGGTAAAAACAGCACGGACAGGGATGTACGCCTCGTTCGCTGATAACTTGATAAGGCCCGCTGCTCAAAGGTGATTAAAAAGCGCCGAGCTCAGGCCGTGGAGTGATCATCCTAAGGTAGAGTACATGCAGCATTCCTGCTGCTTCAATAGGCAGTTGCAACCTGCCTGTGAGTGGTTCAACTGACGGGTCTGACAGTTCACGAGGTCACTGAGTGATTTATGGACCTTCTTTGCCCTCTACTACAGTACCCTTGATCCATAATCACCGTCTGTGGCGTCGGTGACTGTTGTGCAAAATCCGCTTTGAAAGCCGCATGCATTACTACTCAAGGTACATTGATTGATACGATTAATCCTAGAGGAAGCAAGCATATACGTCGCAGGCCTCGAAAAGCGCTCAAATAAATCCGGCAGCAAGTGCGACAATGCTCACCAGGACCCAGCTTGCCGACAGGGCCCCCGCACCACCTGCGAATGCTATGGGAGTCGATCCTGAGCCCATCCCCGTCGTTATGTTGCTCAATGTGCTAGCTCTTGCAGTATCATTTGCTGACGTCGAGTTGATGGCCGGACAGGATGTGAAGTTCTGGTTGCCCAAAAAGACCCCAACAGTCTGCGCATCGGTCATATGTAGCATGTGGAGAATGACTGTTGCTGTCGACACGCTCGTTGCGCAGAAATTGATGGTGAAGTTGAAAGCAGTAGCTGCGCCATTGCAGGTGGGGGTCGCAGTCGTACCATCGTAGTCCGCGTAAAAGCTGACGTTGTATGTGGGAATTGACAATGGTGCTAGGGTATGGATCTCTTCGTACGGACCAACCGCAGGCTTGTCATAGACCGTGATGGTTTCGACGACATGGGCGCCGCTCGCCTCGTACATTCTCGCAGTCCCAACCTTGTTGTCGGTGCCATTTAAAGAGACTGTCTCATCGGGATTGCCCGACCAAGTCAGGTTCTTATAAGATCCAATGATTGAGAGAACTTTTGAGTAGGTATATGGGACCGTGTACAGGACAGTGTCTGAGCCGGCAAAGTAGCCATCGATGCAGCCATCGGGAAGTCGGCCTGTTTGGTTGAAGATGGAGAATGGCGAGGAATCCTGTGCTGCTGTGCCCAGGACTGCAAGGGCAATAGAGAGAATTGACTGAGTCTTCATTGTGAGAGGAGCAAAGCGAGTAGGAGGGAGATGAGGTGCGTATCGAACGGAGCGAAAGAGCAGGAATCAGCTATCGAACGGACGCGAAAGATGTGATGGCGCACCTCCACCATAAAATAACCTCCATTGATCCGCACGGGCGTAGAGCGGCGCAGAGCGGAAGATTGGCAATTGCTAGCGTTCAGCCTCAGGCGTAAGGTATGTACCTTGCACGTGGCGCCTCCATGTTGAAGACTCACGGCAATAAACATGGAAATGGGCAGTGCGCTTCGAATTGCTAACTAGCAGCAAAGAACAAGCTTCCAGGGAAAACGCGCATTTTTCGATAGCTGGAAGGGTCTAGTCTTCTCTGGATTCTCGAAGCATTTCAACCGTAGGACAGCTGGGTAAAGAGTATGGGGGATTGGCATGAGCGCAAGCGCGCCTCTCAGACTCTCAAAGCTGACAGTGGTATAGTACTAGTACGTAGATGAAAGGCAACGAAAGTTTTTGAGACAAATCCACTCAGATGCCGCTCCTTTGGCTCTGTCTTCAGTGAGTGAGTGGGAGATCTCGCTTAGTGCCCGTTTTTTGATTCTTTGCGGGGTCGACGGTCGGCAGTGCTTTGTTGTTGGGGGTATTTAGTTCGTATTAGGTTCGATTCCTAATGGCGCTGGTACAATAATGGTGTTGCGGTGCTTTTTATTTTCTTGCTTGTCTTCAAGTAATAAGAAGTATCAATCCATTCGAGGCCAGCAAATTTGTTTTAGTCCAAGATTAGCTGCCACTTCCCCAAGATTCGGAAACGAGTACAAAGGCGAGGCCCCCCAAGTTGCTAAATGGCAGACGGTTCGTCACACGCATCAGGATGTGGAAAGCCTTGAATCTCGCTCTTAGTGGCGCTGCATTGTTCTCCAGACTCGCTCTGTCTCAGAGTCCATCGGCACTTCCAATCGTTGATCTCGGCTACGAGCTGCACCAAGCTTCGACTTTCAATGTTCGTCCATGTCCTCAACCCTACCGTCAGCATTGGCTAATGTATACAGTCTACGGGGGCCTTCTACAATTTTTCGAACATAAGGTATGCTCAGCCTCCCGTAGGCGACCTGCGATTCCGCGCCCCAGTCCCTCCTCATGGCAGAAATACCACAGTGGATAATGGCAGCGTGGGAAGGATATGTCCGCAGGCAAATCCTGCTTGGGAGCTGATCGCTGCCGTGTTTGACCCCGATTACCTAGAGGGAAAGCCTTTCAATCTATCAGCAACCGTGGCAGGCCTAGCGAATCAATCCGGCTCCCTTCCCTCTCTGGACCCTCGGACGACGGAAGACTGTCTCTTTCTAGATGTTGTCGTACCTCAAAACATCTTGAAATCGGCTTCGAACAGCATGAACCTCACGTCCGGCGCCCCAGTCCTGGTGTGGATTTACGGTGGGGGATACACTGCAGGGGATAAGAGCGCACACAGCCCCGCAGGCTTGATCCGGGCGAGCCAAGTCAATGATACTCAAGGAATAATATTCGTTGCTATGAATTATCGTCTGGGGGCTCTTGGATGGCTCGCAGGTCCCACTCTCCAAAGCGATGGGACAGCTAACGCTGGCTTGTACGACCAACGTCTTGCTCTTCAATGGGTCCAAGACAATATTCATATATTCGGCGGTGACCCAAACCGAGTCACCGTGATTGGCGAGTCTGCCGGAGGTGGATCTATCATGCACCAAATTACCGCTTTCGGCGGGCTTAAGGGTCCCGCACCATTCCAACGCGCTGTCCTGCAGAGCGCCGCCTTCCAAAATATCGTATCTAATCTTCAGCAGGAGACCACATTCGATGCTTTCCTCTCGTTGCTTAATGTTAGTACGATTGAGGAAGCTAGGCAACTTCCGTCAAGCGCCTTGATCAAGGCCAACATCATTCAGGTGGCGAACTCTTCGTACGGAGAAAATTCGTTTGGGCCTGTGGTAGATGGCTTGTTCGCCCCAGCGATCCCAGGGAAATTACTTCTTCAGGGCTCCTACGACCACAGCCTGACTCTCATGCTGGGGCACAACGCTGATGAGGGTCTTCTGTTTACGAATCCTGCGATAGGGAACGATACCACCTTCAATACTTATCTCTTGAGCGCTTTTCTTACCATCAACCCCAGCGTTGCGGATTATATTGAGAACGTGCTTTATCCACCCACCATGCCTGGCACCCTGGGAACTACTGGTTATTCCGACGAGACCGGTCGAGTCGATTTGATTATCTCGGAGTCTACTTTCACGTAAGTGAGCAGATCTGGTTTGGAGACGCTCAAGGCTAATTAATCAAGTTGCAATACTTTCTATCTTGACAAAGCCTTCGGCAATCAGACATACGCATATCAGTTTAGCGTGCCTCCCGCCCTTCATGGGCAAGATGTCGCGTATACATTCTTTAACGGTCCCAGCAGCTCTGTGGTCAGCGTGCCTATCGCTGTAGCGCTTCAAGAGTACATCACCAGCTTTGCTATCAATGGAGGCCAGCCAAGTGGACCCTCGCTTCCAATGTTCCCTATCTATAGCAATGCGAGTGACATTATCGATTTGAATGCCACAAGTATTACCGAGATCATGGATCCCATTGCTAACTCTCGTTGCGACTGGTGGCAGAAAGAGTTATACGTATGAGCATCTGTGCGGGTACGTCCATCAGAAGTACTGTTGTGGATGGCTGGATGTATGCAATAACTTGTGGACAAGCTGTATTCCGTGTATATATCGAATTGCCGGACCATACATAGAATTCCAAACTGTATCGAGACTGCTCATACTGCCGCCATTGCCCAAGTGCACTTCACTTCACTTCGCTGAGGTCGGTGTTTGCCAAGACACTAAAACTAGTGTACTTTGCTGCGAGTCGCACCTTCTCCAAACATCAGTACTATTTCGGAGCAGCAATGGATCCATTTTCCTTAGCTGTAGGGCTCTCGGGTTTGGTGGCATTGACAGCTCAGACATTGAAGTTGACCCAGCAATATCTTCATGGGGTGAAGCACGCCAGCGAGGCTGCCGATGCACTTGGAGCTGAACTTCAGCTTCTCCACGACACCCTCTGCCGTCTTGATGGATTTCTCCGTAGCGACGGTGCCCAGAGGCAGTCGTTCGATGAAGCCTCGGTGCTAGTATCCAGCACAGGTGCCTGCAGGACTAAGCTGGAAGTACTGCATAAGAAGTTAGATGGTGCTGCAAAGAGTCGCTTGAACCGAGCCTTGTGGCCTCTGAACGAAAAGGAACACCGCCAGTCAGTGCAAGAGTTAAGGGCGGTTGCCCAATGTATCCACTTTGCCATGACAATCGATGAGTGGTGAGGCTCTGGTGGTCTTCAGGACACCCAAGCTCGATTAATGTCTGACTATACAGTGCGCTACTTTCAAAAACATCCGAGGATGTCATTGAAGTCTTACGAAAGCACTTGGAGACTTTCCAAACCTTGACGGATATTAGCCATAGCACAGCATCGCTCGAGCTTTCGGTCAAAGGTAATCTGCCACAATTCGACGGTGGTTTTCCCCGAAGTGAAGACATCGTCTCGGGCCCGTGCATCTCTTCAACGCTTGTCTTTCGACTGTGGCTCGTTCATACTGCGGCTGTTTAAGTTCCTCATCATCCTGGACATGCTTAAAACTGACAAAGAAGCGACGCAGAGCAGAGCCAGATATTGCAGAATGATCGCAAATCCCAGGAACGCGAAAAGATCCTGAACTGGATTTCGAATTTTGAGAACGAGAGCAAACACAACGCCATTCGCATGCCACGGGTAGCAGAGACAGGTGAGTGGCTGACGAATACCGAAGAATTCACGACCTGGCGCAAGGGTGTGGAATTGCCAAGCGTATTATGGTGCCATGGTATCCAAGGTTCCGGAAAATCCGTCATGACGTTTGTTCAAGTCCGTTGTAATTATGTCTGCAGGAGCTGACGTAGCATAGCTCTCTAGTCATCGATCGATTAAGGGATGAATACGTTGGCCAGAAAGTTGCCATAGGCTTCGTATACTTCGACTATCAAGACCAGAGAAGCCAATCGCCTGAGAATGTGGTCGCAAGCCTTCTGAGACAAGTCGCTTCTCAAAAGCCCGTACTTCCCACATCGCTACTAGAGCTTTACACGAAGTTCGGGGAGCAAAACCGAAGGCCTCAAATACAAGATTTCGAGCTCACTCTGTTGCATGTATGTCAAAACTTCGATCAAGTTTTCATTGCCATTGACGCTCTCGACGAATGTGATGAGGGACAAAGTCGGAAACATTTCCTTCTTTTCCTGGCTACATTACAACAAACCCCGAGTATCCGGCTGTTCGTTACTAGTCGCCCTTATCCGGAAGAAATCCGAAAAGCCTTCGGCTCAGCCCCCCAAGTTACTGTTGAGGCCAGCGATGCAGATTTGAGGAAGTATTTGCGGAGGAAGATAGAGGACAGCGATAGCGCAGTTATTATTGACGAGGGTTTCAAACAACATCTCGTCGAGACAATCGCAAAAGGTGCACAAAAGATGTATGCCAACCAATTCCCCGAAGTAGCCGTATTCACTGCAACGTAACATCTCACTTTCGGTCTAGGTTCCTGCTACCCACCTTGCAGATTCAAACCATTGTCAATGAGCCCACTACTGGAGAGATGGAAGACGCACTTGAGGCCATGCCGCACGACCTGCATCAGGCTTTCTACCAGACACTCGCAAGAGTACAAAGGCAGCCAGACGGCCGAAAGCGACTGGGCATGAACATTTTACTGTGGGTATCTCACGCCCAGGGTTCGTTGACCGTGACAGAATTGAGTGAAGCAATGGCTGTCAAGCCTGGAAATACCTCCTTGAATCCAAGACGTCGGCCCTCACAAAATATAATGATAGAGTGTTGCTTGGGCTTAGTGACGGTTGATCGGGAGAGCTCCAGTGTCCGTCTGGTACATTATGCCTTGCAAGAGTTCTTTCGGGATCATCGAGAAGAGATTTTTCCCTCGGGAGAAGACGAAATTGCGGAAATATGCATCACATATCTTTGTTTCGACGACTTTGTCCGTGGTAGTTGTGAGTCCGAAGCTGCAATCGAGCGTCTAATACAAAATTCTCCCCTCCTCCGCTATTCTTCGAGCTACTGGGGTCATCATGTACGATTTTCACACTGCGACCGAATCTACGGACTGGCACTCAGATTGCTTCATTCTCAGCCCCGCCGAGCTCTCTCCATACAAATCCAACGTTATTCGCAGGGATATCGTGCGGAATATTGGGAACCAGACGAAGTGAACAGTCACAATGCTTTCCACTGGGCTTGTAGCCACGGGCTGCAAACCGCAATGTGCATTATACTAGACTCGGAAGACATTGATATTGATGCCGCAACCTACATGGGTACTACCGCACTGATCCGGGCTGCCTCTTCTGGCCACCTGGACCTAGTAAAATTACTTATGAGTCGAGGGGCAGACCCTACGAAGGCGAACTGGTACGGAACAGTGCTTCACTGTGCTGCCGAAGCAGGGCAGTGCGAAAGCATCAGCTTTCTATTGGATAGTGGCATGAACATCGACTTGAGAGATACTTTCGGACGCACTCCCTTGCATTGCGCGTCAAACCAAAGACATGTATTGGCCATGGAATTACTCCTGGACATGGGCGCAGACCCAAACGCACGGGACAAGGCAGGGAATATGTTGATTCACGATACTGCCCAAACAGGAGATGAACGACTAATGCGACGACTGTTGGGAGATGTACGGGTTGACATCTCAGCAACGACAGTTAGAGACGCAACGGTCCTCCACTGCGCTGCCCGCGGAGGTCATGCCAACATCGTTCGCATGCTCCTTGATGTGGGTGCTAGAATAGATGCGAGAGGTCATGGCGGCTGCACTGCGCTACACCTAGCGGCAGGATGGGGAAGAGAAGACGTCGTACGGTTGCTAGTGGAAGCAGGAGCAAATGTGAATGCTAAGACTGACGACAAGGCTACTGCCAGGTACTTCGCCGTCGCTGCCAATCATGAAGGTATTCAGCAGCTACTTCTGGAGCATGGGGCCGAGAAAGGAGTATTCCATTACCTAGACGGTAGTGCTCAGTCATTAGGAGACGCTGATGATTCCTGTCACCATGAAAATCTTTCTCTGGTAGATGTGGGGGGGTTAGTTGTAAGAAAGATGTGCCCCACCACCTCTTCTTAACTGTCTGCAGCCGCGGTAGGAATTTCCGCCTACGAGACTTCCATACTTCTCAGGCTCGTACATAGTAAGTCGGCACTCTGCCTGACTATCTTGGAGAAAACAGGTGAATGGGACTCTGCTGAACACAAGTAGGGCAAGCCTGCTGTCGCTTGGACGGATCAAAGACAGTCAGACGAAGGGGAGTCGCGATGGGCCAGCGTACTTGCATAGGAAGGAATGAAGAAAACGTCCTTGCAAGGTAAATAGTATGCAGAAAGGGGAAGAGACAAATCTGAGAGCACAAGTTATGGTTGACGCCCGCTTAAATATACAATTTGAAGAAGAGGTGAGGGTGGAAATGATCGAATCGTTTAGCAGAATTCAGTACGAAATAGCAGAAAATGGCAATGAGAAGTCCTCCGGAACCATCCCAATGGGTCATAAACCTTGCTTGTGGCCCATCATCGACTTTCTCGAACCTTTTAAACTGTCCCAAAACAAGGCCCATAGCGCATCATAGATCCAAAGCCTTGCCATATATATGCTTTCAGTGCTTTCCAACAATCTCTTTCGCCATTTCCTGCTCCCAATTCTGCCCATCCCTCGGCGTCACGTTGACGCTCCTCACGTTGTCCCTTGCAAGGCACCTGTAATTGATATTATAACCTTCTGGATAGCTCCTCGGTACGGTCAACGGCGAGATGCCACAACATTTACAGAACATGTGCTGTGCAGTTCCTGTTCCGAACTTGTAAACCTCTAGATTCTCTTCGCCTCGGAGCGATTTCAGCGCAGACTTCTCGACGACGAAGCCCAGGAAGCCTGGAACAGCAGGGTGAGGACTCGATCGACGATGCTTCCCTGGCATATTGCGAAGACGGGGTTTTTACCTTTCATGGAGCAGATGCTGCAATTGCACTCGCTGAGCTCGATGTCTGGCGAGTGGAGGACTTCGAGGTTCACTTTCTTGCAGTGACAGCTGCCTTTGTGCAGCACTTCTGTATTCATGATTGCGCACACGGTCAATTGCCACTTCACGTAATACAGCTATGTCTCCATTTGGTGGAATGTTCCAGGTGTGTTCTATCAATACTGAAGACATGGGGGTTTGATGTCTGCCGCCTAAAATGCGGGACTGGTTTTAGCGTTCGAACAAGCAGCGCTCTAATTACCTAGTTCGAGATTAACAGGAGTCTGGCGATCCCACTGGCTTCCCTCTACAGCATCAAGCAGAAATCCAGCAACGCTCTTCCTGCTAATAATAAACCACCCCACTCCTTTTCCCTCATTCCCAAATTCCTTCACCTCCTTCTTCTCCCCATTGTCCAATCCCGTCGCCCTTACATCAACCCATTTGAAGTCCACGTCTATTCCGGCCTCTGCTTCCAATAGCTTCTGCACCTCATAATGATCATCGAACGTAATCTTCAGATTCGAACGATCGACGATCGATTTAAAAAACCAGCCGCCATTCGCCCGGCTACTCCCAACTCCATTCGTTCCTAAGACAACCTTTCTCTTCACGCCGTGCTCTTTCATCACGGCCAGGGTGTTGCGTACGGATTCTGCCATGAGGTTTGAAGGCGATGTTCTTTTGGCCCAAGGGTTATCGCTCGTCCGACTGTATTCAATGTGGATATGATCGCTCTAATGGGATCCGATCTCGGAGCACTGGCAAAAGAGTTGGAAATGTCGGCCTGATTGAGTGGTGTGCCGGTAATGATTGAGACGCTTGGTTGAGAAGGAAGCGCGTCTGGGCGGCGGACGAGAGCTGTAACAGCGTGGTTTCGGGAAAGGGCTTCGGCGAGGGTGAGAGAACCGGTGCGGCCTGCGCATATTGGAAAGTAAGTAGGTACCCTTTTCAGCTTTCGACTGATGTCCTGGAAATGTCATTTAAGGATATCGAAGTCAATACTTGGCATTTCCTAGGTTAAGCCAGTCAATCAAGTGTAATTGCATGCATGCACTCGAAGAATTTTACTCTTAAAAACTTGAGAAATACCATGGCATGTATCAGCATCTCTTTGTCTTCGTCTTGCTCTAGTCTTGGCTCTGAGGAAATGTTGACCAATGCCAGCGGATGCGGGTACCGGACGGATCTCCGGCAGCTGGAAGGACCCGAGATGCCGGCTGCCGGCTTTGTAAGCAAATCTTGGCATGCATCTGCCGATATCCTTTCTTCCCTTTCTTCCTTGCGTTCTACCGGCCAAGAGTAGCAAAGCAAACCAAATGACTCACATCTATCCTCGAACCCCGAATCATGATTCTACTAAGATATATCATGACGCGTTTCTGAATACTCCGGTCTTGCTCATAATGCTACCACCATTCCACCAAGCAAGAGCCCTGCTAGCACTACCGCTCCACATGCTGTAACGACCCCAGACCCGCCAGTGAAAGGCGCTGGACTTCCCATGAAGGTGCCATTATGCATTGTGGTACTATTGTATATCATGGTACCGTTACCCGTTGGCGTCGCAGTCCTGCTGACACTCGCAGCGGTGGGCGAAGTGGTAGAATTGATGTGCTTGTATCTCCCAACCTGGGAGCACAGACTCAATGCAAATGCGTTGGTGACTGTCATTGCCACTGTCAGCAAAATTTTGCAGAATCAAATGATACCAAACGCAAAAAAGGAATCCGGTCACCATTTTGTTCGGCAGCAGTGCAATTCTCAATTTCGCACTTATTAAACACTGCAGCATATGTGTGGTTGGTTGCCGTGCAGGTACTTTGGTTGAAGGCTTGGAGCGTACAGTGTTGCTTGAAATTGTCAGCCATGGATTTGAAGGCTCCTGGTGAGGAGCCACATAGGAAAAGCTGGCTTACAGCGCAGTGAGATAGAATGGTGGAAACGTTCTGGTGCGCTTGGATCAGCGAGAGGGATACTCCGGCCAGGAATACGGAGATAAGTAGATGCAATATCATTATCTTGGATGGTCTGCAATGATGATGGTGGTGCGCTGATATTGGGTAGATTTCGGGGTAGGAGTGTCGGAACGGCTCCAGCAGCAAAAGTGGCGAGGGTTGTGAGTTCATGCGATGTCGAATGAGATAAATAACTCGTTTATGTTAAGCTTTTTCGTAACAATGCATGATCTCAGTTTTCCATGCATGTTCGCATACATGAATATGATACCGTGGTGTTTTGGTATGAGCGCTTAAGAGCAAAGCGACTTTTGGCCGCACGGAACAGACCCGAGAAGCGCCAGAGAAGAGATGAACGAATGACCATGGCTATGACTTTGCTACACATTGGCCACACAAGAAAGACCAAGGTGTTCGAGTGGCAGACGAGATAGGGGTTTTGATCTTGCCGAAAACCAATTCCAAAGACTGCCCCGAGGCAACATCTGGGCAGCTTCTGCGTGATAATAAATCTACAGTCAGCAGTAATAGATACTAGAAAGGATGACTGGGTATAGCGCGGTCACTGTAGTGAAAAAGCATTGTTTTCAGTAGTAGATTGCGGTTTTCGTACAAGCATAAATCAACACCTGGATATCATATCGCGTCCCCTGTAAGATTATCTGAACGCCTTTCCGATACGTGCGCAGTCATGCATAGTCTCAGGCGTCCTCACCAGTAGGACATTTCATTTCGACGCTTCGATCCCCTCCTCTGCCCCACTGCTAGGTGTCAGCCTTCCCTCGCCATTTGGACTACTCTCTCTTGCATCCTCCTCGACTGTCCCAGTCTCTTGTCCTCCCAGCTCTAGATCCTCGCCCTCACCATCTTGAGGTACGGTTGAATATCCCTTTGCTCTCCTCCTCCGATCAAGCATACGCTTGTGATACAGCGTGCACAGTCCTAGGGCCAAGAGTGATCCGACAACGTTGGCTGCAATGTCGAGGGGATCGAATTGCCGGCCATTGGGAAGCAGGCCTTGCAGCGCTTCGGAACCGAGGCCAAGTCCAAATGTAACGACAAGGAGAGTGAAGTTGAGAACCCTGCGCCTAGTCGTATCGAGGATCCAGTAGAAGGCGGTGGTCAGGAGGAAGAAGGTGAGGAAATGGAGGACTTTGTCATTGACTTGAGGAATCTGGGTGGAACCGAGACCTAAATATGCAGCACCGAGGAGGACAAGGACGAATGCGCCTGCATTGGAGTGTCAGGCGCATAGAACTGGACGCGGCTTGGGAGTAGTTGACTCACATGCAAAGTTTATTCGGACTCGCATGGTAATAGTAGAGCAGGGCCAGCAAGCTAAGGCTTACCCACAGGGACTTGACATGGACGGTGAATGTGTTGAACGAATGTTTTACCCAGCTCAATCAAGAGGAGTGAGAGAAGTTGAGAGGTTGAAAATCGAGGAAGACAGTAAGGTACCCATGGGTTTGCGGCGTAAGAGACAGCGAGACTTGAGACATCCCGAAGTATTTCCGTTAGCGGTCGGCAGTCAACCTCACTTCGCGGAACCAGCAGATGCATTACTGACGAGTTCAGTCATCAAGCGGCCATCCCAACCCATCTCAAATCGCTTCAAATTCGCTTGGGCAACTCAGTGAGATGCTGGCTTTTATCTTCAGTCAGTCTCATGCCATCATCTGACCCAGGGCACATTGGAGTCGCCACGAAGTTGCTCCGCAGGAGCGCCCAGTAACCCCTGCGTTGGGCGGGCTGGAGGGGCATGGCCATGCATAAAAATCATATCAACTCCACGCCCACTCCCCTCCCCAGCGGCAAACGTGATACACTGCATGTTAATGGCTACCATGGATTCCCTCGACGCTCCGTAACACCCAATGGCCGCCCCGTACCTGCAAATGCAGCTCGCCTTATGAACAGCATAGAGGGAGATCTTGGCGCAGAGGAAAACCCAAGATTATCGATCTTTCGCGACCTATATGCCAGGAGCGAGGCTCGAATAAGCTCGCTGTTTGAAGAGAATGGGGCAAACGAAAACGGCGATACTAGGAATGTAGAAGAGCAAGACCATCAGCTCAACGACGATCCTTTCGAAGATGCGCCTGCCCCAGCTACGGGTTCTCCAAGAAAACATACGAGGAAGATCGATGAGGATGACTATGACGAATCGGAGGATGAAGATGACGACGAACCCGGCGACGATTCACCCCTCAAATCCAAAAGCACGGGCCCTCCTGTCAATCTGGCACCCTCTTCCTCTGCTATGGTCCGTGGCCTATCCTCAAGCTCGACACCTGCTAGTGCCAAAGGCGCCTCATCTATCCTGGCGGTGAAGACAACGGAGGAGGCGCGCAAGAGGCTCGAGGAAGACAAAAAAGCTACTGAAGACGCGGCCAAACGAAGTTTCCACACATTGTTCTACACTCTGGAAAACGATAGAGATGCGATGCTGGAGCAGAAGAAGCTTGAAGAATCTGAGCGTCAGGTTGATATCGAGATGGGTGGGGCTGGTGCAGCTGCGAACAACGTCAACGGGCTTGGGGGCAACGCGCAGCAGGGGACGTTGAGCCAGACAAACTTGGGCGCATCAAGCCTGACCTTGAAGAACCTGATATGGATGATTGATACAAATAGAGATAAGGTCAAGGCGACCGACCCTGAACTTAGAGCACTGATGAGCGAAGTGAGGAAGAACAGGAGCAAATGGGCAAGCGAAGACAAGGTCGGACAGGAAGAGTTGTATGAGGCTGCGGAAAAAGTTCTTAACGAACTAAGGGGTATGACAGAGCACTCCGGTCCATTTCTTACAAAGGTCAACAAAAAGGAGGCGCCTGATTATGGCAATGGTGAGTCCAAAAAGCTTGCCCTATTTCGCATCTAAGCTAAAGTCTTGTTACAGTCGTCAAACATCCAATGGATCTAGGAACCATGACGAAAAAGCTCAAGACTCTGGCGTACAGGTCAAAACAGGACTTCGTCGAGGATCTCAATTTGATCTGGCAGAATTGCTTGAAATACAACGCTAATCCAGAGCACTTTCTCCGCAAAAAGGCTTTATTCATGCGTAAAGAGACTGATAAGCTCGTACCCCTCATCCCTAATATATCAATCAGAGACAGAGCAGACGTTGAAGCAGAGGAGCGTCGACTGCAGAATGGCGATATCAACATGGATGGGGATGAAGATAGCGACGACGAGCCCATCATATCTTCACGAGGACGGAAGGCGCCCAGCAAAAAAGCGAAGAAAGGAACGACGGCGCGAAAGGCGCCAGCTGGTGTACCAGAAGGCTCACCTGCCGCCGAAGCTAAGCCAAGCTCGAACCACCTGGCACCCAATGGACTGGGTAGCAACCTTAAATTTGAGCACTTGATAGCCGACTCTGAAAGTGTGATGGATGGAAGCCAGAAAGACCTCTCGACTCCTACACCTGGTGCGATCACTCCGGCAGGCATCAATGGCATTCTAGGACACGGGACACAGTCGGATGGCATGGATATCGATGCTGATTCTTCGATCAATGGCATCGTTCCCTCCATCGACGGTCCGAATGAAGAAGCTGAGAACGATGACTTGGAGTACAAAACCTGGAAACAGGTGACCAAAAAAGACCGTGCGCAGGTCACTGCGGAACGGCATAGACTTTTTTTAGGAGACCATCTCAATCCCGAAGAACCAGCGCTTCGACGTACGAAGTTGGGAATGAGAAGATGGCTGAGGAATCAAAAGCAAGCAGTTAGTGACGGCGCATTGGGCAAGAAAAGCGCCGAGGAAGAGGCTGAGATCCGGGAAAACGAAGAATCGCAGCCGAGTGGAGAGACTCTTGCAGAGGGTATGGAGGGTGAAGAGGAGAGGGTACTACCAGACTACTATGACGCTTTAGCCGTTATCCCTGATCTCAGCAATCGATTACAATGGCTCGAAGACTCTGACGGAAACGTACAGGATCCGTCGGGAGAGTTTCTACGGATTCTGCCGCAAGGGCTATTTACTTCCCCAGAGAGCAATCTGACACGAAAGATCGACAAGAATTTGCGACAGATACAAGAAACACGAAAGGTCACATCGAAGATTGCAATCGTAAAGCAGATGCAGCTGCAATCACAGGTATGCTTGAAGGCCAGTTGAGGTTCTATGATTGTATGTTGACACCAGGGCAGATGTACCAAGGCCAGTTCCAAAAGCACGAACCTGCTCCCTTTGTCGAGCAGGACATTGAACCTACAGTAATATCTGAGGAGGGTCCTCCCATAGCACCCTCGGTGTCTCGAGCCGCGCTGCAACGGTCTACAGCTAAACTCCTGGTCCTCGCTGGGTTCGAGGAATTCCAACCAGCAGCACTGGATGCTATCACCGAGATGGCTGGCGATTACTTTATAAAAATCGCCCGTACATTGAACGAGTATCCACAAGCCCAGCAGGTAGCAATCCCAGCGCCCGGAGTACAAGGAGGCAGAATCGCATGCAAAGAAAGATTCACTACCGAAGAAATCATCCTGCACACTCTCCACATAAACGGCGCCGACCTTGATGCCCTTGATAGTTATGTGACAGAAGAAGTCGATCGGGCCGGTACCAAGCTCGCGGTTACGCATGACCGAATGAAAGCCCATCTTGCAGACAGTCTCCGTCCTGCACTCACCGATGCTGGCCCTGATGGCGCCAACGCCTTCAACGATAACAGCGAACAATTTGTGGGCGGTGACTTCGCCGAGGAACTCGGTGAAGACTTCTTTGGCTTCAAGGATTTGGGTCTCGACAAGGAATTCAATATGGCCAGCTTGAGCGTGCCTCTGCATCTTCTGCAAAACCGTATGCGCAGTGCGAATCAAGCCCAAAACCCTAGGTACGTGTATAGTCTTCTTACACCCTACAAACCGATACTGACGTCTTTCAGCGCTCTCTCTTCCACCCCTCTCTCTGATCTTCCACCACCACCGCCGCTTACACCCGTCACCGTCAACAACGTCAAGAGCGAAATCGGTCTGGTGCAAGCCTTTTTCCTTGCCAAAATCCGTGCCAACAACGACGAGCCCCTTATCGAAGACGACGATCTACCTCAAAAGCAACGTTTCCCAAAACCGAGGTTACCACCAACAGGGAAGATCACGAGTCCGCGCAAACGACCGCTTAAGGAGCAAGGTCCTGGAAAGGGCCATCCGAGGAAGAAGATGAAGGTGGGCGAAAATGGGGAAGCTAAAGAAATGGGGAAAGAAAATGCTGCAGAAAAGGAGAGCGGCAAGGAAGGCGAGAAGGACAAGAAAGATGAAACGCAAACACCAGCCAAAAAGGCCACTACTAATGGTGTCGTGAGCAATGGTGCTAATTCTACTGTTGATTCTGGCGGAGACGTGACGATGGGTACACCAACGCCAACGCCGAAGGGGAAGGGAAAGAGTGGGAAGGAAGGGGGTTTGATCTCGCCCGAGAGCTTGGAAGCGACGTGATTATCGATTGGAGAGACGAAGAGCTAGCCGTCTGCATTGGAGAGAAGAGCAGTCTTTTCTGCCGACGACCCGGATTGGGGGTTGTAATGATAGGGTAGGATTGATGTACAGGCACGGATGGCGTACTCGTCAATGATACCAAGGAGAGGAGGCGTTGGTGCCGATTTTTTCTCGTCCGTACATACATCTTCAGGGTGGTTCTTTGGTTTATGGCGTTAGCCACGGACGGATGCATTTGCATTGCGCGGAGTCTCCGTGTCCTTTGTGGTATGGGGGTACGATTGATTGGCACTGTGGTGCGAACATCTATCGAGGGTTTTGGAGGTCTTCTATTATTCTACAACCGATTCCATATCTGCTAGAAGAAGAACAAACCAGTCAATGTTTGCGTCTGAAGTGCATGCTTGCAATGGATCTGTGAGATCCGTCCACTGAGATTGGATTCGGCTTTTGATGGTATCTATCTCGCTATATAGAGAATAATGTGCAACGATGTGGCGCTAGGTGCTTTCTATCTCCTCGGCATGCCTCTTCCCCTACCCCTGAGTGCTCGTTGCGCCGCTCCAGGAGGTAAGCCTCGTTGCGGGGCTTGCGGTTGCTCTGATTGTTCGTTTTCTGCAAGATGCGTCAGCGATCGTCCCTGTTCCTAGCCCGCCACCAAGCACAAGGGACAATAACATACTGATAGTCTCATCCACACTCAAGATCAGACAACTCGCCTCCACCGCCGCCATGACCGCATTCACCTTGACCAGACTCGGCTCCCACACGAACGCTGCCATATTGTCCCTCACGCCCTCGTTGTCAAAGTCTACGCCCGCCCATACATTGCCCTTGCGATGCTCGACGCGCAGCTGAGTTAGTATGTTTGTGGCGTCGAAGCCGGCATTGTCGCAGAGCTGGCGGGGAATGATTTCGAGGGCTTTGGCGAAGGATTTGATGATTGCTTGTTGTTTGCGTGGGACGGAGAGGTCAGCGTGCTTGTGGAGATGGGCGGATACTTCCATCTGTACATCTCGTCGTCAGCACAGGGTCTTCTAGGTCACAAGAGGATTGCTGGGTGCGTTTACCTCGCAAGCACCTCCTCCAGCGACGATATTCCTATTCACAATCGCTCGCTTGACGATCATGATTGCATCATGCAGACTTCGCTCCACCTCTGCGATGAATTGTTCTGCCCCTCCTCTGAGGACCAGCGTACATGTCTTTGCTGCCGGGCAACCTTCGAAAAAATTGAACCGCTCGCCACCTATTTGCCGCTCGTCAAACCGCGCGCATGTACCTAGATGTTGGGGTTGGATGTCTGAGCAAGTGGATGAGATGCTGCCGCCTGTTGCTTGCACTACTCTTTCTAAATCGTCTGACGAGACTCGCCCGGCACAGAAGACGTCACGGTCTGCGAAGTATCTGCGTTTGATTTAGCTTATTATCTTGGAAGCTTAACCGGGGAAAGACCAACTGTGTAGCCAAGTCACCTATAGGCAATTTACTCAGCACGACCTTCGCCCCCGTCTTGTACACCTCTTCCATCTTATTGTAGATAATCTGCCATTCTGCGTCCACAATCGCTTGATACTCAGACACCTGATCCACTCTGACCTCTGCATTATCTTTTTCGCTCTTCAACTCAAGCTCAACATTCAGGCACACAATCTTCGGGTCCTTAAAGCTCTTGGGTTGTTGTTCGAATCCAGCATATGAAAAGGTCTTCTTAAAGGCCACTCCATTGACAAAAAGCGAGTCTTGCAAGGCTCCTCCCGTGATCTTCTTAATGCCAATAAGTTTGTCATTCAGATCTTCTTGATCCAGCGAAAGTACGGCATCCACAACCACTAGCACACTGTCAGCACCTGTCCCCGCTCACAGTGTCTTCCCAGCACAACCCACTCTTGGTAAAGAAATCGGCATTCCGGTGTATCAACTTGCTACTCATAGCGGTAGCCGCCAACCTCCTCAAAGTTTCCCTCTGGTTTCCTTCTTTCGTCGTAACAGCAATCTCCTTGATCTTGTTCACTGCCATAGCTGAAGCTCTCCTCAGCCCTTTGATGATGATCTGAGAGCTGACGCCCTGCTCGACATGCTCTTTCACTTCCTTCAGGATTTCGCCTGCCAGAACGACAACTGAGGTGGTACCATCGCCCACTTCGGCGTCCTGGGAGCGCGCTATGTCTGTGAGAATGCGGGCAGCCGGGTGGATTATATCAAGAAGCTGGGGAAGGAATTAGCGCCCTCATGGAGTAGCTTGAAGAGCTACCTACTTTCATAACAGTAGCGCCGTCATTTGTGATTGTTTGCCGACCGTTTTCGTCAACCAGCAGCAGATCTCCACCATATGGACCCAGGGTACTCCGTATTGTATCTTGGACTGCTAGACATGCTTGTATGTTGGATATGATTTGGCCTTTGCCTTGGGAAGAATCGGTGCCCTCCTTCAGCACGATTATGGTGGGGGTCTGCCCTCCGAAGGACATGGTTCTGTTTGCTGCTCAAGGTACAAGCAGAAAACCCTTTCACGCTGATGAAAACGTTTGGTTTGAGGAATGCAAGGTCTGTCACTGCTGTCAAGCCTGGCAAGGGTCGGATTTAGAAACCAGAAGATAATGTTCTCTACTCGGCTGGGCAGATGTTGAAGTGAAAATCCGAGCCTTTTCCGACGCGTCTTTCGCGAGAGAAGAATCCTTGGCGTTGAGGGCTAGGGCTCAAAGACCGCATGTTCTACTAAGGGAGTAAGGTAGTATATCACGACACTAGCATATAACAAATGGGAGCACAGGAGGAAACACAAGACTTTCAACGGCCATCATGTGACCACTAGCTTACTAGATACTCGCTGACTGACTGCTTGAACTACGAGTACATGCGCACCACACGTATCTAGACCTCCTGGGGCCTTCTCCCTGTCTAGATTTAGCCGGAACACATTATGCATATGCAAAACCCCGGCCATAATGCATCACTCATGATCCATCCTCCATTGCCGCGTTGTTCCCATAACATGCTTTGAAATCCCTGCCTCATACAAAATAAGCTGCAACCGTCTGCTGCGTGTCTGGGCTCAATGTGGCAAGGACCTGATTTGCGTCGATACCTGCTGTCTGAAGAAGTTGCTTACCAGCTGCCGCCGCCCGCTGTGCCGTTGTACCTTGTAAGGTCTCTGCTTCGAGTGCTTGCGCAATAGCTACGAAGCATTGACTCGAGATTTGAGGCGACGCAATGACGACAGGATTCCGTCTAGATTTTGGTCAGTCAATATCTCACTCAAGGATAGCATGAACGTGAATGGACTTACTGATCGATTAGTTGGGCCAAGAACATGTAAACGTAGGGTGCCGCTTCTTCGTCATTAACCACAGGCAAGGTGTTCAGCCAGTGTTGAACGACCTCCTGAACGTTGGGTATTTTGCTGGAATTGGCCTGCAGGATCTTGGCGATACTGGCACATGCATTCTCAGTAGCAAAGACGTGGTCGTCTTCTCGGGCCTGCGGAAGTTGGCAGACTTGAAACAATGTCGACACGTTCTCAGCAACGAAACTAGACCAATTTGCTCCACCCTTTTGTGCTGCTATGCCCACACCGTAGCAGGCCGCTTGTCGGTTTGCAGGAACCTCATCCCTCATGCCCGCAACCAAAGGTTGTCTGATGTGACCTTGATAGCTCCAGCTTTGATCTCCGCAGAATTCAAGGACGTCGTCGTATATACACAGCGCCCACTGCCGTTGCGTCGAGTCTGCGCTAGTGACGAAAGCGTCGTAGAAAGGCAATAGACGTGACCAAGATGGAAGAAATGATGTTTCTTGGTTTTTGAAGATGGTATGAAAGGCTTTGTTCATGTCCGAGAGAAGTGTTTGGTCGTCCTCAATTGCGAACAGGATGTCTTCGTTTTCTTCCTCGCCTTCTTCTGTCTCTTGTTGTTCCTCGGCACGGTTCTTGACCCGCTTCTGGTAGTCTTCAAGCGTCGATTTGACGGACTCGATGAATTCTCCCATATGTTCCTGTGTTAGGCAGTTCTTGCCGACGACTTCGACAGACTCATAGAAACATTGATACATTTCCGCGAGCGTATCAATTGCCGGTTCCGCACTTAAGACTTCAAGGACCTTGTCGACTACCACCTTCCAGAGTTCACCCAACTGACTGGAAGTCTCCCCGTGTGCTTTTTTTACAGAGTTAAGAAGTACTGGCACGCTCTTGGCTGAAGCAACCCGAACAGGATCGTGGAAAAAGAACGCCAAGCCTGGCAAAGACACCTTGTCTATGATGTTGATCACATACGGCTCGAATGCGCCTTCAAGCTGTTGCGCGTAGATGACGATGAGCTCGATAGCCATGTGCTTGTCTTCAAGTATGGAGGTCTTGATCCCGATGACCTTGCCTTTCAACGGTACCATCTCCCAACCCTCTTCCTGCTGAACTTTGGCTATCTGTTCGTCGTCGTCAAGAAGCTGGATATCGGCTTTAGCGCTAGCAAGCTCCATCAGAGGAGGCATGACACCAGCAAGATATGGTATAAAATCGGACCCCAGAACGCGACACATTCGTCCCCAACAATGTAGTAGGTATTGCGATTGTGGATCATCAGTATCCTGGATGTTCTGTTGGATGTTACCCAATATTCGCACTAGTGTCACAGCATCTGATCCCATGCGTTGCTTGCCGACGGCCAACGCAATCAAAGTCGCGCACTCCATTGCTTTCGCTCTCAAGAGTCTATACTCTTTCGACTGCTCTTCTCTCAGGACGTTGAACAACAAAGGCATCAGGGTATCGTAGTATTTTCCAAAAGCAGTCTCGGCGGAATCAGCAATGGTAGCAATTGTTGAAAGAGCCTGCTCCTGCACGTAACGTTTCTGGCTCTGCAGCAAATGCAAAAGGCGACTCAGTAAGTCGTCCAGATAAGGTTCAAGGGTAGCTTTCTCGGCCTCTTCACAGAAGTTAACAAGAGCCGCAGCGGCGTGAGATTGAATCCTAGGTTCAGTGGCATCCAACACGGGAATGATGTTTGTCAACACGACGTTGTGGTACTTTGCTTGCATCGTTCCCGAAAAGTCCGTGCTCATTTGGCCCAGCGCATTGCAGCCAGCCCAGCGTACACGGGGGTGGGTGTCACGGAGAGCTGGAACGACGAGATCGAGGACTTTGTCAAGCTCGCCTATCATAAGATCTCTGCAGCCCTCAGAGATTGCTGATATGGCCATAAGTGCTGCATGTCGATCTCGCCAGGCTGCAGAGGTCATCATTCGAGGAAGCCATTGGAAGGTAGGAGGTAGTACAGCTCCACCTCCGAGTTTGTTGGCAAGTCGATCCATACATTGTTCTCCTGCAACGTGGTTTAGATCGCTCTCCTCCACATCAAGGTCCTCGGAAGCGTTCCATTCCGATGCATCATCATCGTCCGGGCCAACATCCGTCATTAGACTCAAACATTGGGTGACCATATCTGAAGTGTAGGAAGGGTCTTTCTTGCACAATGTGGAGGCGTAGTCTGCGAATGTACCCATGAGTTCCAACGCGTTTTGTCGAGTCAGATCACCAAGCTCCTTGTCCTGTATGACGGTCATACTGAACTGCACTAAGTTGTGAAATAGATGCTTGAACATCATCGGTGCTTCTTCGGCCAGCTCTATTAAAGCGATTAAGGCTTTAGTGAGGTTCTCCGAATCGCCCTGCTCTTTCAGAGGTGGTAGGATATTGAGGATCTTTGGGACTAAAGGGTAGTACTTTTTCTGCGCTTTCTTCTGAATGGATGCGAAAAATGACGAAAAGGCCTCCATTGCGGCGATCCTTACCTGCTACCGTATCAGCAATTTCCTGAGATCGAACGTCACCAACATACAATGACATCCGTGTCCTCAAAGCCTTTCGTAAAGGCGCCGAGCACGGTATCCTCATGCTGTTTTTCTATGATTCCCGGAGTAGTAGTGAATACTCGAAAGGCCACTTCTCTTTGGCCTGCATCTTGCGACTGGCTAGCCACAAAGAGTACTTGCAGAAGCTCTGGCCAATGTTCGCCTGAGTGGTTCGAAACGTCAGCCCAAATGTCCGGATCCTTTCGTATCCCAGCGATCACTGCTTCACCTACCATCATCCGCATATTGTCTAGCAACTTCAGCGACCGCGTCACCGATCTTATGCCTAACCATTGGGAGATTCTCGCTCTGCAAACATTCGAGCAATTTCTGTCTTATGGCCGCTTTTTGGGGCGGCTGCAATAACATGAACAGCTCTTTTGACTCCTCCGTCCCAGGCGTTTTTCTTGTCTTTGTCGACATTCTACGAAAGAGGACTGCTGCGAAAGAGCGAGTCTGTTTGTAGGAGCCGTGTCAGCCAGGTGTGGGAATGCTCAATGAGGAACGTAGATGCCATACCGTTGGTTCTTGGGCCGACTGAATTTGTTCAACCAAGCCCATGAGCAGGACATCAGGCCGTGCAACGGTCCACTCATTGCTGAGCTGCTCCTCGGCATGGGTGCGAATTTGATTGTCTGGTGATGACAGGCCTTGGAGGAGGCTTGCGAGAGCGGCGTGGACCTCAGGAGGAAGAATAGACATGTTGAAAATTGGCACTCTCTCTGCTTCCAATGTTTGTAGCCAATATGGTAAATAAAATTCGACCTCGCGCGTTTGGTCAACACTGGGTGACAGGAAGTTGAACGGAGGTCACGAGCTAAGCACCCTTGCTCTACAGCGCAAGCTTTCAGAGCGAGTGAATCACAGCAAATCACTGACTTGTGCAGCAAGACTGCCGTTCATGTTCGGAAGGGAAAACCAAGTATGCAGGCGTGTTTACACTCTACTGGTGGGATTGAATGGATTTTCGAAACAGAAATTTTGGCATCGTCGCACCAAGCCGAATGGACGCGCCAAGGATAAGGGTACATAAGGTATATGCTCTTACTCTCTAAGGTAAGGTAAGTACTCAGGTACTCTACATGTACCCTACCGAGAGCCTAGGTACCAACCTAAGCTACTTTAGTGGAGCGGGAAGGGCTGCGAGTACTAGTACCTTAACCAGCGGCCTCTTCCGAAGTTCCGTAGCGTCAGCTTGATGCAAGTAGGTATCCAGGAGCCAGGCTTGCTGCCAAATAATCACTTGCCATCCCCTTCGTTCTACCTACCTACCTACTTCTACCACTTTACTTCTGGCTATCCGACACAAATAGAATACTCTAAGTGTAATCATACATAATGTGCCAAGAACATCAGAGAAGCAGAGTTTGCAAAGCAAAGAGACGACTAAATGGTCTCATGCAGATAAGAAGGGGAATGAAAGCTAAGGTACGATACGATATCATGAACGGCTCGCGCGGCCAATCGTGAAGACCCCAATGATGACCACAGCCAATGTTACAATCGCCCCCGGCAGCAATAGCTCGTTGGGTACTCCTGCAACCAATTGGTCCGGCTGCTGCTGCTTTGCTTGTGATACAGGTTTCCGCTCCTTTTTCACTGGCGTGACCATCTCATCTTCGTCATCATCGAACCTCCGACTCTTGAGCGTCGACGGTGGAGGAGTCAGGGGTTTCGACATTGCCGGCTGAGGATCCACCGTTGCTGACATGGGTGGTTTTTCCGGGTCATGCACGAAGAGATCGACCTTTTCCCGATGATATTGCCGTGAGAGCGTTATGGCGTCTAGGAGATCTTGATCGGTAGTGATGGAGACCGTGTCGCCTTCGTTGTCCAGATAGCTCAATGCGTAGCCAGATGCTGTCAGCTTCCCGTCCTCGACGATGGCCTCGCCACCCACTGCATCGATCTCTCCTCCAAGTTTGGCATTTACATTACTGACGAGGTCCTCCATACCGGCAGAAGCAGCGACTTGCAGCCTATGGACACGGCCACTGGGAGCCTTGAACTTGAAAGGGAACGGCGAGTCTTCCATAGACGCTGACGGGGGCTCTTCTGGACTTTCCGAACGATCGTCATCTCCATTGTGTGAGGCTGATTCGTGCGGCTGCACACTATCCACGCGATCAACGTTTGGGCGGGATAGCAACTCTGGGGACATGAGTGATCGATGACCAGGTGTGTGCGCACGATGGCTGCCTTCCCCTGACATCATTGACTCGGAGTCGTTGTCCAGAGATAGCCAGAATTTGCCCCAAGCTGGGCCTTCATTATCTCCAGTTGACATTGTATTGATCTGATGGTATCAGTATCTTTACTGCAAACGATGACCTCAAAGACTGACCTGTTCAAGAGTCGCGTATGTGAGCTTGAGCACATCAACCATACCCACGATCTCCCCAGGCTCATTCATGACCGGTAAATTCAGGTAGTGTCCGTCATGCATTTTTCTCAAAGCGGCCTGTATGCTCATGTCCATGGGCGCAAAGTCCGGATGTGGAGTCATCACCCTCACAACGCTGCAATTTACTGGGTCCAATCCTGGAGCAATAACTCGAAGGACAACGTCCTTACTGGTAAATATGCCGGTTATGGAGCCCTGGTCTTGCACCAGCACAGCAGTAGTGTGATTCTCTTTCATCAAGCTTGCGGCTTCCTTGACAGATGTTCTCACTGACACAGTCGTTGGTGGCAGTCCATTTAAGACAGACTCAAGTGTAGGTCCGGACATCTTCTGCCTCAAAGCCTCGACATATTGTATTATTTGTTGCGGCTGACTCGAGCCAAATTCTGACTGTACGCCCTCAAGAGCGTCATATAATTTCCGGGACGAGCTGTAGGCCCGCTCCAGCTTCTCCATTGCATCGTAGAAACACTTCGTAATATCTAGAATACCAGAGATATCCTGATTCTCGTCCATGACTGGAAGATGTCGGAAGCCTTTCCGAACCATGAGATCCAGAGCGTCCGTAGCACTGGTATCTGTTCTAGCACATAGGGGGTTCTTTGTCATGATCTCCGCTATGGTAACATCTCTAGCTTTAATGCCGGCTCCGACCACGCGGAACGCGAGATCTTTAGCTGTGAATATACCGGCAATTCGATCATCGTCGTCCGTGACAAGTACGCAATCTTCTCGCTTTGCAGCCATCAGTTGGGCCGCTTCTGCCACGGTAGTATTTGGTTTTATTTGGAGAGCCTGACTGGGTTTGAGGGCAAGGACTGTCCCAGGAGGGGCTTTTCGAGTATGTCGAGCTCGAGTAGCGTTTCCCTTCTTCTTGTTGAGGTCCGCCTCCATCTTCTTCCGAATGGCCTGTGTGGGTGGTTTCAGCCTATGCTACCACATTAATAGGGAAGAATGCCGGACCTCATCACGTTTCGTCTGCTTCTGCCTGCTCGCACTCAGTGTCGAGTTTCCAGTCTCACTCTGCATTGCGGAACTAGCATGTGACTCTAGCTTGGGACGGGGTATATTTGAGGGGCTGTTCTCGAAAGCAGGTACCTGACCTCTGCCTTGACCACCTCTATTTGGAGTACCTCTGAAAGTTCCACTGGCAGCTGACATGGTAGTGAGGAATACAAGTCAATTGGGCACGATGATTTCTCTCGACGAATGAGATTCGGGTGTTGAACGATTCGTAAACATCGGCAAGTCGGCGACAACAGCAGTGACCGCCAAGACGCCGAGGTTTTACCAAGCGAAGCACTCCCACTCTTAAATCTATGAGCAACGAGCACTTGCACCATCGACTCTTTGATCAACACATCTCGAAAAGTACGTATATAAGGCTCGTTGTAGCGCAGGCCGCTAAAGTATCACTGTTATTGACCTCTTTTCAGAACCGCAACCATGGTTAAAAAGCGAGCATCCAAGTACGCCTCCACACCCACATCAGGAGCCTCAAGCGCGTGACTAACATGTCTACTACAGCGGTCGCAACAAGAAGGGACGAGGTCACGTCAAGCCTATCCGCTGCTCCAACTGCTCGCGGTGTACACCAAAGGACAAGGCGATAAAGAGATTCACTATCCGCAACATGGTTGAGAGTGCTGCTATTCGTACGTCTTGCCTCCCCCAGGCTTACCTACGTCCTGAACTGCACAGGGAGCTCAATACAATCATGACGACTAACGTATGGAACTTGAATTCAGGCGATATCTCTGATGCCTCTGTCTTTCCCGAATACGCCGTCCCAAAGATGTACCTGAAGCTCCAATACTGTGTCTCATGTGCCATTCACGGCAAGATCGTTCGGTACGTTTCTCCTATCACATCCTGGGGGCTCTTGGACTGACGAGATTTGCGCCTAGTGTCCGCTCTCGAGAAGGGCGCCGAAATCGCGCACCACCTCCGAGGGTCCGGTTCAACAAGGATGGAAAGAAGATCAATCCACAGCAGGCCAACAACTTAGCGAAGACAGCTCAGGCGTGAGGTAGTACCTTATTTTTAAAGGGCTGGTATTGCTATCGATTGATAGCAAGCGTTTTATGGGAAGCAAAAGGCATCATAGTAGCAGAACTTCCTCGTGTGCGACCGCTCACCAGCTACTTAATTCTTGTTCCATCTGCTATCTACCTAACCTTGCTTGCTTGCTGCTGCTCAAAATGCGCCAAAGAAATCCCATACTGCACATATCTCATGTTGGTAGAGTTTAGCATGGTCTAATAGTGCTGAATCGCCTCACAAACATCCATCTGCGCCTGTCCCACGGAACCAAAGATACATCCCTGATATCCCTGCAGCAAACGCCACGATGCAGCTCGAGACAAAGAGAAAGTGTCGTCCAAAAGAGGCCGCCAACCATGGTACACCTATCAAGGTTCAGACCTGCCCCAAAATCTTCAAAGTCCTTACTGCTCACCGGGGTCCTGACCTGCTGGCTTGGACTCTTCGACCTGGCCTTCACCAGATTTCATCTCTGCTACGGCTGCGGCCTGACTTTCATCAGTCTTCACGTTGCTGAAAAAGCCACCTGCATTACTGGCGTCATCAATAATTGCTGCCTTCGTGCCGTTCGCTTGCACTTGAAGCTTTGGGGAGTGCTGCCTGGATGCCTGTAGCTGCCGTTCCTTGAGCTGATCACGAATGACATCGTAAAGAAATTGGTACTGTCCCTCCATTTGCACCATGAGCATTCTCTGCTCTCTCAAACAGTTCACCACCTCGTAAATCATGTCTTCGCCTTCTTTAGCGTCCAGTATTGCACCTGATTCCACTTGAGCAAGAAGATATTCTAAGGCGATGAAAGTTCCTGATCGTCCCACCCCAGCGCTGCAATGGATAATCCTAGGATTGCTGGGCGAAGTGTTCTTCTCTGCGCAAAGCTTTAAGAGCTCCAGGAGCGCAGTGCGGTTGTTGTCTTCGGGAACAGCGAAGTCCGGCCAGCCGGAGAACAAGAAATGCCATACATCCTTCGTTTCTGCACCAAATCTCAAGGATAACTTGCGGATTTCTGTCTTTGAGTCCATATCCAAATGGTATTCCAAGAAAGTTACACTGCCTTCCGGAGTGTCTCTCGCTCTGTCTAGCGGTTCTACCTTAAAATATCCGGCCTCGACATTCAAAGGGAAATACTGAAAACATTTCTCCGTTGTCCCATCATGGGTTTGGGTTAGCATAACAATGACAGCTACGTCGGTGGTTTCCTGCCATATCATGTGCCAGAAATGGCTCAAACCCGATTGTTTGGGACCCTTTGAAGAGGTTCAGTAAGTTGGTCAGGAAACAGCGGAAAGCGGGACAGACATACTTGGGTTGCTATGAACTTAGTTTCTACTCCTGTTCGTGGATCGCGCAGTGATATGGGCGAGGCATTGATGTAGTCGGACTTTCCTTCGGCAACTTTGAGATGAATGCGCGACTTTTCCCATGGCTGGACGTTACCGTAACGATTCCGCCTCATGACATGAGGGCTTGTATCCTGCACCCATTGTGAAGATGGATCGCTCCGACCTTGCAAGATGCGGAGCTTCTCCTTCCATGCCAAGTCATTGAATTTAGCTCGAACAGCTATGTGGTTTTAGTGGATGATCTAAAAAGAAGCTGCATAATACATGCTCGCGTATGCACGACACACGAAAAGAGAAGGCTTACCGCTTTGTGATTGATGGAGGAAAGCCGGGATCCGGGACTCAACTTGAGCCCCTTGTTCATTTTCTTCTTCTTCTTCTTCTTCTTCTTCTTCAATCTTGGTCGCTTTTAACACTGGCGGTGATGCCAAGGGCGTAGGGCTATCCTGAGAGCGGGCTCTTTTATATGCCGTGCTGAAACCTTTGGCGAAAGGAGCCGTCATGTCCAAACGCATGTGAATTACATTAAGGAGTCGATGACGATGATGAAAGTGTTGAGAAAGACGTGAAATAAATTTAAGGCAGTGAAAGCCTCCTGGATGGATCACACCTGCTCTTCACGTCTCTTTCCTGCCAGAAAGCATACACGAAATTTTTACGAATCAGAGACTGGTGAAATAAGAAAGTCGAGTTGCTTGTATGAAAGTCAACGAGGTCAGCTAAGAGGCAAGGCAAGGGAGGAGGAGTGTTGGAAAATTATTATAAGAGCCAAACAGTCAACAGGGAGCGGGAGAGAACTTGATGGAAAGAGTGTTGATACTTTCGTGATGATCGGGTAGGAAAGAGGCAGTCAAACATACGGTAGTAGTGTAGAGAGTGACTTGTTGTACCTTGGACATTTGTTCATCAAAATTCCACCGTTCCAGCAGCCTCTCGCGCTTTCCCAAAAATAGATTTCTTTTGTTGCCACTTCCGCTTGGTCAGGTTAAATTCGAAAATCGAGATACAAACACCTAACCGTTCAAGCTCAAGCACAATCATCTCGACATCAAACGACCTTCACTCACCAAGAAAACTACTCTCTGATTGCGCGAGCTGGAAATTGATTTTTTAATTCCCATGTTGTCACGATAATGGGGTGGGGGCGAATTCATGTGCAAATCTTTGAGGTGGGCTTGTCATCATTCACAGAATCCACAAACAGAATGTCCAGGCTGAGCAAGAACAGGCATGGCTGACCACTCGAGTATGATTCTATGCCGATATTGGATCTACTATCGCTGATGATGCTAGCTACTCGCAAGCCCCACATTCCACCGAGCGGTCCAGAATGTACATAGAAAAATCCGTCACCTGCGACAAGGGCCTGACCTGGAAGAGATGGGCGGTACCAAAATAGATCGAGTGGATAGTGAGTGGAACCGAGAAGAAGGATCGCGCAAGGCTGACTGTCGGCTTCGTTGCAGAGCCAACCAAGAATTTCCTCGACCATTATGTTGAAGAGATCAAGGAGCAGTTTCGATCCCAGAGAAAATGACTGGATGAATCAGACTTTATCACGAATAATGCGATGTGGATGCCATACGTTGGGAGGCTTAGGGAAGATGCAATGGGGAACGTTCGATTTACTGGTCATTACACAAAGTCATTACACAAAGCATTCCACTATAAAATCTTCCCCTCGTCTTCCTTTAGGCTGAAGCCTCTACCACGGACAAGAAATTGGGCTTCTCGACGATATTCCATGTCATTTGGCTCTCATTCCGTCCGCAGATAAATCCACACAGAACCCGCGATCTAGGTTCCAACACCGCGAGACCTACCTACGTATTCCAATCTGAAGTGTACATACGCCTCTGTCAGCGTCTCCGGCCCCGCCTCTGTCTCTCTTTTTTGCTTTCACTTTCCCAGAGATGCCTGCCTCATCCAATACATGTACGCTGAGCTGCAACGCATCAATTGGCAAGAGAAATGGAAGGGGAAAAGCTCCGTCTGGGCGTTTGATTATTGGCGGAGGCCTATCGGATGTTCGCTTTCATGGCGAGGATTTGACTTCGTCATAATTACATTGTAATGCGAAAGCTTCACCGTGATCGTTTCCTCGTGTCTTCATTTATATCAATGAAAACAAAGCATGCGTACAGTCTTTTCCACTTTACAATAATTCCCCCTCATCATCTACAATCCATACCTAAATCACTTAAGTCATATACAACATGTCTTCTGCAATTGTTACTGGTACCACAGGTTCGCCCCTCCTGACTAGCAAGTCGTTGGTATCTCTTCCCAAGCCTGTACTCGTATCATCTCGTACACCAGGTATCCTGGGCCGTGAAATCATTCACGCCCTCGGCAAAGACCCTAAACAATGGCGAACCGTACACGCCTTGTCAAGGAGTCAGAAGGAGACATACCAATCGAACTTGAAGCACGTAAGGCGCTTTTCCGAATTATCTCTTCCTGTTCGAGACTGCTTCTTGAGTCGCGAGACACGTTGGGGGGACAAGTAGCCCAATCTAGCACCCTTTCTACTCCACAAACATGTCTTATTACTCAAATCCTTATCAACGAATGGGATGTTGACTCCGAAATGTACTAGGATACTGTTGATCTAACACTGGATGCTAGAGTAATGGCAAAACAACTTGAGGGCGTCGAGGCAGAGCACCTTTGTACGTGTTTCCCCAGTCCGATTTCCTCTTCTGGACAAATCCGGATTCTTGAAACGTGTCTTGGAAGTGTTCATTCTCAAAACTTGTTTCAAGGCTCATTGCAATCCAGTCTTCGCTGCCTACTTACAGAAAGACTCCGATGAGGAGAGCTGGAACGTCAACGGCGCAATGTCAGCGAACTTCCTCAACGCCCTCGACATCACTGGCGCATCCAAGAAGCTCAAACCTGTCATTGTCACAACAGGCGCAAAGCATTACGGTGTACATCTCGGCTGCCCAAAACAGCCCATGGAAGAATCGGACCGATGGATCGAAGGCGAAGGGCGCCCCTCGAACTTTTACTACCATCAAAAGCGTATCCTCTCCAAGAAAGCAAAGAAATCCAACTAGGACTAGGTCGTTACCTACCCCAACGATGTCATCGGCGTTGCACAAGGCAATTTCATGAATCGCGCCACGGCCTCAGGCCTCTACGCGGCTATCTCAAAGGAGCTCGACGGCAACCTCATGTTTCCCGGTAGCGAGACATTCTACATCCTCCTCGACAGCTTCACGTACTCCCGCCTGCACGGACAATTCAGCCTCTGGGCGGCCATGGAACCCAAGTGCGGCAACCAGGCTTTCAACGTGGTCAACGGGGACACCGAATCCTGGCAACACATGTGGCCTAAGCTCGCGAAGCCCTTCCGCTGCCATATCCCCTGCAACCAATTCACAGTCGATGTGGGCAAGGATACAGACAGCGTGATGTTGCTGGCGGAGAAACCTCCAACGGCCGAAAGGGATACGGAGAGGGACTTGGAGGGGAATTTCACGCAAGGTAAAATGGAGCAGAAGATCGACTCGATAAAATGGAGTCAGCGTGAGGATGTCAAGAAGGCGTAAGTGCACATTCCTACCCGGTTCACTTCCAATCAAAACTGTGTTTGGGTCCTAATATATGTATCCCGAGCGAGCAAAAGGCTCAGACTGCTAGGCAGACCTGTTTCAGATCCTCGGGGGTTTTTTTTGTCTCAGAGGCATGCAGACTTCGATATATGCAGGTGGGAGAAGCTACAAGCGAGAGAAGGGCTGGAGAAGGATGCGTTCGGGAAGGCTAGCTGGGGGTTCCTGGGATTTGTGCTGGGGAGGAATTTACGACGTTGTTATTAGCATGAGTAAGGCGAGGAAGTATGGATGGACGGGGTAAGTTTATTCTTATCAACGGGGCTCGGACTGTTGACTCACCGCTTGTGCAGATATGTTGACTCTTGGATGCGCTCTCCGAGTGCTTTGACGAAATGGAACGGGAGAAGATCCTGCCTCCTACGGAGTTGAATTCGACAAAGAAAACGAGAAAAATAGCACCAACAATGGAATAGCTCATCCAGATCTTTCAGATGACTGCTTAAGCAATGATCCGACTCCTGGAATGCTAATCGCTAATTGCTCACAATGACATCTTACTCCAAATCCGCAATGGTATCAGCTACAATGTACGTAAAGCAACCATCATCCCTTAGACGCCAATTTCAAAGCTTCGCTAGAACATTTCCCATCACTCCCTCCAACATCTTCAATTTGTAGATCTTGCTCACACTCTCGAGCACCCTCAGCTTGCCAACAACATCGTCCTTATCCACAGTACCCACCCAGCCCCCACTGCACCCACAATGTTCCATGAAATCATTCACCCTGATCTTTTTACACTTCCCGCATTTCAGGTCCTGGGTTTGCCATTCTACAAGTACCTTTTGGACCCGCCCGATCAAGCGCTCTTCGATAGCCAGTCGATCATACTGATGCCCGCAAGTCGTGCAGGCCCATGCTCTTGCTGCTGGCTCGGAGTCGTTAGTCGCAGTTTCCGGCAATATGTCCTCGTCTCGACATAAGTCCAGATCGCGCGCCATGGTACAGTGCTCGCAGATGAGCTGCTCCAATTTGAGGCTGGAGCTCGGATTTTCGAAGCGAGCCTGAGCGCTGAATTCTTTGATCTCGAAGAATGCAAGAAGCTCCTTGCGAAGGTAGCGTACTTCGAGATTGATGCTTTTGTCGAGCGAAAAGACGTGCACGATGGATCTGACGAGTTGTAGGACTGGATGAGTATTTTTGAAGTTGAGATGGGAGCCAGGGAGGGTGGGAAAGTTGTGATCTGAAGCAAGGTCCGGGTGAGCGAGCTCTGAACGATAGCGAGCGATCAGGGCGATAATCTGGCGCTTCAGGGGTTTTGAAATGGCTTTTGTGAAAATATCTTTGCTTTTCGCATCGTCATCGGCACCAAGTTGGCGGACTGGGAGCTGAGTCGGTCGAGCGGTGGAAACTGAACCGTCATCGCCAACGGGTGTCTGACAAGGCCGTTTGATTTGGTGCATCAAATCGATGAGATCGACGACCCAGTCGTGGAAGATTGACTGATATTGGAGGGGGAGGAAAGTGTTTAGCTGCCAGTGCATGATCGTGTCAAGGGTCTGCACTTCTGCTTCGACGACCTTTTGACATGCTTTGCCGCCATAGTTGAATTCGTCGTACCAGACAAGGTAATCCCAGTACTCTTTGATATCCAAATCAAGGAAATGGAACAGTGGCTTTGCTTTAATTGACTTGAGGATATACTGGCTGTACGCGTAGGCGTTGCCAACCTCTGCTTTCGTGGTTTGGAGGAGAAGACGATTTGCATTGGCAAAGACAATGTGGGATCCGACGCGCTTAAAGTCCGTCATCAACTGCTGGAAAGCTTTCCTAGACATCATTTGCACGTAGTAGTGCAATGAGCGATCGTAGAGAAATGAGTCAGGGTTCTCGACCCAACGCACAAGATGCTGCACCATGATGTCGGCCATTGGACTGCCTTTGCAGGCTTCCGTCCACCAGGCTTTTACCATCTCTCGAAGGACAGTGACGCCGGCAGATGCAAAGGCATTATCGGAGTAGAGAACACCCGTTCCATTGTTGGCGTCTTCTTCACTTGGCGCAGCTGGATTGAACGCAACCGAATCGCTACCCTCAAGCTCATTGATGAGAGACGACGTTAGAATCGTATTGATCGCGAGGTTCCGAACGTCCAGCTCTATGCAGACGGACGAGTATGTGCCAGGGTTGTTAACAGCAGGCATACTGACAGTCTCCATGGGCGTCAGTATATCGTCTTTCTCGTAACCAGCATGGTCTGGTAGGGGACCACCGGACCACCACAGAACCACGTTGCTTTTCTGTAGCCGTCTCGCATAAGCGACATCGATCAGGAACCGGGGATCATCCCTTTCCAGATTGCAGAGGGGAATATCCCCATACCTTGCCAGTTCAACGAGATGGCTGATCCATGAACCTAAAGCAAGGTAGTGAGTCACCAGGCGCTTGACAACGAACCCCTGCCAGCCAAGTTGAGGGAGATTACTGTCCGAAGTTTCGACTTTCAACGGAAGGACTGGCAGATCATTGAGCGACGGAATGTCATTCAGCAGCAGACGTCTCTGTGGAGACTGAATAACTAGAAGCGTTGGCTTGCTCTCGTCACCCTTCATCTTCTTGACAATGTCACCGACATCAAGGTGTAGCTTTCTCTTCGTTCTGACTTGTGTGGTCTTGAACCGAATTTGTCCTTGATATTCGAAGATGTTTTGCCAGGGCTCACCTCCATTGTCATTAAGTCGCCTGGCTAGTAGTTCAGAATAGACCTTTTCAGCATTAGGCAATCCTTGGGTGTCTTTTGAGCGGTCAAAAACGATGATGTGCGCTTCATCCTTTATCGTTGAAAACAGCGCAAAAATCTGACGATCACCAGCTTCAAGGTGGTAAAGGTAGATGAAAGCCATTTCCGTCTCAAGAAGGTAAGGCTGCTTTGCTGGAGTGCGTCGTAAGGCCGGGAGATCGAAGCCATGCTCAAGACCTCGACCTAAGACTCCTTTCTGGCTCTCGTCGAAAGTGCATAGACTTCCCAGCTCGAGCACAGCCCTCATAGCAAGAGGCACTTGCTTCTCGTAGACGCCTTCGACGCTTGGGTGGTTGAACAAGGTGGCAAGTTTCTGGTCTTCTCTGACGTAGACTTCTTCGGACATCACAAGCTTGAAAAGATGGACCGAGTGATGTCCGTTTGGCAGCGTGTGGGTGACCTTTTCGACAACGCAGCCTTCCACATCAACATCGGGCAACTCATTTCCCTTGAGGTTCAAGAACAGTTGTCTGGGTACTTTCACTGTGAGGGGATGCACCTTCTTGTCAATCAGAACAAAAGCTCGAATTTGTCCTGGCGTCTCCGAGTCTCGCAGCTGCAATACCTGCCAAGTATTGATGAACAACAATTCTGCCTGGTTCTGAAAGAGACTTCCGAGGGTGTCTGCTGCAGCATTACTCCGTTCGCCAAAGAGCTGGCGTCGACGTATGCGAGCTTGCTTCTGAATCTTCCATTTTTTCTTTTGATACCGAAGAAAACCTTCGTAGTCTTCGGTCATTGATGGCATCTTTGAAGGAAGACTGGCATAGGGGTCTGCGTTCGCTACAGTTGCTGGCTCTGGAGCTTTCCTTTTCTGCACCATTCGGGTGACCTCGCCCGTCTTAGCATTCGAAAGCTGGGATGATCCAAAATCCTCCACGTCAGTAGGTAGTCGGTGATCCAGAGTGTTCATAGATATCTCAGACAGCGGTGCCTTGTCGAAGAGGTCGGTCATCTTCTTCTGCTTGAACCTGTCGTCCTTGACATTGATCCTACGTTGTAGCCAATCCGGATGCGCAACCCGTGGAACTGGGTTGCGAACTTTCTGCAAAGCGGCAGGGATGGTAATGAGCTTCTGAATCACGCCACTCAAACGTTCGGTGTAGTAGTCCCAATCAATGAGGGCTCGGGGGTTCATGTCGCTTGGGTCTTCTCGCATCCACTTCCGCAAGAAATAGCGTTTGACTTGATCGTCGGCCGAGAAAATAGCTACTGGTATCGCTCTCTCGGTCACTGGCGCGTTTTTGGGCTTGGCCGAGATGATGTACTTGCAGTTCAGACCCTTGTCTTTGACCATCTGCAAGCCCAAAAATTCGGCCAATCTTTTGGCAGTGGTAATTGATGTCGACTTCTGCGCACCATACTCCTCGAGAGCTTTCGACATACTTCTGTTTTCACAGATCAGATCAATCAGCTCTTCGTCAGCGAGTGTCGAACCATGTTGATGCAGAACATCAAGCCACCGGTTGGCCACCTTGGATACTGAGGCGTATGTATCCGCTAACGTATCACCCTCAAGGAAGAATTTGAAAATCTGTGTTTGGAAAATTTTGATAAGCTTGAGCTCTCCTCTCCTCTTGACCTCGAAGCCTTTGAGCTCGGCGAGGCTACCATCATGATTGAATACTGCGTAGCGCTTTTTGAGATTCTTGTCTTCCTCTTTTGAGGTTGGCAATATCATAGCCCGGTATGGCCCATCAACTTCGAAAAAGATGGTGTTGTCACTATGCGTCTCGTATTTGAAAGTCTGAGGATCGATGAGGTCCTGGTACTGGTGATTGGTGAATTTGCCATGGACAAGATGGTTCAGCATAACGCAAGGGTAGGAGATTGGCAGCTTCTTGCCGTTCTTGAGCGTGAAGACGACATTTTCGGGGAAAGTAGCTGGTAGCATGCACCAGATACCATCAGTGTCAAGTTCTAGAGGTCTTCCTATCCGCTCCACCAGTTCTCTTGCCATCTGTATGATGTGGGCTCCAGTCAGGCATGTCACCCCGGCCATTTCCATTGAATACCATCGCGAGCCTTTACGCATAACGTACCCATAAAAACTGTTCAAGATGACCTTGTGAGCCAACTGAAGCGAGTCGTAGAGAACTACCATCTTCTTGGCCTCTTCAACCTCCGCCGCTGACGCTCCTGACGACATCAGCAACTCGGTGTTGTTCTTCCATACCTTTTGCTTGCCCTTGAAGTCATATCGACGGTCTCTGAAGTCTTTGACGGTGTCGACGTAGAATGGATTCTCTCGCTGGCAGATGATGGCCTCACGCTCAATGGTCTTCGTCTCGTGGATCTTGTGATAGATCTTCTTGCTGTAGTCCGTAAGTCGCTTTTTCACCATGCCGGCCTGCTCTTCAACGCTCATTTCCTGGAAGGTTCGAGCAGGGCTGTTGGGGTAGCGACCTGGAAAGCGCTCGTTTTCAACTGCATGTCTGACCATGTTGTACTCATTCTTTTGTGCTGGAAGGAATTCGCCTCTCCACGACCATGGCATTCTTCGATCGCAAGTCTTTCCAGGCCGATTGAAGTCACAAGCTGCGCAGTCGGATTCCTCGATCATAGAATCTGGCTGTAGCCGGTTAGTCGTCATGATGTTTGGATACATCGATGCGACATCCAAGTGGTAGATGGACGGTCTTTCATGCCTGTTCGGTGTGACTTTCAGACTCTCCAGCTTTGCAACGACCTCAGCTTTCACCTCAACATAGTTTGTGACATCTTCCAAAGACTTCTTTTCCTCTACCACGATACTGAAATGTAATGCAGCGTCAAGATCTTGTATAAGCTCGTCGACGGCCGTGGTGTCCAATGCAAAGTTCACTGGTATGTCGCTCCTGAATACGCCTGCTTCAATACTCTCCACATGCCCTCCTACATAGGTTTCAGATTCGAGAAGATGACCATCCCAGAAAGTCTCTTTGGGCTCCTTGTGTTTGTTGGGGAGGACAATGCCTTTCTGGTAAGCCTGAACCATAAGAAGCATTTCACACAAAGTTCCCGTGCCTTTGCGCAGGACATCATCCGGATTTAGAGGGATGATATTACATAGCGAGAAGATGAAAGGATGGACATATTTCATGTAGAGATAGTATGTCGCCACTGCATCTGAGACTGAGTATTCGGCCAAGGTCTGTGGCCGCTCACTCGCATATCGGGTCATTAGCTCTGGATCTAGTTCATCGGGATCGTATCCTAGTTTGGCCACTGTCACAGCTTTCAAGCCTCTGCTACCCTGGGGCAGATAGCTATCTCGACTGACCCAAGAAAAACAGTCCATATGGACGCCGTAATCACTATGGTAGACGTCTTCGCTGTTCTTTCGAAATCCAATTTCCTGGTACATGTCGATTCCTAGGACACTAGCTCTGGCTTCAACGAATGGCCAATCAAAGAAGTCACCGTTGTAGGTTGCTATCACCGTTGGACGAGCATCTTTGATGTGTAGAAAGAATCTCTCTATGAGTGCTTTCTCGTCCGGCTCATTGAAAACAAGGAAAGGACCGTCGTACTCCGGCTTTGGAGTATATTCAAAGTCCGCGATGTCTTCCGAGACAATCTCTCGATTGGTGATCAAGAATCCTTGTCCGTCAATCATGTATGAGATCATCATGATTTGGTCTATGACTGCGTCCGGAAATTTTAAGGGCAATTTAGTCGTCTCAATGTCATAGGCGAGGACCACAGGGTCGGCTCTTTGTATTCGCTCTTCAATACAGGTAAGACTTGTAACGCCATGCTTTGCTTCCACGGTGTACCATTTCCCAATTCGAATATCTGGAACAATCAGCACAGCGCGGATATGGCTGACCTCACTAAGCTCCAACCTTTATCAATTGCAACCCGGACATGGTATGGAACGTCAAACTCCCGAATGTCGACAATGTAATCACTTGCGTCCGCTATGCCATTAGTTCGTCTATCATTTTCTCGTTCATCGTCAAAAAGGTCAAATCCAGCATTGGCACTTGGAACGTCAGCACACCAAAGCCTTGACGAGGAAATCTGTGTTCTGTACCTGGCCACCTCAGCATATGTATCCATTGCATTCATGCCGCTCTTGTTTTTCTCTGCAATTGGCATCATGGTCTTTCTCACACTCAACAGATCGCCGACATTCTCGAACGCCAGTTGCAAGAACATCCTTCGATATCCTAACAAATGGTTTGGCATTTGGAGGTCCTCCTTCTCTGTACGCTTGACTCCTTTCACCAAGCCCTCAAACTTCCGTCGGCACCATTCCTCCACCTCAGCTTCCTTGCCCTTTCTCACAGCGATCAGAAAGTATGGATCATATTCTAATGTAGCCTTGAACGTGCCGCCATCCTCTTCCAAGAAGTAATAGTCGACCCCAGCGCGCCCGCCTGGAATTTTCTCATTTTCGATAGTGGTACTGTGCATGTTGCACAGCCATCCTATCTTCTTTCTACCCGAGTCATAGCGCGCAAAACCCATAGACTCGTCAATGATGTGAGCGAGGCGCGTAGCTTGTAGCTTCTCATCTTGGGAGGTTGCTTCGCTCGCACGTAGGGTAAAGGCATCGACTGTTTTGGTCCGACGTGGATTGAATGATGATTTTGCAGAGCGGAAGTTGCTGCCATACCGCCGATCTGGTTTTCTGGAAGGCATCGGAGGGTCAGGGGTAGCTAGCCTGGGGTAATTAGGAAGCTATAGGAGGCATTGGGAAATGGAAGATCAAAGCGTGACCTGGCAATCTTGCGAGCCCATTTCCACCACGAGATTGTGTCAGAAGAACAATAAATCGACTGGTCCTCTCTGTGCAGTGCACGAAGAAAGCACTTTACCCACCAAAGAACGCGTGACGCGTGATTTTGGGTCGGCGCCTCAGGCGCTACTCTAAGATTAGCGGAGTGTTCCGTCATTCAACCGCCGTCCTATACCTAAGCACCCCGACTTCAGGAACATCAAAAAAAGCTCGAGGTTGAACTTTGTTTTCTTAAGATGGCCGCTGATACTCGAGAAGACGCGATCTCCAAGCCACCTGTGCCTTCTAAACCAACGACGTCTCCATCCAAAGGCACTGCCCACGAACCATACGCCGTTCCTGTAGCACCACCTAATGCTAATGCTTTACCTGGAGGTGCTGGTTTGAACACCGCAGGTGGACGAACGAAAGAGGCTGGCTACTTTGACGCCCTGAGAAGCATCCAATTCAGCGACTTCCAGGAAGTACACAAGAAGCCCTGCGTCCGTGATGCGTTATTGACAGGCATTGGTGGCGGGTTTGGAATAGGTGGCGTCCGTGCTGTCTTGGGTGGTACGTTCACCTCTTTACATATTGCCAGACACGACGCTGATCGATGTAGCCTCTGTGTGGACAACATGCAACTCCGCGGTTGGGTCGTTCGTATTCGGGTCGTTCTTGATGTACGAATATTGCCAGAGGAGGAGATACTTAGAGATGCAGGGAATGAAGAGGGCCGTGGAGGTAATCGACCGGAAGCAAGCAGAGAAACAAAAGAAAGCCGAGGAGGCCAGAGCAGCACGGAGGAAGGCCAAGGAAGAGAGCTAGGGTATGTTCTGGCCGGAATATCCGATAATGGTTACCAAAACGCAAGTGTGGTATGGCTGCATTAATTATGGAAACAATTCTTCACAACAGCTTCGAGGTTTAACAGTGAGAAATGGCCATTGTTCTCCCTCAAATGCCACGACCTTCGCTACACATTTCCCATCCAAGCACCAATTGGTCAATGCGGCCGAAGATCCACAACATCGAACTCTAGCCCTTTTGCTTCATAAACATGCCCGGGACGCAATGCATCAGTATAAATATTGCTCTCGGCATGAGGGTGAAACAGCCCCGTTTGCGTGCAATTAAGCACCGTCTTCATCCCAGGAGGATCTGTCAACCGAAACACGCCCCAATCTCCTTTGCTCGGCGCGCACACAATCGCAATACTTTCTGGCATCATCACTTGGTAGCCGCCGTGAGTGTGTAGATCTCTAGAACTCATGAAGCAAGTCTGTGTTGGGTGCGTATGTATCCAGCCAAGTACCATAAGATCTTCTCCGTCAACATAGTCAAAAAGCTGACTTTCATTGATCGTCTCACATGTATCCGACGTGCTTTCCTGATCTGGTATGACGAGCTTAGAGATGAACAATGCGTTCGACACAAGAGTGCCACAAAGGATACCACAAGTTTCTAGATTAGCACGTGTATTTGGTAGGGCGATTGACAGGAAGCGATGACGAAGATCTGGTGGTAGGAAAATGGTGCGAAGTGGCGTGCCACTCTCCAAATATGCAGATGGCTTGAAAGTGAAGGTCGACGGTTTCAAATCTTGCTGTGGCGCTGGGTTTTGATCAAGATTGAATAAAGTGCTAGATGCTGAAAGCGCCTCCTTTTCAGGTCGAAGGGGCAGCGCATTTTGATTTCGGGGTCTATCAGCATCGTAATCCTTGGGCGGCAGTTCTGGCGCCCCAAGGGATGTTGGTGTACTCCGAAGGGAGTAGTCGTCCAAAGAGCTGGATACTTGAGGGGAAGGCTTCCAAGATCCGGAATCGCGGTGTTCAGGTACCGCTGGATAATGGTAGTTTGATTTCTGGCTTTCGAAAGATGGTCGAGAGCTGCCATTCCTGGTTTCTGCGCTTGTTGAGCCGCTCACCTGCAAGCGAACATTTTGCATCTGTCTGCTAAGAGTGTCTTGATCAATGCTTTCGTCATTCTTGGTGAACGCCTCTTCCCAATTTCCCCATACTCCTGCGGTTCGTCTTTCGTGTTCCACCTCCTCAGATATTCCTGCCTGCCTCGTAGCCTTCCTAGCTGTAGCCCGCCGTCTGATCTCCTTATGAGCTAATTTGACAGCCAAATCTCGGTTTTCTCCAGCCGCTAGAGTCTCGGTATCGCTGTCCGCCGGCGGATCGGATATTGGGCGTTGACTTGGGACTTGCTGGTTTGAGAGAGCCTTCTGCTCTCTTGACCGAGAAGCTTCCCTTGCACTCGCAGAAGCTCTCCTAGTATCGCGGTCATGTAGGAGTTGCTCGTATCGCTCGTATCTTTTATTGATACGTGGCTTCAGTACCTCGAGTTTCATGAGACCATGGTCAACGTCCTTGTTCGCCTGCGCCAAAGCAAGGCGATTCTTGCCTTGTCTGGCATCAGGATGTGTCGAAAGGTTACGAATCACCAGTTGGGCATGCCGGAACAATAAGAGATAGGTCTGCTGGTCGTTGCCTTCGTGTTCGTAGATCTCCGCCTGTAAAACAACGGTCAGCGCGGGTTGCAGGCTTTCTATGCAATAGCACGTACCTCTTTCAGCAAGGTCCCGGCGGTTCTTAGCCAGTACTTAAGAGGTATCAAGGGATTGTAGTCAAAGTTCTGAGCTTTCTTGACGATTTGTTCCACGTTTAAAGGCCTGGAAGGACCTGTCTCTTCAATGGTGCGCGGAGCCATCCTTTTTGTTCGGTCCTGTATGGGTTTCAAGTAGCCGTTCTTGATGGGCAAGCATGCAACAATTGACGCCTAGGCACCATGACGATAGAGTGTCAAAAACTTGTCAAAGATTTCAATATACTCATAGTGGTCATCAATATTGCTGCCTAGGGCAGATGATGTGGCTTTTCGAATCCTGCGTCGTTTGAAGACGTAAAAGTGCACTCCACCTTTGGTCGCGGCACGCGTGGCAATAAATTGATTGAGAGAGAGGTTGTGGCGCAAGTAGGAAGTGTACAATTATCTACAACCACATAATAATTGCCAGAAAGCCTCACATTTCGCAATTTTATTCCGTCTGGCGCTTGGTCTTTGGAGAGGTTGTGCATCACTCTTGCACGTATCATTCCTTGATTTCTCCACCCTCTCATCGTGCGTCATGGCGCATTATTGCGCTCCATAAGAGAGAAGTCAAGGACATCTACAAGCGTTCGATGCGTTCTACAGCTTCCCGAATTACCAAATATCCTTTGGTGGACCGAATTGCAGCGGTATCCAATGCCTGGAAATCTCGGACGAACATCGTCAGTCCTGATCTTTGCGGTATGTCTAACTTGACGATCGATGCAGAGACCCTCCTTTCTAACATTATCAGACGATGTCATACAGCGCCTGGCTCCGTCGCTGGCACAGCATATCGGCTGCACCATCATAGATATAAATCCGGGCATAGGTTTGTGGTCTTCCAAGCTCCATGACTACCTTAAACCTCGCAACCACATCCTCATGGAACCCAAGCAGAACGTCTATCTACCTTTCCTCCAGCCACTGCTCGATGCTCCTGGCTCTCGATATCGCCTTAAGGACTGGCTGGACTCAGACCTATGGCAACCCAAAAGATATGTCGAAGAAGGGCTGTTGCATGATGCAGAAGGGTATGGTGGTCCTCCTCCTACGACTGAAGAACCGAACAATTCGATCTTGATAATTGCAAATTTGGCGGGCCAGCGCCAAAAAGTTCCGGGAGAATCAAGGGCTGCCACGTCTGCTCATCTGAAAGCCATTGACTTCTCACGCGCCGTGAGGCACCGATCAGGGTTCCAAACTTATGGGCCAACGCGGATGCTCATGTGGTTATCTGATGAAGACAAGCGTGCCCTTTTGCCGAGGACTGTGGGCTATCGGGGGAAACTCTCAGTATATATGGAGGCCAATTTGGATCTGGAAGAAATAGTAGGGTTTCCACACGCTTCTGGCGCGAAAATACGCCGCGAGGATGCTCTAAATATTGGATCAAGCAAGCAGGTTGCGAAACGGATGCAAGAGAATGACATAAAGATACCCTTACGTCGTCAAACTGGGGCGGGAGACAGGAAATATGACCTCTCGGAGGTATCTCGTTACTGGCATAAAGAATTGCAGGACCTAGAACAGGGTTTTCAAAGAGAATATTTTAGCCAGTATGCGAAGAGACCAGCCGCAGAGCCGATTGACGGACACATGCCTAAGGAAGGGAGCGGAAAGGCGAAGAGTAGGACTTCGGTTACTCTTACTCCTGAATACAAGAGAATGATGACGCTTCGTCATGTCGCCAATGGCCAAAACGTCACAATCGACCGAATCAATACAGTCTTGAAAAAGCAGGAAAAGATAGACAGAATGGACCTTGATCTGCATCGCGAGGATATAAAGGCATTGGAGCAAGAGGAGATTATCAACGCGTTGGACTATAGGATCCAGGATTTCAAGGATGAGCTAGAGGGATTGACTGCGAAACAAAAGAAGACACTTTTCTTCCTCGACGACGACCGAAGAGCATTCGCGATGGACCCTCCGCTACTAATGTGGGACCGGCGCAAAGCTGAGCCCCTCTCAGCTGAAAAGGATGAGTTCTACGCGTCGAAAGAAATTGCTCTTTTAGACTTCCAGCCAAAGACAACCGACAAATTCTCAATGACCTCGGAACAGTCTTACTACTTCGACCTAATCTCGACGTCCCTCCTTGGCCCAAGAGGTCAAGCAACACTCAAGCATCTCAAAACGATAGCACCAGGAGCTTTCGAAGCTCTGGTACCTCAAGTACCAGCCATCCGAGACCCACGAAAAGGAGGCCGATATGATATAGAAAGCGTGCGTGTTCGGGCTGTGACTCCAGAGATGTTCCACGGCCTTGCTGTTGCTTGGGACAATTGGGTGTTCAAGCCTCCAATAGAGGACGTGCTGACTCAGTTTGGTACCAATTATAAGGAGGGGACTGCGTTAAGGAAAGGGGCCATAGCAAGGCTTTGAATCCAACAATTCTTGATACTCTTTCATGTGAAATCGAGCTCGTGAGTTGAACTCATTTCGGGTATATCATGCATCACACCGCTTGAAAATCCACGGCTGGAAGTACTACTTGAGGACGCTGGAGGAATTGAATTACGTCGCCTTCGCTTGCCTCCTTCTCATTGCAAGTCCTGCTCTTAACCTCTCAACAACCTCCTTACCAATCCATCTCCATTCCTCCCCACGCCTGCTCAATCCGTCCGCCCACGCCAACAGTATTCTCAGATTCCAGAGCCTCTCCCTCATCCCGCTTCCCATACAGGCCCTTTCCAGCACCAGCCTGTCATCTATAACAGTCCCTCTCGTACCTCTGTGGACCACACTGCCCGCGTCAGCAGGTAACACAAGTGCTTGCTCCGCTCGGTTAAATTCTGCTAAAGTAGGCAAAGCGAAGATCCATCTGAAAGCCTGTATACCTAGCTGGTGGGTTGACTGTGCGTCGTTGAGTGCCTGCATTGTGGCACTGAAGACTGAAGCGTGGGCATCGTATGCAGCGCAATGGCGCACATATATGCTTTGATGACGTTTGAATGCGTCGTAGTGGATAGAATTTTGTGCAAGGTCGAGAGTAACGGTCCAGTGTTCCTTGTCATTTGTTTGGATTTTGGCAATCGTCTCGATCTCTGGCAGAAGGCATGGTGCATGCATTGCAACTTCCGTGCCAGTGCGAAGGGTAACAATGATGGGCAGTGACACAGGTCGGTGCGTGTCAACATCCCGCAGTATTAAACAGCGGCGCTCGGTGGCCAAAACCCAGAAATGGCGGAAGGCTTGGAGATGCGATTTGTTGTCCAGCACAGCGTTTGGAAAAAGAGGATAGAGAGCACAAAGCAGTGATGCTGTAGCTATGTTAGTAGTGCCAAAGGTATGGGTTCCACCACCCATGAAGAGGATGCCAATAGCGAAGTGTCCTGCGAGGTGGCTGCCAAATGGTGTATCTGCATCGGTCCTGCCGTGAAGAGATCGGAGGCGACGGAAGATATGTACGTCGCCTGTACCGGCCATCACGCAACATGCTGCGAGCACTGCGACATCTTGGCAGTTACGGACAGTGATACGAGCAAGTTTGCCATCGTAACTCAGCGTCGGTAGCTTGCAGATACGCATAAGCTGGTCGATGTAGTGACAAAGCATACTTCGGACTTCTAGAGACCCCGAACCTGCGAATCGAAGACCGATGCTGAGACAAAGACCGGCGACAATGTTGAAGAACGGCATATCTTCGCTGGTAAGAATGCGAATGGTAGTCAGCTTGTGTTTTTGCTGGTATACCAGCGGAAGTTGTTTCTTCATCCATCTGGTCGTAGGTTGTATATCGTCCCACATGATAAGGTGCCGAGCGACTGTCCTCAATAAGAATATATCTGGTCGCACATAATCAAATTGGTGAAGAGTATCAGGTACGTCAACTTTCCGGGCAAGGGCTTCATCGTTGGTCTTCATAAAGATGAGGGCGATGGCGACAGTGGCAGCTGCTGTTGCTTTATCAAGTATATGTACGATGCTGACTTTCCTCGAACCAATGGCAATTACCAACAACCTTTCCGTAATGTGCATATCATGCAACCCTTTTAGATCTTTGCCCCGACCTAGGTTGATGTAGCCCAACGCAAAGCCTGCAGCCAGTCTATAGCCTTCGTCTCGGAGGTTATCAAAAGGATGTGAATTATCTTCCTGGTCGACATTTTCCAATTCCGAAATCATGATTTCACTCATACGACGATGCTGAGAATTGCAGTACAAAAGACCTATGCCCATGATTCCGCTGGTCTGAGTCAACGGAGACAAATTGAGCTCAGCAGCCCCTGGTGGTAGCATTCGAGTCACGTGGACTGAAAGTAAGCGCGTGATAAGAGTATCCATCGTGCCAAGATAGGATGCTGAAAGCCCAAGGAGAAGCCCAATGGAGGTCATCGTATGCTTTGGTGTCAGATACTTGAAAGCGACCCATTTGGCTATGGATTTGAGGTGCCCGTTAAGGCCCAATGCAAGTAGGAATCCTGCGTGCCTGGTCTGGAGGTCACGAGGCTTGTTAAAAAGTATCCACGACGTGTCGATGCCATTAGCGTTCTTTGAGATGCTCAAGCCAGCTTCAACACCGGCGTGAAAGAACGCCCAAGAGGTCTTCTCTTCTGTATAGGTGTTCCGATCCGCTGTGACTGTCGTATCAGAGGGCTTCATGACGCAGCTTAAAGTAAAGCCGTGGATAGGGAATTTCTCGGTGAGAAGAGGTAAGCGAGCGCTATAAAAAAGTAGACCCCGGCCTAGTGATACAGACAGCGTTCGCACTGCTATCACTTTCACTAGCTCTTGTTGGGCTTCTAGCAAATCCGTATCAGACCACTCAGGCTCAGGCGTGCATCGAGCCACAGGGTGCAGGAGCGGATGCACAAGCCTTGCAGCTTCGGCAAAGCGCTGGTCCTCTTTGAACAGTAAGCGAGTGACTGCTTGTCTATCAAGCTCGGCGGAGCCATCAAACGGCCCAACAGTTTCGACTTCAAGTGTTGATTGACAAATGCTATGGACGTCTCTTATCGCGTCATTAGAAGAAGGATTGGCGTATTTTCCGTGTCGCCTCGTTGTGCGTCCCTCGTGCTCGAGCATAGCTACATCTTCCCTACCAACAACCTCAAGGATGTCACTGCCCCATGACGTTGAGGGTTGGCCTTGACAAGTCGAGATCGCTGCACGAAAAGAGACAGCCACGCTTTCTGGAAGGGTTTCTAAAATTGATGGGTTCCACCCCCAGGCCGACATGTTTGCAACTCGGCGTTCAGTTGTCTCTAGTGTGTGTGAGGTAAGGAGATTTTTAATAGCCACTGTTCTTGGAGTGAGCTCCAACAAGAGTTTTGCTGAAGCTTCAGCGGAGCGTTTGCCCGCGACCTCAACTTCTGGCGAGCTTGCCACGTCAAGAAGTGAGATGAAGGGTGCTGTCTCGGCTTTCACGTTCGTCGTCTCGATGAATTGCAGTATCGAATGTGGTAGAAATGGCTCAGGAGGGATTCGCATGCCAGTAATTACAGAATCATCAAAAAGCCAGGCCTCCAGATTAGTGGCCTCCAGCATATAATAAGAGGATTGTTTGAGTCCCCAGTTGTCCCAACCAAGCCAGCTGCCAATCTGTGCAAGGATGGGTGTAAGGTCATGAAGAGCTTCCGAAGCCAAGGTGTCCAATTTGAATTCTTCACGCAGAAGATGAAGGCCGACCAGGATGGAAGCCAGAGCAGTACGGCGAACGTCCGGATCCCTTGATGATGCAGTGGGGAGATAGCCATGTTCACCGTTTGCTATTTGCCCAATGGGCGACTTGATAAAATCCCGAGCGATGGAAATGCAGTGAAGGAGATACGGAGATTTCTTTGGAATAGGTACCGCAGGAGCGACGGAAGGGATGAAAGAGCTTGAAGATTTCGATCTTGTAGGAAGGGATGCATGTAACACGACGCTTTCCTTTGCCGTCCACTCCCAGCCTCCGACCTGCATCCACGCTGGGCAGGTGCTCGAGGGCCCTCCTTCCTGATTTAACATAGCTTCCCAGCTCGCTAGATCGGTGTTCGCTCCGCTACTAGATCTGAGTAGACCACCTTTGCGTCTGTTCTGTCTCGTGGCAGCCTCTGTGTGCCGGTCTCCAATCAAAGCAATTGCCATGGAGAAAAGAAGGACAATCATAGCCGTCCATTCGGTATCGATTTCTTTTTCCGAACGAGACTGTACAAATGATAACGTGTCCCACCAGCCTCGCAGAATGGCCTCTCCGTCTGCATCCGAGGATGGTAGAACCGACTCAGCAACTTTTATCATCTTCTGTACCACTGCGTTGCGTGGTCTGAGTTGTACCTTCAGGCGATGTCTTGTGCCACCGGAGTCCATCACATCCACACGTCCTTGACAACTTGGATGTTGAAGGGCGACCAAGGCTTGTGGTCCCCGGCTAAATCTTCTCTTGAAGCCCCCCTCACGTCTTTGTCTCAAGATGACATCGCTACTTATCTGGTAGGGATTGTGGAGGCAGAGACTGGGAGGGAGTTCAATCTTTCGGAGGCAACTCCATGGAGCTTGCAAGGACAGTACTCCCATGCCATCGCTGCTACTCTCGAGTACCAAAATCCGGGCGCAGGAACCATCATCAATCTTGCAAGCGTCGATAACCCCAGATCGTCTTGTCATGCCACTCACGTGGACTCTATACCCTTGATGGACAATTCTAGCCCCGCCATGTACGTTTTGATGTCTGTTGCTAGTGTAACGTGGATGCACGGTGATTTGTAGGACCAGTAATTCGTGAGACGCTCGGTCAACGAGACAAACAACAATCGCGGCGTCGTCAGTCGCATCCCCAAGGCTAGCATCGGGTGACCTCATTGTTATGATTTCACGTGCAGGACCGCTTGGTTGGGGGCCGGTTTTTTCAAGCCTACGGCCTTCGCTAGGCATACTGTAGATTTTGTGGAAGACGACTTCCTTACGCAAGCCCCGTACGGCTTCCTGCAAGGCTGGATTGTCCAGACTCATGTCATGAAAGTCATCAAGCTCGTGTGCCATGTCATCAAATGGGGGTTCGTGCAGACTGACCGCGTCAAAGCTATTTCTTATTCCATGAAGAGTCTGTGGTCTCGTATCCATGGCTACAGCATCCGGACCAACGCTCAGCCGCGCGCCGTTGGGTCCAAATGAAGCTCCTTTACGTCCACTTTTCCTCCCAGCATGAGCGCCCGCGAGGTCGGTGAATGTTGATCTGTCGTGAGTCGTGGAAAGATCTGCCCTTGCAAGCAATCCACTAACTCGCCTGGAGGACTTGGCCGGCATAGCAGGATCGCCGAAAGCTGAATCCAATAGGTCATTTTGATCACTTATCGAGTATTCTTCCAATGTTGTATCCATGCTAGAATGACGGTAGTTTCTTCCACCACCGAAACTCTCGCGTCCACCAATAGCTCCTCTAGCGATAGGGGTTGAAGTGCCCGTGCCTATTCCAGGCCCATACGAACTTCGGCGACGAGACCTGGCGCCAGTCGCAGTCGGAGTCGGAGTCGGAGTCGGGTTTGGTTGACCACGCAAGGAGCTTGCAGCTCCACGATCGACGTATCTGACGGTCCAGATACTAAGAATGCCAGTCTCGTGATTTTCAGTCACTGCAAGAGCAAGTGGTCCTCTGATCGAGGGATCCGGAGCACGCTGAGACAATTCATCTCGAGACGAAACGTAAAGGAGATTTTCTTCTGATCCGAGGGCCCCAAACGCGGATGTGCTTTGCGAATTTATCTTCCCTGTGCTCTTGACGTTGGGTCCTACGTTTGTGGCCACGGTACCAATTTCGGTAAGAGGATCAGTGAGACAGAACAGTTTTGGAAGCGATATATCTGGAGCCTGAGCTGATCGCTGCAGAAGTCCGTGTAGGAGTGATATGATTGGAGAGTCATGATGTTGTGCTGAGGAAACTTCGGCGAGGGTTTGATATCCTTGTGGTCTTGAAATTGGGCTTGAGAAGGTCGCTTGAGAAAACGCAAAAGAGTTATTTGGCACAGACGGTATTTGAGGAGTTGGCGGTACTGTTTCCTTCTCGGGAATTTTTCTCTGTAGCAGTATGCCATAAATGCAAGGGAAGACAGCATCGACCTCGAACGGTAGATGCACGATATGGCTTGTCTCGGAGAAGAAGAAAACATGGGCTTGAGTTTTCAGCACAATGACGAGGGCTCGACCTTCTAGAAACTGGTCATCCCGTTGGCTACGCGCAGGTAGTTGGTTCTGCACCCTTCCATCTTTTTCGGGACCATCCTTCTGTCCCCTTTTTGGTCCTGATCTCGAGTTTGATGCTCTCTGTGTCCTGACATTGGGCTCGTCATTCACTGTACGCTGTCTCCGGTCATGGTGAGGTGATATATTGGAATCACCGGAAACTTGTAGGTGCTTCAATGTTTGGTTTGGGAACAGTGCAAACACGGCTTGTGTAACTGGCTCGCCCTCGACGTCGAAGCGGAAAACCCGTTGTATTACACCTGCTCTAGACCAGACAACGCAGGATTTCGTAGTCACGAGTTCCTCCTCCTCCACATTGTCTTCGAGGCTCGGACCTTGAAAGGATCGCCATGTAAATGCATCATCCGGTGGGTCCGCTGGAAGAATGTTCTCTGCAATGAGAAATGGAAGTGCTGAAGGCGTGTGGACGCCCAGGGAGGTCACCGAAGCCATGACCAGTTGTGCCCCTCCTCTACCCTGTCATCAATGACGCTATGGCTCCCTGACTTTATTTGTGCTGACATTGTTCGAAAATGTCCAGTCTAGTGTCAATAGTACCGTCGCGTCGCGTCGCGTCACATCGAGTGTGGTGTTGAAACCTATATAAATGTGCTTATTCTCTCAACCGGCGGAGAACTTCCCGCTCCGCAACCAAACCCATCGTCGCTTGCACCACCACGAATATTACCGTTCGTACAAACATAGAGCGTTGATACCTGCTGTGTGGCAATCCTAAAGCTGCTTTGCTTCATGCCTTGTGTCTGAGAATCACATCAATCTACGGCTCAGGGACACTTCAGAGGAGTAGCAGTCATGAGGCCGAACATTCGCGCTCTCGATGGCTTGCTTCATATATGGTAGCATGACATAGCGTGCCCATTATGAGAGACCGCTCGCTAAGGATTCCTCTAGCTACGACCTGCCCCACCGTGTTCATACAGCTAAATCATACCCACTGCCTTCACCCAATGGCTCCACAATTTTTGTTTACGGGCATGAGCAGGGTCTTCGCGTTGTCTGGAGAGGAGGACGAGCTTTCAAGCACCAGCCAATGGCTATGGAGAAGAAGCCCACGTCCAACAACGCAAGTGAGGGTGCAATCATGATTATTGATTCTGATGAAGAGGCGCCTGAGAAATCTGAGCAGCCGCCGTATCATGACAATCCAGATTTCGAAGAAGAGGATGGCGAGTTCGATGTTTCCGAGCCTTATGATCCTGTTGTACAGACGCTGGATCTATCACTTGGTGTTGAGGTTCTACATCTGGATTTCCCTCGTCTGCCGGCAGACGCTCAGAAGTCAAGCCTAGAATCACTACCCATCCTCTTTTCTCAGAAGCTTGTTCTTGCTGTGGCTTGCTCTGATTGTTCGGTCAGAATACTTCTGGTCCCTCTTCTGCCACCCTCTCCACAAAGTATGTATAGACTCGAATTGAGGAATACGGCTTCCAATTTGGTCATTGGAAAAAGCGTATTCGGTGAACAGATGTTCGTGCTTTCGAGCGGTACTACACATCGAAGCATCCCTAAAAGTGTTTCGATAACCATGACATCGACCCCTCCAGAAGATCTGAAAGACGTTGGTATGGCCGAAGATGATACCAGCAGTAAGAAACCGGATCTACGACGTAACGTCTCACGGTCTGCTTCGCGAAGTCGCAGTAGATCTCGACTTGGAGATCATCAATGGGACTTGCTCATTGCATCGCACTCTGCAGACCTCTCAGGCCTACTCCTGATCCACAGGATCCCTATACTTGTGGGGGAAGCGGGCTTATCTCCCGAGTTGCACATTCCATGGCGGACTCAATATCTTGCCTCACCAACCGTATCAGTATATTTCAATTCTGCACTCTATCCGGCATCGCGGCACTCTCAATTACTGATCGCAGAGGCGAAGGGTGTGGTAAGGATACTGGATTGTCTCCCTCAGTCCAAAGCGGCCGAAGGCTCCTGGCGCTTATCCCTTTACACCGACTTTGAGACTTTGCAGGACTCCAAATCAAGGCGTAAGCCCATCTTAGACGCGCAATGGGTCTTGGGGGGCAAAGCCATCCTAGCGCTGCTGGCAGATGGTAAGTGGGGCGTTTGGGATCTCGAAAACGCAGGCCCGAAACCCACAGACGGGACCAATCCTCTTTGGAGCACGTCAGTAGAGCCTCTGACGAAATTCGCGCTTCAGGGTTGGGTTGGCGATCCATTGAAGTCGAGGACGTTGCTCAAGAGCTCGAGCACGAATACAGAAAAGATATCTAAATTAGCTCCCATGACACCTGGTACCCGCAAAATAAGACAGCAAGCATTGTTTACAGAGCCCACACCTCAATCAGACGGGCCTATGCGAGGTGGCCTTTCTGTATCCCCAGTCCACGATGCGTCAGAAACTAGAGCAGATGACGAAGCTGTGCTTGCATGGCACGGAAGTACCGTTGCCGTGATACCCAGCCTCTTCATCCATTGGCAAAACAAAGCCCGAGGATCTGGAAATCTCTTTGGGAGTGGGGCCAAAGGTGAACCAAAGATGGTCTATAACATCCAGCCAGGTGGAGAATCGTGCAAGGAGGCCTCTCTAATGCCATCCTCTCACCGCTTGGGGTCAGCGAAGGACGAAGCAACTCATCCAGACATACTCGTCACGGGAGATCATCGACTTGTGATCGTAACTTCGCCTATTGCAGAGCCACAAATGCCTTTCTCTCCCCCTTCGCCACTTCTCTCATCCACGACCGACCAGCAGCTGCTAACCAGAGGAGACCTTGACGTGAATGGAATGGACCGAATCCTGGCCGGTATGTCAAAGAGTCAAACCACGCCAACCCGCAGCTCCCCGAGTCTGTCTCATACGAATGGCAACATCTTCCTGGTGTCGTAATAATGTTGCAACTGTACAAAACAGCCAGTGTTTCTGTTGTATTTAAAATCACATGGCATAGCGTTTGGATACTCGATTGAATCCCTTGCCATTTTTTCAGTAGCCATCCCATAAATCAAATTTCAACCCCATCATCATCAACACACGCGGGTACAAGGTTGAGCCCTGGGAAGATCCATCCCTCTTGCTCAGTATATCCCGCGATACATCAATAGCGACCTCCATCAGCCGTCCGCAACGGCATCGCACGTATCGGGACGGCTTGAACTGGCTGGTTCCATGCACTTGCTCCTCCGGCTTCTGCCCGGAAACCATGCCCGAGCGCGCCTGCTTGCAGGTTGTTGTGACGAAGGATGTGTTCTAGTGAGACGAGACGGGCTTCGCGAGAGGCTTGTTCGAATCCACGTCTTATTGGAACACAGTGCAAGTGCTACAATTCGGTGCAATTATTCGTCGTGTCACCACAACAAAACCTCATGACGGTTCTAGTATCGACGCCTCATCGCTGGGACGTCAAATGTTGGGTTGTGAACGTTTGCTCAATTCTATATTTTATTGTCCTCGTGAGGTGCAAGTCTAGGTGAGTAGACGATAGCGTCTCTCGTGCCTGTCGTAGGCGAAAGTGAAGAATAATTGCTTCAGGCATTTGGTAGCCAAGGGCTCTGCCGCTTTGATTCAGGATGAAGCGTTAAACATTCCATAGTCAATGTCGAAACCTCAATCATTCCAACCCAAGCCTTCCAGCTCTCTTCTGATTTCATCCTCCGTGTCCATTTTCTTGATCTGAGTCCCCTCCAACTTCTCACCCCCGGCACGCCTCATCTTCAGGTCATCAATGGCCCGCAGCTTCTTCAGCAGAGCCCTGGTTTTCTTGTCTTGCGGTGTCCCTCCGCCACCCGGAGAGGTCACCGAGAGCTCAGGAGCTTCTTGTGGCGCCTTTGCGCTTGTGCCATTGGCAGCTGGGGTCGGAAGTGGTGGCCGTTGAGGTTGCTGTTCAGGCTGCCGTTGTTCTTTCTTGCCTTGCTGCGAGCGTGGCGGAGCGTCCAATTGTCCCTTTGACCGGTTCCTCTCATGACCCTTCTGAACTCTCCTCTCTGGACTTCTACTTGGATTTATCGCTGTAACAGAGGAGACGCCATTTGCTGTTGGCGCAAGCCCAGTGGCTTTGTCAGCAGCGTCCTTCGCCTTCCTTGCTTCCCGCTTCTTCTTATTCTTTGCAGCTGCCTTTGACAGATTCTCGTCGCCCTCTGCAGGTGCTGCCCCAGTCGTAGCTTGATTATCCTCGGCCATGGCCGCTGCGCCTGGAATTTCTCGCTTCCTCGGTTTCCCAAAGCCATTGGCTCCAAGACCCAAAGATAGACTGCCATTGCTAATGTATGCGGCACCACCCTCATCTTCACGCTTGAAAGCTAAAGGTGTGAGCGTACCTCGAGCGCCAGGTGGTCGGTAAGCACCAGCCGGCTTCGATGGTGTCTTGACAGTGCCCAAGTATGCTAAAGCAGAGGCATGCGGTGTAGGCATAGGATGAAGAGGATTTTCCAGGGGATGTGACTTTGGAGACTGCGGACGCCAGGTGACATGGTAAAGCTCTTGCAATTCCTCATTATACATCAACCCTCCCCCAACATGCCATATCCTCACACCATTATCGACCCGTAGCCTCGGGCTTGTAGTCGCAGTAAGTATGTGCTTTCCGTCAGGACTCCACTCGCATACACTGGCATTGCTAGCTTCGATAGTGCAGATCTTTTGATAGTCATTTTCCATATCATAAATGTCCATTTGGCCCGCCAAGTTGCCGAAGCCAGCAACTAGTACGAAATTCCCGTGTGGAGAGAAGAGAATTGTGTTCCGAGGACCAAGAGCGAAGTCGTGAGTGGCGTTGGCTTTGGTATTGAAAATTGTGGTCTTAGCTGGCATATAGCCGTATACCACGCCAAATTCTTTCGAGTTCGGCGACCATGTAACGTCATGGATTGGGCCATCCTTGTCTGCGGTGGGTTAGTGTTTTTCTTCTAGCAACCTCAACGAAAGACAGTACCTAGATCTATCCTGGAATCAAAGCCGCCATTGGCGCTCAGGAGATACAAAGTTGTTTCCCCGTAGTAACTCTTGCCTGACTTGTCGACTTCGGTCTGAGCTAACACGATGAGGCTGGTTCCTTGGTCGTTCCATTTGAGCTGAACCTTATCTCCCTTGAAGAAATTCTTTTGAGAAACCGGAGCCTCAAAGTTTGGTACGTTGAACACCTTTACCGCGGCAGGTTGACCCTAGGGTCGCGGTTAGGATTCAATCAGTGCTTGGGCTGGGATCCTGCTTACCTTGCGTTCCGGGATGAATACAGCGATCGAATGGTTCTCACCAGGCGACACAGCAAATTCTGTGACTCCTTCAACCCGCAGCTTGTTCCACACAGTCGCAAGGTCTCCACTTTGATAGAATTGAACCTCATTTGTGACTACGCGCGCACAGTACTGTTCGTCATACGTATACTGGAGGTTCCACCCAGTCTGTGACTTCTGCACAAAACGCCCGACGATATTATGCTCGTCTTCCCCTAGATCCGGCCCTCCCTCGACCACTTTCCATACCTTCAAGTTCTTGACAGCATCACCATTATCGTCCTTTGAGGGTCTTTGCCAAGTAATGATGAAGGTGCCGAGAGGGGAAAACCCTAGCTCGTAGACATTTTGGGCTGGCAAGGACGTGATTACGTGCCCGATAGAAGCGTCGACGACGGTCACTCTGCCGATGCTCAGTACAAGCCCTTCAGTCCCCTCGCCAATTCTTACCTCTCAGGTGATGCCCAAGCAAAGTATCGTCCGCAAGGCGAATAGACACAACATCTGAGATTTCCGTCCGGCCTAGTGACTGGAGGGTCAATCAAAAATTGCCGGATGCAACAAATTGGCGATGGAGTGTTTGACAGAGCACGAACCTTTCGAATCCACGTAACGAGTCATAGACTGGGGCAGCCTCGATAACACCAATGCCTTTGAGCGTTCGATCTAAATGATTACAATTCAGCAGTCAATGAACAATCTTTCCCGGTCGCTAGACTTACAAGCAAATTGCGTGGGGACGGCCATGACTAGTGAAAGTCACAGGTAGTCTTCTGCTGCAGCAAGTACTTCTTGAAGCGGAGAAGAGTCGAGGGAGGGGGCGAGAAGAGGTGGTGGAGTTACGGACAAAGAACATAAGTTCACGTCTACGATTTTTCAACGGTTTCTGCAGTGGGACTACAACCCTAACCCTGATTCTTCCCCGGATTCAATACGTCCACAGCTCTTATACAACTCAACTAAAAATACACTGATCTCTGTTTGAGTATTCTGATCGCCGTGCAATCTCCTCTGATGGGGAAGAAGCCAGATTCCCACAGACCATGGCCCTGCGCACGTGTCTTGCAGCATTATGAAGCGTTAATCACGAGTAGTAGATCTCGAGTACTGCAGGACGCTTGACGCAACGCCCCATCCTTGAACCTAAGTTGCTCCGGAGAAAAGGACTTTTTCGGTCGTTGGAAGATGCTTGTAAGCCATCCAAAATTCATCTCCTTCAAGGTATCACTGTCGACTATCTTCGCCCACGGGGTCTTCAGTCATACTGAAGTACTTGATTCGCAGCTCTTCTGTTCCTGTCGTTATTCCTCTCGAATTTCCAGACGGGTTCAGTCCTCAAGCCCTTGCATTGGACTACCCGAGTCCCTGTTACGCTGTTTTGCTGACGTGGGGCTGCCAGCCCCACCAGCATCCTTCCCTGTGGCAGCTGTCTTGGTGGAGATTGACGTTGGTCCGCTGACAGTGCTGCTGGCAGTCTCCCCAAAACCAACCAGGCTTGCATTTCCCTCGTCACTCATACCAGCACTGCTGATCCCATCATCCTGATCTTCACTCATCTTGTCCGAGTCACCTCCAGACCCTGTTGCAGACGCGCTACCTACAGTACTTTTACGTAGATAAGACGCGTTGTCAAAGTATCCTGGAGGCTGCTGCTGTTGGATATGTTGGCTCCCTTGGGCAAGATGTTGATTAGCGCCACGGAGAGTGGCTACTCTTTCCAAGCCAGCAAGACGAGATATGCGGTCCGCACGTTCGGCGTCAAGAGTGTTGGCCGAGGAATTTGACGTTGAAGAAGTGCCGTGCGCGTGTGTATGGGGCGGTGCTTGCCCGAGTGATCCGTCCTTGATAGCAGTCGTGCTGAATGCAGAGTTAGGTGTTCCCCTGCAGCAATGAGTGTCCGGCTTGATACTACCGAGGGAGTACACAACGGGGGTCAGAATGAAGTTAATACTTACGGCCCAAAGTCAGAAGGGGTTCCTCCAGAGTCACTTGGAGGAGGAGGAAGATTAATGAGGGTTGGACCTTGAGATCTCGACATGATTCCGAATTAGAGGTGGCCTTGAAGAGGGTGATGTACAGTCTGAACTGGAAAGAGCTTTGTCTGGAAAAGTTGAGCTCAAGCGGGAGGTATGCCTGTCAGAAGGTTACGCGTAGGGGCAAGTGTTCAGAGGTCTTTTCGCAAAACAGCGGATGAGGGAAGAATCAAATTGTTGTTTTGAAACGTGTTGTGAGTTGTGAGTTGTGACCGCCTCCACGTCTAGAAATCTAGGGATCCTAACCCTGGTGACCCACAGAACCGCAACTTTAAAAAGTGAGGAAGCGCATTTCACACCTTATGGAGGTCAAACAACAGTTAACCACACTAACGACATTGATATATTCAATTTCGTGGATGATCAAGTACATGTAATATTAATATAGATCTCGCGGCATCTTCAATCTTTATTCACCAAACTTTTCGTAATCGTTATATACCCGGCACCCAACCGGAGCAGATATCATACCTTTCCAGTGACTTCGTAACCCCTCAGTATTCTTTCCGTGGAATCTCCTCTGCCTGCCAATCCAATAGTCCCGTTCTGGTGTACTGCGATCTCGCGACTCCGCTCGTCTAGTTGTATTGCTGTTGGGTGAGTACCCAACCTAGGACCTTTGGGAGACATCTCGTCGTCAGAAGAATTCCTCTTCCGGCGGCTAAAGAATGATTTGAAGGGCGCCAAAGAGCTAATTACCACCGCGACGCTGGCTTCAATTTGGGACCAAAGATTCAACCACGACGTTTCGGGATGAGAGTTGTGTTGATTTGTCACAGCTACAAGACCTCGCAATTAGCATTGGCTCTTAAGGGTAGGCTTTATTTGGAAAATTGTGTAGTGTGCAACAGGGTTCGTTTCAGGAAAGAACGACTATGCTTACCTATCCGGATGATTGCAAATATAATTATGACAATTCCAAGGCTAAAGATTCCACCAAGCGCGAGCTTCTGAAGCAACGGGCGCTGAACACGGAAGGCCAAATAGAGAGGAAGCGCTATTATCAGGGCGTCGGTTATGATATCCACAGCTGTGCTATATCGGAGCGACACAAGTGAACGAGAAATATGTATTTGGCTCTCGCATTGCCCTAGGACTCCGTCAACAATGTTGCAAAGACGGACACAAACTGGTCACACAAAAACTGACCCAATACGAATGATGAGCATGAGACCGGATACCTGTAATCTTGACCATCAACTTGATGATCTTGCAGCTTGCGGTGGGGACACAGTCACATACGTGATGATGGCACCGATGTACGAGAGCACACTGATGATGACGGTCGCCCACCATACTTGACGGCAATACTTGAGGTTCTTGGTGAGACGATGGTAAAATGATAAGAAGCACGCCTTGACGGCCCAGAGGCAGCTCCAATAAAGATATGTCAAAGCGAATTGCAATTTCAGATAGAAGGTTGCATTCTTCATGAAATTCGTGTCAGGCTCGGCAAGGCCTGCTCCGACATTGAGAACCTGATACATCGAGGGTATGGCAACCGTCAGCACCAGGGCGAGGCCGAGAAGGATAAGGAGGGCAAGCGAGGCCCATGCATCGTCAAAGTAAAGGCGGCGCGAAATCTTGAGTCGAATTGCGATCCGAGCAAGGAAAAAAAGCACTGCGATGGCGAAGAGGCTCCATGTGGCTGCCTGTTGAACGACAATGAGCCGACGGTCATGACGAAGACGCTCGAATGGCAGAGTTAGATTGGATTGTTTACTAACCAGCAAGGAAGCTTGGGAAACCTTAGGAGGCTGTTCGGTTGCTGTCGGCATGATGCCGTATCCGTCAATCGACCTTGTTGAGGCTTTCCTGTTCACAGTTGTACCACGTCTGAAAGGATTCTCTAGAAGGCGGCATGCTCGACGACACTGCTTACAGCGGCTCGCGACTGGGGGATGAATTATGGAAGATGATGAAAGGAACAACAAGGATGATGGATGATGGGGGTGAGAATGTCCGAAACTTTAATGGTCCCACCTATGATTGTTCTAGGTACGGTAATGTCAGCAGCGAGCATGCTCTGCGTGTTACCTTTGCCTGTCTCGTACCCTGCCGCCACATGCCACCAAGGTGCATTTGAGCATGGCGATCATTCGTGCGCTTCCCGGGTCTTAGCCCAAGATCTTTCGCAGACCATTGGGTGCACAGTCACACGCTGACTACCGCCGGGGACGGTCCGTCTATCATGGTCTATTGGTCTCTTTTCTGCGCATTTCATTCTCTCATTTCTCACAGTCAAGGGAAGAAAGCCGGAAGTTGCATTTACTGTATACCTAATTGTGTCCTTGCACTCATTCCGCGGACCACTTGATCGTCCAGGGAGCCCACCCCCCTAACATCGCTACGGTACTTTACCTTAGCTTATTCGCACTACGGTAGTGCTACTAGCCTTGGTACTACCACTGGCGGCTGATGTTGGGACCAGCGAGAGTTCGAGACTAAGGTAAAGTACCTTAGGCGACAGCAGGAGAAGAGGACATGCCCTTTAGAATACCGTACAAGGGTCCAGCGAGAAACTCGTAAGGTGTTACATAGGGTTCTGCCTGTCTATGTTATACTGTTGGTCTGGAAACCTAATCTATAAGAACCTCGAGGATGTAGTCATGCGTTCTGGAGCGAATCATCAGTCATCCCTCGAGGCTGTTAATTGCGGTACGAGTTTACCAACATTCGCAGACTAGGCGGACCTACGCTCGAAAAGCCTCAAGCTCTAGCCATGCAGGATGCGTTTAAGACCATCTTAAATTATCCCACATTAGCCGTGACGCAGTCGCGAAAACAATTCGAAGATTATTTCTACTATAAGATGAGATCTCCACCCATATATTCCTTTATAGATGATTCACTACTGACATCCTTTTCTCAGTGCACGGCATGAAGCTCCATTCCTTTTTGACATGCATTGCAAGCCTTGCACTCTGCGACCCTGTCGCTGGCGCAAGTAGTTGGGCTTTTGACCCAGACTCATGTAACCAAAGGCATCTTGCGGTCCTCCAGCCTGCTCTTGAGCGTGCAACGACAATAGCGAAGAATACAGCGACCTGGTTGCCAAAAGATTCCATTTTCAAGCCCAGTTCCGCTCGCAGCAAGCCCAAGTTCGCTCAAGCTTTACTCGGATCAAATCACGCCAAATACGCCCGATCCGTATTCGGTGGTGGAAAGATCGGCTGGAGCGGCGACAATATAGATATTCCGGGGATCGCAGGTTTTACAGGGCGGATGGACTGGACAGATCCTAGCGCCCGGAGACCGTATTCTCCAACGAAGAACCTAGTAAATCCTCCCGTCGGACTTGCGGAAAGATCGCAGCACGATCATCGCTCGCATAACTACTCTCATCATCTACTTCCACTGACACACATCAAAGGCTATATATTGCAACGCCAATAACGTCGGAGGTAGTGGTAATATCATGTCCAATCAAGGTAATATCCGCCAGTCATACGCTGGAAGCAGACTGACCGCAGCTTAGTATCACAAACCCTGTTCCAGGGACCAAAACCACCATGCGGCGATACCAACGAAACCGATTCAGCAATGTTAATATCCCACTACGATGAAACAAAGAATGTGAATTATTGGTTTATCTGCCCTTGGTGGCTGGAGAAGATGGCGAGTGCTCCCCAGATGTGGGACACCAGAACAACAATCTACAACATGAGGAAACAAATTATTCTTAATGATTGGACCCTCGGTGAATGGCGAGCCCGGCGGAACCAGCAACTCCTACCAGAGCCTAGCCTGTATACTCGTCGATCCGATAGCTTTTTGTCCGCGTGGGCGATGGACATCCTGCTTTTAAACGCGGTAAGTCAATGTTAGTCGAAATGCGGACTTTACAAAGTCACGTGCTTTATAAAGCAATCTGTTGATAAGAAGGCCTTGCTCAGCTCATGCACACCTGGAACGGCGGCCTGCGAAGAAACATTGCTGGAGGCGAATCCAGCGTTAATCCCAGCTTGCCCATTGGTCAGTCCCGAAATATCCCCGAGCGTTACTCCTCCGACTCGCTGACACGTTATAGATTGGCCCTTCTTCGTCAACAACGGAAATCCTAATGTTGTGGCAACATGGTCTTGTAAGCCTCCAGATCAAGTGTGCACATTACATTACAACCTCACTTACTGACGGTTACACCCCTTAGTGCCCTATACATTCATCGCTATAGGTATGCATTTATATTTTAACAGCACAGTAGCATTCCAGTCACGCTAATAGGTTAATTCTTCACGTCGATCTAGCCGTCTTCGGCTATCAGACCGGTTTTGATACTGATCCTCTCAGTGGAGAGTATACGAAGCTGCTTCCTTTTGACTCGCGAAATGACTTCGGCTCTCCCGACGGTCTATACCATAAGCCGCCAACTGGGCCAGACCCACCTCCTTATCAAGGGCCAGACCCACATCCTCAAGGGCCAGACTCACCTGCACCTCCTTATCAATCGTCAGCTGTATAAAATTCACCACCTTACTCGATACCAATTGTGGGAAATGAAATTATCTACGGGGGCACATAGCAACTATTTAGCACGTCTTCAGTCCCTTTGCACTGGGTAAACAGCGCTGAGATAAGGGCCCCTTCGGTAACCACATATTTTCAAAATATGCCAAACATATTTTCAAATTAGCGTACTATATATACACGGTTACGTTCGGTAACCATATTTTCACTTGCCAGGCCACATTGCACATTGAAAATATGTAAATTATGGGTTGACCCATAATTTGAGGCCCAATGTGCGCTAAGCACACAGAAATAATGGACATTTATGACTGCAATAGCGATATTTTTCATTTTCATGACTGATAGCCACATTTCATAACTGCAATAGCTATATTTCAGTTATGGATGACTCTCTATCTGAAGAGGTAGCTGCAAGTGTCATTCTTACTACTGCTCAGTACTATTCTTCTTATTATAACAGGAGACGGGGTAACGACGAGGACAATAGAAGCATTAACAATGGCCAAAGCATATACAGCAGTAGTAGATATATCAGTCATAAGACTTGTCTCTGACGAGAAAGAATTTTTCGACTATCCTACTGTTAGCAGCAGCCCCTACGGGGGCCCTGCGGGGGCCCTATTTAGGTCCAAATAGGGGTGTCTGGCTATCAAGCGCAAACACCCCCGGGACCAGGCTTTTTTAGCTGAGTTGCTAACACCTACATTCGATTCTTACTCAGCGAGATTACGAGGTTACCGAACGAAACCGTACTCGTACCTATATTTTACATATTTTCAACTGTCTACTAGTGCTGTTTTGAACCCACATTTCATTTGCCAAGAGGTGGGGTAATATATGTTGGCATATTTTGAAAATATGTGGTTACCGAAGGGGCCCTAAGCCTCCTATAAGCACGGATCAGCAAAACTGCTATAGTTGTTCGATTTGATCTTAATGGAAGGCTCTCTAGCGTTCCAAAGCGAATAAGCTCCGATGGTATCGAGAAGGCGGGGTTCGTCGCAGAAGATATGATTGAGAAGAGGGCAAAAGTCACGCGAAATATCAACTGGAGAAACCCCAAGACCGATGATACATCTTAGACTGTATTTGAAGTCCGTTCGTCATACTCTTTGCCGGATATCGAGGCCTCCTACATCGCTGTACTGTTACCTATCTCCCGCTTTGCCTTGAGGCCATTTCTTACTCCGACAATACTGGGATCACGTGTTAATGTAACGGGGTGTGGGCATGCGTGGCTGAGTAACAGTATGTGATTGTTACTAGGTAGATTAAATCCTGAGGAACTCAGTGGGAGTCCTCAGCAAGAGTCGTTAGATGTCACGATCATGATGCACTCCAACAGTGAGAGACGTAGCGAAATCACAGATCTGTATGGATTCAGATCTGTCGGCGGCGCCTGACCAATAGGCTTGACAAGGTACGGAGTATTGGAAGTAGCGATGTGACCAAAAGCCTTGCAGTAATTATACTTTTAGTAATTAGAGAGGTTTCGCAACTCTTTTAAAACACTTCCTCCTTCCTTATTCGGTGTAATATTATCTGAAACAGGCCTAGCCCTAGTCATAAAGTAAGTAATAGACTAGTCATAAAGTATGCTTATCGAGGCATTCTACAGTTCGTAGAATCGTCTTATAAGCATTTGGTGCGTTTAGTGCGTTCATAAGAAGTATAGACCGTAGTCGCTAGAAAATCCAACACTATTAGTATACGCCTCAAATGTATAATCGAACGTCTATCTTCCGCGTGGTTTTCCCTTGAAAATATCTTCAAGAACACGCTATCGCAAGTTCGGGTAATTAACGGATATATTGGTTTAAACATCGGCTACTATCTAATCGGGCTAGCGTTGGACCCTGACCCTCGTAATCCTGCGCAACTAAAATTGTAATCTAAGTTGCGAAACCTCTCCATTATTATTATTATACGTGAAATTACTGCAAAGTAATTGGTCTGACGGTTACGCTAGTAGGGCACTAGTAGGTACTTAAAATTTGGCCTGGAATCCACCTGTTGAGAGGTACCATTTCCGTGTAATCTAGTCCTACTGAGGGTACTCTTGCGAGTCAAGAAATGAGGCTATACAGATCCTGCCTCGGTAAAGGCCCTCCAGACCGTATGGTCTCTTTGGCTATGTGTTCTGATAGGAGGCATGCTTGGTGGGAGGTCAATTGATGAAGAAATGGTAGGTTTTGAAGAATTTTCTCCGCAAGATATTGCCAAGACTATGGATTTGGCCAATCAGAAGGCCTACATTTGGATTACTAAGCGCATTTCACGAATTACATGCTGTAATGCTCTAGAGGCCTGACATACGGTAATTACTGTAAAGCATTTGCTTTGCATGTAATATCACATCGCTACTTGGGACCAATTCCTCCATTTCTACCACCTTGACCGGTACTTCTCTCTACCTTCTACACTTGATCTGCTTTGCTTGATATCGTTTCCTTTTCGCATCCAACCTACACAACGGCTCGATATGTTATCGTTAGCATGGCTGCATAGCTGCATGATGGTTGAATCTTAGACTGCCATGTTCTCCACTGTGCCACTCAAGTAGGTACTGGGAGCGGTGCCGCAAGGCGTTGCGTCACACTGTAATCTACTTTACCTACCATAGGTACATTACCTACATATACGGTATAGTATGTTATCTATAATCTACTGACGTAATACCCGTCCGTTGACAGCCGTTTAGCCGTCCATATGACTCCCACATGCAACACTAACGCGACGGGCTGTTTTTGGCCTCTCGGGGTTTTGGACGCTGGTGGGGGAGGTTTTTCTCCTTCTCGCTTATGGCTTTTTTGGCCACTGTTGGGCTCATGCCAGTGGAGCGCTTGGTGCCCTTTCTTGCTTTCTTTGGATTGCTTGCTACGTGCATCTCAATTAGATAGAGTACGGTACTGCACGAAGCACAGCACCTTCACCTTTCCCCCTTCAGTGATTTGGCTGCTTCACTACTGTATCACAACCCTATTATCATCTAGCACTGTGTCAACATGGGTATACTCCCGTCCATTCTTTCGGCCGCAGCAGCCTGTGCCTTCTTCAACCCTTCTTTTGGCGTCTCAGCGTCCACAACACCCGATGCGGCAACAGTCAGCGCAGTCTTGAAGGAGCATCCAACTTGTGTTCGTCTTACGATGCTTCATGGCTATAGACGACCGTGTCTGACGTCGCGCTTAGTGCAATGCTCTTGCTTTCTTATTGCCTGGGAAGGTATCGACTGCAGGTGGAGCGCCCTATGAATCATCCCTTGCCTCCTACTGGTCCTTGCAAGAACAAGCCGTGTCGCCCGCATGCGTTGTCACTGCTGAGAACCCTACCGATGTCTCGGCCGCAGTGTTTGTGCTTGACATTGCATCCAAATTAACGCATGTCGAAGGCTGCAAGTTCGCCGTCAAAAGTGGCGGGTGAGCTGCCTATCCCAATGGGTTCTCGTCCGCAAGACACCAACTTACATGACCCAGGCATACTCCATTCGCAGGATCCGCAAGCATACAAGGTGGTGTCAACATTGATTTGACCAAATTGAACCAAATTACAGTCTCACGTGACCGGACGTCGGTCAGTATCGGTCCAGGAAACAGATGGGAAGCCGTATACCTAGAGCTCGATGCCCGAAATCTGTCCACATCTGGTGGTCGCGCTTCAACGGTTGGTGTGGGCGGGCTTACTCTTGGAGGTGGCTTTTCCTTTTTCTCTCCAAGATATGGACTTGTTTGGTACGTACACCCGGAGCACATTGCTCCTATTGCGGACCATTCTGCGAGCTGCGAGACATGTTCTGGGAGCAAAAGGCTCCTAGCCTCTTCGAACTTTCTTATTGCTTAGGATTTTGCCGTGACAAGGGACGCTGATTTCGAAATTCTGATAGCGACAACGTGATCAATTTCCAGGTAAGCCGCTCCCCTTTTCGATGCTCGTGCGAAAATCTGACGCAGGCACGCTGCAGGTTGTTCTTGCCTCTGGTCGGATTGTGAACGCAAACTTAACGTCATACCCGGATTTGTTTGCAGCACTGAAGGGTGGCTCGAGCAATTTTGGTATTGTCACCAGCTTTGATTTGAAGGTGTTCAAACAGGGGAAGGTATGTGTTTCAAGGTCGAATGATTTCAAAGAGTTTTCGCTTCCTTCACAAGCAAGTTGTGTCCATGCCCTTCGACGACTTTCAACTCAATATCCATCGAAATGTTATGCTGATGCTGCTTCTCTAGTTTTGGGGAGGTTTCGTTGGCCAAGATATCGGTACAAGGTTCCTTCAATTTCAGTATTTCGAGGATTTCGCCAGAAACTCGACCTATGACCCATATTCAGCTCTCATAAATAGCTATTCCTATACTGCGAGCGAAGGCTGGATTATCGCGAGGTGAGAACGTTCCACAATCATCATGCTCGCCTGAAGGTTCGCGACATGCGCTAAATCTTACGAATAGCGACTACGAGTACACGAAGCCTGTGGCATATCCTGAAGCATTCAAAAACTTCACAGATCTTCCTCAAACATTCAACACGATGCGCATTTCCAACCTGACCGACTTCACCATTGAGATTGATGCGAGGAACCCATCCGGCAGCCGAGAAATATTCGTTACTGCCACCTTTAAGAATAACGCCACGATGATGGAGAAATTCTTTGATCTAGCCAATCAGACTGTTCAGGGTATCTCGGATGCCACGAATTTGACGTTTAGTCTGAGTTTCCAGCCATTGCCACAACTTGTCATTGGGTATGGACCTGCCAACGGTGGTAACTCTCTGGGATTGGGTCCGGAGGACGGCGATATCGTGAATGTTCTTCTCACTATTCAATGGGCCGAGGAAGCTGACGATACGCGTATCGATAACGCAGCCCAAAGCCTATTTTCCCAAGCGGAAGCCGCCTCTAAAACCATGGGTACCTATAACCCATACCTATATCTAAATTACGCCGCATATTTTCAAAACCCGATAGCTGGGTATGGGAATGCGAGTCAGGCGAAGCTAGAAAGGGTGAGCAAGAAGTATGATCCAGGCCAATTATTCCAGAAGCAACTTCCTGGAGGCTTTAAGCTTCAGCAAAAAGGGCAAGACTAAGAGGGAAAAGTGTACCTATATAACTCAAAGACTCTGTACTAGAGAATGAATATAAAATGTGTGATACCAATAGTTAGACATTTGAGGTGCGAAATTGCTATGATATTATTGGACTTCACAAAACCATTGCTCCAAGTCAAGCACCTGCTTTCGGACTAACCCTTTCAGAGTCCGTAATGGACGAGGACCCTTTCATCCCTTGAGGTCTTGGCAGATACGAAACATCGCGGCGCTTGCTTAAGTCCGAAGGCAACCAAAAGTCGACGTCTTTCTTCTCGAAAATCAACAACTTGAAGCCATGCAACACCAGTCTTGATCTCTGAGGTGTCTACCCCCAACCAAGATCCCCATGGTAAAGTGCACTCTATCGATACGGACCATTTTGACCCGACACAATGTTGCCCGCATTCCACATCCGAAATTTGCAGCCTTCGCTCGTTCGAATCGACGCTCCATGTTACGATGAAAGTATCCATAGTCACCCAGCAGCAACACTAAAATATTACGACGAAGATGACGGAGACCTGATCACGGTAGGCATTCTCCGATCCGAGAGCTTGTCTAAGTTTGGTGCTGACGCGGGATATACAGCTTGGGTCATCCAGAGAATTGACGGAGAAGCTGAAAGAACCTGTCATACCGCCCTCATCAGGCCTTTTGGCAGACTTGCAGCATGGTCTTCAATCTTCAGAGCATCATGTATTCGAGATTGATGACCGCAACTACGTTCGAAAGCTTTGGGAAGACATACAGAACAGCTCTAGCAAGGACTCGGAGGACGGTCCCGTCGCACAAGATAGGGGCGATGCCACGAGATGGAGCGCAGAGATGAAGACAGGTCTGGCGATTCTCTACGAGAGGTAAGCCTAGCTCTCCTGTCGACGGAAGAAGAAAAGGGATGATCATGCAAAGAGAAGAACCTGCCACTAACACCTCTGGACAGGCGGAGACACGAGATATGGAATCCGATCGCAGAAGAACTTGGCGTCACTTGGCAGTCAGTTGATGCGATGCATTGGGCTTTGGGTCAAGAAGAAATGGCTCGTAGAGCTTATGAGCCCAATTTGCATTCTGCGCAATCGAGAAGCTCTGAAGAAATCGCTGAGGCAAAGCCCGAGTCCTCGTACAATGGCCCCAGTACGCAACAGTTCGAAGATTATCGCGTCCACCATTTCAATGCCACGAGACCACCTCAAGTACAGCTATCAATGCCGGTAACACCTCAGCCGGTTAAGGCCACGGCTGGGCAAGCTACCCTTACGAGGGTCTCAAATGTGGACTTGGATCGCTCAGCCTCGTCACTCAAGGGGAAGAATGGAGAAGCGAATCTTACTGTGGAAGGAAAGAGGCAGGTAAGTCCGAGCACCCTTCTATCGAGACAGGTATAGAGCAGTAAATAGCTAACATGTGGATGTAGGCACAAGCTGCAGGTGACAAATTACGGGCGAGGACTGTTTTATCGCGCCATAGAAAGGGTATCATGACTGCAGTCGACAGCCATCTAAACCGATGGGCGAATTACAAGTCATCGACATCGGCATTTCTTCCCAAAGCGTCTACCAGCGTGTCTCAACCCTTTGATGGACCTGGCCTGACCTCAGAAGGGAAAAGACAGGCGCAGGTAGCTGGCGACAAACTTCGCTGCCGGACAAATCCTATTCGTCATTCAAGGCCTTCCCGTGTAGGATCCTTGGAACATGAGATTAGCAAAAATCGCTGGTCCTCCTATAGCGGAACACGCGCGACCCGTTTTGACGAGCGTCAAGACGCTCAAGAAGAAGCAAGCGACCCCTCGAATACTATGAATACTGACGAAGTGCCCAGTCATGGGCAGCCATCTCTTCTGGAGGTCTTTGAAGCGGAGTTGGCCAAGAAATTCTCGGCTACAGACAGCGAGGAAGCCCAAGAAGTTGGACCGCGAATGTCAGTGCCCGAACCGGCTATTGGGGTCGATTCCTCTGGCGAGACATCCATAAGTCAGCCTTTGCTTCAAGGCTCACATGCACTCTTGGGACTCATCAACGAGCAACTACAGGAGCTCACTGCTGGAGATATGGCGTTATCGCAAGACTTTTCTACAGCAATCGATCATGGCCTTCGTAAGGCTGTGAGTGGGGTTGGTGCTTGCATACTAGGCATTGCACGAGGGCTGCAAGAAGTATCCAGTGTCTCACGTCAAGCAGCAGATAGGACTCGGGACGCCGATCATCAGCTCGTGGACGACCCAATTCTCGGTTTCCAGAGTCTGACGGGGAGCTTTACCGCCGCTTTGAGAAGAGAGATGGCTGTAAACCCGCCTGGAACTACTTTCGCCCCTCGCAGAAGACTGGGAGAAGTAGAGACTGGCTCGAGCTCTACTGCATTGAGCACATCGCAGGACAGAGACCCCAATGAAGACGCGATGACTGCGCATAAGAGCAATGACTCCCCCTTTAATGGTGGCATTGATCCGTCTGAGACAGCCTATAATTCGAGGCTGAATCATGCAGCTGCGCCAAGATACATATCTGAAATGCCTGCGAGCCCACAGCTAGAGATGGAACGCCAACCTAGGTCTCGGCCTGCCATGAGCAAAGAACCACGATTTCACAGGCCTGGACCCATCAACCTCCCAAATCGTCCGGGATGTGTTGACCATCTACCTGCAAGTTCACGTTCAGTTGATGATCACTTTCCTACGTTAGCCCAGTTCAAGGGAGAGAGTTTTGGAGCTCCTCCAAGCTTCCCAGCATTACCAGGTATGAAAGTGCTACTTCCCCAGCGAGCACCCCGTCTCTCTGAATTTGGTACCAAGGCTGGAGACTCTGGGCCTGCCAATCGGACCCACTCATATGTCAGCGGTCCGAGTGGCGGAGAGGCATCCCGGCGATCTCATGATCCGGTAGCTGGGCCTGGCGAGCAATCTGCGCAGCGAAACGGGCACGAATTCATACCGCTGAGCTCTCTGAGCTCGGCAGCTTCGTTAGCAGGGCCTTTTGACTCTCTGGAAGCGGAACTCTCAGCCCGGGCCAATTTGAGTGAAGGACTTCGTCGGAATGCCACTACCGCTAGCATAGACACCACGCACGCCTCAAGACACCGAAGACCTTACTCTGAAGTTTTCGATGGTTCAGGAAGGGTCGCATGGGGTGCATTTTTGCAGGACAATGGTCGCGGGCCAAGAGGTCTCTATAGGGCTGGTGACGACAGAGGCAGGCCTCGAGGTGCCAATCGGGAGCATTCCACAAGGCTGTCTCGGCGCGAAGCGGAATCACGACGCTCGCCTCTTGCAGCGGCGAGGTACGACGATGAGCATCACGACGACTCTACCGTGAGCAAGATTCATGATTGCGTTGGGCAACTCCAAGACCTTGGTTTTGGGAGCGACGACGAAGATTTTGTGGACAGACTCCTAATATACGCTCAGGCTGCAGACGGGTCACTGGTGGACGCTATCGATTTGATTGACGAGGAGCAGCGAGCGTATAGGGAGAGACTGAGTCAGTAAGGATCGGGTTTTCAGGCGGGAAAGCTGGGTTAGCGAGGTAACAAGAAGGAGTAAACACTAGAGTGTTCGGGTTGTGTGCTTGCAATATGATGAGACCCCAGATTGTAATACAAATGTGAACTTGATGTCTTCGGTCTTGTGAGCGTGAGCGAAAATAAACAGTCAAGCCCGTATATACCTGACTGATTGTGAGACTATGGCTCGTTTTCCCGGATGTAGAGATAGAAAAAGAAAGAGAGAGAGAGAGAACGAGGTGAGATATAGTACAAATACAACGCCTGCCACCAAGGATATCTCCTTTACGGAAGCAACCTGCCTTACGTCTTCAATCTCCAAATGTTACCTTCCCATCAGTGCCGATGCTCGCCGTACTCATACGAGGAGCTTTCATAGTTACTGCGGAGCCGGCCTTAGACTTCTTAGCAGAATCTGTGGTGCTTCTTTCTGCTGGAAGAGTGAATACCGGCTGTACTACTCCTGGTTGCGTGTCGGCAATTTCGTTGACGTTCTCAGATGTCAGCACATCAAGTATTCTAGCTGCGCGGGTCTGTAGCAGGATTGTCGTTGGCCCATGGAATTGTAAGAAAAGCTAGCAAACATTAAGATCTCTCGTGATGATGTGGTAGGCTTCCACTGACCCTATCGCCCCAAATCGTCGCTCTCGCCCACGTGCGTACATTGAAAAGTATCGTTGTGAATGTCCGCCACGTCCTTGAATCGCGCATTGCTCTTATGAACCTTGTATCTGGTAGCAGGTTAGAGACGCCTATCTCCGGTATCTGAAAGCGCAGCGAGGACGACCTCAAACGGTGAGGCAAAGGTGGGTTAGCGTTCATGCTATATGCAACGACGTTGCTAGATTCAATATCAGCATCGGCGGTCTCGCAATACAACTCGAAACGCACCTTGGGTGGACCACATATGATTCTCCTGCTTGGAGGACTAATTGAGAAATGGACCCTTGACCTGCAAGGGCAAGGAGTCCCCTTCCCGTGACCTGAGAATTACCCCAATGCGCCAAACTCTTGAACAGTCAGCCCTTGATCTCTTTCTCGGCACTGACGCATACCATGTTCCGGTTCACAGAGGGTGTAATAGAGAGCGTCTGCCCAGTCCATGCCAGAAGAGCTTTCCCAGTAACCATCCAATCCAGCGTTCCATCTAGATTCAGCGTTGTCATTGAGGTACGGGATGCTTTGGTAGATATGAGTGCCGTGATAGGCGTCGTAGACGATATTCTCTGATAAAGGAATGGTATTTGAAGAAATGCTCTGCGGAAAGGCGCCAGTACTGAAAGAGTTGACACTGCCTACTTCGTTCTCAGCGTGTACAATAAAATTTAGACGATCAAGATTTGCGTACATTTTCAGCCTTCCCTCCTACCCCAACCAGTGAACCTTTCCGAGTGTAGAGATTTTGAGAGGCTGAGAGAGAAACGGAGAGGAGAGAAAACGGTGAGCCAATGACCTCAAATTTGGCATCTTAAACACTGTCAGTATGCACTTGAGATCCTGACTCTCCAACAGACCTGATGTAGCACCGCTCGTACTTGGGACTGGCTCAGAAGGGACGATATCAAGAGCGTCTGCGGACGGGGTAGAAATGCGTAGATCTCGTCGCCAGATGGCTGGTGAAGAGTGCCATACACTGGGAGCTCTGGAACACCTTGACTTGATGATCTCTGAACCTCTCAATGAAGCCCGCATAGCTTACAAGGGACTGGACCATCCTCCAGAACGAAGAAGTTCAAGATCGCGAAACGCGGGATTCAAAACGGACGCTGCAGAAGCCGGGTAGCAATGGTGAAAATTAACCCTAGAATTTGACATGACAACACGGGCAAGCATGCAGGAGGGCAGGTCCTGTTCACACCCTCAATTCTAGCAGAGCTGTACGGTGGAGCAACTCAGCATTCTAGCATTTCAGCATTTCAGACAGCAAACGCTATTACTGGGCTACACGCCGATAGATTTGCTGATACAGTGGTGAAAGCAGCGGCATGGGGCCTGTGACATATGCACGTATGCACATCAATACAATGATACGAGTACCAGGCGCCTGTAAATACTTCGAATAATTTAAGCGCGACGATAGGATGCGTCTCGCACTCTCCATCAAAGTATGCGTGCCTTGTCGCCTCCCCCTGAAGAGTTCAATTGCCAGATCAAATTATCTATTTGAACCGAGACCACGCTTTCTCCCTCTGCGACACCTGACATATACGAATCATTTGCGGCAAAAGGACAGCTCAAGGCAGCAGAAATCTCAGGGCAAGGTGCACCCACGTCCTGAACAATCTCAAAGCATCAAGCCGGAATCGTATCAGGAGCCAAGCAAGGCAAAGCCTGCTGAAGCACCTAAGACAGACGCTCTGCTGGCAGAGCAGACTGTTTCCAACAAAGAGCAAAGGCGCGCAGATTGGATCATAATTAAGGAAATGGCCAAGTATATATGGCCAAAGGTATGGCGGACATGGACATCTGAATGACGGCAAAGGCCTAATGATACACTCAGGGTGACCTTGGAGCGAGAGCTAGAGTAGGAACTGCTCTGGCTCTACTTGTTGGATCAAAGGTAGGAATTACATAACTAAAGCTTAGATTTCTTCACTATACTCAGACATAATAGGTTTTGAACGTACAAGTCCCTTTCTACTTTAAGAGTATTGTTGATTCAATGAACGTGGACTTCGTTGCCCTGGGTGGCACAGCTTGGACGGTCGCAGGTGCCATGATAACAGCTTGTATGGATTCTCTGCTTTTAAGATTGTACATCTGCTCATGAATATCCTCAGATGGTGCCACTAGAATTGGCACGGCCGTTTTTCAGGAAATGAGGAACGCTATATTTGCAAGCGTTGCTCAGAAAGCCATTCGCCGAGTTGCCTGCAATGTCTTCGAGCATTTACTCCGACTCGACCTCAATTTTCATTTATCGCGACAGACAGGAGGCCTCACGAGAGCCATTGACAGGGGAACAAAAGGGATAAGTTTCCTACTAACGTCAATGGTCTTTCACATTATCCCTACCGCGCTAGAAATCTCAATGGTCTGTGGGATTTTGGCATACCAATATGGGCCAAAATTTGCAGCCATCACTGCTGCAACGATGGTGGCTTACACCGGATTCACCGTTGTAACCACATCCTGGAGAACGAAATTTCGAAAGCAGGCAAATGCTGCAGATAATCAGGGCGCAACGGTGGCCGTCGACTCACTGATCAACTTTGAAGCCGTCAAATATTTCAACAACGAGAAGTACGAGGTGGGGAGATACGACAAAGCTTTAAACAACTACGAGAAAGCTTCCATCAAAGTCACCACCTCGCTCTCTTTTCTGAACGCAGGGCAGAATCTCATCTTCTCCAGCGCCCTGTCCGGCATGATGTATCTTGCTGCTGACGGTATTGCGACGGGAAGCCTCACGGTTGGAGACCTTGTAATGGTTAACCAGCTGGTCTTCCAGCTCTCCGTCCCTCTCAATTTTCTTGGCTCTGTTTACCGAGAGCTGAGACAATCGTTGCTGGATATGGAGACCCTTTTCAACCTGCAAAAAGTCAACATCGCCGTCAAAGAGTCTGAAAAGGCGAAAGCACTCGAATTGGCCAAGGGAGGAGAGATCAGATTCGAAAACGTGACTTTCGGGTACCACAAGGACCGGCCAATATTGCGGGACCTCAGTTTCACCATTCCGGCTGGTCAAAAAGTCGCCATTGTAGGTCCAAGCGGTTGTGGGAAATCTACAATCCTTCGGCTGCTTTTCCGCTTCTACGATGTAGAAACAGGACGAATCTTGATCGATGACCAAGATATCCGCGAGGTCAGCTTGCAAAGCCTGCGCAAAGCTATAGGGGTCGTGCCTCAAGACACGCCCCTGTTCAACAACACTATCGAGCATAACATCCGCTATGGAGACATGAATGCAACTTCGGAAGAAGTACGCAACGCCGCTAAGCGGGCCAGGGTCCACGATATTGTTGAAGGCCTTCCGGATGGGTACAATACCATGGTCGGTGAACGTGGGATGATGATCAGTGGCGGAGAGAAACAAAGATTGGCAGTGTCGAGACTAATATTGAAAGATCCGCCGCTGCTTTTCTTCGATGAAGCGACGTCAGCCTTGGATACTTACACCGAGCAATCGCTGCTACAGAACATCAACAGCATACTCAAAGAGAAAGCGAGGACCAGCGTCTTCGTGGCACATAGACTACGGACCATCTTCGACAGTGACAAGATCATTGTCTTACAGAATGGACATGTGGCGGAGAGTGGCACGCATACCCAACTAATTGGTGAAGGCGGTGTGTACTCGACGTTGTGGCATGCGCAAGAGACATCGCTTGGAGATAACGGCGATGCTGAAACGGACTCTCACGAGAACCCTGACGAAGTTGAAAACCAATGAGGGCAGAAGGCGTTCAGTAGGCGAAGGAAGGGTTACAATGTACTCTACACGAATGTATGATTTTGACTGGCCTATGCCTCGAATGGACTCCAATACGAGATGGAACATGCGAACAGGGCAGGGTAGAATAAGGTTAATAGTTCCTGTACCACCATGCTATGTATACCTCTTCGTTCGTTATCGCTAATACAAGATGCTGTAAGAGATGCTGTTGAAGGATGAGGCTACAATGCCTGGAATGCTCACAGTAGCCAAGATAATCTCAAAAGCTCGCCTTTGTGTACGAGAGTAGCTGACACTTGAACGATAATGGTGGTCGGATGCGCTGCAATGGTGAGCTCAAAGATGATTTAGAACTCTAGACCTGTCGAACGCAAAAGTCACGTTCATGAAACCATTCATCATACAAAGATCGTAGCCCAGGGCGATGGTACACTCAAATCATAAGGGTCGGGAAGGGTATATATTGCACGCTCGCTCTAGTTATTGGCCCCTCTTTTCATTTAGGAGGCAGACAAGGGCCAGACTTAATGTCATAGCTGCACTTTTCTATCTAGAATCTGCCACTGTCTACTTGCTAGACACTCTGCAATGGAGTGCTATAAAACACCTCATCCGCCCCTGGAATAGGTCGAAAGATACCCCGGACGCCATGCACACGTAGCTGCCGCTTGTGATCATTACTTCGCGACCGCAGCACTCAGCACCGAGGTCCTGAAGAAACTTCCCTTGGTGCGCTCGATTACCTGCACTCAAGTTAGCACAAAACATGTATCAAGTAGATCCCAGAAAGCATCCTCACCTGTTGGTATACTGAGTTTGCAGGGTGATTCATCAATACCGTCCCTTCCTTGTAATCCAGCTTCCCATCCATTCTTGTATCCCGAATCAGATTCACAATCCACTTCTCACCTTCCTCCATCTCCAGGCCCAATCTCTTGCTTAGATCCCCAATATCGATCCTCTGGTGAATCTTGCAGTAGCTTTCACTTATCAGATGCCTTGCGGCCTCCACGAACGCTTCCGCCGCTGCACTCAGGAAGAAATCGCCCTTGAGAACTTCCTCCGCTTCACTCAATTTCCTCTGCGCTTCTTCAAAGTCGAAATCGATATAAAGGGCTTTTATGAAGTCGGTGACTGGGTCATGGTATTCGTAGCCTTCCTGGCGTACAACCCGCACGAGATCTTTGAGCTGTTTCTGGTACTGGCCTGTGTTGCGCGTTCGTGATCTGTTGGTGATGACCGCGGCGGCAAGGTAACGTAGGATCCAGGGGCAATTGGTCTGTATGGTATTGATGAAGGCGGGAGAGAAGAAGAGTTCTGTGATCTGATCGCGAGCGGGTTCGTAGTTGAAAAAGGGAAAGAGCGACCAGTGGATAAGCCATGTCCGGTGCTGTAGCTGTGCCAGGGGATTGTTGAAAAGTTTGGTATCGATACTCTCTTTCACTTTATTGACCTCCTCCATTACAACGTCCCATTGCGTGGTCAGTATATCCGAGGCAAGTTTGCCCCAGGTAGCGGATGTGGCTTTGTCGTTGTCCGTGGAGAGGATGCGGAATTGGTCGAGGAGGTGGGCGGCATTCCCATAACTACCACAGCTATATTGAAACCGGCCGTAGTCGTAGAGCATGTCTACCATCTCAATTGTGACTCCATGGTTCGTTTCGAGGAATTTCAAGTTGGCCACTTTGTCGCTGCGGAGGTTCGACACCACACTGTCGTCACTGAGTAACTCATCGATCTGACTGGTCTCTTCCGTAAAGAGGGACAATCGTTGCAAAACCTCTTCCCTCTTCTTCACAAACTCTTCAGGCACATCGTCGCTGTCGTTGAGTTCTTGCCACAGACTCGCAACGTAGTCGGTCATGTTCGTCTGCTTGAGAAGCTCGTATTTTGTCCTCGTGATATCCGTGGTCGTGCTATCAATCCCCTCTTGGCCGGACAAGAATTCGAGTAGGGGAAATATAAGATGCCGGTCGAGGTGGGGGATGAGCCTGGGGAGGAGATCATTTTCTTCTGAGATCTCCGTGGACGCCGTTTGGCCCTTGCCATTCAATATGGCTCCTGCTGACGTGGGAGTATTGTCTGCCATAGCGGCGATGATGTAGGAACGTGGAGCAGGTATGTGATTGTGGGCAATTCGAGCAAGGAAAGTAACTCACTGTGTGCCTTGGCGCCAAGAAGACAGAAATCTGCCAACCATCCCTTATTCTACTATCCAGCCCTGAGCACCCGACAGCGAGCTTTACACGACCATAAGACCATACGTGATATAAGAAATTACCAGCTTTTGTTGTTCTCCTACACAATAACAATGGCTTCAGTACCATTTATGCCCTTCCTACGTCCTCTTCCCCTTCCTCGTCTCTCCTACATTCATATTCTCCAGCGCCAAATATCAAGCCTACCTCATCTCTGTCAAAAAGGTAACCGCCTCCCCGTGCTACGACCAAATGTCCTTCTAGCCGACGGCTGATTGCCCGCAGCCACCATAATTGTATCCAAGACGCCAACCCCACCACCGGCCTCTCCTGCGGTCAAACCTTCGGCGCAAGTCGGTCTTGCCGCCCTACCTCCACTTCCCTATCACGTCCACCGCACGGCATCACAAAAGTTGCCAATTTATCACCTCGCCAAACGCGGCGGCAATCTCCATCAGACTCGGATACGGAAAATTGAAGGAAACGTCGAGAAGCTTAGAGAAGAGATAGTGGCAGGGTTGGCCTTGAAGGAGGAAACCGTTGTCATTAATCGATTGACAGGGCATATCATCATAAAGGTACGTGAACAGGTTCATGAATGAACTGCTGGGGTCTGAAGAAGACTGAGAAGATGGCTAATATAAATCGTGTTCATAGGGGTGGTATAAGGACAATATCAAAAGGTTCTTGGAGGAGCGGCATTTCTGATTCACGCTATCGGTTGCAGTATTCTGTTGAACAAATGCGTTTTAGCTAGGTTCTCATTGAGCATGGGATCTGCCTGTGTGACATTGAGCGGAGGACGAATTGTACAAATTTATAGACATCCCCGCACATCACTACTTTGTCCAAGCCAAATTACTCAGATACAGCCTCGCTCCCAGTGTCTCAACCCCATGACCTGCTTGTAAGGTTACTAATCCACGTGCTTAGTACAATGTCACACATTTACATCAGATCAAGACCCATTGAATCAAGCCCTCCTCGCAACCCCTAAAGCCGAAATGCAAGCCGAAATGCGCGCTGTGAACTCGAGCCCTCACCGTAAGCATGCTTAGGCATCCAAACCAGAAAGACCACATAGCATCGCTACAGTAATATCCACCGTGTTGGCTTGCACTAAAGCTGAAAGGACACTCCGTTTGTCAGGCATCACTTCGGGTGGCAGTCCTTTTGCACTGCCAAGCGCATCCTTCGCTTTCTCGGCGAGCTTCCTCAGGACCGCAAGCCCACGATTGGTGATCGCGATGATACCATTGGGATCGTTATCCTGCATTCGACCGGAAACATGCCGCTGTTGGGATGAAGGCTGCGGCTGTCTGCTGAATTCGGACACCATCCTTGTTAGACTGAAGATAAAGCCATCCCGAGATGTAAGCCATGCGTATGCGAGCTCATGCTCCGAGGTTGGTATCAGGCTAACGATTATTTCCGCGGCCAGCAGACCTTGCACGAGATAGGGGGCGCGGAGCTTGACGAGACCTGCAGTGTTGACATGTCCATATTCGGGTATCGCAGCTATGGCCAGACCGAAAGCCCGAGTCAGCAGATCGTATGGTGGGTTAGAAGCACTGTCTGCGGCAAATATTGATCTATAGAAGGATCGATTCGGATCACCCCGAGCGAGTAGTTTCGCCAAGCTGTCGACAGCGTGTGGAAAGTAGCGATGGATTGCTGGGATGTAGGAGGAAAAGGTGATCTCTTCGTCCTCAGCGTTATGAGGCGCAGGCGATGGCGCGAAGGACAGCAAGAAATGGAGTATGCACAAAGCTTCCTCTTTCCCTGGCAAGTCGATACGCTGAGATACGTTGGTGAGAAATGTGAGAACATCTTTGCTGAAGTCTAAAGCGTTCAGGTTTGTGCGTAATAACATACTACGCGTGCCAAGGTATCGGATCACAGTGGTCATAAATCGAACCACCGTGGGATCTGCCAAGGCTGTGTGGTTGTGCTCCAGGAACGAGAAGTTCCTGAGTATCGTGGTCACGCAAATCAGCCTGTCAACTGCCCGATCAAGATCGTATTCAAGAGTGCCGATTTCCGGTACATCCTGAAGCATGGTAGTTTCTATCTTACAGCCTCTTGCAATCTCCTCATACGAGCTGATGAGCATGGCGTCGGAGACTTCGGCAGCGTGGTCCGCGAGCAGGTCCACTTGGTCCTCCGCACAATCAACCAAAGCCTCAAGCAGATCCTCGCAATTATCGAGAAGTGGTGGAGTTTGTTCAATGGTTAGAGAAGCTAGCGTGTCTAGCGCGAGGCGCACTTCTCCATGTATGCCCGAACGCAGAGACAGAGTCAGGGCCCGAATATCGACTACACCAAGCTCTTCCACCTTTGGTACGCTGAACTTGTACTTTAGTAGATCATCCACAGTTCCCAGAAAATTTGACGCAGGAGCCAACTCGATGCCCCCATAAGTTGGCGCTGTGTCTCCATTGTCGAGACTTGTCACATCGAATACTTTGTGCTCATCCAGGTTTGCCATCGTGGGCTCAAGCCTCCAATTCTTATTTTCTGATATCTGCGGTATCCGATTGGCGTCTGCCTCTTTTTTGGCTGCTGTGGACGGCTTTTGGGCTTCTCTGGGGGGACCCGTGCGCGGTGGAGCTTGCATTCCGAGTTGCGGCATGCTGTAAATGTTGGATGGGCGCCCCTGAGCTTGTCCCTGCTGTTGGGTCATGTATCCATTTTGTAGCGCCGGCCTGGCTTCATGCGGTGTAGTGATCATGTGCCTTTGAGGTGTTTGATACTGGGCATGCATGTGCGGCGGGGGTTGCATAAGCTGCTGCCCCTGCTGATTGTGTATTTGCTTTGTGGGAGAAAACGCCTCCTGTCTTAGATTTCCATCTCCACCTTGGTTGTGGTTGGAAAGCCTCGTATGATGATCTGTCATGGCCTGCCGTTGTTGCTGCTGTGTCTGCATGTATGTTTCGTACGGCAACAGGTTTGCATGCCAGTAATTTTGAAGTTCTCGACCGGCAGACATACATTGTTCTGCAATTAAGCCTAGCATTTGAGCAATCTTTGGCCATTGCCCAGTATTGTTTACTCTTTTGGAGCCGCCCATCTTCACAACATTAACAAACAGCTGCACGCTATTTATGTGTCGTCCTGCAATTAAAGGTCGATCAATGAATTGCATTTGTTGTTGTTGCATAAATTGAGCAATGGCTTGCAAGAGCTGACCCTGATTATCTGGTCGTGATGGCGCCTGCTGCGCGCGAAGCGCTGCGATCTGGCCTGCAGACATATGATTCGATGGTTGTGCTAAATGGTTCAGTGCACCGCCTTGCTGCCGAAATTGCTGTAGCTGTCGCATCCGTAGGGCATCTTGTTGCATCCTCAGCTGTTGTTGCTGAAGATTCTGGGATTGCTGATTGTATTGAGACAAAGCCGCACCGTTCACTGTTGTGCCAACCGGCGGAGTGAATGACTGACCAGGACCTGCACCGTATGGCATTACTTGTGCATAATGCTGACCTCCATTCTGAGGGGTGTTCACTCGGCTACCATGTTCCGACTGGGGGGGAGACGGATGTGCGCCACCGAAGTTCTGAGTGGCTGGAGAAAAAGGGGAAGGTGACATGGTCTGGACGTGCTGCTGTGGGGGTTGATGGTTAAAGGGCTGATGTGGCATAATGGGTGATTGACTTGGATTGCTGCCAGCTTGCTGGAATTGCTGGTACGATGATGTCCCAGAGAACTGCTGATTACCATTGATAGCACCTTGATAGCCTGGATACACTCCCTGTGGTGTTTGTGAGCGCGATGCCGGGAGGACGCCAGGAATTTGTCGAGGAGACTCTCCTATGCTATCTTCTCGCGGTCGAGGCCGTTTAGAAGGTATTAGAGGTTGAGTCGGGTACATAGGGTTATATGCCGGGGAGCCATTGCGCGCATTTCCATTCTGCATGCGCTGGTGTAGTTGTTGATTCTGCAAATGGTTGAATTCGAAGGACGATGTAGTAGGGGTCTGCATAAAGGGGTCGCCAGCAGGATTGAAGGCTCCATTGTCATTGTTGGGGAAGGACTGGACGTCGTTGAGCCAGTTTGGCATACTCATGTCGATTGGGATGTGCAGCAACCCATCTGCTCCTGAGATGTGCTGTTAGCACATCGTCCAGTATCATCGCGTAACTAGCCTCCGCGTAAACTCTTTGCATAGCGCCCAACGAGGACACGGAGAGGTGGCGCTGCGGTGGGAGACAAGAGTAGGATAATAGGGTATCCAAAGATGGCATAGCGCGTCGAGTGAATATCAGGACAAGGGCTATGTGGTGTCCACGAGTATTGTGACAGGGATATAGTAGAGAGAGATATGCAGAAAGGCTCACCTGGAGTGGCAGGCTTGTGGGTTCACTACTTGCATCATTGTCAACAAAGAGGCGCTTCAAGATCTGAGGTCTTAGTCAAAACTTACGCCAATGATGGAGCAGGCCTGGTGAGTGGGGAGGAGGCTTCATCACGAGGAACAGTCAGCACAGGCAGGCAAGGCTCGAGTGGAACGCGATGGGGACGGAATGATTCGATGACAGAGAAGCATGTGACTGATGACACAAGGCTGGGATCGGATCCAACAAAGGTAGGTAGATGGAGGGGCATTGTCCGCGTTGTCCCAGGCAGAGGAGTGCTTCCGAGCGCGGGCGGCTGACTTCTACCACAGGACGACGGGAATTGGGAGTGGGAGTGGGAAGGAGGCAGGCAAGATTGGCGGCAAAAGTAGAGAATAATGGAATACTTTACCTTTGTTATCTGATTCGTATTTTGCCTTAGCCAAGCAGTAATAAATAATAATAATAATAATAATAACAATAAAATGGCAGAAAATCTAGGCACCTTGCGTCTGTCTCCCTTTTGGATGAGACGGGGATAATCTTTAGCCGGGAGTTGATATGAGAGAGATTATTTCTAGCCTAGAAAAATTATATCTTAGGCAGCGCTACGCCTACCTCCTTACCTAAAGGTACCTTACCTTTCTGATCTGTACACTCTCCTGCCGCTCCTGCTCTCTTTCTCTGTTCAACCTCCATGATCAACCACAGTAGGAACAAAAATTCTTATACAGTGTGACAACAGTAGTACTAGTACTTCCTGCCATTCGAGAATCCAAATTGCCCTACAGTACCCCAACCAGCCAAAAAAGTCTCCGGCCGAAACTTGGATCATGCAACCAGTGCAGCATCAGTTTCATTACCCGCATGACTGCCTTTGGAACCAATCATTACCACATCCACATATCGCTTGCTTGCTTTGCCTGATTGCCTCTCAGTCGCCGCTCCGCTCTGACTGTCCTGAAACGGCAGACGGCCAAGCACTTCCGTTGATCCTGCGAAGCCAGCAGAAAATATTATAATAGTATTAGGTTTGGTTACTTTTGCATCTATATCTACATATTGCCTCGTGCTAATTTGTTACAGCGGGCTTAGATACGAAAATGTCCATAGCGTGGCATCGCACTTGTCTCTTGACCCTAAAATTGTTGTGAACTCTACTTATCATCATAGCTAATTCTCATTTGCACCTTTGCCAATCAATTCACGAGAATGTGGACGCACAATGTAACTATACCCTCCTGGCGGCCTGATACTCTATCTGGAAGTCCAGGAATTTCCATTATGACTAGACGAGAGAGAGCGTTTCTCCGTATGGTAGTTCATATATTGTAGATAGTAGATAACGTACTCCAAAGAGCAATTGTGAATGGAATACAGTGTTACGAATTCATATTGAAATCCATACTGGTATACTATTCACCTCGCTGGATCGTGTGAATCTGCTCCTGGAGATTGTTCTTCCATCACATTTCCGTGCCAAGACATACATACTCCTTTCGATTAGCTCGTTTTTGACAACTCCCAGACAACATGCTCAGTCCCTGCACGAAGCATTTCATACCCTTTAGAGTATCGGACGACTTCTCACTTGGACGACAACACCCATATACATCATGGGCGAAGTTGCTGTGGAACATCCGCTGAATGTGATTCCACCGCACAAGAGGCAAACGCCATCAAATATACCAAGCATCGACATCGAAGGCATCATTAACGATGATAGCGATGAATACTCGACACTGAAGAGACTTCAAAGACATCTCGAGTAAGCCTCAACGCTCATGATGATCATACCGAGCTAAACTTCAAATAGGTACATCAACCTACAAGAAGAATACATTAAGGATGAGCAGAGGTAAGCCTGTGGCATGTGACTCTCAGAGATCGGTACCTGAACGGATAGCAGGAGCCTGAAGAGAGAGCTGGTACGAGCTCAGGAAGAAATCAAGCGGATACAGAGTGTTCCCTTGGTCATCGGCCAATTCATGGAAGCAATCGATCAGAAGTACGCAAGCCCCCTATAGTGATTCTTCCAGCCATGACGACTGACATACGGACAGCACCGGTATCGTGCAATCATCAACAGGTTCAAACTATGTTGTCCGCATCCTTTCCACCCTCGATCGAGAAAAGCTCAAGCCATCATCATCTGTCGCCCTTCACCGTCACTCAAATTCTCTCGTTGACATACTGCCGCCTGAAGCCGATTCATCTATAGCCATGCTCGGTGCTCACGAAAAGCCCGATGTGACATACGCAGATGTTGGGGGCTTGGATATGCAGAAGCAGGAGATTCGGGAAGCTGTGGAGCTGCCATTGACGCATTTTGACCTCTACAAGCAAATTGGTAGGTACATGTTATTCTCAAATATCAGGGCGTTGCTGATGACCAGCAGGGATTGACCCGCCTCGTGGTGTCCTCCTGTACGGTCCTCCCGGCACTGGCAAGACCATGCTGGTCAAAGCGGTGGCCAACAGCACAACGGCAAATTTCATTCGCGTCGTGGGCTCAGAGTTCGTACAAAAATACCTGGGAGAGGGACCACGTATGGTGCGCGATGTGTTCCGAATGGCGAGAGAAAACTCGCCTGCCATCATTTTCATCGATGAGATTGATGCTATAGCAACGAAACGGTTCGATGCTCAGACGGGTGCAGACCGAGAGGTGCAGCGCATCCTGCTGGAGCTACTGAACCAGATGGATGGCTTTGACCAGACCAGCAATGTCAAAGTCATCATGGCTACAAACCGAGCCGACACTTTGGATCCTGCTCTACTACGCCCAGGTCGTCTGGACCGAAAGATTGAATTCCCTTCATTACGAGACCGTCGGGAAAGACGATTGATTTTCACGACCATTTCCGCGAAGATGTCACTTTCGCCCGAGGTTGACTTGGATTCTCTCATCATCCGCAATGATCCATTATCAGGAGCAATAATAGCGGCCATTATGCAAGAGGCGGGATTGAGGGCTGTCAGAAAGAACAGATACAACATCATTCAATCGGATTTGGAGGATGCTTATTCTAGCCAAGTGAAGGGGGAGGCAAGCGATGTCAAATTCGATTTCTACAAGTAGCATCTTCCAGCGTTACATGCTTAAGTCTTTTCCACCACAAGATCTGCCTTTAGGGCTAGAGTCTCGACAACCTTGCCATCACAAGTGATCGGATCTCAGCATGACAGACATGAATGATCACACAGAGTATACCATCAAACGTCGCGATGCTGTTCATCAGGAGTATTGCTCGTGTGATCAGGTTTTGTTGCTTGGCGCTCCATAACAGGGGTCCCACAAGCGCTAGTCTAGTTGCGCAGGAGCGGTGGCAGGCAACCGCCGTCATCATCGCCCAACCTCCCAACTTCCCTCCATCAACAACCCTCTGCCATCTACATCAGCACTTTTCATCCCAACTGTTGTACTGTCCTACTTTATACAGCTCATTGGTATTCGAACATGAAGAGCGGTCTCCTCTTTGCCGCAGCGGCCTTTGCCGGCCTGGCGAACTGCGGCGTCCACAAGCTGAAGCTCGAGAAGGTGCCTCTATCCGCGCAGCTCGAGCATGCCGATATTACCACACATGCCAAGTCTCTTTACAAGAAGTATTCTGGCCAAAAGTTCATGGGTATCCGACCCGAAGCACACAAAGAAGAGATGTTCAAGGACACCTCAATCCATTTGGACCAAGACGACCACCCAGTACCTGTCTCAAATTTCTTGAATGCTCAATGTTTGTTCTACCACATCATTTCGACTATTTTGATTCTGACATGGCTCTAGACTTCTCTGAAATCGTCATCGGCACCCCACCGCAGACATTCAAAGTAGTCCTGGACACTGGTTCCTCCAACCTCTGGGTCCCATCAACTGAGTGTGGATCCATTGCTTGCTATCTTCATACCAAGTACGACTCATCTGCATCATCAACGTACAAGAAGAATGGTTCCGAGTTTGAGATTCGATATGGTTCGGGCAGCTTAAGCGGCTTCATTTCACAGGACACCCTCCAGATTGGCGACATCAAGATCAAGAACCAGGACTTTGCTGAAGCTACTCAAGAACCTGGCCTTGCTTTTGCCTTCGGTCGCTTTGATGGAATCATGGGTCTCGGCTATGACACTATCAGCGTTAACAAGATCGTTCCACCCTTCTACAACATGATTGACCAAGGCCTTCTCGACGAGCCTGTTGTCTCCTTCTACCTCAGTAACACCAACAACGGTGAGGGCGACGAATCTGAGGCCATGTTTGGTGGCGTGAACAAGGATCACTACACTGGCAAGATGACCAAGATTCCATTGAGACGCAAGGCATACTGGGAAGTCGACCTTGATGCCATCACTTTTGGCGATGCAACGGCTGAGCTTGACAACACCGGTGTCATCCTGGACACTGGAACCTCTCTGATCGCTCTTCCATCCACCCTGGCTGAGCTTCTGTGAGTGACGACTTCCTCCCATCCCACCGCTTGATGCTAATCTCGAACAGCAACAAGGAGATCGGTGCAAAGAAGGGCTACAATGGTCAATACACTGTCGAGTGCTCGAAGAGGGACGAGCTCCCCGATATGTCATTCACTCTCACCGGTCAGAACTTCACGATCGGTCCGTATGATTACATCCTCGAAGTTCAAGGTTCCTGCATCTCGTCTTTCTTCGGCATGGGTGAGTCCACCTCGTCTTCCATTCACATAATCAAGCTAATGTGTAATGTACAGACTTCCCCGAGCCCGTTGGCCCATTGGCAATCCTTGGTGACGCCTTTCTGAGGAAATGGTATTCCGTGTACGATCTTGGCAGCAACAGCGTTGGTCTCGCTCTGGCCACGCAGTAAGGCATGTGTACATTAGGCGAGGGACTGATGTCAGTCATGGGGGTTTGGAAAGAAAATTGTAGCCCAATGTGCTCACTGGAGAACTCAAGGGTTGGCGGGAAAGGGAGTTGCGGCACCACATTCTTTGCGTCTCTTCTGTACTTTACTCTTGCCCACCTGGTAACTCACAGGCACATGCGGTGATTGACAGGATTTCCTCATGTATTCGCCTTCTGTTTGATCCTTGGCAAGTGTAAAGACCGCTTGTATTTTAGAGTAAGAAACACAGCTCTCCAAATGAAATGTCGCGCGTTGTCATGTCTTTGTGTCTTAGGATACTATGTAGTCTAGAATCGCAGGACCTAAGTAGGTAGGTAGGTAGGTAGGTACTCGTAGCCCCACCAGTCCTGCTAGAGTTACCTTTAGCTAAGATTAAGGTATGCCCGCATTGATCTGCAGCTACAGCCTACAGTAACCTTTTTTTATATTCTTATGTCCGTGATTCTCTGTGAACCTGAAGCACCAACTTTCAACAAGGTTCTCCCAGTAGACAGTCTCGACAATCTGATTTACTGAATAATACTTGCCTCATTCAACTTTCCTGTCATCCAAAGCTTGCCACAGCCGTCATGAACCGGCTGACACATGTTCATCCTTATCGCGCATCACCTGAACCAAGTGGTAGCACAACGAAGCCTCGCATGCTCCAAAAATCGCTGCCTTCAATTATAGTTCTTTGACCTATATCATCCTACACTCGTAGATACCTGCGTACATACAGCTCTCGATATGGCTCACGAACACGATCTCCACAAGATGGCTGGGCGAAAGTTTACCAAGAAAAGGAAGCCACTCCGAGCTTCGTCAGTACAGTATCCAGCAAGATTGAAGGAAGGAGAAGATGCGCAAGAGGATGTCACAGCTGCTAAGGGCGAGCCTGCTCAACATATGAACCAATCCGTTTTCTCCATGATCGCTGCGGCTGGGCCCAAAGTTGACTTCAATGCTCGTTTCGAAGAAGAAGAAAGCAGTGATAGCAATGACGAAAACCAAGCGTCAGCCATTTCAGGCGGTGTCGATGAGCAGTCCAACCACCCTCGGAATCAGACACACTTGGACAAGCAGCATGAGGACAACCTTTCGAGAGAAAAGCCCGGGAGGCCACAAGGAAAATTTTCTGAGCACAAAGGCCTTCGTCCATTACCAAAGCTAGATCTACGGACAATCAAAGAGAAAACTTACATGTCCCAAAGTTTGCGGTTGCCATTAAGTGAAGTGTTGAACCAGCACGAAAGTCCAGCAGGTGTCACCCCACGGGATGCACCTGTGATGAGCATGATGCTGGAAGCACAGGCCGAGCTAATTACTTCCGCCCAACTCCCGGGCATCAAAAATACCGGTGCAGAAGAAAGCCATGATGTAGTTGGCAAGGAGGCTCCTACCAGCCTGGTGACTCGGCTGATGGAGATATTTGGCTTTGAGAGACCCGAAGACGTGGTATCAGGTATTTGAAACGATACTATAGATTGGTATCAACGCGCTGATAAGTTTGTAGAATATCCTTGCTGGCTTTTACAAAGTGTTCTACTCCAAGGGTATATGTATATCACCCAGAACCATATTTGTTTCTACTCATACCTGCCCAAGAAATCTGTGAGCTAGCCCCAATATCGTCAGAATCTCTACCATGTCTGGGCTCACACACGAGCAGAACGTGACCGCCAAATCTGGGCATCTCTTCAAAAGAGGCAAACAGAACCCAAAATTCCACCGATATTGGTTTGTCTTGAAGGGAGATGTTCTATCATACTATACTGATCAGTCGCGTCTCTACTTCCCAAGTGGCAATATCGACCTACGCTACGGCATATCTGCCTCAGAGAAAGGTAAAGATTTCACCATTGTCACGGACCAACGTGTGTACCATTTCAGGGCAGATAGTGCTACCAGCGCAAAGGAATGGGTTAAGACGCTCCAGAAGGTTATCTTTCGTTCTCACAATGATGGCGATAGCGTCAAAATATCTCTGCCTATTGAGAATGTCATTGATGTCGAAGAAAGCCCGGTCAGTGGGCTCGCAGAGACCCTCAAGATCCGCGTGGTAGACAGTGACGAGACGTACGCTGTTGAGGAGGTGGGAAGGCTCTACTCTGCTAGCTTTTATCCTGATGCTGACATACGAAACAAGTACTTCTTCTCATTCTTCGACTTCGGACACGACGCTTTTCATGTCCTACACACCATTGTGAACGACACAACCGCGCAAAAGATTCCTCGAGACATTCTGTCTCGTTCCCCAGTACATGACGATTTTCGTTCGCGCGATAGCTCTCAGCTTCCCAGAAAGAAAAAATCTTATGATCTGAAAGCGAGCAGTCCCTCGGACCCAGCGACACCCATTTTGCCTGATAGCGTTCGCGCGACGCTTGTCCCATTCTCTCCAACAGGTAGTGGGCAAGTCAGTCCTCGCGTGAGTGGCGATTGGGGAAGACGTAGCATGGACTTAAACCGGAAAAGCATAGACGCGGGTCGAAAGAGCATGGACTTTCCAGCCAGAGATCCCAATCGTACCAGCTTTGAACGAGGTAGAAGAAGTGCAAGCACTAGCAGAAACAGATTGACAAAAAGGCACCCGGGAACTAAGGCACAACCCACCGCGCCACAAGGATCCACTGATTCCTTTGTTCACTCACTTGAGCAGGGTCCCAAGTCTTCTGCGTCGCACGTTTCGAGCGACGAGACGCAAGCTTCAGGTAGCCAGATTCTGAATCGAAGTGATGTCTTCCAATCTCCAACCATCCAGCGTCTCCACGGTTCTCCACCATCAGATCAAGACAGCAAAGGAAGACGGCCAGTGGACTCGGCACGCTCCAACTCCATTGATGCGCATATCAAAAATGGTCCTCCAACCAGGACTTATAAGGAGCAAAGCGGTGTAGAAAGCCAAAGAGGCGGTGATCCAAAGAGCAATCAACCTTTGCAGTCCAACTCTTCACCCACACTCCACCAACTTGTCAAGGTAGGTGCATATCCTTTGCAAAGAGCAGCGGGTCTTGCCGGCTATCTTCGATCTCGATCAAAGAGAATGAGTAATTTACTCGCCACTGAGTCTATAAGCTACGTGGAGAAGATGTCCGGTATCTGGGCCGGAGGCCGGAAACACTACAGTGATGCAGAAGGCGTCTTATCCGATGATCGACTTCAGGATCTTGATGATGAGAACAATCCCACGAAGTATGGTGACCGCTTTAGGGAGCATTTCGCACTACCAGCATCCGAGAAGCTACAAGCAACTTACTTTGGGTATTTACAGCGTGTGCTGCCTCTCTATGGCAAGATATATGTCAGCAACAAGAACGTCTGCTACAGAAGTCTTCTCAAGGGTACCAGAACAACGATGGTGCTGCCGCTTAAGGACATCGAGACTGTTGACAAGGAGAAAGGCTTTAGGTTCGGCTACTCGGGGCTTGTCATTGTCATCCGTGCTCATGAAGAGCTCTTCTTTGAATTCTCTCGGCCCGAAGCCCGAGACGATTGCGCAGTCACCATCTTGGAGAGATTGGGGTCGATGGGTTTTTTGCAAGACTCCGGGTTGTTGACGCAAGAAGACAAGGAAGAAGCCGAGACAGCCAAAGCCGAGAATAAGATGCTACAAGAAGCGAGGCAAGCCGGCCATAACACCCACCAGCTCAAATCTCCAGAAAGAGTGAACTATGTCGAGCATGCGCAAGAAGCACCGCCGATGTTTTTTGACGACCCTCAAGCATCGATCCTCAATTTCAAGCCAACCGAATCTCTTCGAATCACATGTCTTACCATTGGATCAAGAGGGGACGTCCAACCGTATATTGCCCTCTGCAAAAGGCTTTTGGAAGAGGGACATAGACCAAAGATTGCAACCCACGCAGAGTTCAAAGGTTGGGTCACGAAGCACGGAATAGAATTTGCGACTGTCGACGGTGATCCGGCTGAGCTGATGAGGATTTGCGTGGAGAATGGAATGTTTACGTATTCTTTCCTGAGAGAAGCTTCCGTTAAATTCCGAGGCTGGATCGACGAGCTTCTTACATCGGCCTGGAAAGCTTGCCAAGATACAGATATACTCATTGAGAGCCCTAGCGCCATGGCCGGCATCCATATCGCAGAAGCTCTAGGTATTCCCTACTTCCGAGCTTTCGCCATGCCCTGGACACGCACCAGAGCTTACCCTCACGCTTTTGCCGTCCCCGACCACAAGATGGGTGGCGCATATAACTATCTCACCTATGTCATGTTCGACAACATCTTTTGGAAGGCGACAGCTGGCCAAATCAATCGCTGGCGCAAGAAGGAACTTGGGCTTCGCAGCACCAGTCTCGACAAACTGCAACCTAACAAAGTTCCCTTCCTCTACAACTTCAGTCCTTCCGTTGTTGTCCCCCCGCTCGACTTCAGCGATTGGATCCGAGTCACAGGATATTGGTTCCTCGACGAGGCTTCTGATTGGTCGCCACCGCCCGCCCTCATCGAATTCATCGCGAGAGCGCGGGCCCATGAGAAGAAACTAGTTTACATCGGCTTTGGCTCCATTGTCGTCTCCGATCCCGCTGCTCTGACAAAGACTGTAGTGGAATCTGTATTGAAGGCAGATGTTCGCTGCATCCTCTCTAAAGGCTGGTCTGACCGTTTGGGCAACCGGGACGCTACTGTCGCCGAAGTGCCTCTTCCTGCAGAGATCCACCAGATCACGTCCGCGCCACATGATTGGCTGTTCAAGCAGATCGACGCAGCTGTTCACCACGGTGGTGCTGGTACAACGGGCGCTAGTCTGCGCGCCGGACTACCCACGATTATCAAGCCCTTCTTTGGCGACCAATTCTTCTTTGGATCCAGGATAGAGGATCTTGGTGTGGGCACATGCATGAAGAAGGTCAATGTCAGTGTGTTCTCGAGAGCATTGTGGGAAGCGACTCACAGCCAGCGCATGATCAGCAAGGCGCAAACCTTGGGGGAGCAGATTCGCAAGGTAAGCCACATACCCTGTTTGGATCCTTTCCTTTCTCAATTGAACGCACCGCTAACCGATCCCAGGAAGACGGTGTAGGGACGGCAATCAAAGCCATTTATCGTGACCTGGAATATGCAAAGACCCTGATCAAGCATCGCACCGATTTGGCTAATGATGATACGGCCGACGGTGCCAATGAGGAATGGACATTCATTGGTGACGAGAGTGATCCAGAGTTGGCAAGACGGATTGCAGAGTGGGAGCCTAGAAAGAGCCTTCAGGTCGGAGAGGGAATGGGAAGGCAAAGTCTAGATTTGGGGGCCTGAGTAATTGTGGTTGATGGTGTGGTAGTGTCTGGGATGAGGTCGTCGGGTAGCAGGCTTGCTTTTCATGGAATTACTGCTGTATTTTGAGCGAGCGGGAGCATTGCCCTGGATAACGATGGAATGATGGAATGATGGGTAGAACAGGAACACCTGCGGACAGGGTGACGGCGTCAAAATAGAGTAGGTTTATGCCTCTCAACTCCATCACAGGATCTGCCATATGGAATATAATGTCACAAACTTGCTATCTCCGGACTGTTTCGGCGGATGACTAGGATGAGAAAAATTTTGTTGGAGAGAGGTCGTCTTTTGGTATCAAAGACTCAATGCATGCATGCTTTCAATCATGCCACATCGGGCACGCCAGAATCGCTAAAGTATGTACACACTGAATGTTATTCATGCACGAGCAACAAGGGCGATGCTAACCCTCGCCGTGGTCTTCACTTCCGTCCTTCTCCAATTCTCTCTCCAATTCATCCTCGAATTCACTCCACCCATCTCCCTCCTCTTTTTCCCCATTCACTACTGCTCCAACTCCAGCCTCCTCCTCCTCACCATCATCTTTCTCATCCTCGTCCCCGTCAGGCTCGGCCATAGTCGTCTGGCTCAAAGATGTTAGGCCATTCCCAACCGCTTGCTTCTTCTTCACCTTTCCAGCGTTGCCGTCTTCACTCTCATCACCGCTATCGTTCTCCTCTCTTCCTCTCTTTTTACCGCGCATCCCCAGCTTCGAACTACCATTAGTATCCCCACTAGCGACGCTGTCTCCGTCACTGTCTTCGGCGTCACTACCCAGGAACTCAGCAAGCTCGTCATTCATGCCGCTCCAATCCTCATTCGTACCACCAACGGGGCTAGCTTCATCCACGTCAATTTCCGAGAGAGCGACATCTTCGAACTCAGATTCGTCTGGGTCGACATGACTTTTGTTTGGTTTGGTTTTCAGGGTGAGTGTGGGCTTGGATGGCCTACTACTGGTGTCCGTGTCCTCTCCACTTTCGCTGGCAGCGGGTGATTCACTCTCGCTAAGAATATCGTCGTCGTCTTCGTGAGGACCGTTCTTCCCTTCCGTATCAAGAAGATAAGGTCTCTCGTCTACTTTCGACCAGCGGTGGATAGAGTCTGTGAGCCACTGAGGGTTGACAATTTTGATCCTGCCTTTGCCTCGTTTGATCGCTTTTCTGACTTTCAGGGTTCGATTTCTTGCCGCAACAACATGCGTAGTCGACCTGCCAACATTTTCCTCGATCCGAGCGCCGAAGCTTCTTGCCAGGATCGCTGAATCAGTGCTTCCAACATCCACGCCTAGAGGAACAACACCTGAAAAGACGATAACAACTCCGGCGAGGACTTTTGATTTCACCGACGGCAAAACTATCTCGATGTCCGGCACGAGGTCCAGATCGGATTTCTCGCTTGGTAACTTGCGTTTCTGCCCACCTCGGAGTTGCCCCAGACGGCCACCTTGCGCGTCGGATAGTCGGCGGTAATAGATGTCGTAGAAATCGGTGTGGACTTTATGGAGAGACTCTTCGAGCTGGAAGAGCTCACGGTCGTGGTCCTGGAGGAGGTTATGCTTCGGCTTGTCTGGTTCACTAGAATCGTCTGAAGAAGGAGATGCATTGCCAGAATCTCCATCTTCGTTTGCTGCGGCGGACCCTATCGCAGCATCTTCTGCCTCTAATTGCTTCTGCTTCTGGAGCAAGGGCCGGTCCTCAAGTTGAGCCGCTAAAGCCTCATCCTGGCGGGTTGTTTGCGCTTGCCTTGTCGCTGGATCGTTACCACCACCCATCGCTACTAGCTGCTCCAGTGCTGAGACATTGTTGGCTGCTGGAGCCTCCGACTCTCCAGCAGATGGGGTCGCCAGTTCCTGACTTGTATTGCCGTTGATTGTAGGCTGAAGCTCCTCCTTCGTAGCACCTTCAGTTTGATCGTCACGGGGCTCGGGGCCTGCAATGGCCGCCGCCTTCTGCGACGGTTTCGGTCCAGGCTTCTTGGGCAAGAAGCTGGAATTGATGTCCCCGATACCGACGAAAAAGTCATATGGTGTAACTTTGATAAGATTCGGACTCCATTTCCAAACGTCCCCCCTGTCGTCAATGATGACTACCATCTTTGTATCCACGGGGAAGAGGCGTTGCAGATTTTTAGCTGTGGAGCTTCCACTCTCATCGCGAGACAGTATTCGATCGCCAAATATTTTGTGCTCGGGATCTATTATGTTTGCAATATTCTTCGCGTAGGCCCTTGTGCCCATGGTGTAGATGTGTAGCTCGTATATCTTTGAAACATTTTCCAAGAAGCCTTTGAGCCCAGGACGAAGTTTGATATAGTACCAACATCCTCTATTTCCCGGTCCATCGTCTTTCAAGAGGAATGCGCGAACGTCTTTGACCGCGTCGTGGTTTGGGTTGTGCCCATCTTTCTGCCAGTCGGCGACCGTAGGGTCAACTGTAGCCTGAATGATGGTCTGGTCTAAATCGACAACGAGGGACAGTTTCTTCGAAGCTAGCAAACGCCTTTTGGCTTCGTCATCTGCTCTTGCTGCTTCATTTTCGCTGATGGTGAGCGAGACATTGTTGTGAACCATATTTATTGTCGCTCTCGAGGAATCGAGTTGCTCGGTCACATAGGATGACCTTTGAAGATGAGGGATTAGCATTTGCCACCATGAAGCTTGCAATGACAGACGGAGCTTTCGGTGACTTACTCGCTCATGTCCTTGCCGCAGGTAACGCACATTCCACCAAACTGGACGCTGTGCGCGCATGGTTCCTCGATCTCAGCTATATTCACACTTGAGTACGAATCAGTATACTGAAGCCTACTAGGCATGGATAGTGGACTGCGTACTTTGGCTTGGAGATGACCGCGCCCTCGTCGATTTTCCAGTTGATGAGCACGCCCTCGACGCTGGATTCAAACCTAGTCGGGTATTTCTTCAAGGTCTGCCATGTATTACCTAGACTATCACCTTCTGTCACCTCGGTCTCATAGACGTACGAGAAGAGTGGTGCGAACTTGTCGACATGGTCGTTGGGTTGCTTGAGCAGCTCGGTGACGGTGATTGGGTAATGAAGGCTAGTGGGGAGTCGCAGCAGCATTGATTATGGATATTTGGACGCGCAGGCTTTGAGTGGTCATGTGTACGGAAATTTACGTGTTTTTGTGGTTTTTTCTATTCGTTTGTCGGACCTTTCCCCCAAGCATGCGAAGTCAGGTGGGGTGTCGTGTGCTTTGTTTGAGCGGGGGTGAAGGTGGACATGGAAACCCTGCGCCAAAGGTGGCTGGTTGGTGGAAGGGAAGTAATAGCAGGTGAATTTGAGTGAGGAGGAAGAAATGATGCTTTGTTGTTTGGTTGTGTCAGTGTTGCGTGGAGAGCTTGGGTAGCGGATTTAGCAATGCGCGAAATGCTTGATACCGAAATACCTACGGGAGACAATAAGTACAATTTCTTGGCAAAGAATTATTTTGACCGCAAAACGACCGGAGTGGATCGTTCTTTTTAAAAGTAGTTGCCTGTTTTTGAGCCTCTGGATCGCTATTCCCAAAGCGGCTACTACTCCCGCACAGCCGAGGTGCATCAGAATTGAGATAAGGTGAAGTAGGTACTTTAAGGTACATTACTTTATACCAGATACTGTACTCACTCATACACCAACAGACCAGTCAGGCAAGCATCATCTTCCTCAATCAATCTTTCAATCGTGACTCTGGCCAGCCAATCTTTTAATCTTGACGACTGATCCGAAGCATAAGAGCTGGGGTGACGTGATTCTAACGCTTCATCTCTGGCTTCTGAAGTTATGAGGATACTTAGCAGGCAATCGGATGCGCTGGACTAGGACAATGGGTCAATGGGTCAATGTGGGAAGCTTTATTGCAAGGTACTGCTCTAGATGCCGCTTCAATTCAAATATCATTTTCCATTCTCGCCAGATCCTCTTCTTAACCATTTGGCAGTCTTTTCTTCTTTCCATCAACTTCCTCCCCAGACTCCGCCTTCTCTTTCCTCTTCATTGTGACATCCCAATTGTACACTCTTGCCGTTGCAACCTCCAAGGTCTGTAACCAGGAATCAGCTGGAGCGATCCCCTAAATAAAGTCAGAGCTCTTACGGTGATCTGCTCTCTTAGGAAATCCAAATCTTCTTCGCAATTCTCAAGCGTCTGCTGCGCGCCGGACAGCTTTCCTTCCAGGAGCGTCTCCGCTTCCACGATTGGATATGCGAGCATCACATTTGCACCCAACCACAAGTAGACCTCTTCCGTAGGTGGCACGAGCGCTTTAGCGTAAAGAGTATCGTTGAGCTCGAATGTGGCTTCTATAGCATCCGAGTCTGGCTGCACAGCGAAATTTGAGAAATTTAGTCATCAAGGACATCGCCCAGACATGGAACAGACCTTTCGGGTCTTCAAAAACCGTACTGTATCCAGTGTCTTTTGTATGTCTGGTACTTTCTCATCCAATCCAGCCTTTCGCCTTTGTGTGTTGGCTTCCATGAACTGGTATTTGCTAGATTGCGGAAATCAATCAACATCTTTCCAGTCACAGAATTGAAAAGTGCGTACGATATCATCTCCTGAAAACTTTTCATCGTCCCATCTACTTCCGCTCTTGAGGAAACATAGTCCTCGACCTTGTCCACGAAAGGCGCATAAGGGATGCCTCGAGGATTTGTCTGTGCATCTTTGCTGTAAGGAGGTCGAGAGTCAGTATACGACTTGGAGACAGAGATTGTAAAGAGAGTGCGTACCCTTGCGCCTTGCTTGACATATCCTCTTAATCTTGAAGTTGGCAAATCACTGTTAGAAATTCGACATAATGTAAGCCACATTCGGCCGTTGAGACGGCCCGCATGCGCCACGCTACCCCGATTTTCTTAATCATTGGGAAACAAAACAGTTCCCACGAGCACCCTATATTATCATAATCTTTATAATATCTTCTAATAATGATAAAGTTTTAGAGAATTATAACCATCGTTGTGAATTTATTCCTGAAATTTCAATTTTCAATTTTCGCGGGGGGGGAGGTGCTTGCGGGAACTTTTTTATTTCCCAATGATTACTCCGTAAGGACAAGTGCGTTCGAGAGTTGTTTCTTGTTGGAGCATTGTTTCAATTTTCCAAGTTGCCAACAACCGCTGCAGCAACATTATTGACAAGTGATACGTGATGCTTTTTCGTCCCAGCATTCGTTGTCGCCAACCTCAATCTGGGCCAATACTCTTTTCCCCTCGTTTCATCATCTCTTCTTCTAAAACCCTATACCTCCCAATCCGCAATTACACCACTCCACGCGAATACCAATCTAAACCCAGAGTCCCACTTCAACGCTCTCAGGCAGCATCTGTCGCCCTCAATCCTCCTAGCACCACACATCCACCCCCTTTAAGCCTCCCCGAGAAGCCTCCCGACCTCCCAAAATACAAGAACTACTTCCGTGTCGGCAAAGCTTACGGTGTCTTCTACAAAACCGGTCTCAAGGCCATTTGGACAAACTACAAGCTCGCCCGAGCCCTTCCTAACCATATCTTCTCCAGTGGCCAAGCTAAAGTTCATCAAGCCGTTCGCCATGGTCTACTGTCGCGCGCGGACTTTCAACTGATCCGCCGTACTCGACGTGACATCAACAAAGTGCCACTGTTCGCACTGATATGGCTCATTTGCGGAGGGTTTACCCCGTTGATCGTTATTTTCTTCACCGGGGCTGTCCCGCGAACTATATGGATTCCCAAGCAAGTGCGAAAAGCGCGCGAAGAAGCGGAGAGACGGAGGTCAAAGAGTAGGAAAGAAAGCGTAGTTCTTTTTGCCGGCCCTCCACGGCGATCCGACATAGAATCAATGCCCGATGAGCCCCAGCGTAATGCCTTGAAGTCCTACGCGCAATCGTTAGGCTTGTACCCTGCTTGGTGGGATCGCTGGATCCCTACTCTGGTTCCGACGTCGTTGATTAAGAGCAGAGTATACAGGAGGCTTGGAGAACTGGAAGTGGATGACTTCGCTATCGAGAGGGACGGAGGTGCAGGGAAGATGGCAGGAGAAGAAGTACGGATGTACGTTATACTTTCCGAGGCAATTCTACCCCATTGATGCTGTCTTATGAGTCGTCAGACATGCCTAATGATTTCTCTGCTCCTAAAACATGTCTCGCGACTCAGGGATCCTCCAGGAAGAGTAATGCTGACTCCGAAATCACCAAGGGCTTGTGAAGAGAGGGGAATCGATATTCTGGGAAAGGAGGAGAGAAACCTGAGAATGGACCTCGAGCGGTGGATGGAGCGGGGAGAAGAAAGGGATAAGAATGCAGACGAGAAGATCAGATATCCAATTGGGACTGGGAAATAGCGAGGCACGCTCTCGGCGAAGAGGTGTACATATCATCTTCCAGGTGTTGGAAGGATCCACAGATCTCGGGTGTTAGTAGGGTTAGACGGCTATTCTACTTAGACCTAGGTAAGCATCGCAAATAAAGACACTCGGAGACCCATAATGATATCGAGCTGATCTTGATATCTACGCTTATGACATACAAGACGTGATGACTGATGACTGAGTTCTGTTGACAAATGACGACCATGCCGTCTTTGAAAAGTCCGAGACCATGTGAGACCATATATCATTGCTTCGAAGGACTGTTGGGATCCCGATCATTGTACTGCTGGACAACGTCGTCAAGACATACCTAAAATGGCACCGTAATGCGCATATGGAGCATGTGCTAGGTTTTGATCAACATTCACAAAGCAAGCCCCACGCTACTGCTGGTATTTGGCGAGCTGGGCCATGATGTCCTGTACACTCTGCTGCTGGCCTGATTGCTGATGCTGTGCTTGCGTGCGTTGAGAAGAGGGTCTGCCGTGAGGAGTGTGAAGGAGAGATGATAGAGCTGGGTTGTTGGTGAAAGTTGGATTGGACAAAGGGCCAGAAAACGCGTTCTGTTGTTGCGGAGGGCCTGCGGGATATTGATATCCCTGTTGTGGTGGTTGCTGAGGGGCAATATTGCTTAATAGAGAAGCCAGACCTTGAGATTGTCCTGGCTGCAGAGGCGGCGGATTTGGCTGAGGATTTGTGGGTGTCTGAGGATTCTGCGCCATTGCGCCCAGAAGCTGCTGAAGTGAAGACCCGTCAAGAGAAGTGATGAGGTTTGCGAGATTAGCTTGTGCACTACCTAGTGGAGCCTGCTGTGGGTGCACGGGTTGTCCCTGGTGAAGATACTGTGGTGCACCATACGTAGGGCCACTGGGGTACTGTGTGGGCGCTGGTACAGGCGCTAGATGTGTCGACTTGGCTCTTACGACAAGTTCAGCAGCAACGTTAGCCTGTAGATCTTCGTACTCTAGGGAGTTGTAAGCGTGACAGTCAGTTTACATGGGTCTAAAGAATATGTTACCATCGAATTGAATGTTGTTCACCCCCAGGCTACGATTGAAGACCTGCAACGGGATCTTTCCAGTATTCTGTGATTTTCGGAAAATTTTAACCACCGCTTGAACCCCTTCAACCATCTGTCTTTTGACGACTGCTGCAAGAGAGACTCGAGGTAGCTGAAGTAAATCGCAACGGAGCCCGCGATCACGGAAAGACTGCTGGATGTAGGCAACAAACGTCCTAGGTACGATAATTAGCTGTTGTCCTAAGAAAGAACCGGCCACAACGTACCTGTCAACTTCGTCCACCAGGACCAATTGAACATCTGGCACGTCTCCAGGATTTCTTCGAGGTATTGGGAGGTCTGCTTCGTCATCCAGCTCCCTTGCCCTAGGGCTCCGGCTTCGAAATCGCCCACCTCTATCATACGGAGACCTTGATCTGCCACGAAAGTACCGATCTGGACTTCTGTCTCTGCCGCCTCTGTAATCATCTCGTCCACGAAAGCCTCGAGGCGAAGGAGAGCGCAGTGGACGGTAATCGTCTCTCATACGACGCTCAAAAGGGTTAAGAATGCCGCTTCTATCGTATCGATCTCCGCCAGAGCCAGATCCTAAGCCTAACCCACGTACAGGTCCACCCCTTCCATAATCTGGTGAACGTGATCTTCTATTGTGTCCTGCCCTCAGGCTGTCCCCAGCAGCTGTTGCAACGGCGTTGCGGGTGTTCTTCTGGGGTTTCGATATCTCGAGATCTAAAATTATGTCAGCGCCAAGAAGTATGTTCTGGACTTGACCCTCTCTTACGTATCTTTCTCCCTTTGATCTCAATAGCTTGCTCCGATTGCAGCGCGTGGAAGCAAGCGTCAGCGTCATGGTATTGAACAAAACCATATGCGCTTTTCATAGAGATCTGGGCGATCCTGCCGTACTTGTAGAAGACATAGAAGAGATCCCGCTTGGTAACTTTCTCGGTGTACAGATTGCCTATTCCGGAGTAAGTATACGGAGGTAGATCGGCGCTGAGAATAGCTCAAAGCTCACCAACGAACAACCTAGACCCTTGCGGAAACCTATCCCATGTACCCTCGGATACATAGATCTCCTCGTCGTGCAGAAACTCCTCATATTGCCGTTCAATTTCTGGTTTGCGTGGATGTTCATCTTCGGCCTCTTTTGTTGACGTAGCAGGCTTTCCTCCATTCTTTCCATAATTGTCCCTCTGGCGATACTGCGAGGTTTGTGGACTACGTTGTGGCTGGTTGGGTTTGGACAGGGACTGCTGGAAGGTGGCCAGGGGTGGAGGAGGGAGACCATTGGGGGCAACACCGTTGCTATGAGGGTAGCCTTGTGGGGGTCGGTATGTACTACTTGGCTGGGCATTGTATGAAGTAGGGGCGTTGGAATTTTGCGGAGGTGGTTTATGGTATGATCGGATGTCCTCTCCAGGTGTATAATTAGGGTGGATGGCAGGCTTTTCTTGCGGCGGTGGGCGTGGAGGGAGACCAGCTGGGATGGGGAGGGTGGCGATGGGAGTTTGGGCGCTGCCTGGACTGGGCGCATTGAATATGCTTGAGGGAGCAGTAGTAATTGAGGAATGATTTTCTGCTGGGGGAGCAGTGGAGGCGGAAGAGGATATATTGTCCAACAAAGCTTGATAGTTCACTCCATCACCATTTACATCTGAGTCGGATGTCCGGCCGTGAATATCAGAGTCTCCAATGACTTCAGCAACTCCAGCATCAGAATCTTGGCTCACAGGCACAACGTAAGAACGCTCAGTGGAATTGGAATCATCTTGGAGGATATTTGAGCTGGGCTTGTAGCTTTGGGGCTGGGCAAGATATGTAAAGTTAAGTTGCGTGTTAGTCGATAGAGGTTCAGCGGCGCCGATAGGCATAAATGGCCGAGCGATCGTGGTCAAATGGTTCTTTGAAGTTGCAATCTTGGGCGGCTCCGGAGTCCCATTTTCAAGGTTCTCAGGGTGTTCACCACTGCCGTTGAGGTTGGATCCTATTTCCAAGTAGTCACGTGTCTCTTGATCGGTATTGTCAGTAAGAGGCTCCGCGGATTCTGTTGCCCTTGGAGTCATCTTGGAAACGTCTTGGGGGAGACCATTGATCCCCACTGTAGCTGAGACCTGGGATCGATTGGGAGCTTCCATATGCGTGGACATCTGATTGAATGCTATATCATTTTGATTCTGCAAGACCGGTATGTTCTGAGGTTCTGGAATATGAACCGGGACAGGACTTTCTGGGGTCAGAGCCTCCGTTCGGTAGTGTGGCGCCTCGGATGGTGGACTGGAAGTCATAGGTGAGAAGGAAGGGAAGAGATTAAATTATTGATGGGTCAGCATTTACTACAGGAGTGGGCAAGCAGGGCGTGAAGGGGAGAAATCTAGCGATATTAAGACAGTGTGTGAATGTCGATAGCTTCATCACCGAATCAAACCCTTGTCAGGTCCGTCAAGTGAACGTTGGAAACGTGATTTGACGGGGTACACAGTTAGACGATATTTCCTGAATCCTGATGAGGTTCAAAAAAAATCGAGCTTGTGGTACCTAAAAACCTAAGATAAATTTTCACTAGCCGATGATATGTTATGCGGCCAAACTTTATTCGGAATCCTAGCTCCATTAGCTTCGATGGTGACGTCGTTTTCCGTACAAATCAAGTACCTTGATGAATTTCCGCGCGTTTTGAAACACGTGTATTGAATCACGATTCACGAAGTGTATGTGTTCACCATCTTCGATACCATGGAAGAAAGTTAGTAGTGTAAAGTAACAGGATAAGTTTTACGGTATAAATCTATGCTGAGCAATATTCATCACATGTAATAGTGCCCTACTCCGATCTTTGGCTGCGGGTCGTTCACCTTACCAGAATTCCGAATTCTTAATTACTTTGGTGTAGCCATCGAAATCAGGCAGAGTTCAGAACGCATCCAAGGTCTTTGACTTCTTATCTCCTTTTCCCCCTTCTTCCCCGTTGTTGTACTCTGCATTCCCTTCATATACAGCGGTTGGTGTATTTAAGCATAGCAGAAGAGCGAGTGAGAGTCCTCAAGTGAAGGTGAAAGTGGTCTCTGGCTTCCCGCTCAAGGGTTCTCCCAACCAAATTACGAGTAATGCTTGAATTAACATTTATTCTTTGCATGGCAGCTACCCGATCTTGGGCGAACGACTGGATTAAGTCTATCGAGAAGTCCTTCCAGAAGACAAAGGCTCATCAAAATGGATCTTCCTCGATGTCGGTGCTTCTCCTCGACAAACGAAACGCCCTACGAGTATGCCATGCAGTACCTCGAACGCCCATGCTGTTCTGTCTCCTACCCAGTCAACGACTCGCGGTCAGACTTTCTTCTTGATATTCAGACCCTGCAGACTAGCCCTAGCCGCTACGAATATGCACGAACCGGCCGCCATCAGTACACCTTTTCAAAAGTTAGAGTTCTTATTTGGAAAGAAGAAACAAGAAGAAAAAAAGAAACGGGAATATATCTACCACAAAATATCTGAACGTGTAAATAATGCCCTCCCTCCGCAGCTATGAGAGCCCCGCCTATTGGAGTTCCCACGAGGGCGGCAATACTGATGATAGCAATCGGACGGTCTTCGAAGTTGTACATGTTTCTAGGGTAACTTGATTTTTGGCTGCCCAGACCATTCTCTTTACTCGAAGTGCAGTACTTCGGAGAGGTTCAAACTGGGATCACTTACACATTGTTCCAGTCCTTACACCAATCTGACGAATGTCACTGATTTGCGCTATCAAGGCGGGTGCCAAAGAGACGAAGGCTCCAGAGCTGAAGCCGTAGAATGCAGCGAAGAGTATGTAGGCTACGTTGCCACGGGCAGGTAGCCAAAGAGCGAGAACCAGAATTGTCGAAAGGAAGATGTGATGATCATAACATTGTATCTACCCAGGCGGTCGGCGACGAAGCCAGGGAGCGTACGCCCGAATATTGAAACGGCGTTGAGGACGGCGACCAAGTACCCGGCCAGATTCGCGCTCATTCCGTTGGACTCGGCGGAAAGTATTATGAAGCTGAATGGTAAGAACATGCCGAAGAAAAAGGCGAAACTTGCTAGGACTGTGAATAAGAAGGGGACTTCTCGGAGAGGCTTGATGATTTTCATGATATTCCAGGGTTTGGGCTGAGGTGGTAGGCGAGACTTCACAGTGAGATTGGCGTATATCAATAGGCCAAGGATTAGGAATGCCGCCGCCCTTATAGACCACCTCAAACCACGCTCTGCCACGAGTCCTTCGACCATGATGGGGAAGATCACCTACATTTCAATCAGCTTCTAGATCTCGAACCCGTAGTATGGTCAAAAAAAGAAACTATACCCCTCCAAGAGAGCTGCCAGCAGCCATGACGCCGAAAGCGAAGGCGCGCCTTTTGAGGAACCAGGTGCCTATCGAGTTGAGAGCAGGGTAAAAGACGAGTGACGCTCCGAGCGGTGAGCATATGCCTACGAAGTGTCAGGTATCATCGCATCTTTGCACCGAGGTCCTTGCCTTGAGATAACAGGAATTAGTAATACTCAGTAGATACCGACGCCGTCATCAGGCCGAAGACATGCAGGAAGGACCCAACTAGAAGAAGATATCGTGGGCCATGGTTGTCGTACATCTTTCCCCATACTGGACCCTAGCAAACATCAGAAAGAGACACGGAGAGCTCTCCAGAATCAATTCAAATACCCCAGCGAACATCATGAACGTCTTCGAGGCAGGGATCCAGGCTATCGTGCTCGCAGAGTAGTGTGACAGTTGATGCGTCTCATAAAAGGCTTGGAAGACTCCAATGGCTGTAATTGGAGATCAGGTTAGCAACCGGCCAACGCCAGGGCACAAAAAGTGGATTCTTCACCATTAATCCAACCAAAACTACAGAATAAACAGCAAAAAGCACCCGAGACTGCAAGCCAAGCCTCCCAGCCGCCGTCCGGGAAAGCACCTGAGTCCATCATGCCTGATTTCGCCATTTCGTCCACCTTCGCCTTCGTTCTCGACGTTTTATTATAGGCTTTATTATAATAATAATAATAAAATAAAGAGATAAAAGTAATAAAAGAGATAGAAGAGATAGAAGAGATAGAAGAAATAGAAAATATAAGAAAGATAAAAAGATAATTAAAGAAGATATAATAAAAGAAAAGATAGTAAAAGAAAACGTAATAGAAGAAGAGATAATAACGATTTTTTTTACGAATTAATAGATTAATAAATAAAGCTTAAAAAACGATAAATTAAATTCTTAGATATATTAATATTACTAGTAATAAAAGTTTAATATTATTTATTATAATTATATCGAGTTATTATAGAATTTTAATAAAAGATAGATATTTTAATATTACGTCGAACTTATCGAATTTTAAATCGAGTATTATTAGATATCGAATACTTTCGAATATTATCTCGTGAGATATATTAAGATCGATAGAGGATTTTTCGTAATAATTTATATAGGCTAGTTATATAATAAGAATATTATAAGTATTATCTATAAATAAGAATTTATTATAAGATTTAACGTATCTACTCTAAAATCCTCTTTAAGAATCTTCTTATATTAAATTATTTTTAATCTTATAATATCGTAACTTAAGATTTCTTTCGAGAGTCTTCTAAGAAAATAAGTCTTCTATAATTATTTTCGTAAATACGAGTATTAAGCCTCGTTTTCGAAATCTAACTATTAGAAATTATATTTATACTTTTTAATTTCTAACTTTAAATTTAAGCGATTTAGCTAGATTTCTCGCGGAGATAATATTCTCGAGATATTAAGAGAGGTTAATAAAGTAAATATAATAAGAAGAGATATAATAAAACGCGATATAATAAGATAAGATGTAAATGGGATAGAGTAGGCTATAAAGAAGTATTACGTTAAAGTATAAAATATAACTTAGTTATTATTAATAGAATTAAGAAGATCTTCTAATTTAGAAATATTCTAAGCGAAAATTCTTCTAATTTTTAAAAATACTTCTAGAATCTCTATAAAATACGATATTATTTTATACTATAGCTACTTATACCCTAAGCCTTATTAATACGAGTCGAAATATTCTTCGTCTATAATTTTACTAAGACTCTTCAGATATAATTAGTAAAACTCCTCTATCGATCTTAAAGTAGTAAGTTATACTCTCGAGTACTAAGTTTAATATAATATAAATTCTATATAAATATCGACTTTCGACGCTACTTCTCGATTTTTATATTAAGAATTAGCTAAGCGAGTAAAGAAGATCTTATTATATAGCTATATAGATATATAATAAATAAAGCGATTTATTTATAAATTTAGATACTACTATAATAATCTATTTTAATTCTTTATATAAATTATCTAAATTAGAGATAATCTATTTAGCTCGAGAAAAAACACTTAATATTATAACTTTTAATCTATATTTAATCTACATTTAGCCTATAATTAATCGCTTCTAATAGCGAACGCTTCTTATAGATCGCTTTCTAGTCTTTAGTTCACTTAATATCGTTCGAGAGTCTCTTAATCTTATACTTATCGACGCGTATAGTATAGAAAGATACTTATATAGAATTATATAAATATTATAATTAATAGTAGTAAAAGAATTTATCTATATAGCTCTATAATCGTATCTACTCTCATTTACGAGCTACTTCTATTTACGCTTATTTTAAATTCGATAATTTTAACGTTTATTATATTAAATCTATAAACGACGACTATAATATCGTAATATTAGCTATTATAATAGATTAGAATAATAGATTATTTAAATCGTAATAGTAATAGCTATAATAGTATAATTATAATAGTAATAGCTATCTATATCGAATTTACATATATACTTATTTTAAATTCGATAATTTTAACGTCTATTATATTAAATCTATAGATAACGACTATTCGATAATCGTCGAAAGATAATATTTAAGAATTCTAGTATTATTATTTATACTATTACTATAAAACTACTATATAATTCATATTAAATAATCGTAATCTATTATATAGACTTTATTTAATTCTTTCTATAGTAAAATCGTTTTATATAAATCTCTTTCTTATATAAAAAGATTTTATAGACAGCGTATCCCCCTCTAGTCTTTTATACTCTCTTACTATTACTACTTATTTCTTTATTAAACCTTCGAAATTCTTTCTTCTAACGATCTAAACGATATATAAAATACTATCGAACGATCTTTAAGTCTTATTATTTATAATTATCTTATACTAATTTCGATAGAGTAGAAAGTAAGATAGAAGGTTAATCGAAGGCATCGAAGTAATATTATCAGTCCTTTAATAATCATGAATAGTAGGAAAGTAATAGATTCTCATATAGATTGTAATAGCGATGAAGATTTTCAGCTTCGGAACACGGGTGCGTTTCCAGTGAGGATCTGGAGGACTCTGCCGAGAAGCATACAAATTTATACTCTTATAAAGTATATTTCAGATAGTAGTAGTTTATATAAGGCTAAATACTAGATATAAGAGAACTATAAAGTTATTCGGAAAGTAACTAACGGGTATACGGTACTTGATTTATAGTGGTTAATACTTAGGTAATATAGGTATACATCGAAGAAGAATATCACGTTGCTTAAGTTTTTCCTTCCTTGCCTCGATCGTGGCCTCTTTTTTTTGACGTTTCTAGGCCTTATATAGTTCGTCCTTATCAGGCTGAGGTAAGGTAGCAATTTTAGTCATATTGGACTGTATTTGATGGAATAGTAAGAAAGGATGTAAAAAAGTCGCGTTCTTGAAAGACGCGATTTTTGAAGCTAAAATGTTGCCTCGGCTCGGCGGTTATCGGATAGTACCGTAGTATTAACTATTATAATAGACTATGATAGTAGACTATTTAAAAGAGTAATAGTGATAGCTATGATAGTGATAGCCATGGTAGTGGTAGCTATCTATGTCGGATTTATCGGATTTAAAATGGGCGCAAATGGGGGTAGACACGATTAGGGCTTAGTGCCCGAGGGTGTGATTTACTACCTCACGAGGTGATATAGAGTACGAGTAAGAAGTAGCGTAAACTAGAGGTATCGAGCTCTTTCCCTTTTACATTAATCGATTAACGATGGCCGGAGCGAGCGACAAAGCCCGTTTCTTTCAGGAACAGTCCGTTCCCGAGCTCCAGGAATTTGCACGTAAGAAAACATTTAGCAAGGAAGAGATCGCTTCCATCGCACGAAAACGTTCCGATTTTGAGCACATCATCAATGCGCGAGGATCAAAGCCACAAGATTATGCTCGATACGCTGAATATGAGATGAACCTGGAGTCCCTCCGTCGAAAGCGTGTCACAAGATTGGGAGTCAAAACCAGCAATCACACTGGCCAGCGTCGCATATTCTTCGTCCTTGACCGCGCAACCAAGAAGTTTCCCGGCGACGTTGGACTATGGATGCAATACATCACGTTCGCTCAGAAGCAGGGATCGAACCAGAAAGTCTCGCAAATTCTTACGAGTGTTTTGAGATTGCATCCTACGAAGCCTGAATTATGGATCTATGCTGCCACAATGCGAGACGCCGACATGACGGAAGCGAGGAGCTACATGCAACGGGGCCTGAGATTTTGTGGAAGTAGCGAGAAATTATGGATTGAGTATGCCAGATTGGAGATGATACATGTTTCTAAGATTGCTGGAAGGAGGCGGATTTTGGGTCTCGATGGTGGGAAGGTGGATAAGAAGAGTAGACAGGACGCAGAGGGCGATGACGAGGACATGATTACTCTTCCCGCTATCACTGCTGAGAATATTATGTCGGGGCAGCGGCCAAGAGGTGGCGCGGAGCAGGAAGCGTTGGTAAAGCTGGGTACAAGTCCAGCATTATTAGGAGCTATACCGATGGCAATATTTGATGCGGCTATGAAGCATTTCAAGGAAGGCAACGAACTTTGCCAACAATTCTTCGATGTGGTCGCCGAATTCCACGAGGTACCGTGTCAAAAAAGCATACTGTCCCACATGATGGACACTCTGCGTACGATTGCTCCAAAGAGCCCTGGAACCTTGATCCGTTGGATTCAGCAGCCAGTGATAGGGACTGACGTTAAGTCTCCAGAATTCCCGGCCCTCTTTGTTGATTGCCTGGATCGCATGAAGAGGTCCTTCGAGATACTGACAACCATCTCAACCCCCCCAAAGACGGCGCGACCTATGAGTATTCTTGGCCAACAGGTCATCGCCTGGATGCTGACGTACCAAAAAGAAGATATTGATGCTGACGTTCGTAAGGTGATAAGGATTACAATTAGGAAGGTGGAGTCAATTTCCGGCAGACTCTGAGCTTGGCACGGTTGGCTGAGGTTGCTAAGTTGCTAAGGTGGTGGCACTGCTCGATTGCATGGTCCCCAATGTGTTGCCAAACCAGCCAGAGCCTGGGTATGAGAAGTGTCTCTAAGTCTACCACAACCTCAATAATTTGACTTCTTTGAAAACCCTTTGCGAGCGGCTTTCTTATTTCCGTGCGTCTTCTTAGACAGCAGTCGGATATCGTTTTCTTTCCGCTGCCTGCATAGCCGAAGAGTCAGCCAAGCACTTTGCCAAGCAAGTTGCAGTCAGAAAAGACAGACAGATTCTTGACCTTCTCTACCTGCGCTGGCGAAGTCTCGCCTCTGACGGAACTCCTTCCAGCCGCTATAATCAGAGCATGTAATTTTTTGTAGCATTCCTGGATATTACTTGTCCGATCCCGGCTTCCATCTCCCTGAATGACCAAAGACTTCGAGTTTTTGGCGTAGTATCTGGATGCTTCAATATCGGGATGCAGTATCTTAGGGACTAAGTGCATGAAGTCTTTTGTATGAATGCGCAATGTCGCTTTGGAGTTTACTCTACCAAGCTCTTTATCAGCATTGTAGGTGTTGTTGTTGAGAAGAAGGGCTCGCCTCATACTTGTTCACATTTTGCCCACCCGGGCCTGATGACCGGCTGAAAGTGACCTCGCAAACGGTCTTCGGGATCGTGTTTGCATCGAATCTTGTAAGCCATGTCCTTGCCTCCCTGTGGTCTTCTTCATCAAGTGTTTTAGCAGGACTAGAGAGGCAACGATGCCAAAACTTTGGGTAATGAGTAGCTCCCTCGACATTCAAACCTCTCAAAGCCCATATGCGACGTAGCATGCTTCATTGTGGTCCAACAACCACAGTGTTACTCGAGAGAGTCTCAATCAAGTCTATGAATTGGGGGTCGATTGCGCTCACGAGTAAGGGGTGCGCAAGAATTTCTGATGCCAAGCATTCGCAACGATACAGAATACGAGTACGCTAATCTAACTTGGCACCACTCTTAGCGCAAACGCGTCTCTTCAATCGCGTTTTCTGTTTTCTCTGCGTCTTAGCTAGCACAGCAAATCACTTTTCGTTCCTGCTTTCCATGGCGCCAATGAAGCGGCAGCGATCAGTCATAGACGATGGAGACACCGAGATCATCGAAGTCGAGAGCGCTCAGTCGAGCCTCCAACAAGCCTCGGTTGGCTGCTTTCTGCCCCCGTGCGTAAAGGTGGAGAATGACTGACTGTTTACAGAGAAAGAAAGCACGAGTATCCCACGAAGAGCCGGACGATGTGGTATCGGACGAGGCGATGGACGAGGAGCTACTTGAAGCGCAGGCAACCCAATTGCGAAACAAGAAGCAGTTGGACAATGAACCTGCGGACAACGGAATTCTTGAGACTGTCACTTGCACGAATTTCATGTGTCATGGGTATCTAGAGATTGGCTTAGGTCCACTCATCAATTTCATCATCGGGCAGTAGGTTCTCCCCGTCATGTTTACAAACGGACAACCCGGTTTCCTACTGCAAGAGGGTAATGCTAAGCTGGGAAATTATTACAGCAACGGGTCTGGTAAGTCGGCCGTATTGACAGCAATCACGATATGTCTTGGAGGGAAGGCAACAGCTACAAATCGTGGCCAGTCTTTGAAGAGCTTTATCAAAGAAGGCGAGGAGTAAGCAGATCATTGTGGCCAGATAATGCAATGTTAACACACTCAGGTCTTCCACGCTCAGCGTCAAGATCAAGAATGGAGGCGACAGCGCGTATCAACAAGAAATTTACGGCGATGCAATCATTGTCGAGCGCCACTTCTCGCGTTCCGGAAGCAGCAGCTTCAAGCTCAAGAGCTCAACTGGAAGGTTGATATCAACAAGAAAGGGTGATCTAGATGAGATCTGCGACTATTTTGCACTCCAGATCGATAACCCTATGAATGTCTTGACCCAGGATATGGCCCGGCAATTTCTCAATAGTTCAACTCCGCACGACAAGTACAAATTTTTCATGAAAGGAACCCAGCTAGAACATTTAGATGGAGATTACCTCATTGTCGAACAAAATCTCGACACGATCGATCAAGACCTGTGGAAAAAGCAGGAAGACCTCAAAGTCTTCGAAGATCGAGCACAAAAGGCAAGAAACCTACTAGCATTGTCCGAAAGGCAAGACACGCTTCGAGATAGGATTCGCCATCTTGGCGAAATGATGGCGTGGGTCCAGGTCGAGGAGCAGGAAGAAAGATTGGCCGTGTTCGATAGAAAGCTCAGCAGGATTGACGAAAAGATTGCAGCCTCAGAAATGAAAGCTGCCGGCTTAAGTGAGGCTTTCAGCCAGACCGAGCAGTTATTTGAGAATGCGAACAGAGCTTTGGAAGAAACAACGAACACTCTTGCACCTCTGCAAGAAGAGAAGGGTCACATGAAGAAGGAATTCGACAATTTGAAGGCCGAGGCCCTAACGTTACATGTAGTTCTCTTCTGCCAGTGATCATCCTGCTTACTGATAAACCTCTGTAGGCCGAGCAAAGACAAATTTCAGAAGAAATCAAGGCTGCAGACGAACGAATCAAAAAGGCTGAAAGTGCTGTCCGAGAAGAGCACCAGAGGCTCAGCGACGCTGACGGCGGAAGTCATGACCTGCGGCGTGCTGAAATTGAAGAAAAGAGAGCAGAAGCTCGTGCCGCCAAAGCTCGATTCCGAGATCATGAGAACGAGCTCCCCGCTCTTGAGGATAATAGGCATCGTGCCGAAAAGGACCATAGAGAATCTCAAACCCCAGTCAAAGATAAGAAAATCGAGGTACAAATTTGCGAAGAGCGACTCGGCAGTCTAATGAGAGACAGAGGCCAGCAACAACAAGCATACCCACCAAATATGTCCAGACTTCTCAGTGCTATACGCCAAGACGACGGCTTCCAACAGCGACCAGTAGGACCTATCGCCAATCATGTGCGGTTGCTCAAGCCTCTTTGGTCTAGCATTCTGGAGAAGTCCTTTGGTGGAGCATTGAACTCTTTCATTGTCACAAGCAAAGATGACCAAATCAGACTATCAGGAATTATGCAGAGAATTGGTTGGTAAGACCCTTGAGCCATTCAAAATCACACTATAAACAGGCCGCTCATACGCGCAGTCCATGCTCAATAATCATTGGAAACAACAACGCCATCGACACTACGGACAAAGAGCCAGATCCCAGGTTCGACACAGCGCTCAGAGTTCTAGAGGTGAGCAAACACCCATTTTTCGTTTCAACGTTGCTAAGTCGGCTAGTTCGACAACCAATTGGCAAGGAAACAGCTCGTTATTGGCCAAAACGTCGATCAAAGTATCCTCATACAGGATCGTGGGAATGCAATTGACACGATGAACAGCGCAAGGCTACAGAACGTGAAACAATGTTTCGCACTTACTAACAAGACTGGCGAAGGCCTCAGGATGAGTTACGGATACGGTGGTGTAGGTTCTTCTCCGTCTGTAATGAAAATCGGTTTGCACGACATGATTCAAGAGCAATGCTGCAAAGATTCCCTTAGAGCTCGCTCCGAGTTTGCAAAATTGACGCTGGAGAGGCTTTGCTGATACAATTGCGCTCCAGGGGCTTTCACAGTCGCATGTACCGGCTTATAGGGGGCCTCCGCGAATGAAGACTGACATCGATTATCAGATTAAGTAAGCCTGTTATTCATATATGCAGCAATAAAGTACTGAGATCTCTAGCTTCCAGCGTGACCTACTTCAAAGCCTCAGAGCGGAACTCAATCAACTTGAGCGTAGTTCGCAGGAGAAGCAGAAGTATCTTACTCGGTGCGAACAGGCTATCGTAAAAAACAAAAGGGACACACAGCATCTGAGACTAGAGTTGCAGCAAGCCGAAAACATCGTGGATGAACTTCAGGACGCCCTAGACCAGGATGCTGTGGAGGAGGGGCGTCTAGATGTTCTGAAAGATCAGCTTACTGAAGCTAATGAGGAGAAGAGCACCCATGAAGCTTCTTATGGAGAGTCTGTTATCGCCAAAGACAAAAATAATGAGTTGTTAAGGGCTTCGAGAGAAAAATTGGCGAGCAAGGATGTCATTATTGAAGACGCTAAAGCAAAAGTTCTCAAGGCAGAGAGCAGGGCGACCAAATGCGCAAGTCAGAGGTCATCTGCACTCCGCGACAAGAATGCCGCGTTCGATTCGGTCGAGTCGGAGAAGCTAGAAAGAGAACAGTACCAAGGAGAGCGTGACGAAGAGTCACAGCGCGTTGATGAATTTACACGGAAAGCAAATTACTTCTGCCCTCGAGTGCCTGTGGACGAAGGCGAGACCGGCGACTCAATAGACCTCAAGTTGGATAAATTCAACAAAGACTTGAAAGACGCTGAGAAGCAGTAAGTCATCGATTAACCTCCGAGACCTTTGGCAACCCGTGCTCTGACAATTGTATAGAGCGGGAGGTAGCAGACAACAGATTGCCGCCGATGCAGTGAAAGTTCTTAATGCCCTCAATCAAGCGAAAGCGGAGGTTGAGAGTATTGAAGAACTTGCACAGGTCCGTAACCATGACTCTTTCTGACATTGATACTTATCTGACAACCTTCGTAGCTCTTGAAACATACGCTTGTCAATCGGAAAGACCGATGGAGGAGGTTTCAGAAACATATCACAAGTCGCGCTAGGGTTCAATTTTTCTACCTGCTCAGTGAACGCGGGTTCCGAGGCAAGCTGCTAGCCCATCACAAAGAGAAGAAATTGGATCTGATGGTATGAATTCCTCTGACCCGTGTGTCAATCTCATTCAGGACCACGCTAAGGAGCAATGACAGGTTGAGCCTGACGGGAGTGCTTTACGAGCCAAAGGGCGTGACACAAAGGGGTTGTCAGGTGGAGAGAAATCTTTCTCCACCATCTGCTTACTACTCTCTATGTGGGAAGGTAAACATTGCTCACACAAGCTTGTTTATTGCTCTGTCGACTGACTTTTCCTTGCAGCTATGGGGGCTCCCATCCGGTGCCTCGATGAGTTGTGAGTCATCCTTTGCCTTGGTAGTAACTCAACGCTCACAACCAGCAGTGACGTCTTCATGGATAGTGTCAACAGAGATGTCAGCATGGAAATGATGGTGGGACCAAGCCCCTGTTGCGTGTTTTCGGAAGAGGCTGACATCCGACATAGATCAAATTTGCAAGGGGGTCTCGTGGCAAGCAATTCATACTCAGTAGGACTTTCGCCCCATTCTCTGTCTCTTTAGACATCTTCGAGAAAGTTCCCGTACTCCAGTCTCATGCTTCACGACTCGAATTTCCGTTCAAAATGAGTAATTGCTGACCTGAACACTCCATCAGTAACGCCTCAATCGATGAGCAAAGTCTCCCCAGCGGATCTAGATGTGAAAGTGGTCAAGTAACTCTGTCTCCATGCAGAGAGTTTTCGTCCATCTTGCTAATCAACGCGTAGAATGCGCGACCCGGAACGTGGGCAAACCCAATTGTCGTTCCCTCCAATTTGAGGGCCTCGGCCCTCCTTCTAGCTGGCTTTCGCGGTTCATAGCTGTTCTCTAATGTAGATACTGCCATACCGTGATTGCCCGCTCTGTACTACAGATTCTGCTGCAAGGTGTTCGCATGTTGTGCAAGAGCTCTTCATCCATCTGGACTTGAAGTCTTGACAAAGATTCTGGTAATTCTAATGTGTCTCGTTGTGAGGCTTTGAGCATCAGCACTGGAGCACCTGACTCAATGCAAGGCTCTCCTTTGTCGTTAAGGCTTCTACACCCGTGGTTTTGCTCGCTGCCGCCAGTGCTCGCTCAATTCTGGAGACCAAATCTGCACAATCTTCCAGACCAACGCTAATTCTAATCAAATCGGCTTCGACCCCAAATCGGGCAGTCTGGGTATGTTAGCAGTTGGTGCAGAGATCGAATAAACTATCACCCACCCATTCGAGCTCTCCATAATGCGCTAGGATGACATATGGCGAGCTATACCAATCAGTGCCCATTGCCCCCCAAGTTTCGCCATGGATATTACCTTAACGTGAAGTTCGTGCCCAAGCTCGGCCCCTTGGCCGTTTCAAGTTTATCAAAAAAGATCACCGCTTGCTCTGTTGTTCTCAAAGTCACTGAAAGAAGGCCTCCGTATCCTTTATCGGCGTTGCGATATTGATCGTAGAATTCCCGCGTCGCGCTGTACTTGGGATAATATACTTCCTTAACTATGCGCCTTGTCAAAGGAATATGGCTCGCGATTGTAAGAGATAACATACCAATTGAAGCGGCCTTGAGCTTGTCGCATATTGCTTCTGCATTGGTGTTGATCCTGTCAATCCGTGAAACAAAGTCTCGACTGTTTCTCTCCATATAAATTGCATCCTCTGGCCAATAATTGTCCTCGTAATCTTGCTCCATTACTTCTTTCAATTCAGCATAGTATCGGCTCTGCGGATTAAGGACAGAGCTGTTATTTTGTCAGTCAATTCCCATGAGTTATGCGCTAGATCTCACCTCCCGCCCATTACATTACATTCTCCGGTAAAGACTTTGGTCAGGCTACTAACAACCACGTCTGCGTAGGGTAGGACATGCACGTTGATGAAATTTCCAATCGTCTCATCAACAACCACGGCAAAATCAAAACGATCGGCAAGTGATCGAATCCGGCGAAGATCAGGAGTTTTCAGAAGAGGGTTGCCAGGAAATTCGCAGAAAAGAGCAAGGTATTTCTCACCAGCTTCACACCGCTGTTCCAGGTCGTCGAGGTCTGCAGATGATCCGTGACCGTAGAATAAGCACCCAGGACCCCATTTTTCCAGAATTTTCAGAGTATCGATATAAGGAAATCTACATTCAATCAGGTTACCGCGGTCATCAAAACTTGGCAGGAGCGCCTACCCATAGCTGATGCTTTTTCTTGGGCCCCTGCAAGCCATCATGGTCCTGTGGGTGTTAAAGATTGAACTCATGCCGCAAGGGTACAGGTATACATCGTCTTCTGAAAAGCCTTCGACGTGGGCTTTGCGAGCTGGCGGCTTTGACATCTTCAATGCTTCGTGTAGATCAACATTAGCAGTCAATGCCCCAGCAATACGTCTTCGTATCGCGAGCTTAGCGTTAGCCGCGAGAGACACATCAAGATTCCTTCCAAAACGCTCTTCAACAAATTGCTTTGAGTCTTTTCCTTCAAGGCCGTATGTGGCTTCACTTGTCTTGTGTGCAGACAGGTCCACGGAGTCTTTCTTTTGGTACCTTCGTGGTCCTTTGCTTGGTGATATGAAGCTATGAGCGTTACTTTTCTCGCATGCGACTCCCTTCGTCGTCAAGCGGCCCTCATTGAAAGCGTCATGACAGTATTCAGCTCGTCGACTAGAGATACCATCGCCTGAGTGTTGCCAGAAAGTCTTGGCAATCTTGGCATGATCTTGGGGAAACAAAACAGCCGAGACAATTGGCTTCGTGGATGCTCCATCGGAGTTCCCGGCACCATTTGGCAGACCAGCATTCGGATACAGATCAACGATCCGCACTGAGTGGGCCGTAAGGGACTGAACCTGGTCCCTCAGGAACTGAACACATCTCGCGGAGACGGCATGAGAAGGGAACAAGAATGCTTCCTCTATGGGGGAGCCGTGCCGCTGTACGATTGCCTCGGCGAATGCCTCGATTGTTTTATGAATGAAAAATCTGCAAGGCAGGCTCTTTAGAAGAGCGAAATCGAATGGCATGCTTGGATCACTGACCGGGGGTAGCCGGTTTTCATCTTGCTCAATACCCAATCTTCGCCCTCCTCATAACCAACATTGGCCTTCCATGTTGGTAAGGAAACGCTTACCGCCTTGTCGTGTGCGTCATAATCAGCGACGCTGAGTCGCATGTAAAGGAAAGATGACTCACGTGAGCCGTGTTAGGGGGAATTGACTCGCCGACCTCAAGGGACAGCATTTTTGCGGTGGTGGCAGTGGCCATGTTTGCTTAGAGAAAGTGAATCTATCAAAAAAATCGTCAAAACTCACAGACACGCAGCCGAAAATCGGAGGACCACGAACTCAGGGTCCAGGGAAAGTTCAATTACCGTAGGTACCTTATCCGACCACCACAGCCTTACAGGTACCTACTCGTACTATCCAGAAGTGAGCTACCTCGCTTGAAAATAAGGTATGTTTTAGTACGATTTTGCGGAGAACTGAGTAGTTTGATTGGTCAACTCTCCCGGCGCTATTAAGCGAGGTAGCTCACTTCTGGATACTAATGTACGAGTAAGGTACTTTAATTAGATACACCACGGTAGAATAACAGCGGAACGGCCCGGCAGATTCTGCGCCACCAGGCCCGACGCAATAATGGCTCCAAAATTCCATCAATTTTCAATGAGGGAATCTGAAGTAGCAGCGGCGTACAGATTACTGCTACACCATGGCATTCCCTGCAATTAAGAAGAGGAAGGTGTCTCCCCTATCTGGAGGCGATTGCAATAATACCTACGCACAGGATGCCGGTGGCGATTGGTCCCAAGACTCATCCAATGAAGACAACGACTGTGTCCTAGGGAATGGAGCTATTCGAGGCGGTCACACCATAATCAAAGCAAAAAGAACCGCAAAAACATCATGGAGCAGCGGTACATATGATTCAAACATGTTCAAGCTGAAAGCGAATGAGCTCCTGGCAAAGGTGCGACCTAATGACGAAAGACGCATGGTCAAGGTGGAAAACTCTCTTCGCAAGCTCAAAGATGTCATAGAGCATATCCCTAATCGCAAAGCAAAGCCTGTATGCAATTTGCATTTCTCTCCCATCTAGTCCGTCAAATGCCTGATGTTTGCACAGATTCTAAATGCGGAGCGCGAACAGCTTGACTCCCACAAAGTCCGAATCCCATTCCCCCAACCCCGGCCCGCAATGGACGCAAAGTACACATTGACCTATTCCAAGCCGGCGAACATCAATGTTGTAGGCAGTTATGCACGCAGGACAGCTATACAAGTGGGAGGGCAATTAGGGATCGATCTGGCGGTCACTATGCCATCGGTGAGACGGCTGCTTTGCCCGCTCCTTCTGGTTTCCCGGTTCTAATGCGCATAAAAGCATATCTTCCAAGAAAAAGACTATCTAAATTATAGGTATTTCCAAAAAAGGGCATACTATTTGGCCTGCATTGCCAGCGGTATTGAAGAAGCTCAAGAAGACGAATACGCTGTCGATTTTGCTCACCAGAATGACAACCATTTGCAGCCTATAATCGTTATCACCTTTCTGCAAGGTACTATCTCATGATTCTGAACCCAGGGACAGCTTTGCTCACTGCTCGCAGATGGTGGTTCAAAATCAAAATACCAGATTCGAATCATTCTGGCCGCTGATGGAGATTTATTTCCCATTTCCAAAACGCTGCCCGACAAAAACTGCATTCGTGCAACGACTAGTGGGGTCTCTTCTCCAGGTAGCAGCTTCAACATGCCAACGCCATTCTACAATGCGTCACTGAGATCCGAGTGCTCTTCTCTAGCCTATCTGAAGTATCTACATGCGTCGTCATTGCAGTCGGATGGTTTCTCTGACGCGTGTCAACTTGGTAGTGTGTGGCTGCGGCAACGTGGCCTGGGTCGAGAGTTTGGATCGTTCGAATGGGCCTGCACCATGGCTTTACTTTTGCAGGGGGGCGGCTCTAAAGGGAAGCCAATATTATCGCGTGGCTATGACAGTTACCAGCTCTTCAAAGCAATGTTGCAATTCCTGTCTTTCAGGGATTTGATAGCGAGCCCTGTTCTCGTACATTCTGACAATATCACTCTTGTCGATCGTGACGGGCCAACGCTATTCGATGGCAAAAGAGGCATGAACATACTATTCAAAATGACGCCGTGGTCGTATGCAACACTGAAGTATGAAGCTACCGTCACACTGAAGCTGCTCAATGATCCGCTTTCGGACCAATTCGACGCTTGCTTCATTACAAAAGTCGACGATCTGCTGCAGAGGTTTGATTGTGTCATAGAAATGCGTACAAGCCGAGTGCCGAGACCAGCATCACAGATGGCAGATGCCCTCAACGACGAAACATATTTTTGTCAAAGAGTACATGAGGCGTTGAGTACGGGACTAGGTGACAGAGTCAGACTACTGCACGTACAACCACCACCAATTCTTTCTTGGGACGCTACAACGCCACAAAACTCAACCAAGGGTCTCCGTCAAGTCCAGATAGGACTTCGACTTGACTCTGCGAATATCAGTCGCACTGTCGATCGAGGTCCTTCTGCAGAAAACAAAGTAGCTGCCGCAGAGTTTCGCAGGTTCTGGGGTGACAAGGCAGAGTTGCGGCGTTTCAAAGACGGCAGCATCCTGGAAAGCTTGATATGGTCAACTTCAGATCCAATGGACAATGTATTGAAGCAAATAGTGGCGTATGTTGTTCAACGGCATCTAGGGAAAGACGCAGCCGATAGTATCAAGCTTATTGGACAGTCTTTTGATCGCTTACTTTCCGGTCAGCAATCGGCAATGAACGATCCATCGACACTTTTCCGGCCTGTCATGAGTGCTTATGAGAGCCTAGAGAAAGACGTGAGGGCCCTTGAAGGCTTGCCGCTCCAGATTCGACAGATTTCTGCCGCGGATGCCCAGCTGAGATACTCGTCACTGAGCATTCCCGCTCTCCATCCTTCTCAAGGTCAGATGGAACCAGCAAATATCTGTGTCCAATTTGAAGGCTCCGCCCGGTGGCCCGACGATATCACAGCTGTCCAGACGACCAAAATAGCTTTTCTTCTCAAGATGGGCGAGCTTCTGGAAGAGTCGACCAGTGGTTTAATAGCACGATTAGGGCTAGACAATTGGAACCGAAGTCTTCTTAATGTCGCTTTTCTTGACATTCACTACCCGTCTGGGGCATTCTTTCGTCTCCACATTCACCATGAGCGCGAACTCAATCTCCTTGAGCGGGTTTTGAGAGACGCTTCGCACACCGCAGCGAGCCGAGAAGAGACCGCGTCCGCACTCTCGACCTACAAACGCGATTTCATCCACGGGCCCATCCACACCCAGTCTATGCGCACGCTGAGCACGCGCTTTCCACTCCTCTCGTCCTCCGTGCGCCTAATGAAGAAATGGCGGGACTCCCACATGCTCTCAAGTCATCTCAGCGACGAGTTGATCGAGCTTCTCACCGTCCGAAGTTTTGTGCATCCGTATCCCTGGTCTGTCCCTGGCAGTGTCATGACAGGTTTCCTTAGAACGTTGACGTCTGTATCAAAATGGGACTGGCAAAGCGAACCTCTGATTGTAGATTTCAATGGTGAAATGACTAGCTTCGAGATCGAAGCCATCAATCTGCGTTTCGAAGCGTGGAGAAAGATCGATCCGGCTATGAATCGAGTTGCTATCTTTGCAGCTTCGAATCTAGATCCCAGTGGGATCACATGGACTGAACTCGGCCCATCGAAGGTCGTAGCGGCTCGGTTCACAAGCCTGGCGAAGGCAGCGTGTGGCATGATGAAGGAGCAGGCGACGGATCTGGAACCTGAAGCGCTCTTTGTAGCTTCGATGTCGGATTATGACTTCGTCATTTACCTCAACCCGAGGTCTACCAGGATCAACAATGGAAGGAGAAGGCATTCAGTGTTTAAGAATTTGCATGTCCAGTCTGATCAGGATAAGAGTCTTTCCGGGGTGGATCCAGTACAACTGTTATTGGGCGAGCTGAGGGCGATATATGGCAGCAACGTTCTATTCTTTACTAACGAGCATGAGGGCTCTCTTATTGCCGGACTCTGGAATCCGCAGACTGGACCGAGGCCGTGGAAGGTAAACTTACCGTATTCTACGAAGCCCATTGTGCGGTCAGACGATGAGGGCTCTCAGCTTAATATCAACAAGACTGCGACTCTGCATGATATTGCGAGGCTTGGAGGGGACATAATATCACGCATAGAACTCAAGCGATGAGGTATGAGGCAATCAAGGCAGGATTATCCATTGAAAATAATCACTCTCAGCCGATCCGTGCCCAAGGAAAGCAAGCAGATGTTCCTGGTATCGTTTTCCCGGCGCCCGCTATGTTGTATGCTACATTCGCTCCACATGATTTTATGATCAGATTCGAATCATCTGTTGGTCAATAACCTCTGACCCGAATTGTCTGGCACTTTCTGCTTGGAGAAAGCACAATATCTATCTTTAATCGAGACCACCTCGTACATTCCCTCGTCTGAAGCCCGAATTGTCTTGCTGTACTCGTGGGAGATTTCATTCTTGGTTTCGAGCACTTCCGGTTTCTTGCCTTTGGGCGGTGTCGTACTGCGCGTGTAGCTGGACGCTTTCTCAGCCCGGTCAAGCAGTGGATGGGCTTCAAGCACTTACGTGAAAAGGAACGGTGGCGTTCCTCCGAACTCGAAGAGTATCTCGGCAACGCCACCTTCATGAATATCCACCGTGGCTGTCCTTCCTTTGCTAACCCTGACGCTGGGCATTTCATGTATCACCTTTGTGATCTTTATTTTCGCTTTGCAAGCGTCAGTACTCCTCTGATCACTAAGTGCTGTGACGACAAAGATTCCTGGCTTTTCGGCTATGCGTCTGAATTCTGTTGAAGGGACGGAAGCTTTTCGTTCGTGATCTTGGAATGTGTAGAAGACACTGAAGGGAGGAGTGCCTGACAACGTGTATGCGATACGGTCGCCGACGCAGTAATCCTCCTGGTCCTCTAGTGGAGAAATGCTTGGGATGTCTGCAACGCTGACTTGCACGTGCGGGGCGTTCAAGTCCATCGTACGCTGGCAGCCACGAGAGTCTTGAACTTTCCGAATGACAACGGAATGGGTTCCAAGTGCAAGTACTCTATGTGGAATGTGCAAATTGTAACGATTGGTCTCAACGTTGGGAACATTAATGAGCTCGGGCTTTGATTTTGCGTAGTGTTTGATCTCGAGTTCGAGATGAAACGGAGGTAGGCCTATTAAGCTGATTGGAAGTACTTCGTCACCTGCTTCCTCCTCTTGGCAATACTTATACGTCCTGCCGGCTTCCGTGAAACGAGCAGAAGGTCTGGGGTGCACAATCTGCTGCACTGTTAAAGTTGTGAATTTTCGAGGATCATGGTTGTACGAGGTGTCTCCCAACTTCGAGAATTTGTATTCGTACGTCCCAGCTTCAGAGGTCTCCATCCTCAGAGAGGCCATGTTCAAGCCCGCACTGAATTTCTTTTGGCTCATAGATTGTAAGCCATGGTCAGGCTTATGACGTTGCTCGTACTCCACGTTAAAGGGAGCTGTACCAGTAAAGGAGATCTCCGTCACGTCTTCATCACCTTCGCAGACTTCCTTTTTCACATGCGTCCCCCTGGTGTACATGACCAGAGGACTCTCTGATACCTCAATGGAGGATCTGGGGATCCAAAATACGCTGAATTGATGGCCAGACATGTCTACAGTGCCTGGACAGTGGGCATCCCGGACGTCAACGAGTTCATATGTCCCCTCAGCAGTGGCTTCGATATGATCGTTACTGTCGCGCAACGTTCTTTCTATTGGCTGTGTCATAGGGTCGTCTCTGTTGCGATAAGCAACAGTCCATGGTGGGTCGCCTTGCAGCCTGAGAGGTAGATGGATCTTTTTGGCCTCCAGAGCTTGAATGCTTCGCTTGCCTTCCAAGTGACCGAATGTAGCCCTGGGTCTCTGCAAGCCGACCTCCACCTTTGCCTCTTCTTTGAGAGAAATCCGGCATCCTGATCGGTCTGTAATACTTATCAATGCTAGCGTATATTCTCCGCCATCTCTCAGAGGCTCGGTAGTAAGCCTGTAGATGCTATCCTGAATGTCGGCAGCTGTATACTTCTGTCGTCGACCACGGTGGACAAGCTCATAATCGACAATATATGGAGGCTCGCCCAAGATCTGAATAGCGAAGGTCACTGGTTCTTCGATACAAGCTCTCCGCTTCGGTTGCGCGTCCAAGATTCGTGCGGCAGCAGGGGGTTTGACATCTTGTTCTAAGATCATATTTTTATGCCTTAGAGATATAGGATCACCATATACGGCGTCGCTGATACTGCTGAATTGGTAGGTATAGTGACCTGCTTGCAAAGGTTTCAACTCAAGCTGCGTATGCAGGCGGTCAATTTCCTCAATCTTCGGAGTGACCCCACCTCCACCTCGTTTGATACTATAATGAACGTGGAACGGTGGAGTTCCAGACAGGTCAAGATCAACCAAGAGGCCTATGGAGCTACCAGCGCATTTGTCGGGGATAGTCTCGGCACTGATTGCGAGATCTGGCTCGGGGGGGTTCAGAAGCAAACAAGACGACGGTTCCATGATTTCCCCCGCACAAAACATGGTACCAACAGACTGCAGAGTATACAGGCCTGGCTCACGGATTTCAAGTCCACGACTCGTATCCAAGACGACTATCTCTTTAAATGTTGCTGCGCTTGAGTGCTTCTGGTCCGGAAGCAACTCTTCCTGCGGGGTGAAAAGATAGGAAAGCGTATACGGAGCGTCTTCGAGCTTGCCGGATCCTGTCGAGCTGAGATGGATTGGGAGCATTTTGGATTTCCCCTTCTCGACCTTGATTGGGTGCTGCGAATCATATTCGCGTAATGCGACCCGAGGTCTCTCGTGCACAGAGAAGTGCTGCTCCAGTTGATGACCCTTCAAGACCTTCTGTGGGCCTGACGGCGACGAGCGTATATCGGAATAATTTACGACGTTACCGCAAGCGTCCTGAACCTCATCAACCAAGTACTGCCAGCCTCCACTGACGCCAAGTGACTCGTTGAGCGGTATATCGATAGTCTGAGCCCGCGCCCAAGAGAGGTCCATGTCAGCCGGCGAATCAAGCGAGACCAGAGTACCTGAAGTTCGTTGTCGAGCTAATGGCGAAACCAAGTTCTCCGGATGTATACTTAGAAGAACATGGTCTTTATCGTTGCGATTCACCATCTTGCTATACTTTATTTTCAATGGAGGTGTTGCCTCCACTTGGAGATAAAAGTCCGACAGATCCCCTTTGCATTTGTCCTGCATTGTGGTCTTCACCATCGCCCTTGGACATTGGACTACAAGTGTATCTGAAAGGCGTCTCTGTACCTCGAGCTTTGACTCGTCAAGGACCTTCTCGAGCCTATAGAGGCCAGTCTCCTTGACTGGGTAATGCAGGACTCGGGGGCTTGTGCGATCGTTCTTCGCAAAATTTCTGTTTGCTTGCCTCTTCAATTTGTTGATTTGCTTGGTCGTCACAATGATTGTCTCGTGGGCGTTTGTGTCGAGGTCGATCCTAAGTAGTTCGATTGATATTGGATTTGTTTGATTGATGCGGATGGGCAGGTCGACGGAAGTTTCCATGTTCCCAATGCAGAAAGGGCTTTGGTCCGGATTCAGCATTGCAGAGCTGCTCAGAGTCAGTTGTGTCAGCTGCTGAATGTTGAGCAAATACAAACGTACCCCTCTGGCAATATGTGGATGATTTGTTTCCCCAGAATTAGGGATGAATTTTGGAGAATGGAAGCTGGCTTAACACTTCTTTCTGAAACCGCAAGTTCTCTGTCATACATAACTTTCATAAATGCTAGGAACCAAGATGTGACGGGAATCTATCAACTCGTAAGCATCTATTTCTTGAACTTGTTTGAGCATAGGGCTAGACGAACTGGTATGCGGAACATGAGAAGCGCATTGAGCATAGTATGCAGTATGACCAGGATAGCAGTCATTGAGGATGACCACTGGAGCCAAGGGATCTGGAGTTCGGGCAAGCCGTAAAGGAAAACAGAATCGATAGCAAGCCATTTCATGAACTTCCAAAGAGATTCTGCCTCGTCCGAGACCAGTCCGAAATAGTCGTACAGTCTCCATATGGTCAATGCAGCATAGAAAAGCGCAACGTAGAGCCTCTGTGAAGGTGCATCAACCACTGTAAACGGGATCATAGGCGTAGGAGCATTCGTGTTGAGGGATGTGGCTGGCGGTAAGGGAGATCGAGGCCCCTGGAGCCCCGCAAAGGTGGTGCCGTGACCAGACTGCTTCTGTCCGGATAAGGGGGTGGATGGATAGGCCGAACGAAGGCGAGGAGTGCCGTTCATGGCATGCTTGGAGTGTTTGGAATACTCCAGTCGAGACCACTGGGCGAGACTGAATGTGGCCACTGCACGAGGGACCGCAGGGATATTAGACGTGGATAATTCCTATGTGTCATGCTTCGCATCAAAATAAAGCTGGATTGAGAGTCAAGTCACGTCGCAAGGCTGTTTACAGAAATGTTTGGCCAAGCACTCTACATTCTACGTAGACAAAATCAGCCGCTAACCGCGCGCTTCGGAGTGCCTCGCCGTCTCGCCGTCTCGCCTTTCGGACGCCACAAGCAGTACTGTTTTTTGTCTTTACTACACTGGGCAATGACACTCGGATCACAATGGGTCGTCATTTCGCCAGACTAATTCTAACTCATAGTCCTGCTCTCTTATCAGCCTTCAAGTCGCCCCCCCCCTGATACCCAATTCCTTAGTATGGCTGGACGCTCAGCCAGAAGGCGTGTTGGTAGCTCCTCCACTATCTCAAGTACCGCTTTTAGCGAGAAGCCTCTCTCTCAAGATCCTTCAGCCCCAGCAACCATAGAAGACAAGCGAAGTTGGAAGGGTTTCTGCGAAATTGAATCAGAACCAGTGCATTTTCACCATGCATAAAGTATTTGAGAGTGGATGTGTGCTTACAGCAGTTGCAGGCTTTCTTTAACATCATGCTTAAGAAGTTTGGAGTCCAAGGCGTCAAAGTTCAGGAGATAGTTTCGTTAGATGATGAGATACTTGCATTCCTGCCGTGAGCGCCTCACTGTCTTTCTTTTATCCTGCTTCGAGTTATCCAAAGATCTGACCTGATAGGTAGTCGACCCGTCTATGGATTGATCTTCCTATTCAAATGGATTGAGGAGGACTCCGAGAAGCAAGAGCAAAGTTGTCCCAAAGGTGTTTGGTTTGCCAACCAAGTCAGACTCTTGCACTCATCGCTGGTCATAACATCTGATTGAGTATAGACCATCAACAATGCGTGTGCGAGTGTTGCATTGCTGAACATTGTCAACAACGTTCCAAGCATTGACTTAGGGGAAAGTCTTCATGCATTCAAGATGTTTACCGCCAATTTCACCCCGGCCTTACGGGGTGACGCTATAGGGAATTTCAATTTCGTCAAAGAAGTCCATAACTCATTTGCTAGGTACGTAAGTTCCCAACATGCCGTACAGCATCATGCATCTCTGTTGCACACGCGGCGTCCTTGCAGCTCTTCTTTAGACAAAAGACCGAGACTCAGCGTATCGGCAGGAAAATGGACATGCTGAATGCAGACCTCCTCCTCAAGAATGAAGCTACAGCGAAGAAAGGTAAGAAAAGAACAACAGATCAGGACGAGAGCGAAGGGGGTTTTCATTTTATCGCCTTCATGCCTATCGACGACCAACTTTGGAAGCTTGATGGACTTGAACGCCAACCAATGAGTCTCGGTAATCGCCAAGTGCCCGCCCGAAACTCTCACAAGGCTGACAGTATTTAATGCAGGCTCAGTGCAGGGTGACTGGCTCAGTCAAGCAAAGCCCGACATCGAGGCTCGTATGGCCCAGTATGAAGAGGGACAGATCGAATTTGCCATTCTAAGTCTCGTCCGGGATCCGTTGCTCGAGACAATTCCTGCTCTCGCTAAAAACGTAAAAGCCATCAATGCATTATCGATTCGGTTGGACATTGTCAAGCCGGGATGGAAGGACTTCGTCGACTCCTCGACCAACGGTGAAATTGCGGGAACAGATAGCTTGATCGGTAACACCAACTTGGCTTATGGCCTCACGCAAGAGATGCTTGATCAGGCTGAACCGTCCCAAGCTGTGATGGCTCTCTGCCTAAGTGATATCGCATCAGATATCCTCGGGCACCGTGAGCAATTGATCACCACACAAGCGGGTCTACGAATGTCGATTAGAGAAGAGATGCAATCAAATCAGTCGGACGAGGAAAGAGCTGCAGCTCGAACCTGTGATTACGGAGCAAGGATGCAAAGATTCGTGAGAAAAATGAGGGTCAGGCAGCAGTCATCAAAAGAAGCGTAGTTACACATCGGCCACAGTCTTTTGGCGTTCTGTCGAGATACCCCATGAAGTGATCAACTTGCACCTTTGCGGCCCAAGACAAGAAAACGTATATTCACTGTTCACTTGCTTTGGGGGCCTCTTATCAATGGTAAAGTTGCATCGCCGCAGCGGTTGCAGCGCTTGTATTAAATTGCCGCGCCTACTTCACTCTTGAATCTCGGTGAAGTAAATAAGAATCTTGACTGACTTCAATAGATGTAGTTTGACTGGTGATGCCTACGTGACACAAAATACTCGAGGAATATCACTGGTCCAGCCACAGTTTGGACGTCCGTGCGCCTGTCGTTTGCCAAATTACCGTAAGTGCACGTTCGACGCTTCTTTTGTCCGTCCAACGCGTCGACATTCAGTTTGACATGCTCTTATCTAAGAGCTCCGCAATTTTAAAGCGCGGTCCGAATGATCTGGAGCTCCAATGGTCTCTACGAGAGTAATGGAGAGATGTGCTGATCCATTACTACAACTCGAAATTGACGAGTGGATTCTTGACTACCTAATATTCTCCGCTATCAAGGCTTTGTTGGAAGACTACAAAGGCTCGAAAGATGGGCCCGCCGATGCATCCGACAAGCAAGAGCGAGCGAGCGTGTGCTTACAGCTTGTGGACTGTAAGCATTATTGAATTCCAATCAAAGCTGTGCAGCCAAGCTCATGCCAGGAAGCAGCTTTCTTCACGACCTTCTGTACGATACACCCAGACCACCACGCCAGCTTAGACTTACAGTTTCGCTTACGCCTCCTCAAATTCACCGCAATGTCCACAAAGCGTTCAGCGCCAGCAGAGGCAACTCTTCCTGAGCCAGCTCTGAAAAATCTACGGCATCGGCGTCAAGAACAAGCTGTTTCTTTCCGTTCCGGCGACAATGACTTTGCCGCTTTAGACCTTCCCGACTTGACCGAATACCTCGCACCACTAAATGTTATGGAGATCAAGAAAGAACACATAGGTCACGAATCCACTGGTGGCAACATAATGATGTCGGATCCACATGGCCTCTTTCCACCTGCGATATCTTTACTTGACACGATTCCCTTTTTCATGGCTGTGTCAGCGGCGCAGATTTCGATGCAAGAAGGTACAATCACGGACACCTGGATGCGATTGGCAGCCGGCTATATGGCACAAGCCGTGGCCGAACAGTACCTCGTCTACGGATCTCAGCGTCAGGAAGTGCTTCAGGAAGCCTTTGCATGGGGCTTCGACCCTGAGTGTAGTGCAGAGGACGGAACCGATGATTTCCAGATAAATGCTATGTTTTGGGGTGTGGATACAGTCGTAGATGGCTGGGATAGAATCCGCGATGAGCATGCACAGGCCGTAAGTCCGAATTCCTATATCCTGTGCGCATAAGCTTACGGGCGTTGCGCTGCAGCTCATACCCCCGGCAGGAGCTGACTTGCAGTTGCACCTGGAGACGTTAATGGCAAACGACCTCTCCATTGCCGAGTTCGAACGACGTCTTATTGACTTCTTGGACAAAATGCTGATGGGTCAATCGAAACCCTTTCTACTGCAAATGGAGTCAGGCAAAGTTGATGGGCTACCACGGAAGGAAATTAAAGATTTATTTGAAGCGATTGGCATGATATGATTTGCGTGTAAACGATTATGTTCGAGATACTCTTTTTCAGCGTTGATGCTTGTCCAACGTGACATTGATCGTTCCATCCTAGAAGCTCCTGCTGATAACAAGATACCGGTATATAGTACTTGAATAAACGTCTCTTATTCCTTTTCATCCCTGGCTGGTCCGCCTCGCTTGACGGCGCCTTGCTCCGTTCCCACAAAATAAACTGCACAGAGGGCCCACGAAAATCGCAATTGTGTTCAACTTTTGCAATTCGATACCGAAAGCCTTAGTCACAAAGCTTTTGATTCATGAATTACTCTCCTCGACTATCTATATAATTCTTTAACGAAAAGTTTCAGCGCATATTGGTTACTTGATGACCCATCCAACTCAGCAATTCCCTCACTGTGCAGTTTATTTTGTTTTCGCCGAGCCTTGCTTGACGTTGGATATTCTTCTCGAACTTTGCCAGGACTTACAAGTCGACCGGCGGTCTTGTATACCTTAGCTTCAAACACGCTAAGAAGCGCAGAACGGCTTAGCCCTTAAATCTTGTCCCAAGTAACAGGACGGAAGTTATTGAATGTAAATCGAGCACTAATCATCTGGATATTCGTCTTTAATGTTGCTGACAAATATCCCATTTGTCCTGTCCCATCGCTTGAAATGCTGACCCGCTAAAACCATGAGATCTTTGCCAGGGTCCTCCTGCACAAGCGCAATATTTTCCTCGGCAACATATCGTACGGATTTATCTTCACCTCTAGGGATTGACGGTCAGTAGACAATCGCAGGATCCATGATTGCTCACTTACAGCACATGGTAGAAACCCTGGTGCTTGCCCCCTGGCAGCTCGTGTACGCGCATATGTGCCATCCAATCGTCTGTAGCAGCGCATTCCACGTCCCAGCCAGTAATGACAGCCTTGTAATGATACCGTTTGTGATGGAATATTTGTCCAACCTTGTATTGGACGTTGCGCACCGAGTCTGACGTACGATCTTTGACGGTTTTGGGCATATGATCAGTTGTGCGGATAACCCTAATTGTATTTCGTGATTGTTCATATTGAATACGGTCCTCGATCAAAGGAGGGATATACTTTTCAATCAGCCAGGTATCCGTGAGAAAATACTTTTCTATAAGCTCCGTAATGTGACTTAGACAGTTTGCACGTTGCGCGCCAGCTGTGATTGTGCCACCCTCTGGCAGGAGTAGTACTGCCCAGACCGCAGCGTAGAACGCGCCATCCACGTCAGGGTAAGAGTGGCCCGCACTGTGGTCACGAGGAATAGCCTGTAGCGAAGTAATGATGTTCTTTGCACATCGACGAATGATCTCAGCGGTTGACGAAGCACCCAGCAACTCTGGAAAATTTGCTGGGGAGATGCCTAGGCGCTGAAGTTGAGCTCGAAGATCCTTCACATAGACTTCTTGGCTGGATCTGAAGGGATCCATGTACATTGGCTCCGATGATGTACCAGCGTCCGTATGTCTTCCATCCAATGTGCGACCCGGGGATGGTTTGATGATGGCAAGCACGTGAAATGGAAATCCACAAGGCTGGGCGTCAATACCAAGTCTTTGCGCCACACAGCAGTATATTGCCACTGATACGAGAGGTAAAGATGGGTGGGGTCCATCCTGCAAGGCAATGCCAATGAAGTTGTTTTGCAGATCGTGGTAATGAGAATTGCCACTGATGCCCGTCAAATCATGTTGTCTCAAGAATTCTGCGAGCGCGATGGCTTTTTGTTGTGGCGATTGATCCATAGTTTCTGGGTTTTCGCTGCAATATTGCTGTGCAATACCATCAAGACGAGTGGCCACCTGTGATTCTTAGCTGCGATGGCAGGTTCTGGTTCTTGGGTACACACATCATGGAAATCGCCGTCTCTTTCGTGCAAGACAAACATGTCGAAGGCAGCAAGGGCTCTCTCCAGCGGCACCACATCCCCATCGTTAAGCTTTGCCCACTCCCTAACCGCCATGCTTCGATGTAAGCCCCCAAGAACGGCGTCGCTATAAAACCTGATATATAATCAGTGCTCAGTCCTCGCACACGAGATTCATTAGGCAGTACCTTCGGGCCAGAACATCATCAGCATGATCGCCGACATTCAGATGTCGGAGTAAAGCATCCTTTGCATCGTAGCCATGACCCATGATCCTTTCAGCCTTTTCAATCCTATTCCTCTGACTAGCGAGGATGCCGTCAACATCGCGCGTTATTGAACGGTCAATGCTATAACGGTCGGAGAAGAGCTTCTTCCAGTCCGTCTCAATGACAGCTCCCGAAAGCTTTTGTTGTAAACTATGTTCGGGGCTCCAGTACTTGAAGTGGGTACGGCAGTGGTCACGCCACAGAAGAGGCTGTGGGAAATCATTGAACTTGCGGGAAACTCTCTGGAGGGTAGGTACAGAAGAGGGGGGCAAATAAGATATGATCTGATGTAAAACTTCAGTTGGAAGCTCACTGAGTGTGAAGGCCATGGTCTTGTTCTGGAGTAAATATTCTTGCCATCATTCCGCCTGCGGGGCTTTCCTCCTTCAATTCGACCGAGTATTAATCGTATCTACCCCCATTTACGCCGTATTAAATCCGATAATTCCGACGCAATACCAAAATACCTACCTTTCACCAAATTTATATAATAAACTAGTATAATAATATAAATCTTTTATTAATATTAAGACTTCTATATTAAAAAGTCTAAATAATAAATTTTTTAACTTTATTAATCTATTATATCTTTAAAAAAATCTTTACTATCTCTTCTTCTATTACTTTCTTATCTCTTCTATTACTTTTCTCTCTCTTATTATCTTTATCTCTTTTATATTACTATTATTATAAAAGTAAAGTTTATAATAAAG